GGCAAATGTTGTGATTGTTCCAGGAGCTAGGTCCTCGTTGGGCACTGGGATAGGGGGAATCTGGGTATATGGATCAGGTGGTTGATTTTGTAGCCATTGGTTGTGCTGCTGGTATGTTCCAAAGCCAGGGTCTGGTGTAATAGCAATGTGCCGAGGATCGGGCATGAAGTTGCCGGTTGCATATGCCATTGAGATTTGCGGTGGTGAGGGATTCTGGTACTGGGCTAGATTTAGATCTGGGGTAGTCTTTTGTAATGCATGTTCGGCGGTAACAGAAGGGATGTCATCATGAGGATCAATCAAATCTGGGGTATCGGTATCGGGAATGTCGGTGCTTGGGGTATCAGCATTGGGAGCATCAGTCTGTGTAGCCATACAGATGTCAACGATTTTCTAGACGTTTGGGTGCAGATAAGCAGTTCTTGCTCTGTCAAGTAAGACTTTGTCCCAGATTGGGAGATCCTCTGCGGTGACAAGGTTGGCAAGGGCGTCTGCGATGGAGTGGTTTGCTTTGCCTAGGTAGATTCCTTTGGAGTTGAGGCATTTCCTGAAAATGCCTTGTATGGTGCGCTCCACCTTCTCGAAGTCTGCCTTTATCCAATTCTTAAAGTCCATCTGGAATGTCTCGTGAATCTCGAAGGGGATGGGCGTTTTAGTATTATTGTAGCGGTCGATACATGACAAGGTGTACGAGTTGAAATGGGTATCCTTGCCATGTTCAAGGTCGACTTGTTTTCCAAATTTGATGCGATCAAGATCAATGAGGTCGACAAGGATGACATGTAGGTTGCGGTCGCTGAGATATCGTAACTTCTTGTCTCTCACAATGTCTGCAGGGTCTTGAGCGGCTTGGATTTTGTTGTTGCCATTGCTGGAGGCCATCTTGTCGGATGTACTCGTGTCGGATGTACTTGTGTTGGATATGGGCGTGTCGGATGGACGTGTCGGATGGACGTGTCACATGGGCACGTGTCGGATGGGCGTGTGGGATAGGCGTGTGGGATGGACATGTGTCGGACGGATGTGTGTCAGGTGGTTCTGTCAACATCTGGCATGTGTGGGATGGGCGTGTGTCGGACGGATGTGTGTCAGGTGGTTCTGTCAACAATCTGGCATGTGTCGGATGGGCGTGTGTCGGACGGGCGTCGGATGGATGTGTGGGGGAGGGTTCTGTCAACAGTCTGTGCTGCCGCGCGGGATATGAGTATTGCTGTGATTGCAGCGTAATCTATTGCCTCGAGTCGCCTCTTGAGGAACGTTTGCGACAGAAGATCCAGATCTTTGGCTGTATCCCGAGTTTCATGTCAGGAACGTTGATACAGTAAGACCTCTTTTTTTCCTTGCTTATCTGTGTTGCCTTGGGAGACAACACTGACCAGTGTTGGAACAGGCTTGAACGATCAATCATAATACTCGAGTATGGGGTCAAGGTCATGATGTTGCTAATGGTTGGATTGAGAGGAATCTAGCTGGACTCGAAGGTCTGGCCAAGTACCCTCTCAATCCATTATCTTATCTTATCTAATCATATATATGGGTCCTGGTATAGATGGTTTGCAGTCTGGAATCGCATGGATCCAACACTTATTATATAAATTGTCTTGTATAAATTTTTTTTTTCGATGATGCTTAGTATTCTCGATATATAAAAATCCTGGGGTGTGAAGTAAAAAAAGCTAAAATATAAATTTTTTATCAGAACGAATTTCTTTAAGGTTTAATAATAAAGATAAACCCCACTTAAATTCCTATATAAAGCTACTAATTAAATAGCACCCAAAAGGTTTTTTTTTTTCGGTTTTTAGGATCTTTACGATAGATTTACTACTTTAAGGTACTTAATAAATCTTTTATATATACTGGTTAAGTTCTTCTGTGCGTATATAATAGGTAGTAAATTATTTGATCATAATTAATAAAGAACAAAAAAGAATCTGTTCAAAAAGGCTAAATAAATTAAGAAAATATGATAACATTATTATAAAAATGATTAAAAAGTGAAAACAGACAGTAATAAACCACTTAATACACGTAATGAATATAAAGTATAAATGAATTTAAAATAAATTAGAACTAAGCGTTCAACTATATATACAATATATAAGAAGTAGCTATTTACAACGATAAACACGAAAACGGAAAATAAACGGTGCCGTTTATATGATATAAACCTAGCTAGGCATTAACCTCAACTCACAACAATATAAGAATATTATATGTATGTAAAAAATTAAGCTAAATATATTTCAATAAACTCTTTCAATGCAAACAAAATATTGATTAATAATTTTGTGACGGCCTGCACGGACCTTCCCATATGACAAGCCAATACCTCCTAAAAAGAGAAGGATCTGACCAGAGGATCCCCTTAAAGGAACAACCTCCCGCTGTACCTATCTTTCTCTCTCTTCCTTTCCTTTCTAGTCTTGATATTCTTGTTAATAGAGTAATAGCTGCTTGCTGCAGGCCATAACATAGCTCCCCAGTATGCTCGCCGTGATAATTTTATCATAGATATATTAAAAGCGAGTTTTTTAAAGGTTCTGAACATTATTGAAATGGAATTCAATAACTAAAAGCATTACAATATATTAATAAGCGTATCGTTTTAATTCAAATGTTTTTTAATAACCTTAATATACTATTTCAATATCTTAATTAATATATAATCATCAATTTCGCTACCTTATTATTAATCTTTTTAAACCGTTATTTCATTTTATTGTTATTTTCTCGGCATTTTTTTATGCTCTAGTTTTTTTATATAAAATATTAGGTCGTTTTATTTTAAGAATCTGGTTGAAATTTTAACCGTGTTATAATATTATAAGATCGTAAAGTAGCTAATTAATAATAAGAAATTGTATTTTAAAAAGCGTACAAAATATTATAATGTTAATAGAAATATAACAAGTTAAAATAAGTATTTAAACAGCTTTAAAGGCTAAATATATTTAATCGTTTACTTTAAAGTATTTATAACACCTTTGTAACATTATAACTATGAGCTTTTAATCGGTTTAAATAATATTGATTTATTAAACCTATTTTATTAATATACAAGATTATTTTACTATTTAAAAAGGCTTTACGCTTAATCCAAATGCCTTTTTCTTATTATAAAACATAAAATATATTTATATGCGGTTATTAATAGTCGGTTATTATATATTAAATAAAATATTCATCCCGCTAATATTAACTTTTGAATATAGTTTAAGGTCGTGCCGGACCGGTAATGTTACCGTCTTATTATCAACCGCGGCCTTACCCGAGACATTTAAGCTGCAGCTTTTAAACGGCAGCGAGTTAGTCCCGGGGGGGTTGCAAATTAGGTGGTCACACTACCTTCCCAACGATAGAGAACAGCGGAAGTCGCGGCCATAGTATTGCCTGCGGGGCTGAGGCATGATTTTGAGATGTCCAAGCTGGCGCGGAAATGATTGGAAGCATGGCTTAGGGTAGTGGTTCCACAGGGGCCGACAGTTGGGGTATTCGTCACGGAATGCAAGCCATCTGCAGTTGGGGGATTTGTCGCGGAATGTATGCCATCTGCCGTTGGGGGATTTGTCACGGAATGTACGCCATTTGCCACTGGCACAGAGAAGATTTCGAGCATACAGTTCATCGTATCTTCGCAGAATCCTGCCAGCCCATCGAGTTACCTCACCTGTTACGCCTCGATCGCTCAATATGTGAAAAGCGCGTCGTTCGTCTCGCTTACTACACCTGCAGACTACTCGGCGGCCAATGTCCCAGAGGTTAACGTCGACTACTATCTTGGTATTCTTGCCCTGATAGGACTCGCTGGCGCATTCCTCGCGCTTGTCCGGGATCTGTGGGTTTTCTTTGGCTCACTGACCGCTTCGTAAGAGATCCACAATCGATTGGTGTCATTTGTCGCAAGGGCAAAGTTCAAGTTCTTCGATGTGACGCCGCTAGGGCAGCTGATAAATCGGTTCAGCAAGGATCTCGAGGCGGTCGACCAGGAAGTGGCACCGGTTGCCATCGGTGTCATGACATGTGCCATGGGTATCGGCGTCACGGTGGTCCTCATAGCTGCCATTACACCAGGATTTCTGATCGTCGAGGTTGCAAATGGCAGGATACGGTGTGAACCGCCGCTTTAGTGCGGTGGCTGCTATGACCTGCTAGGTGGGGAGTGTATGTACAGTACTATCCCCCCCATAGAAGTCGTACACCCCCACTAGTCGTACAGCCAAACCCCACCATCACCATCAAAACACCCCCTTATTGACTTATACACGAATGAAGCCATTTAGGTCAGAGAAATACAGCGAAATTGTCATTCGTGTCAGATTTGAGCCAATTGTGAGGTTGAAGTGTGTGTGTGTATTTTGTCTTTCTAGAGTGTCCTCGTGCGACCGTGGCAGTTTTGTGCCAGAGGGGGCTGGATCGGGACGGAACAACTAGGCTCCGGTGTCTACCTATCAAGGTGCCCTCTGGGCTCACCTTTAATCCAACACACCCCCTCAGCCAGGCAGGCAACGGCTCTGGCTGAACTAGTCTATAGAGTAAATTACTTCAGGGTCTTGACTCAGAATCTCTTCTCTCTTCTCAATGGCTCCCTCCTATGACCTCAAATCAAGCTGTGTCACGGCGAGCGTACTGAGGAGCTGGGACATGGCCTGCAGCAAGCAGCTATTACTTTATTGACGAGAATATCAAGACTAGAGAGGAAAGGAAGAGAGAGAGAGATAGGTACAGTGGGAGGTTGCCCCTTTAAGGGGATCCTCTGGTCAGATCCTTCTCCTATTGGGAAGTATCCACTTGTCATGTGGGAAGGTCTGTGCAGGCCGTCACACTTCCTTATTTACCATTTCCAATCTGTGCCTGTTCTATTTACTACAAGTTGCGTCAAGCATTTCCAGGATCTGGCTCAGGTCGTCACCATAATCAATAAACCTACTCTTCCATCGATTATCATACTTTGTTGCCGGTGAAGGGTGACAACGTTGACATCCCCGTTGGTCGGCAAGATGCAGTGCCAAAAAGGTACCGAGGAAGACCCCGTGGTCGTCGTTGGCTTCTCATTCCGCTTCCCTCAGGATGCTGTCTCAGACGACGCTTTCTGGAAAATTATATGCGAGGGCACCTCTACTATGACTGAGGTGCCAGAAACTCGCTACAACATCAACGGTCACCATGACTTCAATCCGGCTCGCCAAGACATGGTAAGACTCAAAAAGAAGCATACCGCATACCTTGTACTCATACCAAACAGTTGCCGTGCCGTGGCGGTCACTACGTAAAGGGTGATATCTTTGCCTTCGATGCACCGTTCTTCACCACCAGCAGCACGGAAGCCAGGGCCATGGATCCTCAGTTGCGCGTCTTGCTGGAGACTAGCTATCATGCTCTTGAATCTGGTATGATGATCATTTGACCGTTATGAGCGCATGTGGCTAAAGGCGCGGTAGCTGGGCTCCCTCTGGTGGCCGTACGTGGCAGTTCCACATCCGTCTTCGTCGGAAACCTCATCGCTGAATATTCATCACTTTACGGTAATGACGACGAAATCAATGCTAAGTATCAAGCAACTGGAATTTCGTCATCCATGCTATCGAATCGCCTCAGCTGGTTCTATGACTTTCGCGGTCCAAGCATATCGCTTGATACTGCATGTTCTAGCAGCCTGGTTGGCCTCCACCTAGCTTGCCAGAGCCTGCGCAACGGGGAGTCTGAGATGGTCAGTTCCATATGCCCTATCAACAAGTGCACAAGGCTAACCTCTCATCCCTACCTAGAGCCTTGTCTGCGGCGCTCAGTTACAGCTGGATCCAAGGTCAATGTCTATTCCAATGTCGCGGCTCAATTTCCTCTCGTCTAGTAGCCACTGTCATAGCTTCGATGAGCAGGCAGATGGCTACAGTAGAGGCGAAGGGGTTGGTGTCGTAGTGCTCAAGCGCCTATCGCGCGCTCTTGCAAATGGGGATACCATTCGCGCAGTCATCCGCGGCACATCCGCTAATCAAGATGGACGAACACCTTCGATCTCCCAGCCCAGTTCGATTGCCCAGGCTGCCCTCATTCGAAAGGCATACGAGTCGGTAGATTCAGACTTCCAATCCACGGCTTATTTCGAGGCTCACTCGACTGGTACTCCCGTTGGAGATCCCATTGAAGCCCAAGGAATCAGTCTGGCGTTCTCAGACCATCGCGACATCCACAATCCTCTGTTCGTTGGTTCAGTCAAGGCCAATATCGGTCATCTTGAAGCTACGGCGGGGATAGCCGGAATAATCAAAGTGGTGCTCATGCTTGAAAGAGCGATGATCCCCCCCCCCCCCCGTCGCTCTACTTAACCACCTGAATCCTGCAATTGAGGCGGACAATTGGCACCTCAAGGTGAGCGGAGCAAACTCTGCCGTATTCCTGGCAATTGCCTAACGGCTTTATAGTTCCCCATGACTGCAACAGACTGGCCGAAGGAGGGATTGAGACGGGCATCTGCCAACAGTTTCGGGTTTGGGGGTACAAACGCGCACGTCGTGCTCGATGACGCTCTTCACTACTTGCAGGCCAGGCGACTGCCGGGAACTCATAACACGGTAATGGGAGGCAGCAACACAGGTACTCCGGGTAGGGGTGTCGGTCAGCCCGGGAAACATGTGATCTTGAGAGAATGCCCTTTTCTCTTCGTCTTTTCCACTGCAGACGAGAATGGCATCCAACGCCTGTCCACTGACTTCGAGAATCACCTACATCAGACCGCCACCGATGCTGAAACCCATTACCTGGCTGATATCGCCTTTACATTGAGCAGCAAGCGAACTCAGCACCCTTGGAGATCGTACGCCCTAGGTACTTCTGTGCAAGATCTCCGAGCAAGTCTTTCCAACATAGCCTAAAAGTCGGTGCGCACTTCTCAGGGTCCCACGGTACAATTCGTGTTCACTGGCCAGGGTACACAGTGGGCATCGATGGGTGCAGATCTAGTCGAGTTCTCCGCGTTCAAGGAAAGCCTCGAGGAAGCAAACATCTATTTTCGTTCGCTCGGCTGTACATGGTCCGTTCTGGGTAAGTGGCTCTCTTGGTCCCTACCCCCTGCCGTTCACTAATCAGCCGAAGATGAACTAAGCGCAACCCCGTTGTCCTCCCGGATTGACGACCCAAGGCTCGCGCAGCCTCTGTGTACCGCACTCCAGGTTGCTCACGTTGATCTTCTCACAGCCTGGGGTGTTTCATCACAAGCGGTGGTTGGCCATTCATCTGGGGAGATCGCCGCTGCATATTGCACGGGAGCGCTCACGAGAGAATCTGCGTGGCTTGTCGCCTATTTCAGGGGCGAGGCTGTCACAAAGCTTGCTGTGCATCCACAAAATTCGAAAGGAGCCATGCTCGCTGTTGGTTTGTCTGAGGTCGAGCTGGAACCGCATATCGCCGCCGTCGTTGCTGAAGGAGAAGCAAGCAACCTGACATGTGCCTGCATCAACAGTTACCAGAGCACAACAGTCGCTGGTGTTGAGAGTTACATCGACAAGCTCGCGTCGCGCTTGCGGTCCAACAAAATCTTTGCGCGTAAGCTCAATGTACCGGTCGCTTATCACTCGCCCCAGATGCTTCAGGTTGCGGACGCCTACAAGGCAATGCTCGAAGGCTATCTGGCCACCAGGCCCCAGAGCGCCTGCTCACCGCGGCCGTTGTTTTTCTCGTCTGTCCTAGGGTCGGAACTATCGGACGAAGACTTATGCCAGGCAAGCTATTGGGTCTCGAATCTCGTTTCCAAAGTGAGGTTCTCTGAGGCTGTCAAACTCATGGTGTCATCGTTATCCGAACCCAAGCCCGCGGTCTTACCCTATCTGATCGAGGTGGGACCCCATCCCACATTACAGAGACCTGTCAAGGAGATTTTGGGTGATGATGCTGACTACATGTACGACCACATTGTTCAACGTAATCAGTCTTCGGGCAGGACAGCGATGGAGATGCTCGGGAAGCTCGTAATTCATGGATACCCGGTCAACGTTGAAGCTGCAAACAACTACGCCAGCAGTGGTTATGAGCCGAAGATGCTTCTGAACCTCCCTCGGTACCCTTTCAACCATACGCAGTCTTATTCGCTTGAGAGCAGGCTGTCGAGGAACCGTCGTTTTCGCAAAAGCCCACGACATGAGTTGCTTGGCAACCCTACCACTGACTGGAATCCCTATGAGCCTAAATGGCGCTTCACGATACGCGAGTCTGATCTTCCATGGGTCGTCGATCACAAGGTGATCGCGAACTGAAAGACACCCCTTGAGGCATGTGCGAACATAGTTAACGCGTCGTTATAGATTGACGGAACCGTCTTGTATCCCGCAGCCGGTATGCTGGCAATGGTCCTTGAGGGCGCCCGGGCGCTTACTACTGGAGACACCACCGTCGTTGGCTACCGGCTAAGGGACGTGAGCGTCACGAGTGCTTTAGTTGTGCCTATCACCGATGATGGGATCGAAACGCAGTTACATATGCATCCGCATTCCAGGCTTCCGGCCGACCGGAGTGCACCGGCTTGGGCATTCGCGATATACTCCGTCATGGACAACAACTGGGAATTGCACATCTCAAGTCAAGCGTTTACAGTACAACGCGCGACTACAGATCTGGTTTCCGGGGGTATCCTGGACGGATGCGCTCAGCCTGCACACGCCAACGGTTTCTCGGAAGCCAGTGGACGCTGCACGGATCGCATCGACTCGGCTCAGTTCTATTCTGATATTCACAAGAAAGGATTCCACTTTGGCAAAACTTTCCAGACACTTGACGATATCTCGGTCAACCATAGAGACCGCGAGGCTACAGCCCGGGTCACTTTTGGACAGTGGACACAGCTAGTAAGACAACACGAGCTCCGCGACCATATCATCCACCCATCCACCCTCGATAGTCTCTTACACGTCCTCTTCGCGTCTACCCGCCAATCCTGGCATGTCTGGCCCACCATGGTTCCAACAAGATTCTCCGATGTTTATATTTCCTGTGGCTTACTGGAAGGACTACGAGAAGACGCAATGCTTCTTCATGGCAAGATCATCAGCCGCGGTATTTCTCATATGGACGGTGATGTAGTCGCCGTGGACAGTGTCACCAAAGCCCCCATGATCATAGCTCGCGGCTGTAGGCTGTCTGCGTTTCACGCTAGCAACCAGCAGGAGGGCATGCTACCCAAGCTGGCGACACTTTTTCATCAACTGCATTGGAAGCCCGACATAAGCCTCATGTCCCAATGCCAGATTGAAGAGTACTGTTGTCGAGAGCCACGTGGCTTGCCTGGACATGAAATCGATCGACGCACAGAAACCGTATGCCGTCATTTCATGTCTACGGCGCTTGAGGCCCTCCTTGATACCTTCTTGCCCTCAAAACCTGAGCTGCAGAATTACACTCAATGGGCGACGGGATTTCTCGAACGCGAAAAACAGGCTACATCAGACCTTATCCAGGATTGGTCTGGGTTCGATCAGGACGGCATGGGCTCTAATCTGATCGATGATTACCGAGCGAGTTCGTCCGCAAATAACAGCCTCGTGTTGTTCCTCAGTAACCTGCCCGCCATACTCGCTGGAGAGGTCGATCCACTCCATCTGATGTTTAATGATGGTGTTGCCGAGAGCTTCTACGAGAGGCCAATATTCAGCCTTTCGGCGTACAGGATTGCTCTCTACATGGATCTCTTGGCCCACAAGAACTCGAACATCCATATTATTGAAGTTGGTGCAGGAACCGGTAGCGCCACAAACGCTGTCTTGGACGTTCTTTCACGTCAAGGGAGGTTCACAGGCTCCTCACCACGATTCAACAAGTACGACTTCACAGACATCTCGCCGAGTCTCTTTGCCAAGGTCCAGGAACGTTACGCGGGATATTCGAGCGGCATGAGATACAAAACCCTGGACATTGGGCGCGATCCAACAGAGCAAGGCTTTGAACCCAACTCCTACGATGTTGTCATTGCTGCTTCAGTAAGACCATACTTCAAACCTTGTTCTCACAGTGCCGCAACAACGGGGATGGGCCCGTGAGCGGGTCTGACTGTACTTATTATCTTGAGACCTCCACAACCCTGCGATGCAGAGGCTCTGGGAGGCGTGGTTTGCACTACTGAGGAGCTACCCCCACGTTAAATACAAAACAAACAAAACTTGTTCTCACAGACTTGTATATATCGATGCTAACTTCTATAGGTGCTGCATGCGACCGAGAACATTGAGACGACGTTGGAAAACGTCAAGAAGCTACTCAGACCGTAAGCGCTGACTATGAACGAACACCATATCTGTACTAAATGGTGACACAGTGGTGGGCAACTCATCTTCGCGGAACCCACGAACCATCGAATAGCAACCATACCCTGTTTCTCTGGTGTTCTCCCTGGCTGGTGGCTTTGTAGGCGAATCCCTTGCCTGCTTCGATTCTCAGCAGTTGCTTACCAGATTTGTAGCTACGGACGAATTCAGAACCTCAGGTCCACTCCTAAGTAAACAGGATTGGAACCGAGCGCTGCTTCACGCCGGTTTTGAGGGCTTGCGAGTGTCGCTATCTGATGACGTCGAGGAAAACCACGTGCTGACTGTCATGGTGTCCTGCTTGCCATCATCAGCGAATCACAAGAATGACCCCACGACCGTCATCATTGCAGAAACGGGTGAGCAGCGTGAGATCGCCAATACTCTCCAAGCAGAACTTGCCTCGCGCACAGAGAGCGCATGTGATATTCACTCACTGGACTCATATGTTTCGGTGCCCGACAAGTACGAGCAATGCATATCTCTGATAGAGATATGGAATCCCGTCCTTGACCGAATGACCGAGGTCCAATTCCAAGCACTTCAGCAAATACTCCGGGCGTCCAAGCAGATAATCTGGGTGAATGATTCTTGCGGAGAGGTTCCTTCCAAACCCGAGTCCTCCATGATTTCTGGCTTCGGAGAGACCATCATGCGTGAAAACCCAGACACGAGTTTCATTCATCTTAACTTGGATCCAGGGCCTTCGGTCGCAACCGACATCCTGCGGATTGTTCAGCATAGGCGCAGCGTGCATACTCGACAAATGGAGACCGACTTACTGAAGCAGTCAGACGTCTTCTTGATCCCGAGAGTGGTCGAAGCTCCTCATATCAATAAGCTTCTAGAATATGAGAGTGGCGGAACGCTCCCCAAAGCGACAGCAGTGGACAAAGAATGGGAGTCCGCCGATAATGCATTGGAACTGCATCATATCCCTAAGGGCCTCGACTCGTTCCACTATGCCTTCGACCCACGACCGTTGCAAGCGCTCCACGAGAGTGAAGTCCGAGTGCTAGTCAAGGCGACTGGAATCAACTTCAAAGACGTCATGGTTGCCTTGAATCAGGTGGCCGACGACCACATCGGCCAGGAATTCGCTGGTGTCGTCACGCAGATCGGGTCGAGCTCAGAGACAACCTTTCGTCCAGGTGACAAAGTGTGCGGCTTCACAGATGGAAGTTTTCGCACTTTCGTGCGTGCGAAGAATTCCCACCTCATGAAAGTTCCCGAATCCATGCCTTTTGGTGAAGCAAGCGCAATACCTATCGCATATGCCACAGCCCAGTACGGCCTATGTCACCTGGTCCAGTTGAAACCCGGCGAAAGCATCCTGATCCATGCGGCAGCGGGGGCAGTGGGCAGGCTGCTGTACAAATAGCGCAGAGCGTTGGCGCGACAGTATATGTCACTGTCAGCACTCCTGAGAAGAAGAAACTTCTAATGGGCCGATATCACATCCACTCTGATCAGTTCTTCTCGAGCCGCCACCTTGCCTTTGCGCAGCAAATCATGCAGAGAACTGACGGTAGAGGCGTGGACGTCGTCCTCAACTCTCTCTCTGGCCAAGCATTGACGGAAACCTGGAGGTGCCTTGCGGCATTCGGAAGATTCATCGAACTTGGCAAACGAGACATCGCCGCCTTCAAAGATCTTCCCATGGAGCCTTTCCAACGTAACGTTTCATTCTGCTCGCTTGACCTCGCCGTGGTTAGCAAGCACAACGATGCCTTGATGAGAAAGATCATGCGGGAGGTTCAGTCGCTGGTTCTGGATGAGTCCACACGGAAGTACAGTGCAGCATACCCTCTGACGGTGTTCAAGCGTTCGGGCTTTGAAGATGCGTTCAGACTCCTCCAGACTGGACAGCATTCCGGTAAAGCTGTGGTTGACTGGGAGCAAGATGACATTTTGCAGGTAATGGCCATGCTCCACATCAGAAGGGTCTCCCCGATGAGAAGGTTGGGCTGACATGAAAATAGGTGATCCCGAAAAGGGAGCTGGACTACGAGTTTGACAGCAATGCTACCTATTTTATCACTGGTGGGCTCGGTGGGGTTGGAAGGAGCATCGCTGCGTGGATGTCCCGGCACGGCGCAAAGCATCTCGTCTTGCTCTCACGCTCTGGTGTTAAAACACCTGCTGCTGTGGAGCTCGTCACCAGCCTAGAGAATAGCGGTGTCTGTGTTTATACACCCAGATGTGATATCACTGACGCGGACGCGCTGAAAGCAGTGGTTCAACACGTCCAAGCGAGCATGCCACCTATCAGAGGCTGCATACAGGGCTCGATGGTCATCAAGGTAAGTAAACTTGCGCTATTTTTGCACTCAAACCTACTCAGCCTGACCTTCATCGCAGAACAGTATGTTCCAGGATTTCACTCTTCGAGAGTTCCAAGCCTCGATTGACCCCAAAGTAAAGGGGACCTGGAACCTTCATCACCAGCTCCCACCCCAGATGGACTTCTTCGTCCTTCTCTCGTCCATTGCTGGCGTCCATGGCGCCAGTTCGCAGGCCAATTATGCTGCCGCAAACGCCTTCCTCGACGCCTTCGCCAGGTTCCGCCATGCCCAGGGGCAACGGTGCATTTCTCTAGACCTTGGAATCATCGAAAACATCGGTTATATCGCTGAGCGCATCGATGTGGTCCAGGGTTTTGCCATGTCGTATCTTGATTATAAGAGTCTCCGGGAACAGGACCTGCATTTCATGCTCAAATATGCTTGCAACCCTCGCCTCAGTGTCTCCTCGCCCTGGGAAACTCAGCTCCTTGGTGCATTGACAACCCCAGCTTCTGTGAAGCGCGGCGGTTTTATCCAAGACCATGGGTGGATGCGGTTGCCAATGTTCTGTCACCTTTACCAGATGGAACAGGACGTGGAGTCGCCAAGCGCCGCCATACAACCTGATTCATCTGGTTTCCAGCTTCGAGCAGCGGAGTCGCTCGACGAAGCGGCTGCTGTGGTCGCGGCCTTGTTGGCGAGGCGCTTGGCACTGTCTCTAGCTGTTCCGGTGGAAGATATCGACATCAATTGCCCGCCTCATACCTACGGAGTTGATTCTCTCCTTGCTGTGGAACTTGTACACTGGTTCTCAACGGAGATACGGTCCGACATGCCGACAGTCCAGATACTGGGCAGCACAACCACCGCGCAGCTGGGATTATTAGCTGCGGCGAAGAGCGACCACGTCTTGAACCGTGACTAACGAAATTGGCGGGATCTCACGGCACTAGAAGACAGCCCCACAGCCCAAGGGGTCAACCCCTATATATGCCAGATCATGTTGTGACAATCAGGCCTGCAGCTGCGCTGGCCAGGGCTGATGGGATGAAATATCTAGATTCAACGATATCTAAGGAAAAAGAGGCAATGTCGGAAGAGAAAGGGGAAGCTAGGGATATATATGTACATAAATATGTGGAGGTATTATGTAATACCGTAACACATGTTACCTAGCTAGCCTCACAGTTTCATTCCTTCTTCACATACATCAACACAGTCATTCCTGGAGCCGCCAGCAGTCGTACCGCGACACGGGACCTATGGAGACAGGGAATACCATTTGGTATCGAAAGCTAGGGACAGATTGAAGGGCTACAGCTCAGGTATATGACGAGTTAGAGTAACATGGTGCTGAAGGAAGGTACCTAGGCTGCTCCTGTGTTACAATGGGTCATAGCCTCATCAGTATATCGTCACGACGTATGAAAGCCCGGGCAGCTATGAACATCAAGAATATCGTAGAGTTATGCAGGTGTGAGTATAGTCGGGACATGTTTCATCCCAAGTAGCTCGTCCGCCCCGGAGTCCAAGTTCCGTCCTGATCAAAGAAGACAAGGTAGTACAAGACGGTGATGACAAGGTTCATGACTACAAGCGTGAGCACCAGGTCCCAGCCCCGGACCTTGAAGAACCTATCCTGCTGTCGCAGGGCTCGGAAGACTTGGATGCACAGCCTGTGGAGCTGGTCTAGAACGGCATTGTGTATCGTGTCCCAAGAGAAGGGGACTCTTTTCGAGGGTCCACCACCTGTCTCTTGCTGCTCTGGCATTTGCGCTCCCGCGTCTTGAGGAGAGGTCGTCGCATAGTCATCATCCTTGTTTAAACCGACGCGATCTCTTCCCAGGGAGATCAGGTACCCAATACCACCCATTACTCTCACTATCGCGATGCTCACGCCAACGATAGACAGGCAGCGCTGCACCCCAATGTTATACCGGCTGATGGCGTCATACGGGCGCTTGTTGACCGCTGTCTGGAACATAGCGGACACTACAAACCAAGGCCAGAACCCCGGAAGATTCTCCTCCGCGGGAGGCTCGATTTTCCTCAGGACGTTGCGCTGCCGGCGGCGCGGCCTGCAGACGATATATTGCGCGCAGCTCAAGCCCACCACCAAGAGGTATAATAAACTTAGTGTTTCTATGACCCGCGCCGCGACCAGGGACGGGCTTGAGTCCACCGGGAGGTTGCAGCAGACCCAAACGAAGAGGACTAGCTGGCTGACAAATGCGACGAGGAAGACGTGGGGAGAGTAGTGGTTCCCCGCGGCTTTGGCGTCGTTACCCGAACGCCAGACGTGGACCTCGAAGCCTCCTAGCTCGGTGATGAGGCGGATTGTTGTAGCGAAGAAGAAGACGGCGGCGCAGACTTGCGATACCGGGATACCGCGCATGGCGAAGACTTTCGTCGCCTGGGGGAAGACGGCAAGACAGAACATGAGGAGCTTGGACAGTATCAACCCGTGCGAAGGCCGTGGTAGAGGGTCCTCATTCGGAGAAGTGGCGTCTGTCACAGGAGATCCTGGTCGCGCTCCCGAAAATGCGGAATCTGTCGCTGTAGAACCAGTTCTCTTTCCCGAGAAGGGTTCAATCGCTGACGCACAGCCTTCCAAAGCATGATGCTGTCGACGATGCCGTCGAAAAGACAGACCCCGGGGATTGACCGGAGCAGGTCAATACTGCCCATTTCCTTGCTGATTCGATGGCTGCTTGGGGGAGGCTGGGACATCGTCGCTGTCGCCAGTGTTACTAGAACCCAGAAGACGGATTGGCCCGTCACCGGTTGAGAGCCTGCTGGCTGGGTACCTGCGTCGATGGCTGCAGTTGAGTTCATGGCGTAAGGGACTACTGATAACAGTTCTTGGATGGAGTCGCTGATTGATCGTGTCCGTTTGTATCCGAGAGAGTGAATATCGTGGCGGCGGTGGTGGTGGTGGTGTCGGTGGAAACGTCGGGCGCATCACAAGACTTGCCGTCGTCTTACATGATTACGTCATTCATGCACATTCGCCAATACTGCCCCAACACTGCCCCAACGATTCCGCCTTACCTCCTTGCCTTGGATGGTAAATTCAAACTAATAGAAAACTGTCCAGGTTGTGCCGGAGCTGGCAAATTGGCTCGCCCTTTTTCCTTAGTCACCTATCGAATTGAAATATTGTTTTTATTAATCAAGCGTTTATTATGATGGAGGGACGGAGAAGCTTGGCTGGTGGCAGTATTATCACACCCGAGACGACAGTACTGCCTTGGTGGCCTAATGTCCACTTCCATCGCAACCCGTTCGAATATGTTGTTCACGAAACTCTTCAGTATAGACATGGCGTTGTTCGAAATGTAGTTGGCCTGGACAGCCAAGAGGAGGGCGGGAACGGCGAGAAGTTGGAACTGCATGTTGCCCTGATAACTCTGTGGTTGAGGTAAAAGAGAAATGCGTATTAAGCATATAGCGTATTTGATCATAGAGTATTGGATGATTTCGTGGGTAATGGACAGATGGTGGAAACCGGAGCGGCCTGATGGTGTGAGCTTATATAAGTGCGGATGAACACTGTACCGCCTGAGACTTCGTCCCTGTTAGATTTCAAAGTGTTCTATTAAGGAGAGGAATTCCAGCTACTCTGGAGCGGCCAGAGTGGCCCTATATATCCAAGATACTAAAGGAAAGGATACGTGGCCTTATGTGGCCACGTATGTGACAGAGTCACAGATGGGGATGGTGATCCTGAAGGATGACTATGGATGGGCTAACGTAGCCCAGAATCCAACAGTCCCACGCTTTTGATCAACGTGGTGCTACGTAACATCACTGATTTGGATGTTTCACAGCTTTCGGATTATCGTGGAACTCAAAATGCTTCGCCAGGTATGGCTTTGGAACCTACATGCTTTCAAGCAAGGGGAAAAGGCATTCGCCAGTGGCCTGGTGATAATTCCTGATCGCCGAGGATAGGAGAGTGTTACCTGAATCCTCGCAAACACACTTGCTTGATGAAAGAGTGGCGTTTGAAAGACCTATGCATTGACTCAGTATACTATCACGGAGCAAGGGAACCCTAAGCATCGTTCTTCAACCCCTTAGAAGCTGGAGTCGAGCAGAACGACTCAGGGTCAAAGTATCGAGGTCAAACACTTGCGCTTACCAGCAGAGCCTGTCCGGGATCACTTCTGAATTAAGCCACAAGACCAAGTTCCTACCCAATTGATACAATCTAAAGGCGAACAGGCTGCGCCGCGACTATTGCTGGTCCAAGCCAGTGGGTACGAGTTCGGGCCTAGTGCTCCGATAGTAGCCATGGTCTTCTTGCCTACCATCAGTAGAGGGCCGCACATCGCGTGGCTTCGACTAGATCATGCTCAAAGGCTCGAAGCAAAGGTAATAGCAATTAACGTTACATTGTGTATATTTTCGAATGCCGCGTGCTCGACCTGTTCATTGTGATTGGCTGAATCCTCCCATGATCGTGCCAAGATCTCACTGTGCCGCTGTGCCGCTGAGATGCGGACGATGGATCCTCTTTCTTGCGCCGTCAGTCAAAATAGACGCTTCCAGGCCTTTGCGTCTTCGCGCCTCCTTATTGCCCTGCGACGATGGCTTCTCTGAGATCCCCAAGTCTTCCTGGTCATAATCCTCACGTCTACGCTCCTTTACCTGTGATTTAGTTGCTCGTTATCATACTCGCCCGATAACATGAAGTTCACGACTGCCGCCGCCGCTCTTCTGCCCCTGGCCTCGGCCTCGGTCTCGGCAACCGGCATGAACGCCCGCCAAGCCACCGACATGAAGTTCGAGATCAGCGATTTCTCGGCAGCCTGCACGTCCGAACGCGGCTACTGTTCATCCGTGCACCCTATCCCATACACAAACTCCTAGCGACATCATATAGACTGACAGTCAGCACAATACAGTAACCAACTCAGCATGGCCACCAGCAAGAACCCCGGACTTCCAAGTGAGCTGCGACGCACTGAGCTGGAGCGGTGACGGCAAGCTGCCTGCCGTCGGCCAGACCCAGTTTGGATCGTACACCGTCTCGGTCGCCCAGCTCGACGATGGCGGATTGGCTCTGACGGTGAAGTCGGTCAAGGAAGCGGTGGCGGGGACCTATACTGTGTCCAAGGACGACCTGAAGGCCACGACGTCGGGCGAAAGCGCGGTGCAATCATACGCGGGCGTCTCCGACTTCACTATCGATGTTGACTCAGCTTCGTCTTCGGCCTGGACTTCTTCGGTCTCGGGCATTACTGCTACGGCTGATACTCCCGTTGCCTAATCAACTTCATCTGTCTCTTCGTCTGCCTTGTCTGGTTCTACCACTGCGGCCTCTGGGGTATCAACCACAGGCACTGCGACTTCAAGCTCGGCAAGTCCCAGCGAGACGAATGGTGCGAGTCGGCAGAGCGCACTCACCAATGGCCTGTTTGCTGTTGGGCTGTTGGCGTACATTGCTATTTAGCTTTGAACAATTCAATAATGAGTACATAATGACTACGAATCGAGCCAGGAGTGGAATTTCTGAAATGACAAAAGGAGTCGGAACCATCATTCAACCCAGCCTTCCTTCCGCATCACCTCCTCCGTCCACGCCTCCAACCTCTCCGCAAGCGCCCCATCCTTCGCGTCGCCACTCAACCACTTCAGCTCCCCCCAGCGCCGGAAGATCTCATGGTACCCGCCACAGTCTTCAACCTTCATCTCCGGGCCCGCCGCGCAGAACAGGCTGGTCCACGAGCCCTTGTCGGCCGAGGATGCCATCCGCAACATGCGAATGGCCGCCTGCACAGTCGTAAACACGGCGGACTCCTTCACCGTCGTAGCGAGGTTCGTCTCGACGATACCCGGGTGCACGCACGAGACCCAGATCTCGCCCTGCCCGTTCCGTGCGCTGGGTGAGCCAGGGCCATACTTCCGGTGAAGGGTCTTGGTGTGTAGGACATTTGCTAGCTTGCTCTGTCCGTAGCGCGGCCATATCCCGCCGTCTTTAAGCGAAGTGTCTTCGAAGTTGATCCCGCCCTTGGGCGCGCCCAAGTGCCCCGAGGAAGTGAGGTTGACGATTCGCACACTCCCAGCGGGCAGCGTCTTCGCGGTCCGCAGCATCAGCGGCAGCAGACGTTCCGTTAGGACCCAGTGCGCGAGGTAGTTCGTCTGCCACTGGGCCTCGTGGCCGTCCTTGGTCAGCTCGAAGGGCGTCGCCATGATGCCGGCGTTGTTGACCAGGCCGTGCATGGCCGGTTCGAGGGCGAGGAACCGCTGGGCGGCTGCGACGACGCTGGCGAGATCCTTGAGGTCCACCTGCAGCAGGTTGATTTTGTGGGCTGAGGGGTGTGTTTTCTTGATGCTGGCGATGGCGGCTTTGCCCTTCTCTGGTGAGCGGGCGCATAGGTAGACGTGCGCGCCGTGGGCGGCTAGGTGAGCTACGGTGTGGTAGCCGCTGTGATGTCGTGAGATTAGTAATTTGGGGTCTGTGGAGAAAAGGGAGAGGTAAAGGGGGCGACTTACATGCCAGAGTTACCACCTGTGACTATGAACACTTTGCCCTTGAGATCGGGGAGCGTGTCGGGATGGAAAGTCATACTTGATTCTTCGAAACCCGCACTCGAGGCGATGTGAGAATGTGCAATGCTAAGAAAGGGGTAGCCTAATGTCTTCGACTGAGTTCATAGGTAGTGCTTGATGACACCAACAGTAGCGTCGAACATGAGGTGTTGCCGGCGCCGCCATCTTTATACTGCTTTCATTGCCCCGTGTCCGTAATTCGTGCCTCCTGAGCTGCCGAAAATCCATATGGAGCATTAGATATCGTGAGCAAGCCCCATGTGGGCATACCCCGAAGAGGACCAATAGAAGAAGGGTGATCACCCACCAAAGTCGGCCGTCAATACCGTCTTGATATCGTAAGCAAGCTGCATGTGAACATAACGCGAAGGTGAGCCAATAGGAGAATTTCTGGTAAGCGAGTGAGCCAGCTGCATGAAGGAAGCGTGGGGCATCTTGGCGTCCAGATTTAGATGCTGCAGCCCGTGACACCCTGGTTCAGCCCCATAATGTGAGCAGGCTGCATATCTAGCTTCGTCAACCCCTGCCCCTTTCCGTCTGCGCCTCGGTTGCGGAGATAGGGGACATATCAGCTCCGTGTCCTCCGCCCCGACGCGTCCAGTCAGACTTCGGTTGTCAGTTTTGTCACCGCATTGTGAGCAGGCTGCATGAACCGCACTTGTACCAAACACCACGAACCTTACCATCATGATCAGTACGTACCAGCCAGCAAGTTCAACAGCGCCATGTCGGGGCATCCAGCTCTCGTCGATGCCACAGTTGGCTGAGGTACGTTTCAGGCCGTGTTCAATACCTAGACGACGTTTGGAGACTCACCGCGCGTCCAGGCGATTAGCAAGCAGGATGACTGGACTGGGACCAATGACGCCGCAGCGCGCAGACGGGCACAGACAAGACTCAACACAAGGGCATACCGTAAGTGACGTGTCTCCTCTTCTGTCCCAGGACAAAAATCGATACCAATCCGCACAAGGGTGCCCAATCGTCGAGCCTAACCTTTCTCCAGGAAAACGCAAAGCCCTAGCAAAGAAGGAAGCCGAAGCCGAAGCATCCGGTTCTGCAACCGGGACACTCGTCAAATCAGAACCGCTGGTCGAATGCTGGGATAATGATCAGCAATCTGTCTCTACCGTCCCAGCATCCCATCTCAAACAATTATACAACGCCAAAACCCCCCTGCTACCAGCGAAACCCAGGAAAGGACAGCAGTTCAAAATAGTCTTCCCCCTCAGTCCCGACCATCTCATCACCCTCCTCCAATTCAACGTCCTCCGCGCTCTAGCCGTCAACCGCAGCCTAATCTCAGGTATCCTCGCCACGCCCCTCAACTGCGGCGAGGAAGAAGTCATCCACACCGTCCCCTACCCCAGCAAACCCCAACTCCTCCCCCCCTCCCTACTGCCCACCGCCCTGCAGCAGACGGTCCCGCACGCCGACTGGGTTGACCTGTTTCCGTGCCCCGACGCCCGCGACCGCCTGATCCGGGCCGCCGGCTCCTTCGACGAGGACGACCTGTGGGCCGATTGCATTGGTGGGCTGTACGAGGGTTTTCCGGACGACGAGGTTGAGCGCCGCGGCATTGTGGCGTGGTCGCCGCCGTGGGAAACCTCGGGCTGGGAGATGTCGGAGGGGTTTCTGGGGAAGTGGGGATGGTTGTTTGACGGGTTGCATAGGGGGGCGTGCCTGGAGGCGACGAATCGGTGGCGGGTGCAGAGGGGCGAGGAGCCGCTGGTTGATGATGGCTGCACGACACATGCGACTGTGTGATCTTTGTGTTTTTCGGTTGCTCCTTTGTTGTTTGACGAGCGGGAGGTTAAAGCTTTCAGACAGCACGACCTGTCACCGCGTTTTTTTCGGCCACCTTACCAACTACGTGTGTTAGGTAATCAAATGTTTCACTCCTATTACTCACCTTGTATAACACGTTGTATGGTGGTGAGCTTGATGTGGGGCCAACCTGCGGGGCAAACTTGACGGCGCCGGACTCTAGAAAGGTTCTTATCTTTCTAACCTTTAAGACGCATATTTCCTTGCAGCTTCATTCACTGCCCTACGAGTCTCGCAACCCTACCTTCACAGTACGCCATGTCGTCCGATCAGCCTGGTGACCCTCTTCCACCTGCGCGCTGCGAAGTCTGTCGGACGCAGAGCGGGTTATCGCAGTGCGGTGCGTGCAGAGCAGTCTCCCACTGTTCCCGCGACCACAGGTCCAGCATAGACGCGACCACAAGCAGCTGTGCGAACTCATAAAGGAGAACCGGCTCGATGTCAACGAGCAAGAACGGAAACTGCGCGCCATATCTCGACTTTCTGGCAATGCTGGCGATGTCTTTGAACAGTGGCGCGGTCGCTTCTGGAGACTGGCTGAGAGCAGACCGTATATGATAGCCCGCCAGGGTCTGGTCGACTCCTTGCTCAACATCAACACTCGCATGGCGTCCCAGGAGGCAGCTGACCATTTGTGGGACATGCTTCAGCTCGCACGCAACGATGGCATGGGTATCCGCAATCAGCTGCCTGGTCAGCTGCTAAGACTTGGCCAAGACCAGGAGGCCTACGACTTCATGAAGTGGTGGACTGTCACCGAAAACGACGATCAGCACGACGCGTCTAACATGAGCCTGCCGTATCTCGACGTCCACGGCGCCGATGTCTTCGAGCCGGTGGCGCTCTTCATCAAAGATCCGCCCATAGGAGAACTGACCCCCCGTGTCTGCGTAACCCTGATCAAGCTGCGGCTCCTCAACGACCTTGAGACTCTCCAGAAAGCCCCCGGTGCATCGCTAGAGAGCCGTCGGGAAAGCGTAGGTCCCATCGTCAAGAAGCGAGAGGACATCTTGAACCGAGACGACCAAGGACCTTATATCGAAGAACTGAAGACACAGATCAAGGCACTATATGAGTCTGTCAAGCAGTCGAACAACTACTTCTGGCCGGCTCTCTGCAGCCCTGCAAAGACCATGAACCAGCCTCTCCCGGGTAGCTTTTCCCCCGGATCGCCGCAAGAAGCACATGTCATGTTGCGGTATAATGTCGACAGCTGGTACGAGACGAAGGGGACGACGCGCCCTATTAAGGTCTTGATGCGGGGAACATATTGATACAAGTTCGATGACTGCGTTGGCATGGAGTGTGAGTCAGAAATGAAAACTTATTACGCGAATTCTGACGTGACTTCGCCGATATTAAGCACCGATTGACATGCGCAGTCTGCTACAGGGGACACAGACTAGAATGAATTTGAATACCAACACTGATTCATTCGTTTTTGGCATTTTTCCCTGTTGGCGCATCAGCTTCCGGTGGTTCCTTGGTTCTGCATGGCCGTTCACCCTTGCAACAGGTTGAATTCACGACACAAGCAACGGTGCCTCACTCACTCCCAATACCATATGAATTCACCACTGCAGCAATTGTTGCGTCCTGCAAAGCCTCTGAGCCAGAGTACCATACCCTATCCCTCGTCGCAAGGCCTGCCCATCACAGGGCCACACTGCAAATCCGCCAACCATGCTGCGACGATGAGGACGACGACCGCCCGTCCTCGAGGGCTTCTTTGCGCACCTCAGAACCAATCATACACAAGAACACGGCACGAAATGCACGATAAAATCGAGGCTACGCCGCGGCCCTACGCAAACTATGGGGCGACGCACCCAGGAGACAAAAGTGAAGTTCCCAACGGTCACGGGACCTGGGGATGCCCTACCTGGCTGGCCTTGGGGGGGCTTCGAAGGGACATCTAAAAGGTACTCCGTGCGTTGCCAGCCAGCCAGGGAGCCCTGGAAAGACCAGGAGCCAGCCAGCCAGCTTACATGCCCCGCACCAATCAAATCGCAAGGCTTAACGCAGGAAGAGGAATGGGTGCCGTTTCGTTCTTCCACTTCGTTCTAGAACTTCACTTCCGTAAACAACCGTCTCAGAACTAAGGACGAGTGCACTACTTCTTAGCTGTGTCAGTACCAACCCCACCACCCTTAGCGAGGTACCGCTTATTACATGTAAGGGCAAACATTCTAGGTTAAGCCGCGTCTTAATAACCCGCGGGTATTTTAGTCCACTGTTAATAACACGGGAAAGTATAAACTAATAAAGCTTTTATATTATTTATATCTTTTAATATAAGGTAATATACCTTTTATTTTAACATTTCATTATTACCGGGTTTTTAAAGTGTAAAAACGATGTTAAATACATGTAATAAGTTAAAATAAAAAAGTAATAATTGATGTTTTAATTTTAATTTTAAAACAAAAATTCTTATTTTCATATGTCTCCAAAGGCCTTTTAATACTGTTGTATTTAATATTAAAAAACTTGTTAAATTACACTTGAATAAGTAAATAAATAAATACTTTTTGTCACGGCGAGCATACTGGCGAGCTGGGACATGGCCTGCAGCAAGCAGATATTACTCTATTAACAAAAATATCAAGAGGTTGGTGCGATAGTTATAACAATAAAACAAAGAAATTAAATATAAAAGAAATTGAGGAAAGAAAGAGAGAGAGAGATAGGTACAGCGGGAGGTTGCCCCTTTAAGGGGATCCTCTGGTCAGATCTTTTCCCTATTGGGAAGTATCCGCTTGTCATGTGGGAAGGTCTGTGCAGGCCGTCACAAGATTTGTTATTTAATTATAACGTTTCTAATACTCTTTTTCAAATGTTAAAAAAAACCATTTCTGTGACCGCCTGCACAGACCTTCCCACATGACGAGCCGATACTTCCCAATAAGGGAAGGATCTGATCAGAGGATCCCCTTAAAGGGGCGACCTCCCACTGTACCTATCTCTCTCTCTCTCTCTCTTCCTTTCCTCTCTAGTCTTGATATTCTCGTCAATAGAGTAATAGCTGGTTGCTGCAGGCCATGTCCAAGCTCCCCAGTATGCTCGCCGTAACAAATCTTATGAAAAAGACTTTAAAAACGGATTTTTAAGATAAAAAAATGCCTCATTATTAAAAGTACATTTTGCTGATATTATAAAAACAAGTATTAAGTAGAAATATTTAAATATATAGTATAACTTTACCTAAAAAGCTTACAAAGATTTTAATAAGTCAAACTATTAAAAAACTTACTAAGGTTTAAATGTAAAGTAAGATTATTATAAATTAAAAAAATTTAATTTAATAAGTAAACTTTTTTTACCTTAATCTTTGTATTACTTGCAGCTATTATAACTATACCGTGTTTACGTTAACCCGAGGATAAGAAAACATATGTTAACTCGATATAATAAAGACTAATATTCAGAAGCGCTTTATTAAAAAGTATAAAAGGCGGGTATATAAGTTCCAATATATTAAAAGTTAATATATACGCGGTAAGTAATTAAATAACATAATAGTTCTAAAAAGATTAATTATTCTCAGGAGTAACATTAATTTTAGCCTTATACAGCAGTAAAATTTATTTTTGGTTAAAGATATATTAAAAGTATTCCTAAGCTTAATAAAGATTATTTTTAATTCTAAGAGTTATATAAGTTAATCTTAAGTTTATAAGTAATCAATCATTAAACAGTTGAATAGGTTATTTGTTGGATCCATGCGATTCCAGCCTGTAAACCACCTATACCAGGACCCACATGTATGATTAGATAAGTGATTAGATACCGGATTGCGAGGTCACTTAGCCAGACCTTCAGGTCCAGCTAGACCTCCCAATCCAACCATCAGCAACATCATGACCTTGACCCCATACTCGAGTATTATCATTGATCGTTCAAGCCTGTTCCAACATTATTAATAGTTATATTTTTAAATGCGGATGTTATTATAACTTAAAAAAACATTGCGATCAAATATTATAATCAAATCAGGTTCAGTTCTCTTTATTTTAATCTATTTAAAATAAATAATGCTTTATTAAATGCGACAATAATTCAACGCGTTATTAGGAAATAAGTTAGTTTAAAACGTATTTATAAAAATGTAAAAAAACGAAAATACAGTTATATTAATTATAACCGGGGTTATTCAAAAATAGTACGGTAGTAAAAATGTTAATATTTAAGCCTTATAACGTAGTTATTAATATTAAGCTCTATTAAATTAAAAATGCTATGATTTTAAAAAATAGCCAAGTAAGTAATCAAACATATTTAAACATATTTTTTGGTATTTATATTCTTTAATTAATTTAAAAAGAATTGATTAATTTTTAACTACCTTAAACAAAGAGACGGGGAGTGCGCTGCCTATTTCGGCATGTTCTGCCTCCAAGTCCGGCAGTGCATTTGCCAGCGATCCAACGCCGCTTTAAGCTGCATACCCCACTATGCCCCACCATGCCAATGGGCGTTGTACTTCGATGTATCGTTCAAAGTACATCATGACCCAAATCCTGGACTCTTATTCAGTTCGGTATCTAGCGCCAATGCTGTTGTTCTTTCCCTTCTCTTGCTTGCTCGGCCTGTTAGCAGCATAACCAGAGATGGCCCATATATTCCTTTTAAATACCAGCTCTCTCGCTCCAGTTGGTCAACAATATTTTTGCGTTTTCTCTTCCTCTTTACCTCCAGTTGAGTGAGCGCAACCTCTTCTGATGAACTGCACTTATTATGATCGAGTATCCCTTACAGCGTTACTAGCATGGCCCGTCAACGCGTCCCCAATGACCCATGCAACTCACAAGTCACCGACGACCTGTACGAGACAGACGCATCTTTCTCCGCAGTAGGGGATGCGGATGCTGATGACCTCCTTGATGTAGACGAGGATGTATCCAGCCCAGAGAGCGACGTGACGGACGTAGAGGACTTCAGTGATGACAATTCCAATGTTGCAGATCAAGTTCACCTCTTCGAAGGGAATGTTCATCCGCCGAAATACTACCAGAAGGCGCTACGAGAGTTCAATGAGAGTGCTTTTGACAGCGGAAATTACAGTCTTGGAAGCACAGTGCTACTTGACGCAATCGAGAAGCAGTGGCGGACATAAGTCATTCTAGTTCTTTATTTCTTCTTATACTAATGATATTTTTCTGGCAGGTTCTGCACCGACATAGTGGGACGGGATCCCCAGACTTGCTTTGAGTCTATTGATATCTGTCTCCTCTACAACTTTTTTGATTGATCCTTGAACCAAATGGTTGGCAATAATGGACAGAAAAGAAGGGGAACGAAGAAGAGCAGTTCACTAGGCACAAATTAGAAGGTCTTTCGTCTTATATACGAGACGGCCATGGGTGCGAAGCTTGATCCGAAATTGAATCGCAACATGCATATGGTAAGTAGGAATTTGATAACCCATCAAAGACCTATTTCTAATATTTTCTTTTAGGTCTTGAGATCATTAGCAAAGAAACACAAACTGAGCGACCAAAAGAGGGAAAACCGCTGTATGACTATTGACGACCTCAAAGCACAGATTGAAGCAACACTGAGCATGACAAGGAAGTTGTTTGACCTCGGGGAGCTCTGGATTCTTACTGTTTTATTTCTTCTCTTTCTGGCTCCTACGAGCTCGCGCCTGAAATCCATCTTGCGGCTGCGATTTGGAGATATTTAGGTTGTATTAGCGAGAGATCTGGACAGCGGGCCACACAAGCTTTTGATCAAGTTTACTCTCGAGTTTACTAAGACGTATCTTGGGACAAAAGATGCGTAAGTGTTTTATCCTGGCAACCTGAGGCTCTTTGATATTAATACCACGGGTGCTTTAGTAAGACGTTCACGATCCCTGAAACCATGTTTGATCCATCTTTGCTTCTCAGCCCTCATGTCTTCCTCCTTGGCATCTTGTTCCAACATCAAGCTTTCCGGGCTTCTAGCCTTGTCTGTCCTCGCTATCTAGACGATCTTGATATCCACCCCGGTGAGAAGGAGTTGCCTTTGCCACTCAGAGACGACCTTAAAGACGTATGCATATTCCGCCGAGTCATTACAACCGCTACCGGGCTGCAGATATCACAGGCGGAACCCATCACATATGGCATGATGTCGGGGTGGATTAAGAGGATTGGAGAGATTCTAGGCCTCCAATACCCAACTATCGCATATTCGTTGCGCTATAATGCAGGCAACGAATTGAACCAGAGCCGTACGTTCTATCTTTACTTCCAAGGAATCTATTGTGCTGACGTTCCAATGCAGCCGACGTTAGTGAAGCACTCCGTAACCTGACTCTAGACCACGCCAACTCGACCCCTTTTCAAAAGCATTACCTCGGTTGCGCTGTTTGCGCAGACCTGTGGGGAGTTCTTTGCGGCCAGAAGCCGCAACAAGCACTATTAAAATAATCCTGTAGTATTGGTCATTTGATGAGTAAGCGGCCGCCAGTAGATATTACTCCTGGGCAAGCGGCGTCCGTTAACACAGATCCCAACGTGAGGCGGCTTACAAGACAACTCAAGAACCTACGACTAGGGACAAAACAGCAGATCAATGCGCAGCAGGAACTTTGAAATCTAAAGCAGAGGCTGAAGAGGTTGTTCCTCTAGAAGATCCGAGAAGACTGGAGACGAGCAGGCCATAGATGACATCGAACACTAATTGCAAGGCGTCGCATTCACCAAGCCCGTACCGGTATACATAACCCATCGTCCGCAACTTCCAGCGCAGAAACGACTAGTTAAGGCCCTGACTGCGCCTGTCGACCCTACTCTTCAAGGCCAATATTGACAAAGGGGCAATGCCATCAATGCAATCATTACCTATTATAGCGTTGAGGAAGGACAAACTTCATGTCGCAAATTCACCTTGCCGACCAAAGAAGCACAATCCAGACCTACGCATTGGCCCCCGGAGGATAACCCCGTTTCTATTGCTAGGCTGTCTGTGTTTGTCCGTAATGACAGAGAAAGACCTAGGAGATGCTTCTTATGTATTGGAGCCGCGCTTCCTCTTGAGCCTGATGACCCTTGTATAGAAGATCTCACGCATGAATTCTGCACCCCCGGAGACCTGACAAAGCACTTTAAGCGGAAATATTTATCCCTTTTGGCGTAAGATTCGACACCAGAATGTAAAGTCTGCGACTTCACACTGTCTTTTAAGATGCATTTACAAAACCATGCCTTGCGAGTTCACAGCACTGTGTCATAGGGGCTTTCATGTATCCAAATGTAGTAAAGCTGGGAATTAAGTAATGGGGACATACAGGTGATACGGGGTCTTGGAAACAGCGGATAATAACTTGGATTTACCAAAATGCGTCTTATTAGATATAGTCCTACTGGACGATTTTGAAGATACATTATATTATGTATATGTAAGGTTCTTTGTCAATCTTGTGTTTTCTATCAGTATGCTAATGGCTCGGTTCACCTGACCCGCCTCGCCCAACACCGGCTACCTGATCAAGACGCCTGCTCAATCCAGAATCCGGGCACCGCATGCTTGTCCAGACACCGCCTGCTTAACTCAGACACCGCCTGCTAAGTCCAGACACCGCCTGCTTAACTCAGACACCGCCTGCTAAGATCGGACACCGCCTGCTAAGATCGGACACCGCCTTTAAATCAGATGAGTAAGGAGTAGGCAAATCTAGTAGGCGGTGAATAAGCAGAGTAGGCGCTAAGTAAGAGGGCAGGCAGGCGGTGAGAAGAACAAGCAGGCGGTGAGTGAATGGGTAGGCGGTGAGATAGATGGGTAGGCGGTAAGAGACAAGGGCAGGCGATAAAAAAAAAGGGCAGGCGGTGAGCTGTAGGTAGGAATGGGGCGGGGTTTAGGTAGCTGGCCACACCGACATGGTATGGGGTCCACGCTTCCTTCATCTGGTACGTGCGTAAATTTGCGTTACGTGTCATTATCCTCTCGCGTATCGCCACTCTCGCGCGTGACACTGCCCGTCTCGTAACCTCGAGTCCTTGGCTAGATACTGTCAAGTAGGTATATATCCTTCATTCCTCAATCTATGTGATACTTTGAGGTACGACTCCTCACACGCCTTCACCCATACTTCACAGTGACAAGCTACCAGTATAATCAACACAGCCACCGCCACCGATTCGGCGCCGTCTTTCACACCGATTTAATACCGCCCGTACTCCATCATGAGCTCCGCGAATTATCGAGTTGCGCAGGTCAAGCTTATAGCATTGGCTCGCTGCCCTGGATGTGCGAAAGACCATGTCCTCGCCGGCCAACCCAGCCATCGATCGGGACTCCCGACTGGGAGCAAACGACTGTTTTTCCCCACAATTGATTCATCCTTTGTCTCGGTACAGCCAAGTACTCAAACCGCTGACAACCCATACCTACGCGCCTGCACACCTAAATCCTACACTGCGTCTGCCAATGCTACAGAAATGGCATCCAAAGCTGCGCTATCAGAATGCTTTGACACGAAGCCCAGGGCATGCATGCACTCTCCCTTGCTGCCTCCTTTCATCCTACGCATCACGCAATGCGACACGAGCTGACTCGTTCTCAGGTCAACGGGGAGAAGCTTTCCGCCAGTGTGGGCTGAAGGACGCTGCCGCTGCCCGAGCTCACTACGAACCATTCCTCAAGCCCGATGGCACCGATACATTCCTGTACATTCCTGACCGACCGGGAGAATCCCCACGGTAGTGAGGGCCCTTCCCAACAAACCGAAGCCAAGCATGTCTCCCTTATCGGCCCATCATGCGTTCAAGAGGATGAATGCAGCTACACCGACAGCTGTTTTGCCAGCGACCTGTACGATATAGAGGACAGCGAGGTTTGCTGCATACTCGGGAAATGCTCGCAAACCGTACAGGGACGGAACTGACCAATGCTAGCTGAAAGGGGTAAGAGAACAAACTGGCGTTAGACACCCGACCAGTGGATAAGGCCAGGTGATGTTTGCGCATACCAGCTGAGCTTCATGCGAGAATCGAGGATCCCAACTGGGACCCCAAGACCCAGACGCTGACCTACGCGGCGGTGCCCAACGCGAAAGCCAGCCGCCATGTCTTCATCATATCCTTCCAGTCCGTCCGGGCCTTGGCGGACCTGTAGAACGTATATGCGCCTTACCCAGGCAGGTAAGAAACCCGGCATCCGCAAATAGCTTCCTGCCGCGCATTATTGTGATGGATGAGTACCACAAGTACAAGCAAGGGAGTGAAACCAACTTGCCGAAGGTCTTGCAGTATGTGCACAACCTCTCGTAGGAGACTCAAGAGCCCGTGTGGCTGCTGGCTGTGTCCGGAACGCCGACCCCAATAGGACCGCGCGACATGACGCTGCCGACCAACTCCGTGTGGGATCAACTTACTCGGGAGCCGAGCGAACCGGACTACGACCCCCTCCAACCAGACCGTCGAGCAACTCAACGCCATGGAATTGTCGTGAGAGCTTAGATACTGCGCCTAGCTGGTACAGACTCTACTTGCAACCATGATGGAAGAGGTGACCAGGTAATGGGAAAGAACTAGAGGTATTAGCAAAAAGCCGACCGTCGAACTTTTGTTCCGCGCAGGTGCCCGGGCCCACTCGGACGGCAAGGAGATGTTGCACATGGTTTGGGAGGGCCTTCCACGTCATGGAGATAGCCGCCACGCTGCCGCCGATCGCCAGCCTATGGCAGCAGGACGCCGGCATATACGAGCAGTTACTTTCGGAAGGTCGACGCTGTAGGGCCCAGTACTATGGAGTAAACCCGCCAGGTCCTACAATCTCTCCTAGTAACACTGCCAACTCTAACAAGTTGCCTCGGTCTACCGTATCGTATGGCACAGAGGCCCATTTATGCACTATTGGATGCATGAAGTAGCTTTTGTGGGTAGACGGCAGGGTATGGATCATCAAAAAGCGAGTCAGAAGCGTGGTGGAGCTGAGAATCCAATCTTACCAGGAATTGTATGAATTCACACGGGCCACTTGGTCTGTTCATCTCGAACGGTGTTCAGCACTCGTTTGTATTGTCAATAAAAACCAAAAGATGGAGAAGGTTCGCAGCGTCTTTGTTTTACTTCTCTATTGTGTTGATTGAGGCTGTCCATGTGATCCAGACACTTCCCTGTCCATAGTACAATGTCGAGGAGCCAGAGTGGTGGTCTGTTTCTATTGAATGCTTCCGCTGACATTCATAGATTGAAACGTCGACAGTATCACACAGCTCTGGGAAGCGATCCTTGAAGTGATATAAGATGTCACAAACCACATCTACGCTTTCTTACTATGCTTCCTGTGATGTTATGACAATAAAGGCCGTGCATGTGGTGAGTTTGCATGAGAGCTGAGAGAAGATCTTGGAGAGGGACGTAGTGGGTGCTTAAATCGGCTTTGATGTTACTGTATATAGAGAAAAACGCAAAGAGACAATCTCAACAATATGGTTGATAAAGGACAAAGGATTCAAATTTAAAACTAGTTCATTATGTCTTCACGCCTTTCAAAGCGGACGATTGACATAAATTGAGTTCTTTCCTTATATCCCTCTTTTATAAAGGTAGTAAAATATAGAAGTAGTTAAAAAGGTGTGCCAAAAATCAGGTTTCGATTAGCGCTTTGGGAGCCTTTCTGTAGAAAATCTCATAATAAGAACCCTTCCTGAAGAGCACCCAACTACTACGGTTGAGCGAAACACTGCTACAGAATGCGATCGACGATTTGCTGGTAGCCAAAGAAGGTTATTCCCGTCTAAAGTTATCCAGTCCCTATCGCTGCTAACGCCATAGCCGTAAAGTATTTGATCATGAGAGAGCAAGGTTTTACCAGATGCGGAAGTCGTCATATGTTGTTGTGAACCATCAAGGGAGATAGCACCCGCATCGGTTTGAAGAGAAAGGCCGTCGGGCGAGAACATGACCGACCAGACCGAGCCGCCGTGGCCCTCGAGCGTCTGCTGCAGCGCCCCCGTCTCGGCCGACCAGAGCCGGACCGTCCTGTCGTGCGACCCCGACGCCACGAGCCGCGAGTCGGGCGAGAACGCGACCGAGCTGACCGTGCCGCCGTGGCCCTCGAGCGTCTGCTGCAGTGCCCCCGTCTCGGCCGACCAGAGCCGGACCGTCCTGTCGTGCGACCCCGACGCCACGAGCCGCGAGTCGGGCGAGAACGCGACCGAGCTGACTGAGCTGTCGTGGCCCTCGAGCGTCTGCTGCAGTGCCCCCGTCTCGGCCGACCAGAGCCGGACCGTCCTGTCGACCGACCCCGACGCCACGAGCCGCGAGTCGGGCAAGAACGCGACCGAGCTGACCGTGCCGCCGTGGCCCTCGAGCGTCTGCTGCAGCGCCCCCGTCTCGGCCGACCAGAGCCGGACCGTCCTGTCGTGCGACCCCGACGCCACGAGCCGCGAGTCGGGCGAGAACGCGACCGAGCTGACCCTGCCGCCGTGGCCCTCGAGCGTCTGCTGCAGCGCCCCCGTCTCGGCCGACCAGAGCCGGACCGTCTTGTCGTGCGACCCTGACGCCACGAGCCGCGAGTCGGGCGAGAACGTGACCGAGCTGACCCAGTCGCCGTGGCCCTCGAGCGTCTGTTGCAGCGCCCCCGTCTCGGCCGACCAGAGCCGGACCGTCTTGTCGTGCGACCCTGACGCCACGAGCCGCGAGTCGGGCGAGAACGCGACCGAGCTGACCCAGTCGCCGTGGCCCTTGAGCGTCTGTTGCAGCGCTCCCGTCTCGGCCGACCAGAGCCGGACCGTCTTGTCGTGCGACCCCGACGCCACGAGCCGCGAGTCGGGCGAGAACGCGACCGAGCTGACCCAGTCGCCGTGGCCCTTGAGCGTCTGCTGTAGCGCTCCCGTCTCGGCCGACCAGAGCCGGACCGTCCTGTCGACCGACCCCGACGCCACGAGCCGCGAGTCGGGCGAGAACGCGACCGAGCTGACCGAGCCGCCGTGGCCCTCGAGCGTCTGCTGCAGCACCCCCGTCTCGGCCGACCAGAGCCGGACCGTCCTGTCGACCGACCCCGACGCCACGAGCCGCGAGTCGGGCGAGAACGCGACCGACCAGACCGTGCCGCCGTGGCCCTCGAGCGTCTGCAGGCACGTGTCCCACTGCGCTTCCACTTTTGGGAGAAGAGATATCCATTGAGGAAGTTCCAGTTGGAAGATAGTACGTATGATACTATTTGCTGGTGCAAAAACCAGTGCTGAGCAGTATGTTTGGAGAGGCCATGATGATATCAACGACATGTTTGCAAGAATAAAGCGTGCTGCATCCGTAAGAAACATTAACGTCTCTATGCTAGTCTTTGCCTAAACCAGATTAGTAACAACCCTAATAGAATTAGGAATATTATATTTAACGAACCTGAGAAAGTGACTGCAACACCTTGATATTCTGAAGAATTTCTGTGGCCTTTCCCATTAGGCTCAATGTTTCCGTCCAGTGAAGAAAGTGCTGCCTTAAGAAGTCGTGGACTGGACCACCATCATGTACTTGGTCGCCGGCTCGCTCAGCATGGAAGATCCAGTATTGGCATGCATATTGAAGTTCTGGCGGTAGGTTGCTGTTTATTGTCCGAGATTCAATAGATGCTTGCGGAGTTCCCGGCCACTGTACTTTGCATATGTCTGTCTGGAGATTCTCGTTCATTATTCGTAGACACTGCGTTACCAGCTGCTTGTGAGTCTTCTTCTCGTCCACCCAGAACAGACTTTGACGCTTTGCCGGGTCCAAAAGGAAGTCGCGAAATGAGAGGTGGAATAGTCGTACAGGTGAGGTTGAGGACGAAGGGATGCTAAGCACCGAATGAAGCAGGTCTAACCTAGCATCAATAATGTCTTGTGCCACATTAAGCATTCTCGCCAATGCTGAAGTTGATAGGGGGCTCGCGAGGATAGCGATTGAGCCTACGATATTTTGAAACTCGCGTATGGCCTCATCTCTCTCCCGAATAGAACAACCTGCAACCATTTGGTTCAGAACAGGCAAGTAGGTCCCATCCAACTTGGATTCTTGACGTGTGGTTCGGTGCACCAGGACCTTGTGAAGCTTTCTGGCAGGGTTGCCACCGTTACGATCGGCAAGAAAACGGCATGTCGTTGCAGCGAAGATGAAGAGAGGAATCGCCATTTCCACCAGTTTTTGAATTTCCGATTGTTGAGGCCACTTGGGCGGCAGTTGTCGCTCTGTTGACACGGACTGATTATAATCGTCCCTGATCCTCGCCAGCTCGTACTTGAAATACGCAGATAAATCATGCCGCATCACTGGCTGGGGCATTTCATGTAAGGCCAGGTCTTGGTAGGTTCCCTTGATGTCGCTGAAACCAAGACGAATAGGTAATTCGGGCCTGCTTGTTATAAATATTCGTAGTTGCGGACATTGTGAAGCGTTAGCGCGAGAAAACAGATGGATAATAAGTTTGACGTCTCTGTCTGATTCGCATTCGTCGAGGGCGTCGATTACGAAAACAAGGGTGTTAGATTTCCCAGTATCTTGGGGAATCTTTGACAGAGGTTCAAGGATAAGCTTTTCGAACTGTTCTCGAAGTGTTTTGCTAAAGATATCAGGGTCGGTGTCGATAACATCCTTGACGTGCGAGGCAAGTGCTGGCTTTTTCTTGATCAGCTGTGCAGCCAGCGTAGTGAAAAACTTGGATACCCCTCCGCGATCGCCTTCACCCCTCTTGAAAAAGAAGCTAGCGCCAAGGTAACCGTCCTTGGAAATAGAGGCTGCCAAGGTGCGTGATATGGTTGACTTGCCAGTACCGGCCCTGCCGTTCAGCCAGAACACGGCTTCTGCTCGAGTGTTCTTCGCCCATTCCGATATCGCACGTAAGAGGCCGACTCTTGTATCTGGATGGCAGGTTGGATTGTGTTCTTCGGCGTGGGAATCGAAGGCTGCTCCTTGAACGACGGGGACTTTGTCAAGCACCGACTTCTGGGAAATGAGATAGATGGTCAGCCAAATCGCAATAGCAGTAAGCCGTTTAAATACCAGTTTTCTACACTTACCAAAGACGAATCAATCTTTTTTCGCAGTCGAATGAGAGCCTTGTCCTCTCCCTCGCCATAGATGAGCGGCATATGAACATTAAATATACCCATAAGGGAGTAGGCCTTGTCTTCTGGACGTTTTGTCTCCCGGCCTCTGGACCATGTCATTCGCTCATCGATGCTGAAATCAGGCAGCGGACCGTTTCGAAGAGCATTGGCTGGGATCCCTGTTATATCATAAAGCAGTACTTCTAGCGATGCCTTGTCACCTAGTCGCTGATTGTCTGATCCGAAGAACTCCACTGACGACGGTGCAATTAGCTCTTGAAGCGTCCAGCCCCGTGTAAACCATCGGCTATTTCGGAAACCCGACTTCCACACTGGTCGTGACAGTTCATCGACTTGTAGATTGACACTCTTGGAGACATCGGACAGGTAAACGTAGCATCTTGTCGCATATTGGTACCAGCGAAACATGGAGTTGATAGCCTCATTGAGTTCGGTGCTGTTGGATTTGTCGATACAGCAAGTATCCACCCAGGAGTAATCCAAGTTGTCCTGGGCAGCCTGCTTGCAGCAAAACTCAATCTTCTTATAGCCGCGTTGGCTCCTTCCTGTTCCTTTTGTGATGCCTTGGAAGGTAACCTCATCTTCATCGTCGCCCCACGTGTGCGAAAGTATGGCATATGGAGGTATGTTGTTCACCAGGTCTTTAGTCAGGCGAATGCTTCCGTCATTTTCGAGTTTGAGTAGACGCATGGTGAAGAAGCTATGCCGTGATGTAGAGACGAGAGATATTTGGATGACGGTGATTACGCCGTTGCCAACATGCAGAAGGGTCAGGGCCGTCAGGTGGCGAGGCCGAGAAGCGAGGGTTGATAGCTAGACAACATCGTTCCAAGTTGGTGGATAATGTGTGATACAAGACAATCGATGTAGTGCTCGGGTGGCTGTCCGTCTGGGTATGTCTGGTGTGTATCTGGTGTGTATCTGTTCCTGGAAAGTCTTTGGTGGTGATTCGACCCCGGACAGGGCGGCACTGCCCCTCATTTCAGCCGTCCTTGACGAGGCTACACCGGTCACGAGACCTGCAGGCCTTCCCAATCCGGCTCTTCTGCGTGAGAGCAGTCAGCGGAGCGGAGCTGGGCTGCCTGTTAGATAGGTGCCGGAGATAGACACCGGGAATAATCTCCAGGTGGGCGGAAACGCACACCTACCCAGAGGTCCGACATCATAGTATCCTGCCCTCTGGAGAAGAAAAAAGAAGAGGACAGAGAAGAACCATACGTGGGAAATGTCAACCGCGCTTTATCTTCAAATCTCCACGGGTCACAGCCGCCTGTCACGGCAAGAGGTAGCACTCCCAATCTTTACAGACGGTAGCCCATTCCGTCTGAAATAAATCGTAATGAGCGATAGAATTGGCGTACCGTTGGTAATGGTATCTCGGAGCTGGAGATGGCGGCGGGTGTTGATGATTAGGTCAGCCTTGCACAGACAGATCGGGCTAAGATTCAACGACCCCGCATCACCCACTTTATACCCGTACCTACCCCTACGCCCCAGAGCCACCAGAGGCCTGAGCACAGCCCCAGCCAGCGAGTGCTCTCGTGCTTCAGCCAGTGAATCACACCCAGCAAGCGAATCTAATCATCACAATTAACTCCTTCTCCAGCACCCACACCCCAGCGCTCACACCACGCGCCCAGACACGTACATACAACACTGCGCCTGCCAACGCAGCATATATGGCATCCGAAGCTGCGACATTCGACCCGATTACCATGCGCGACATGGCGGCCTCGTCAAGCTCTAGGAATGCTTTGACACGAAGCCCAAGGTATGCACTCCCATTCGACGTTACCCTTCTTCATTTCGCGCATGGCGCCATATGATACGAGCTAACTCATCCCCGGGTCACCTGGGAGAAGCTTGCTGCCAGAGCCGGCTTCAAGGACGCTGCCGCAGCCAGAGCTCACTACAAAACATTCCTTAAGCCCAACGGCCCCAATACCTCCCCGACCACCCGAGGAAATCCCACGACATCGAGCACCGTCTCGTGCGAACCGATGCCTGGCATGACGTCAAAAGGGAAGAGAGTAGCTATACTGATAGCTCTTTCGCCAACGACGTATACGATATGGAGGACGGTGAGGTCTGATGCATACTCGGGAAATGCTCGCACATCATCCAGGCACGGATTCATAGTTCGATAGCCCAATTAGGAAATGCATACGATCATTTGGATCGGAGACGGGGCAAGAAAATACATTTGGGTTTCCCAGTACGCTTATATCCACCACTTTCCCTATCTATTCGTTCGTTATTCGCTCTTGATGCCAATGTGGCAGACGCGCTCAAAGAAATCGCCGATGGCAACCCCACGCTCCCTACTTGGAGTCGCCTGTAGCTGCCGCTCCAGAAGGTCGATGCCTAATGACGGCAACAGACCGAACAAACCACCAGTCTAGAGTCCCGGACCAGGGGAGTTGCAGCCAGCGCTCTGACTGGCCCAGTGGTGGTAATGGTCCAGCATCCACGGTCACTCTCACTACCCGTCTCTCGCCTTGGCACCGCACAGCAGCCATGTGCAGATGCGTACTGCACACCCGAAGCGGGCTTCCCATCCAGTCCAGGCGGCACATGCCCAGGCAGGCTCGATTGCTATCTTCGTAGCGTACCATCATTCCACCAATGTAGCATCGGCTGTCTTTGTCCTGACCGCGTTCAATACAAGGTGTGATCTCGACAATGCCATCCAAGGCGCAGGATGAGTAGTGATGGCAGGGACTAGGAGACCTCTCCAAGACTGGAGCAGGGCATGGGTCAAACCCAGTCTTGAAGATAAAAGTGGCAAAGTCAGCATAGCTGCCCGTCGAAATACCGCCTGATGATAGGTTCCTCGTCTTCGTCTGAAGTTGACATTGTGATCGAGGTAGGTGTAAGAAAGGTCAATCAAATTGGGTTGCTCGTGGTAGATGTGGAAACGATGGATGAACTGGGTTGCTGGCTGTGCTTTTACATACTGCAGGATTGGATCCCTCGGCGGTAGCTACCAGGACCTCCGTGTTTGCTCCATCGGCTACCTGCCGACCCATGACGCGTTGGAAATACAGGACCAACCAATGAAATAAACATGGCCGTAGCTGCCGCCTGGTGTCATCTTCCCTCATTGTGAGACTCTTGCTCACGAGTAAGAGATGAGAACAAGAAGACGAAGATCAGAAAACCTCAGGGTTCTTGGCCACGTACACGTGCCTCTCAGCTATTAGGTAACGAATACCATCCTTCCTGTGCCACTTGTCTCTAGTCGAGGTCGTGTGCCGATCCTTGTGGTCACGGTATGTGTACTCTGTAGCCCTCAACTTATGGGCTTCTCTCTTCACTGTGCAGTAGACGCGCCTGTTGTTCCACTCGAGACTGGCTGGTGCCTTCCCGCCAGTCCATCTGGGTGGGGCTGAATACCCCGCCTCCTGGCTCGCCGGCATGGGGTCCTCTTGGTAGCCTGCAGCAGCTGGAGGCAGTGCAGCCTGGGTCCCCACTCCATGTTCTTCTACAGAACCCCCCGAGCCCTCTTCCCATGCGTCGGGGAAGGATGATGCCTGCCGGTTTAAAACGACGGGGGGTTCCGAAGTGCAGGCAGCGACGAAATTTTTGAAGATGGCACTGCCATAACTACGCGTTGAGAGGGGCAATGTTAGGCTGTTCTGAATCGGCTTCACTTACATAGACGAGTTGCATCCACGTTAATATTAACAGGTCTCGACCCCTTCTCACACGGGCATGAAACCTATGTTCAGCCTTAAATGACATAACTTTATCATAGTTGACTGCCTAAGGATTTGTAACTATTTGTTTCCTTGTCGGCTTACTGTTTCTATAACTCTCATCTGATGTTTATATGCTTGCTTTTGCCTACGCACTTGGGACATAATAGGTGATTGTAATTAGATATATAGGTTGCAAGGCACGGTGCACAATAATCGTCGACGTGCGGTCCTGGTCTTGTCTTGGAGCGTCGGTAGCGGCGTGTATTTAATTGGTAGGCCTATGACGGCTCAGCGAACAGTGGGAAATGGTAATGCGACCTAGTGCATTCAGTGTCTGGTTTGGGTGAATGTTCTTGTGCAATTTGGTGCCAGAGGGGGCTGGACCGGGAGGGACAACTAGGTTCCGTTGTCCACCTACCCCGCCATCCCCACCATTCCCACCATCCCTATCGTCCCCATCATCCTCATCATCCTCATCATCCCAACCGTCCCCATCATGCTGGAGTATAGTCCGTTTGATGCACTCGAGATTCCTCTCGATGTTTATAACGCCAGAGCCTAGAATAGGATTTATTTCAGGCGTGCAGGCTTCCAAGGTTACGATATTCTCCATCTCGATCCTGACCTTGCCGAATATGGGACCTGCGAATCTAGCTTCCACAGTAGCAACGTCCCTCCTATAGGACATACGGATACAAGCCAGCAATTTGCTTGAACGTACCACACACCGACGCCACCCAGGGGCATCCCTCTGGTTCCGCCTCTAGAAAAAGCAGTCTATAGATTCAATCACGCCAGTCAATAACCCCTTCGACTAGCAAAGCACTTGAGATAGTACATTAATGCTTCACCCATACCTTGGCGCATTTTGAACAGGACTTTGGCAGCTCCTTTAGGACCTTGGACAGAATTCTTGGCTTGAGATTATAAACTTTCTTGTACCTCGGGCATAAAAGCTACAGGGCTTTCTCTCGCCGGTCTGGGTTTTCGGAGCGAATTCTTATAGTAATAGTCTCAAGAAAAGAATAACAGTCATTCCCACAAAGGCTGAGCCCCTGCGAGTTCAGATCCAAAATCGCCGCTGCTGGCTCTAAGCACTCGACTGTACTAAATTCAATACCCGGAGTGAAGCCGCCCCAGAGAGTGTAAGTACTATGAATACATCCTAGAGGCAGGTAGATTGCTTGATCTTCTGTCTGAACACAGAGTTCACTGCCTTCAAGCCGGCCTTGGAGCTCGATAAAGGCGGCATCAGATCGGTGTGCTGCAGAGAATTCGTGAATATTAAGAGGAGTCAAGGAATAGAGTGCCCAAAGCTTGACGCATCCCCCATGGAGCAGCGTGACACCATGTTTTCCGTGATCTAGATAGATAGTCTTGTTAACATATTGCTTGCAGCATGATCAGGCCTCATGTACCAACATGGAGCCCCGCAGCTGAATACTTAGGAGTAACATTTGTCGTTGTGATAGGGCAGATATCTTGATATATAGGAACCTGTCCAAGAAGTCGCTCCGGGATCTTGATTCGACTGACTCGGCGGCCATATTGATAGCGTATAGAGTAGACAACAGATCCGGATTGTCCAACTGTCGCATGACGGTTTAGAAACGCGGCTTATCAAGAGGATCAGAAGGACTACATCGGGAGTAGATTTTTGTCGTCTCTTTCCGAAACCCATGAAGCAGGTCTGTAAGATAGTCTTCTGAAGACGGCTTTTCTTTCTAACATTCGACTGCAGGAAAAAGCATGGGAGATCGTAACCCAAGGCCGGCCCAGTTCCGAGTCACCGCCGTCTCCCTAGACGGATTAAGAATTGACAGTCCGCCAGTCCTCTTGATCTCCCTTGCATACTCAGAAGATAGATACGATAAAGGGCCACCCGTGGTGCTAAGGAATTTGTGCATAAGCAAATCTATCTCGTCTTTTGGGGGGGTTGCTATGATCTGTGCTTTTGCTAGCGGCTGAAGATCAGAAAGGTGGCCGGCCTTTCCAAAACGTATTTAGCAGGGCGAAAAAAGATGATAAAGAACTATTGGAATGGCAAGGAGGTGATGGCACTGCTTCTTGACCAACGAGGAAAAGATGTCCCTATCACGGAAGCAGTAATTTCTACTATTGCCCAAAGCTTCAATAAGGAGGTGATGGCGCTGCTTCTTGACCGACGAGGGAAAGATGTCCCTATCACGGAAGTAGTAGTTTCTACTATTGCCCAAAGCTTCAATAAGGAGGTGATGGCACTGCTTCTTGACCGACGAGGGGACGAGGTCCCCGTTACAGAAGAAGTGGTCAAGGCGGCAGCAGGGAACCGAGGGAATGGCAAGGAGGTGATGGCGCTGCTTCTTGATCGACGAGGGGACGAGGTCTCCATTACAGAAGAAGTGGTCAAGGCGGCAGCAGGGAACCGAGGGAATGGCAAGGAGGTGATGGCGCTCCTTCTTCACCGAAGCCTACTGACCAGATCGTTCATCTCTAATGATGTTTTACGTATTGCTTCTGCTTGTGGCCAACTAGACATCCTTCGCTTCCTGTCTCGCCAAGCCTATATCGTCACTGTTCCAGAGGATGACTTTGCCATCGCCAGGCTGTATAACGCGGCAGCATCAGGAACCACAACCACAGTGAAAAAGCTTCTCCAGACCAGAACACCACCAGATACACAGAACATATGGGGTATGACACCATTGTGGATCGCAGCGGCACATGGTCATGAACAGGTAATGCGCCTATTCCTGACCACGAATAAAGTCAGCATTATCTCAGAAACAACTATCCGAAGTGCACCTTATACTCAGCTGTCTTACGACCCAGGGGACACTGCTCTCATGGTAGCGAGAAAGAATGGGCACAACAGAATTGCTGGGATGCTTGAGCAGTGACTGTTTCTGAGTTTAGCAACTCGACGTCCTTAATAAAAAGTATCAGATGGTCAGGAAGCAAGGAAAATGACCATAAAGTCATACATAAGTATTGCAGTGCGTGTTTAAAACGAGCGGCTTGCGGGCTATTTGTGCTTGATATTTAGAACAGCATAAGCGACGATAGTACCTTATCCCTTCCTGCCTGTGACCTCTTAACTTTTGGGCCGGTTTACAAGGCGCAGTATTTGACGATGTGAAGAGCACCGCGTGTGTTAATACATTTTACTCCGTTGCTGTCACCATTCCATGCCACGCATGCCATCATCTAAATGCTGACATCTGCCGTAGGATCGCCACTGTCATTGTCCATGATCCACCAGGTGATCCGGTTGCAGCCAGGGTGCCGGGCCGTCTCTTGCAAGACCCATTCTGCCTCGTTCCGAAACGATGAAGCAGCCAATACCATCGCCTCGTCCACGTCGACCTCTTGGACTTCGAATGCCATCAGCAGTCTGGCCAGTAGCTAAGGGGCAATGTCATCCGCAAGCCCATCGCAGAAGGCAACTGCTGTCAATCGAATGTTCTGCAGGGTCTCGTAATGACAATATGGTCGTGGCGGGTACTGCCGTATGGACTGACGTCCCATCGTCGTTGGCGTGTAGGAAATGATGCTATCAAGGGCTGCGTGCTGGGTCGTACTACTTACCACAACTTAAACAGCAAACCAAAGCGGCGACCTTAACTCTTGCCGTTTGATAGCTAGCAGTGTCCATATCAAACAGTAGCGGAGTTGTGGATGCAATGTAGACGGCGGTAGTATCGAGGGTGTCGGAGGGCAGGTCCGTAGGTAACGCGTTGTGTGGATTCGGTTTGATAGAGAAGGATATTTGGAGCTAAGTCTCTATGCGCACATCCAGTTAGTAGTTGTAACATCAAGGGAGGAGAGGAGCAAAGAAGCTTGTGACTCAAACAAAAACTTGTTGACAAGACCGGCTGATCTGAAAACCTACCTGCCAACTGGAAGCACATTGGTGATATAAAAGGTGGTTATGATTAAATGGGTAGCGGAGGGGTCAAAGGCAGGTAGTGAAGCCAAAGCAATAGCGCCTCCCCTCAGCCTCGCACAATGAGGTGGTGGTTATAGTCTGCCGATATCGTGGAATCTGCGCTGACAGATACGTACCTTTTCTGCCAAACCCCACCAAGGTACGTACCGATTCTGCCACACCTAGCCGTAGGTACGTACCTTTTCTGCCCATCCTATTCTGCCGGGCATAATGACAGTACGTACCTTTTCTGCCCATCTTATTCTGCCGGGCATAATGATTTACGTATCCTTTCTGCCGGTCTTATTCTGCCACGGCCTACCACGTGACCCATGATACCAACCTACTGACTTGTCTTTCCCAATAAAGTCACGCCAATTAAACGTGTATGACAAGGAATACACACTGTATAATGTCAACGTCTATCAAACAAAAGCGCCCTTTAAACTACAAGCAAAAGTAACAAAGACAATGAAATGCCTTAGAAACAAGCCTCTAACAAGATACTGTTCACCCTGTTATACCTCCCAGCCTTCCTTGTTGACATTTTAACCCTCGTGAGCATCCATTAATATCCGTTAATACATCGTATTGCTTGCAGGGAAGAACCCCCTGCTGATGTTGAGAATCGAGACCAGAAACTTTTCCTAATAGATGGTCACCCTGTCTGAGATGACTATTGCCTTTCACTAAGCTCCATCGCCGCTGTGACATGCTGCAGGTATCGGGGGAGCCGCTGGCCCTTCGGCCTTGTCCGATTGGATGTTGGGTCAAGTTACGAGCTGAACAGTTAGTTACCCGATGAGGAAAATCTGCTGCCGTTGCTCGCTTTTGGCATCACAAGCTGGTGGTTTAGGGATCCATGCCCTCTGCAGTTCGGTGAAGGCCGTAATGAGGTGACGGCGCAAACATTTGTGCCGTCTCTCACTGGGCAGGTTTACGGCCTGGCTTCCCTTGGCGCTCATGGAAGTGCCCATTCGGTGACTTATGAGGCAGCCACAGCGCGCAAGTTCAAAGGCCAAGGATGAGTCACAAGTAATACTGTAATGGCGCAGTTGATAATAAAGCCAGATGGTAATTACAGAGTGTAAATGTGCTGGAGGCTACTGATGCCACTGATGAATGAAGGCTATTCGGAATACAGACAGGACTGTGACGGAGTCAGTCGTAGCGTGGTCTGAACTGAGCAAAGGGAAGAAGAGGTACAAGTGGACTTGGGAGGTACATGAGGGGTTGATCCCATTTCTGGGCGCGCGAAAAGCAGCGAGAGGTTGCACGCCCGAGAATTGCCCGACAGGGCAGGTGCCCGAAATGGCATGTTCGAGCCGCCATTTCCGGAAGCGGCCTTGCCGTCTCTTATAATACTAATTAATACAACAACGAACGAATTTTTCGTTATTTATATTAAGAACTAAACGTTAAATTCTATAAAAACTAAAATACGCGTAATATATAATAAGAAAAATAGATTATCTCATTATTCTCTTATATACTATTGTTTTCATTATTATATTTTTTAAAGAAAATCTTTTTAAAAAAGCTCTTTAAAAAATATTTGTTTTAAAATTCCCTTTTTTAAATATATTTATATTGAAGATTGAAACTTATTTTAAAAAAGCTTTTTTAGCGAATTATAAATATTTTTATCTTTTATAGTTTATTTTTAAAATGAACGTTTTTTATTTATAAATTTAAAAATTTTGAACAAATATATAAATAATATTATTTTATTACCTCTTCAATATGATATTTTAGTGCTTTATATATATTGAAATAATGTTGCTTTTGGTTTTATTTATAATTATATAATTGCTTATAACATTATATATTTGATTAAAAATATTTTTTTTATATTAACAATAATGTTGGATCCATGTGATTCCACAGTCAAACCATCGATACAGAACCCACATGTACGATTAGATAAGAGATTAGATACCAGATTATGAGGTCACTTAGCCAGACCTTCAGGTCCAGCTAGACTTCCCAATCCAACCATCAGCAACATCATGACCTTGACCCAATACTCGAGTATTATCATTGATCGTTCAAGCCTCTTCCAACAAATAAAATCATTCAATAATTGAAAGATTAGTCTTTTAAAACTTTAATAAAAAATCAATATTTCTAATTCTATAAGTATATAATTATCATAAAACTTATATATATATTTAAAAAAACGTATTTTATAATAATAATAATAATAATAAAAATTAATAATTTAGATTCTTAATTTCTATAGATAAAATATTTAAGTTTCATTCGATCAAAATTAAATCTTTAATAAAAAAAACACCTTGAATTTGAATCTTAATTAAATTATTATAACAATTTGTTCCAGGATTTTAAGAGCGTAACCCCTCCACCACATACACTTAAAATCACACCTGAATCGGCTATTTAAACGAAGGCACCAATATGTCAGATTCGCGTATATCTTAATAACTATTTAAAGTAATCGTTATTTAAATTATCGTTATAAAATTTTATATATTTCTTTATTTTGTCGTTACTTTTTTCTCAAAATTCCCGTTAATCTAAAGCTTAAATCTTTTATTTAAAGCGGCACGTATTATTTTCTATTACTTATTATCTTCTCTTTTTTATAACCGTATGGATTTAAAGAAAAATTTGTTATTCGATTTAAAAAGTACTTTTTCGGGTTTTAAGCTTTATTTATTTAAATATAGTGTTAAATAATAAGCTTTTATATTATTATTATTATTGTTGTTATTATTAGGTAAAAAATAGCAACGTAACGGCGATAATGATGTTTAGATTATAAATAAATCCCGAGATTTAGAAATTAAGATATATATGATAAATATAAAGGTTAAAATACGAGTTATATCTTATAAATAAGACATTTATTGCATTATTTACAACGTGTAATTCTTATAACTATTCAAAATTAATAATTATTATAATATTAAAGATAGTTTTAAAATATTATAACGTAACCTTAATATCTGGTTTATATATAAAAATGTAATAAATTATTAACATGTATATTCAATGTCATTTTTACTAAAAAAGGATTATTATTAAATATTTTTTGCAGATAAATAATAAGTAACTAAATCGTATGAGCATTAATATTGATAAATTTTAATATAATCTTTTAACTTTAATTTTTAATATAAATTTAATATAAATTTATAATAAACCTGTTTTATTATTATCTTATCATTATCTATCTTTTTTATAATATCTTATTTATTAGTATTCTATATATATATATTTTTTAAAACATATTTTTAATATTTAAAAACTTAAATCGGTTGAAAAGTGTTAATATTTTTATTATAACGTTATTTATACGCTTATATAAGGTTAACCGGCTTTTTAAACTTTTAATATTAAAATAAAAACGTTAAAACCGGATAATTTGAATCTTTTTAAATCTTTAGGAACGTTCATTGTCGGTAATAATATAGTACGCTTATTAATAAAAACGCCTTATTAATAATAAATAGTTTTACGCGACGACTTAATCCATTAAAACGGGTTTAAAAATATAAAAAAGGTTAAAAAGTCTTATTTATTTTAACACGTATTAACCGACCGAAAATTCGGCTTTTAAAATACTTTTAATTAAAATACTAACCTTTTAACGTTTGAATCATCGAGCATTTTTCGATTATTTTTTCGATCGTAACTTATACGCTTAATTAAGTGTTGATATTAAGCAAATTTTTAATAAAAAGCTTTAAAACGATAAGCTTAAAATTTTTTGAACGGATAGTTAATCTTATGCAAAATAAAAAGGAGTTAACGGTAGATCTCGCGCGTTGCGAAAAAGCGCGTTATTTTGAAGGGGGGGGGAAGACCACCGCCAGGTGGTCTGGCTTAGGGACCAGAAGTATGGGGACATATGGGATGTCCTTCGGGTCAGGGAGCTCGACTACTTTACCCGATTGAAAGACAGGCGTGAGGGAAGAGGACGGAAGCGCGGTCGGAACGCGCTTGCCAATGACGATGACGACGATGACGACGATGAGGCGACTGGACGCACGACAAGAGATGAGGGGTACGCCGATGCGGATGAGTTACTTTTGCAAGCCAGCAAGCGGGCGCGTAGACGCCCTTTATAGGCTTCCTTATACTGGCCAGTGGTCAACAGGTCTGGAGGGGAGTACTAATCAAGTTTATAAGCAGTAATTTTAGTTATTAGTTGTTCTAAGAATTAATGCTACCGAGACCATCATTACCAGATTGATTCCGCGAAAGAATTCTTCTGAGCAGCTCCCGGTTTTGCGACACATCGTGAAGATAAATGCCTTCCTTTCTTAATCATCTTTTAATACGAGGTATGTATTCTGCCAAAGTTGATATTGCTTGCTACTTTTAGTGACAGAAATTCACTATACGGCTTGGGCAACTGGGCGTTGATTCATCCCAGGAATCCTAGCTACTCGTGACAGAACACAATACACGAATGACGGATGTTTTGGTAGGACACCCTCTTGCTTTGGTTGGCTTGTCAGATCCGGTGCTGCGCCGGCACTTGGAGAATTGGGGAATACGGGATAGGGAAATAGGGGAATTGGGGAATTGGGGAATTGGGGAGGTGGGGCCCCGGCATCGCATCGGAAAACCACCGGGATTTCGTGTCGACTGCGGGGGCAAGGGGATGGGCACTAACCTTTAGCTTGTTCCCCTCAGCCGCCAACCTTCAGCGAACCCTCCAGTGGATGACAGCAACTTGAAGTGGAAAGCCAAAAGGATCCGACGAGACATATTATATGCAATGCAGCTCTCCCATCGTGTCGGCGCCTCGAGAGGGGCTCACCATGTCTCTCGTATCTCCTCCCCTTGACACTGCCCCATTACCAACCTGATCGAACGAGAAGATGGCATCCAGCACGCACCTCGACTTGAAGTCGACCTTGGCGAGCCTCCCTCCATCACCGCCAGCCGACCTGCGATCTCAAGTCCAGACGCTTCTGCGCGACCCAAAGTCCAAGGTTCCCATCCTAGTCGCCCTCGACGACGACCCGACCGGCACCCAGACCTGCCACGACATCAACGTGCTTACCGTATGGGATACGCCAACCCTCGTGTCCGAGTTCCGCGCCACCGGGCGCGGCGGCGGATTCTTCATCCTGACCAACTCGCGGGCCCTGCACCCAGGCCCAGCCCGAGCCCTGATCACCGAGATATGCGCCAACCTCAAGGCCGCCTCGGCCGAGACAGGCACGCCCTTTGAGATTGTCCTCCGCGGCGACAGCACTCTGCGCGGTCACTTCCCCCTCGAGGCCGAGGCCGCAGAGGACGTGCTCGGCGTGGCCGACGCCTGGCTTCTCTGCCCGTTCTTCCTGCAGGGCGGCCGGTACACGATCGACGATGTGCATTACGTCGCAGAAGGAGAAGAGCTTGTGCCAGCGGCCGAGACCCCGTTCGCCAAGGACGCAACTTTTGGGTACAAGAGCTCGAATCTGAGAGACTACGTTGTTGAGAAGAGCAAAGGCGCGATACCTCAAGACCGGGTCACGAGCCTCAGTCTCGACATCATCAGGAATGGTGGGTCGGGCAAGGTGCTGGAGCAGCTCAAGAGCGTCGCCAAGGGCACCGTCGTCGTAGTCAATGCAGCTGCAGAGGCCGACGTCGACGTGGTCATCTTGGCACTCCTCAAGGCCGCGAGCGACGGGAAGAGGTTCTTGTTCCGGACTGGAGCCGCCTTTGTTTCCGCGCGTCTCGGCATTGCGCCGATTCCTCCCGTCTCAGCCAGGCAACTCCATCTGTCTGGGGCTGCTGGCGGGCTCATAATCGCTGGCTCATATGTGCCCAAAACGACAGCGCAACTAGATGTTCTGAGGACAAGGAGTGGGGACAACTTGAAGAGTGTGGTTATTGATGTCGGCACGCTTCTGAAATCGGAAGACAGCGCTCGAGACGAAATGGCAAAAGCCGTCAAGACCGCCGAGGAAGAAATCCAACGTGGTCAGGATGTGTTAGTAATGACGAGCCGTGAGCTCATTACTGGTGGCGATGAAGCTCAGAGCTTGGATATCGGCTCCACCGTAGCCAAGGCACTGGTGTCATTCCTTGTTGACCTGAAGACCAAGCCGCGCTACGTCATTGCAAAGGGCGGCATCACGTCGTCAGACATGGCGACGAAGGGGTTGAGGATGAAGAAGGCGGCCATCATAGGTCAGGCAGCCCCGGGCGTCCCCTTGTGGCGCTGCGACGAGCCAACTGCCAAATGGCCTGGCCTGCCATATGTGGTATTTCCTGGAAATGTCGGCTCCAACGACACCTTGTATGATGTTGTAGAGGGTTGGAGAGTGAACTGAAATGTGCCCAAATGAAACTAGGACTATTCGACCTCGAGAATTGAGAACATAGCTCAGCCATGGTCATTATTCGCGGGCAACCTCAGTATGAGAACTGGCTATTCAACAAGTTATACACATCATTTGCCGAGTCGCTTCCAAAGGCTTCATAGATGAGACTGTCATTCATGACGGCCAAGTCGTCCAAAAAGTTGTGTCTCGGCCCTGCACCAGCCGTATATGAATCCCAGCTCAAGCCTTCACCGGTTGCAAAACCGTGATTCTGATTGTCAACCGCGGGTGCTTGATTCCCCGGGCTGGTGCCGTATCCCATGGGGCCGAAGCTGATGACAGACTCGGGAGAGACACCGACCCCCATGTTTTCGTCGACCTGTTTCGGTGGCCCCCTTGAAATCCTCCCCAGGTTCTCCAGCATCTTCTCCAGACCGGACGCGATATGGTACAAGAGGTGCCTCTCGGACGTGACGGAACTCTTCAGCAGCACAATCATGCGCTCCAGGAGATGAGAGACGTAGTTGGACTCGACGTTGAGACCCATGATGCGGTTCCACTTGGTGGCGACCTTCATCAGGAAGACGGAGGCAAAGGCGATCATGGTGTGCACGTAGAGCGGCGTGCCGACGAGGGCCCGGCGCATGTCTTCTTCTTCGAGCACGAAGGTCAGGATGCTGGCGGCGGCCGAGATGGCCATGTTGGCGAACTCCTTGCGTTCCGTCGACAGGCGACCCTGCGATAGGCTCACGCCCCGGATGGCCAGCGCGTTGAGCTGTAGTTTAGCAAAGTACGAATAGAGGATAATGCCCTTGGGCGGGAACGATCCGATGAACCGGTTGTTCTCCTGCCGCGCGTTCCAGCGCATCCGCCACTGGTCGATCTCGAGGTTGAAGTTGCGCAGGTCGGCAAAGTCTTCTCCACCCTCGTCATCGCTCAGCATGGCCCCGGCCGTCGAGTAGTCCTGGTGAGGCACCTTGCGCTCGACAAAGCGGTCGTAGACGCGCGTCAGGATCTGCATCAGCGCCACCTGCGAGAGGATGCGCCGGTCCAGGGCATCGGCAAAGGGCGACTGCAGGAACAGCTCGTGCTCGCGGATCTGCAGGGACTCGGCGATCATGGGAGGTCTTCCGTAGGCGATCGAGAAGTGGTGATCGCAAACGTACAACATGTACCACAGGCGAGCCCTCAGGAAATGCTCCTTGTCGCCTTCCAAGGCGCGTGAGAAGGATTGGTGGACATTTAATTCAGTCGCAATTCGTATAGCATGGCCGGAAAGCTTCCAGGAGACTAGACAAGTGTATGTTCAGTCAGTGGATGACTCAAAAGTCAAGGTGCGAGCAGAGCAAGCCTGAGATGTACCTTCGGAGAGCCAGAACGCGGCAATGCACAAGGCGCGTACATCATCAATGCTATGGTAGCGACTGAACATGGAACTGGAGGTCAAGGCCAGGAATTCCTTATAACATTGATCAAATGTCTCAGCACTGGTAGGTATATGGAGAGCCGTGACTGTCAAGATTGTGGCAGTGAGCAGCTCGGAAGACTGCCGTATAGCCTCAAAGCTTGGGTGTGTCTGCTCGAGTCCTACCCACAAGTAGTGGTTCAGGCTTGTGTGGAAGCTGATCATACAGATTAGCCATCTGTCCAGATCATCTTGGGCCTCGACGGACGTACCTCCGATAGAGATCCTCAGCTTCAGACAGAGAAATGACTCCCCGCGAAATGAAGTCGTTAAGTTCCCTGTTCCCACGGGCTTGCGGACGAGCAGTCTTGGCCTGGTTACTACGGATATTTCTCAGCCGCGTGACTTCATACAGACTTCCCATTGGCTCTTCAACATTGACGGAGCCACCGGTGCTCTGCTCGCCATTGCGCGCCGGATCCGGGGAGTTTTCCCTTGTCATGGCCATGCGCATGTTGTCTTCCTCTCCCGGGGGCCGGGCTGTGATTGCCGGGCTGCTACCACTCTCGACCGTGACCTGGTTTTGGAGGCCAATGGCGGGAGGCCGCTCCGGCTTGGAAACTGCCGTCCCCTGGCGGATCAACATGTCCAGCGATTCCCTCATGCGCCTGATCTCTTCTGTCATCGAGTCGATCTTGCGCCTGCGATTCGATTATTCCCTGTTTTCAATCCACTGGGGCAAGGGCTCAACATACTCGTAGCTACGCGCAGAATCGGTTGAATTCAAATCAGACGACGTCTCGGCCATCATGACTCTCTTGAAAATGCAGGACGAGATATTCCGGCGCAGGCAATTTGTGCATTTGGTATCTCCCGGTAGCACCTCGCATTTCATCTTTTGCTTCTTGCACTCCACGCCTATATCTACTGCTTAGTTCCAACGGCTTTTACTTGTGCCGGACAGTCGGTCACTTACATGCGCGAGGCTTGCGCCCCGGTCCCGTCCTTCGTACGCCTTCATACTGTTGGATACGGCCGGCGTTTTCAGCTGCCCACCGAGTCTCCTCTGTCGTTGATGTCGGTGGTGTCTGCACAGATGGTGGCTGATCCATTGCAATGGTGGTCACTTCGCCCCGGATTTTTGATGTCTTCTTGAGTCTTCCTCGGAGAATCGGGTAATGAGGGCATTCATTTGAGATGGTTTGACCAGGCGTAGGACTGGGAGTATGGATCAGGATGCTGGCGCCCCAGCATCACATCGGCTTTTCGGTCTTCATTCTCCGTAGACCGGGTGCCATGGCCCATTGTTTCTCCACACAGTCGACGAACTATTCCGCAGCTATTTCTTAGTTTGATGGGTCATTCTGGGGGTGCGGGGTGTTAGCTCAGCTCTCCGGCGTAGCTCACGATCATGGTACGTTCCTACTGTAGTCGGCCAGGCTCCGACCCAAGGGGCTGCCTGCCCGTGGTCGATTCGTATCGGTGCCTTGCCGACGGGAAGATGTCCTTATTGAGATGGAAAGAGCTGGAGGGGGTTGATCTGGTGACGTATTTCTGACGCGACGGTCAGGCGGTTAGGAAACTGCGATTTGACTCTACCCACACCAGACGGTAAGGAACGATGTCCTTCTGATCGAAAGGAGCCACGAAACGAGCGAAGCCAACGTCGGCGTCCTGGATCAGCTGGGAATGGGGATGTGAGGTTTGCGAAAATCGCTACATTTATCTAGCAAGCAGCGAGGAGTCAGTGGACATTCTGGCGTCTAGAGGACGTTCATAGGATTCCGGAGGTAAGGTTGTAATATGGTTTTTGACGGATCTCAGCGCAGGTCCTTCTGACACTGCGTACGTCCATGATACATGTATGTTGACCTTTGGGTCATGTCGCGTGACAATAAGTCATAATCAATTTGCCAGCAAAAGAAAAGATATATTGGTGGTACATCAGAAAACGAAACAGCACTTCCACCAGCTCTAGAGTATCCGCCTTTGGATGTGCTTGAAGGTACATGATGAACTGGTCATGGTGATTTCCTAGGCCAAGTTGGGTCAAAATTTATATGTGAAGCAACGGCATTTGGTACTGTAAAGAGCACCAACAAACGACTACCTGTTAACTACTAGGTCCAACCGTGGAGGCTATAACGAAACATTGCCCTACGCTCCAAAGACATTGTAGTCCATTATCTCTACGTCTGGTACCTGGCCAGCTTCCCAGCTCCGGCAGGATGCTCATGATGGTGCGCAGCCGCCTGGAATTTCCCCTCCACATCCCTGGCCTCCAATGTATAGCCGTCCGACTCGAGCTCCTCCATCTTCTTGTTGTCTCTCTTCAGGTAGAACGAGAGGATCAAGGTCGATGCCAGCGTCACGACACATAGTGCCAAGTTGACGCCCCAAGCTAAACACGTGGTTTCAAGGTCAGCGATGATCTCAAATAACGGAAGGCTTCCCGGCAGTTTATCACTCACCAGTGGTGTATCTCGGGCCGGCACTGTCCGGGTACAGATAAGGAGTCCAGACAAGAGCCAGATTGCCGATGGAATTGTTCATGGCCAGGCCAATGGCACGCTTCTTCTTGGGACGGGCCGCAATGTTGGCCATCCACGCATTGGAGATCTGGAAACAACCGTATGTGCCGGGCAGCATGAGGAAGAGCGCAAAGTAGCGGGCGCCGACGTTGGTCGTTGCGATCGTGATGACGATGCCGGCGATGGCGACGAGGGTTGGGTACACAATGTCCGGGGAGCGTCGGCTGGTCTTGTCGGAATACCAGGTGTTGAACAGGCAGAAGCAGGCTGTGAAGAGGTATGGCTGTGTATGGCACGAATGGTCAGTAACTTATGTTGCTTCTGGTGGGGATTGTGCGTTGGCAAGTCTTACCGGTGCAGTTAGCAAGAGCGTATGGATTGTGCTGAACCCAAAGTTCTTGACGAGAGTGGGAAGGAAGTTTGTGAGCGAGGCAACGGCCTGCAAACACATCTGGTTGGCGATGCAGAGCCAGACTCTGTAGTCTTTGGCGGCCATCTTGAATGCGTGCCAGGTCTTGATCTCCGACTCCTCCTCGCCGGCATCTTCGATGAGCCGTACCACTCCGAGAGCCTTCTCCTCCTCAGTCAGCCACCTTGTCGTTGCCGGCCAGTCTGGGATCACGAATGCGGTTGCGCAGGCAAACACTACTGTGGCTGCTCCCTCGATGATGAACAGCCAGCTTATAATGTGGTCAGCATGTTTCGCTACAAGTTCGAACAGTCAGACACGAGTAGTCATAACTCACCGCCAACTCGCAATCGCGTTGTCCTTGAACGCAGCAGCAATACCAGCCGCGAACAGTCCACCAAATGCTCCGCTCAGCATGGCAGCACAGAAGAATATGCCCAGGCGAAGCCCTAGTTCTGCCCTCGTGTACCATCCGGAGAAGAGGAACGCGACCCCGGCAAAGAAGGGAGCCTCTGCGATCCCAAGGAAAAAGCGACATGCAGCGATGCCGGCGAAGTTGTGGACTGCGCCGGTGCAGCCGCTGACAATACCTTTTCACTCTTCTTGTCAGCCATTGTCTCCTGAACGTCAACTGACAGGCCAGATCGAATACTCTTACCCCATAGAACCATGACACCAGATAGATATATACTAGGCCTTGTCAAGCCCAGGATCATATTGCTGGGCACTGTATGCAGTGTCAGCTACACTCTCCATCGTCTCTCAATGACAGCCATGCACACCTTGCATCAAGATGTAGCCGATGAAGGTCAGGCTGAGCACAATGTTGTATTCGACTCCGGCGAGGCCAATGTCGGCAGCAAGGCCTTGGACTTTGGCTTGAGGGAGCGCGTTTCGATCGATATAATTCATGATGTACATCAATATCTGGTGTTGCAAAAACGTCAGTAAACAGAAATTGAGTTGACTGAAAGGTGCTCATTGCTGGAGTAAGACGAAATATGAGGTCGAATATAATGAGAACTCGTACCAAGATAGGAAGTAGCCTAAGATCAATCTTTCTAAGAAGCTTCTTCTCCCTGGACGCTCGCTCCTCGGGTGACCAAGACGCAACGATCGTGGCATAGTTGGGAGCAGAATCATCTGCAGGTCCTTCGGGGTTGTTCGCCATGCTGAGGCGTTGCTTTGGGGCCAAGAAAAAGTGTTCAGATGATAGTCTTCCCTTGATAAGCAAATATTATTACTGACACGTAGGAATTTTGATGATGTTCCAATTACAATAGGAGGGATTCCATCTAATCTTATGCTCACCGAGAAAGGGGCAACGAAGAGGATCTAAGTGTACATCATACCACAGATGCTACGCCTATCTCAGCCTTCAACTTGGCACCCCCGGCTTTCCCACCGGTTCCCCATACTTCCCCAGGATTGATCGAATACACGACCCCGACTAAGGTACTAGAGGATCCCGGAGAAAGGTAAGACACCCTAAACGCCAGGGTCCACCCCTTCTCGAGGATCTTGTAGTAAGTGTGCATGATGCCGTGACAACTCGTGGCCTCATGACTGGGCCTTGCGGGGAGGCTGAATCCTGACGGGTTAGCGTGCCATCAGCTCGGACTCGTCGAGGGTGACTTTGCTGCATTTCCCGAAAGTCCGGGGGAGTTCTTGGCTATGGGGTAGCTCCATATTACAGATGTCGGGGATGGTAATTGCCAGCGTCTCCATATGCTGGGGGGCTCTGGGTCCGTATGTGATGGTATTTCGTATGCTATCACATAACGGGAAGTGACCATCGCATACAGCGCTGTAAGATAACGTCGATCAGAACCTGTAGTGATGTATATTTTCGCACGCACGCAGTAGGCGGAATACCGACCCAGAAAGACCCCCGTATATGGAGCAGCTAACAATTACCATCCCCGACATCTGTAGTTGAGATCCCCCGCCTCAAGTCGTACCACATGACTGGGAATAAATGGGAACACTACTAGCGTCCAGAGGGTCCACCCCTTCTCGAGGATGCTCTAGTAGTTTGGAGTTTGGAGTGCCCCATGAGCTGTTGTTGGCTTGTTCTTTTCGGATGCTGTTGGCCGAAGGTTGGGCTTGTCCCACCGGGGAATTGTGCGATTTGCCGATGGTCTTCAAGTTAGAGTGCCGCATTAGCTCAGCTGTTGCTGGCGTGTTCTCTGCGGCTGTTGTTGGCCGAAGGTTGGGTTCGTCCCACCGGGAAATTGTGCGATTTGCCGATGCAACCAGTGCACCATTGCATCGGGAGTCATGCAACGACAACGAAGCTGTGGGTTATACAGGCAGATGACTCAGGATATAGGGGTATAAAGGACTTGAAGCACCAAGATACTATATTCCGCAGAGTTTGACATCAAGATTCACGTCAAGATCATCATTTAAACGTATTTCAGTACTTTCAGCCTTCATTGTCGTCTTGTCTTTGCCTCTTCACGCCACCTTGCTTGACCAATAACACATCGACATCATGACCAGTCTATCAACAAAGCTAGCCGACCTGGAAGCGGCAGGCAAGCCGATCCAGGTCGGCATCATCGGAGCCGGCAAGTTTGGTTCCATGTTCATTGCCCAGTCCCACCGGACCGTAGGCATGAGGCTGGCCGGCATCGCCGACTTATCCTCGGACCGCGCATTCGCTTCGCTCAAGAGGACCAACTTCCCGACCGACAAGTACGACACCACGGTTAACGCTTCGATATCAGACGGCATCAAAGCCGGCAAGACGATAGTCACGACCGACTCGGCTGCTCTCATTGCCACGCCCGAGATCGATGTCATTCTCGAAGTCACTGGAAATCCGGCTGCCGGCATCAGGCATGCGTTATTGGTGAGACCACTTTTTTTCCTTCGTTTATCGGGAGCCAACGAGTTTACTGACTTTTCTTCTAGTGCTGTGAACACAAGAAGCACATTGTCATGATCAATGTAGAGGCAGACGTGCTAGCAGGACCGCTTCTGGCGCGGAAAGCCAAGGAAGCGGGCATCATCTACAGCATGGCCTATGGTGACCAGCCAGCCCTCATTGCCGAGATGGTAGACTGGGCGAGAACTGCAGGATTGTAAGTGGTGTACGGCATTTCCAGAAGACTTACGTGACTGATTTTCTCCAATAGCGACGTTGTCTGCGCTGGCAAGGGAACCAAGCACTTGCCCCAATATCATTACTCCAACCCGGATACCGTCTGGGACTATTATGGTTTCACCCAAGAGCAGTTGGACTCGGGCGACTTTGTAAGTTGATCCAGCACTTCTGATTTGAGACCTATAACTGACAAGCCCGGCAGAACCCTCAAATGTTCAACTCGTTCCTTGACGGAACAAAGTCAGCTCTAGAGATGGCGGCCGTGGCCAACGGTTGCGACCTGAGTCCGCCTTCGGAGGGACTCCAGTTCCCGCCTAGCAGCAAGGATGACCTGCCCGAGGTTCTCAAGCCCGAGGCGGACGGCGGCCAGCTCAAGAAGAAGGGCACGGTCGAGGTAGTCTCGTGCATGGAGAAGGACGGGCGATGGACTCACGACCACCTAAGGTGGGGTGTATACGTAATAATCGAGGCCGCCTCGCAGTACCAAATGGACTGCTTCAAGCAGTACGGCCTCAAGACGGACAGCACCGGTCGGTATGCCGCCCAGTACAAGCCATACCACCTGATCGGTCTCGAGCTCGGCGTCTCCATCGCCACCATCATGTGCCGCGGCGAGCCCACGGGCCAGACTAAGACCTGGGCCGGTGACGTCGTGGCCACGGCCAAGCGCGACCTCAAGGCCGGCGAGAAGCTCGATGGCGAGGGCGGCTTCACCGTCTATGGAAAGCTCATGACGGCTGAGGACTCGATGGCCATCTCGGGCCTGCCGATTGGCCTGGCGCACGGGTTTGTCTTGAAGAAGGATGTCAAGAAGGATCAGGGTTTGAGCTGGGACGACATCGAATACAGCGAAAAGTCGCAAGCCGTTGCCGTGCGGAAAGAGATGGAGGCCATCTTCAAGAAGGAGTTCTCGCAAAAGTCGTCCAAGACCAACGGTGTTAATGGCGTACATTGATCGTACGCATGTAATTGATAGACATGGTGGATCATCTTAGATTGTTTTGGTCTTTCATTATGCAATGTCTTGCCAGGTAATCCTGATGTGATGATGTGCCTGACACCAAATGTTTTGCCTGCGCACTGTAATTTTTACTTTGCAGAACGCGTCGGGTCGTCGCGCAAGCGACGGCTGGCTGGCAGCTGGCAGACAGGACATGCATTATCTACATGTCTCATCCACGCAACACTAGAGTAGAGCCTCAAGCTCATACCATTTACCACTGCCATATATGCCGGGTTGAATTTCTGGCCTGACGCATATACCACCGTCTCGTCACATCCGACGGCACAATGACCTCCCCACCGGACGCTCCCGACGCGGCTCACTGGCCGTTCATCCTCATCGTCTCCCACAGCCTATCCGGGCACTTAGCACCCATGATCCGGATCTCCTCCGCGCTGCACGCCCGCGGATGGACCGTATACTTCCTAGGCCCCACTGCGCACGCCTCCCGCATACAGTTTACAGGTGCGACATTCATCCCCTTACGAGGCAGCGCCAATCTCGACGACCAGGTCTACTACGAGTCTCCGCCCGTAGATGGCTACAACGACCTGCACTGGGCGGAACGCGTGATGATCGACTTCCGCGTGCAATGTCTGGATCCGCTCCCAGAACAGTGGATTTGCGTGAAGGCTGCACTGGAGAAACTGCATAGCTTGGATCCGGACCGGCAGGTCATCGTACTGGCCGAGGCTTTCTTTTACGGCATACTACCACTACAATACGGAGCGCCACTTCCAGGCAAGAGGCCAAAGACCCTATGCATCTCCGTGACCATCCCTGCGATACGTAGCGCCAAGCTGCCTCCGTGCGGGTACCCGTTCCCGTTCGACCCCACGCCTGCCGGAAGGGAACTCAACGCGAGACTCTGGGTTAGCTGGAAGCGGAAAGGCGCGGCACTGACTGCCCTGCTCGAGCAGAAGATGTCAGAGGTGGGCGCGACGAGGTCGGTGGGGGAACCGTTCCTGTCAGGGGCGAATTATTTGTGCCACAGCAAGATCCTGCAGCTCGGTGTCCCGGGTTTCGAGTTCCCGCGCAGCGACTGGCCGCCGGGATTCCGGTTCGCGGGGCTGGTGCAGGGCAAGAAGGCGAACAAAGATGCTAAAGCGATATCACCACAAGAGGAAGCAGAAGTTAAAGCCAAAGCAAAGGCAAAACAACCAGATTTCCCCTGGTGGACCGAACTCGTGTCCAACTCAGCCCTCCCACGGCAAGACCCCCGCCGCAAGAAGGTCGTCGTCGTGGCACAGGGCACCGTCGAGACGAACCCCAACGACCTGATCATACCCACCATCCGCGCGTTCGCAGACCGGGAAGACGTCCTCGTCGTCGCCATCCTCGGCTGGCGGGGCGCGAAACTGTCCCTCTCAACCTCAAACCTTTCCAACCCAGATATCACGACGACCACCACTAAAAACGACGAAAACGACGCCATCGCGGAATCCCCCCTCCCCGCCAACGCCCGCATAGCAGACTACCTAAGCTACGACGCCGCCCTCTCGCACGCCGACGCCTGGGTGCACAACGGCGGCTTCGGCGCCGTGAACCACGGCATCGCGAACGGCGTGCCGATGGTAGTCGCGGGCGAGGGCATGGACAAGACGGAGAACACGCGGCGCGTGGCATGGAGCGGGATCGGCGTGGACCTGAGGAGCGCGACGCCGGGGGTCGACGCGGTGCGAGAGGGGGTCGGCCGCGTGCTGCGAGAGGGACGTTTTCCGCTGCGCGTGGCGGAGCTGAGGAGGGAGAGCGAGGAAATGGATTGTTTTGGGATTGTTCATGAGGAGCTCTTCGGGCTTGTCGGGGTGTAGAGTAGAGCTGGGACGGTGGGGATGGGATGCGAGAGTGGGAAGGTGTAGCTGCAGATACCTCATGTTTTCCATTCAACCCGCAGAAAGTGTCCTTATACCCTGAACTTGACTTCGTTGTTATTGGGATTTATCGTTTACGTGTGGACTAATCACACAGGAATAAGCATCAATTATTACTTGATCATGTTAGAATTGCTTATTCTAGCGTGCTTATTCTACGTACCGTCTGCATTACCAAGAAAGGGGCTCTCGAGGTGCGCGGATGGAGACTTATGGGGAATGACTGTACCATGTGCATACCTCCTGTGTCAACGATGGCATTGAAAACAGGAAATAGCTGCGACTTGTCTATAACTTGCCGATTCTATATCCTCCCAAATGTCTCCGTACAGCCCTGACCATAGACAGCTAGAGTTTCACATTTACCAGAATAAGGACGATGGAGGAAGAATGGATGTAGAATGATCAGTGAAACTACTCTTCCTAGAGTGATTGTTTCAGCACACCAGATACCCAGAGGCTTGAAACTCCATGCCAAGCCCAACCCCAGGCCGAAACTTATTAGATACATTGATTTCCAGTGACTTGCGAAAACCCAACCAACTACTACGCCACGGATAGACCTAACGATCTCGATCCTGCGCCTCGGGGTAGTAGCATCCGCCCGCCACCACAAGATTCATCCGCGTGCACTGCACCTTCAGGACCGGTGTCTTCTTCGTCGAAAAAGCGCTGATCTGATCCGGTGTGATCATAACGTCCTTCCCTTTACGTTTCCCGGCACTGGTTCCAGCATTGCTAGGAGGCTGCGTTGCGGACGTCGGTTGCTTGCCATCTCCACCAGTTGCCACTAAAGTACCGTCGCCGTCTTGCTGGTTTGTAGGGCGACTACCTTCGGCAGGCATCTCCACGTCCCAGACGCGAACTGTGTTGTCCTGACCACCGGAAATGAGGACATTGCTCTCCACACTGAAACTGAGTGACCAGATCCCACCGCGTCCATGGCCTCGACAACGCTTGATTCGGTTTGCCTTATCGATGTCCCAGAGGAAAATGTTGCCACCTATATCAGCCGAAGCCAGAATCTTGCCGTTCGGCGCGCACTCTAGCGCTGAGATATAGTCCGTGTGTCCAGTGAAGACGCGAACACAGTTGCCGTTCGCCACAGACCACATTCGTATCGACTTGTCGGTCTCGTCAGATGCCGAGTAGACATATGTTCCATTCGGGTGCCAAGCAACCGTCGAGATTGCCGTGTCGTGACCAACAAGCAGGCGTTGTGCAGAAGCATGATCTTGAGACCAAACCCGTACCGTCTTGTCCCAACCACCCGTCACGAAATAGTGTCCTTGCGGGCTCCATGATAGGCTAGTGACTGGACCATCGTGGCCTTTGTAGATGCAAAGACAGGCCCAGACGTCGAGAGACCATAGTCGAATTTGGCCGTCTGCTGAACAGGAGAGAAGCAGCTTAGACTCGGTCTCGGGCTGCGGGTCGCCCTCGTAGATATTCCGATCAAGATTTCTGATCGCATCGGAGAAGGCTACCGAGTAGACAGGCGCGGAGTGGCCAATCAGCTTGCGGTTGTTGGTTTTCATATCCTTCTCCGGTGCCAGGCGAGACTTCAGAGCGCTGCCATCCATAGACCACACACGGATGTATGATTCCGTGGTGCCCGCAGCGACGAGTTGCTGGTCTTTGGAGAAATCCATACAGGAGATGCTATTCAGGGTGAGCTACAGACGCCAAAGTGCGGGCGTCACATCTGACTTACCTCCCAAGATGGTTGTGAAAGGTGTACATGCAGATAGAGAAGCCTGGTCCAACACCACCTGTGCGACCTTCAACGCGGAATCGGTCCCGGTTTTCCCGAACCTTCTGCATCTCGACAGCCACGTCTCTGGCTCTAGAAGGTGGATAGGGTATATCGGTTCGCTGGGGTGAATCGCCGGACTCCTTCTTGATCGGATGCAACGAGTTGAACTCGTCCACCAACGAATGTACACCAGCCTTGGGCGGGTGGAGTCTGTCCTCTTCTTCAAGCTCGGCGGCCACGTCTTCGCGAAGCTCGTTGTCTAGCGGCAACGGTCCTAGCTTCAGAGCAGCTGAGTTGTCGAGGATATCGCGGTTCGCGACTCCACTACGAGCGGTCAGACCAGGGATACCTTCTTGAATATCGACATCCTCGAGGTTCTGGTTGCGGGCCCGTCGATATATAGCCTCAAAGCTGAAAGGTTCGATAGGACCGCGATCGACGGAGTCAACGCGACAGTACTGTTGTATGATATCGAGAACGACAGCGCCGCATTGGTCGTGGTCCCGCTCTAGGAAGTGGAAAAGTTGTCCGGTAAGGGACTTGTTGATGGGGATGACATATCTATTCTCGAGATAGAGTTTGGCGATCGAATCTTCACGGACGTGCACTGGCAATGTCACCATATCCAAGCGTTTCATCTCCTCGGAATGGGCTGTCTCGAAACGTCGCCGACAGGCTTGCATAAATTCTTGAGCATGCGCAACCGAGCCTTGACTCACGATCCGGAGGTAGGAGTAGACGAATAGCGGCCAGAGAATCTTGCCGAGCTCGAACTGTCGTGGATGTGAGCAGGTAGGCAATATGGGTAGAAGTGTTTTGAACATACCTTGTAGAGATCGATCCCGTTATCAACCCATCTCTCGAAGTGCTGAAAGGAGCTCAGATACTTCCCGGCAGGATGAAGCCGATCCGATCCTGGCTCATTATGGTATCGAGGACGCCCATTTTCATCCACGTCCCTGATTTCTTGACGGAAGGCTTCCTCGGTACGGGAAAATCCCTTCTTAATTAAGTAATCCGTCACCTTGAAGAATGTGCGTCAGCTTGCGGTCTACACCCGTCATGAAAAGCGAATGTCAAACAGCTCGAGAAAAGTAACTTTGAAAACCACCGCAATTTTGCGGGCTACTGGCCTCCGTTCGGACGTAGGAGAAAGGAAAGTGGATTGCACGGCCTGGCAGAGGTGGCACTTTAATCCCATTGAATGTGACTAGGCGTACCGCTTTCTGATACACTTGAGGTGTGATATACGGCTGTACAGGCTGCGTTCTCTGGATGCTGGCGGCAGGCCTTTGTGGTTGGGGGGAGTACCGCGGTTGATGATTCTGTGGTTGCGGGGTCATATTCGCTAGGAGCACAGCCTGTGTCCTCGGCATGAGAACAGGCCTCTGAGATTGAGAGAAGTACTGCTGGTGATGGTTCCAAGTCTGTGGCGTGATACTCGCCGAGGCAGGCGCTGTTGCCTGCACAGCGGCAGGCCATGGCGCTTGGAATACATGGCCCGGCAGGGGGACCTGGAGAGATTGTGAGGCCTTCCGCTTCCGGGTAGGTGCCTGAGATTGAGCGGCGCTCGACATCTTGCCTTAGGGATCCAGAGTATCGGAATCAGGAATTTGCGGAGTCCTGGGGTATAGATTCAAGAAGGTGAATCAGGGTGGAGGGGTGCAAAACTCGGAGAAGGTGCAAAACTCGAAGTGAGGGATCCGAAATGGTGAAAAGTAAGGGTCGAGGGCAGCCTTTTGTAGTTGGGAGGAGAGGATACTCGTAGGGGAGATGCACCGGTAGATTATCCTTAATCGATAGGAAATAGGGTGGGACACAGCTGATAAGGAAAGGAAGCAAACAGTGAGGGTTGAAGAATCTGTCACGATGGATGTTCGGAGAAACATTCCCGGGGCATCAGAGGGCGTAACCAGGGCCGCATCGGAAGATCAAGATCGCGCAAGAACATAGCGGTATCATCATGTGAAATCGCATCACCGTCACTTACAATCTGGTTCAGATCCTGGCTCTTGACGACACCTGCATTCGCGGATGTGTTGGCCGCAGTCGCGGTTCCGCCTGGTGTCGTCGATGGTTGAGGCTGCGGCGGCGCGAAGCCGGGTGCGCCTGCAGCATTGGACGGCCCGGCGTTGGACATGGTCGCGGCCCCCGGCCCCCTTCGATCGGAATTTGGAAAGTGCGTAATTGGAACGTGTATTGGAAGTTGGTTCTGGCGATGAAGAGCAACGACAGTCCAGAGGGTGGTTGATGTGCAGATATATGAAGATGAAGAAGCCGGGAGTGGGTCTCTGTAGTTACAATGAGGCTCAACATGCGGGTGGGTACCTGCAGGGCAACCAGCGCTACCTTATGGCATTGGACCCTTGGAAATCTCCGTACTCCCCACCCCCACTCACCATGGAATAAGCATCCAAGATGGCTTGCCAAATCGAACCTGTTTCTTCCATGGTGCTTACTCGATAAAATTAATATGGCGATGTCTAGGAATCGATAGAGCCATGCCGGGCGGAGACTCATGGGGGTAATCGTGCAGTAGAAGCATCAAAGAAAACAGATCAAATTCTATTCCACCATCATATAATATACCACATTCGCCGTCAAGGATAAGAAAGAGGATCGAGATGTCCGAACGGTTATCTAGGAGGTGTGATATAGGAAGTACCTAGAACAGGTGTCTTTCAGTTCGCGTCTCCAATGCAACCTTAAAAGCACATCTAAGTATAATCGTAACTAGTAACAGCCTCGTCTCGAGTGACTGCATCATGAGATGCCTAGTACCTATGCCTATATATAGGGTCAATTTGCACCGTGTCTCTTTAAAAATCATAATCATTGCTCCTATACGAACAAGTACCTGAGGTGGTTGGATCGAATGGGGGTACCTAGATACCGTATCGATACATGAGACAGTGGGGCATCATGCACGCAGCACGGGCCACATGCAACTGCAAATCTGGGGATTGTGGGTCTGTCTCCATCGTGTCACCGCGTCCACCCGACATTCTTTCGCCTCGACAACCCACTCGCCTTGATGGTCGAGGAGAATAACTGCATTCGAGTACCTAGTTCGAGGTGGACACCTCTCAACTACGCCGCCACATGTCTTCCTTGAGACCTTCCCAGCATCATCTGGAGCAAGCTAAGCTGATGCGCCGGGTCGCAGCAAGGATTGACGACTGCGACCACGACCGCAACGCCGACTACAACCACGAGAAACACGGCGCTGCCGTTGCTAGACAACCTGGAGCTCGGAGCCATCAACTCCCTCGTGCAGTGCAGCCATTCACCCTCTCCACGCTCATTCATACCTCTGCGACCATCGACCACCAGCTACCCTGTCCGCGTCATCGATTCCCACCTACCTGCGCGCGATCGACCCTAGCAAACCGACATTGACAATGGCGAACAACGGAGACCAACCCGCCTTCGTGCCCTTTACGAAACGCGAACGCATGGAGCAGCTCGCAGAAATCGACAAGGTCAGTCTCTTCTCCTACCAACGCTTCCCCCTGTACCACGCCAACCCAAGACAGAACATAGTCAGTCTCCTCAAGTCCACAGCGCAGGCGCTCCAGAGCCTCAGCAAGCGAGAACCCCCAAAGGGCGAAGACACCGCCATGGCCGACAGCGGCGGCGATCAATCGCAAGTCTTCAACTCCTCGATGGAAGACTTCCTCCGAACGCTGCGGAAGGTCAATGTCGGTATGAAGCGGCAGATATGGGGACTCGAGGAGGCGGACATAATCTCGTTGCCCCAGCCGCAGAAAACGACTGCGTCGGCGGCGGGTTTCCGAGAAGAGGGAGCAGAAGCGCAGGCAACAAACAGCGCCCGTGGCGGTGCCTTGCAGCCCGACGGTGACGGCAAGATAGGCGGGCTGGACGTGGGTTGGCTCAACAGCCGGAGCAACAAGGTCGAGAGGGATATGGAGGCCTATCTGTGGGACGACGCTGAGAACATCTTGCGCAAGCTTCTGGCGCACAGTGGTCATGACCCGGATGCGGAGAACAAGCAGACGACTTGATGACTACTGATGATTTGCGAATGCTTGATGGCGCTGCCGGGTCTAGGCGGGAACATGCATTGGGCGGCGTCTGGTATTATTTAAGTAATTTGCTCTGTATAAACTGCCTTCGCGTTCTGCACGCCCCCAACACGCAATGCATTTCTGTACGGTTTTCGCCCCACGGTAAACCCGGCGTTATATTCGTGATTCAAGATAAAAATAACGTTGTGGATTTGCATGCGGGCTTTGCAAAGCCTACATAAAACTATAATTTAGAGGCATTTGCAAACTAAAGAGGCCCAAAGGAACCACGGTATCTCCTCCCTCCCGAGCTAAATAATCAGACCGCCTCCTTCTGCTCCGTATGTTCCGTCTTATTCTCGTCATCCTGGCTGATGGAAGAGCGCCTAAGCTGTGTCCGGTAGCCCACACTCTTCGGCGCCAGCTTGACGTTGTCGTACAGCTCATTGACCTGCTCCAGAGTCAACTCCTTGGTTTCGTAGACGAAGAAGTAGACGAAGGCGACGCTGTTTGTTCTCACAGTTAGCAACAAAACAGAAAATCTTGAAGGATATTTATTGTATTGCAGGTAGAGTAGAGTGGAGTAGAACTTACGCGATCCAGCAGAAACCTCCCCAGATCCAGAAAATGTTCGACCCTAGGTTGGCGTAGTCCTCGCCTGTGAGGTAGGGCGTGATGAAGGCCAGCAGCCAGTTGAAGAACCAATTCGCGGCTGTTGTCATAGATAGGCACTTGGCGCGGACTTTCAGCGGGAAGATTTCACCCGTCACGACCCAAGCACCTGCGATGGATGTTGCGTTAGCGACTGACTGCCGTGTGATTGCGAGATGAGAATCTGTAGTTATTGACTTACCCGGACCGAATGTCGAGGCGAAGAAGAAGATATAGATGCAGATGAAGGCGAACTGGGCCGCGGACGAAGCCTGGTTGCTGAGCGGAGTCGCGACACCACAAGCAGCCACAATGTACTGACTGATACCCATGCCCATCGCACCAGCGAGCAAGACGAACCGCCGTCCAAACTTGTCGATGGCGTACAGGCCAGGAAATGTCGTGACCACGTTGACCACGTTCGTGATGACCTGCAGGATGAAGGCGTCGGGCAGGCCAGCCGATCCGTTGTCGCGCGAGAAGTACGAAGTCCCGTAGTAGAAGATGAAGTTGACGCCGACCAGCTGCTGCAAGCTCTGCAGCGTGATGCCGGTAAAGGTGCGCTTGCCGATGTTGCCCTTGAAGCATTCGATGTACGATGCCGTGCCGAGCGTTTTCTCGTATTCCCAGTTGCGCTTGATCTCTTCGAATTCCGCGATCACGGCCGGGTGGTCGATGGGCAGACGACGCAGCACCGTGAGCGACTTTATCGCCTTGGCGTCCTGGCCACTCTTGACCAGGAACCTGGGTGTTTCAGGCAGGAAGAACAGCCCGCCGGCCAGAATCAAAGCCCATGCGAACTGGAGGCCGAGCGGGATACGGTAGGAGCCGCTGTCGGCGCGGTCTCTGGTTCCGTAGTTGATGAGGGAGGCGAGCAGGAGGCCGATGGTGATGGCCAGTTGGTAGCTTCCGATGACGAAACCTCTGATCCAAGCCGGCAGCGTTTCGGCTTGGTACATGGGAACTAGAGGGAGTCAGACCTCAGTGTGGTCACGCTAATAATGGACCCAATGTGTGGACTTACCCTGTACGGACACCAGACCAACGCCGAACCCAGCAAAAGCGCGGCCGGCGATGAAAAGGGGCTGGGAAGTTGCCGCGGTCTGCAAGGCCACACCAAGATTGAAGGGGATCATAGTGGAGAGAATGATCCCCCACTTCCGTCCGGTCCAGTCAGCGAGCAAACCAGCGCTCAAAGCACCAAAGAAGGTGCCGACGGATAGAATGGAGACAATGAGCGAAAGCCGGGATTCCGAGGGGTTGTCGAACTCTTGTTTCCAGTAGTCCATCTCTTGGATACCGGAGATGGTACCGGTGTCGTAGCCGTAAAGGATCCCGCCGAAGGCCGCGAACAGACCAACCATAATGGCTGGCCATGCCGCGCCCGCCTCGTCCGCCGGCTTCTGAAGTAAGAATCCCATGACGCCTAAGGTCCAGGAGACGGTTTAAGAGCGTAGAGGTACAGTCGAGGAATTGGGACGTTGAAGGTGTCGTATCGAGCAAGGGCAAGAAACGTGCCGGCGGCGGGACGATCAAAGCTTATTATACCCATGGTCTGTAGCTTAACCAGGTGAACGGGCTCTGCTGTGGCGGACTGACGGGACTGACACCGACGGTGTGAGTGGATCGACCGGCCGACCGGGTCTACAGAAGAAACCACCTAAGGCTTGACATCGCGAGCAATACGCACAACATCGGCTTGTTGTGTGAGTGGTGACTCGTGACTTGTGCATTTGTGACGACATGGAGAGGGGGAACCTTGGAAGGGAGGCGTGCTATGTGGGCCGGCTTGTCGTTCCAGACTTGCCCCGGTCCTCCCCGGCTCCCCCGTGTTATGGTGTCCCAGATTGGCGGAGAGTTGGCGGAGAGTGCGGAGAGTGGAGGCTGGCGGGCAATCGCGAGGCGTCGTCTGCGAATCTGCGACGCCGCTGCCGCCGCCGGTGCTTGTCTGGTTCTTGGACCATGTCATCGAGCCACAAATCATGTGATCTCGTGAACGTGACATCGGCCCTATTGTGGTGCCCGGTGCTTCCACGGCCCGCGTTGTACAATACCAAGCAGTCCGGCATTCTCCCAAGGCTCGAAGCCGGCAGCACTTGCCGCTTGCACAATTATCCTCTTCGATCTCCGGCTCGGCCATGGCATTACATATTGCAACGCCGCGCTTGGGAGTATCGTCACCATACACCATACACCATACTCTACGTGAGGCATTAGCTACTAGCCCGCTCGTCGTACAGTCTAGCATTACAGTATGGCATATCAAGGATTCGAAGATTGCACGCGTCTTGTAATAAGCGACCGGACGATGCTTTTTAGCCGCCCACCGAAGAGACCCACAGCATACACCGTCTGCCGCCGCATGCGATGGACTGCCATGCCAGCTTTACATGAGGTGCACGGCGTCCAACACGTCCGCGGGGGGGGGGGGGGGGGGGGGGGGGGGTGAACGGTGGTAATGTATGAGTCTCCGACTCTCACGATCAAGCCGCTCCTCCTTATATCTCAGCCAAGAAAACCAGCAATCCCGGTCCATCAAACCAGTCTCTCCCACGACTGACGGGTATGCTCTTCCTGTGAGAATCCCACGGTTCGATATATCCCCTGGTCACTTTCACGTCTCGGGACAAAGGCCTCTTCTGGTACGGTGACTTGAGACATGTGAATAACTGAATCAGAAAGCTCATGATATCGCGGATGATGTTTCTGAGGCGAGCCAAATGTCCGCAGTGTTCGCTTTTGCCATGAGTCTTTCTGCTTGAAGTCCGATATTTGGCCCTTGCTCCCGCTGCCGAGTCTAGATCTCAGTGACTTGTAGAAGGCGGTTTCGGATACGTGTAGGCGGAGGAAGTTGGCAAAGGCTGGCAAAGACCCGACTATGATTGCAACATTATTTTCGACAATGCTGGTCGAGGAAATGATGGTCAGTGTTGGCGAGAAACTAACAAAATGTGATATTTGGTAGTTAGTGCTTACATTGCAATAGCAACACCGCCTGCACTGTCGCCAAGTCCGAGCAGTTTGATCCGGTAGGCCAGGGAAATTACGCTGGCTACGACACCCCTGGGCATCGTTAGCACTAGCAGCCCAGAGCAAGATGCAAACTCCAGGAGCATTCCTTACATGAAGGCAGTTGCGAAAAGTGCCACAAGTTGAATCCGTTATGAAAAAGCCATATTGAGGGAGAGGAGAGTAGGGAGCGGTAGTACAAAGACGTAAATGTCCACGATAACAGACGCAACACCGACCGTGTCACCAACGGGGAGGCCTTTCTCTGGCATCCCTGAGATTAGTAGATCATCCCAGCTCTGTCCCATGTGTGGTGCGTTGAAATAACAAAGGACCAGACTTGGTGGGAAATACGCCAGGAAAGCCATGACTAGGCCAATCTTGGAGCCGATTCTCACCGACTTGTTGACAGAGAAAAGCTGGAGGTAGAACAGAAAGATGGCTGCTTTAGGGAAGAAGAGGGCCGGCCCGGAGACCAGACCTTCGACAAAGGTCAACTAATAATCCATCAGCCGTATCCATGATTTTGGGGGGGATCATACGGTAATCACCTTCAAAGATGTGGCGGCGGTCCAACATTAGGAAGTGTCCTGGGCTTGGAAGGGGTTTCCTGATGCTTGAGATAGTTCAGTGTACTGTGCACGTTGTCCATATGTGCAGCCGAAAGACTTACCTGCAAGGAGGACACCGGTGAACACGAGGTCGAGGATCAGGCCTACCGCCACGAAGTCTACTCCTGAGTTAACACGCCAAAGATCAAACATGAGTGCCTTTACAATTTGTCACTCACAGTCTGCCAGCTTGAAAGAATGCCGATTAACATACAGCCGTCCCGCCGTGATGGTAATAACAAATGGCACCATGAGGGCTGCTATGGCAATGATTGCAGGCTGTAGGGATGGGATGTTCTCGAAGTTTCGAAGCAGCCCGCTTGATTCTAGTGAAATAGCGCACAGGGTGGCATCTGGCAAGTGCTGAGCGAGAGGTTGTCTGAACGCCAACATGACGAGAACGATGACCTGGGCTAGCAATGCGGTTTGGTGATATTACAGGAGATGAGAGAAAGAGGGACTGGTCACCCTACTCAGGCTACTGAGTTTGACGGGGCCAAATGGTGAACACCTTGAGTATGGGCGAGTGGAAGTCTGGGAGATATTGAGTAAAGAGAATTGAAGTCCAAGGACTATGGGTGTCTCTCACTTTTGATTGCAACTTCCGTCGCGTTGGAGAGCATGACACACCGTCAGGGAATCCCTCTCGATACGGCCTGCCAGGATTTTGGGGTCCAACATGCAATTGGCCGGAGACGCAAATCCACATGTGCACTTTCATGCGAGGGTCAGGACGGCAAGACTCGATGTCACCCATCGATTGGAAAGCCTACCTCATGTCTGCATCTCTCCTCATTACTCTTCATTGAAAGGTGTGGGTGGCGCACGGCAGGGTGGTTATCACCCCATCATAGCCCCCTTTGCACCGCCCCAAGTTGTAAGCCTGCACTGCAACGTCGGGGTGACACGAGAGAAAGGCTGGTGAAGTGCTATCGAAGAGAGGGGGGTTAATCAAAGGGAGAACTCGGATTGGTATGCTGAAGTCTGGGCCGCATTAGGGGCAAAGCGCACGGCATTCCGTTAATTCGGAGGAGGCGATCGTCTATGCTCCGGCCGGCATTTCTCTGTCACGTAGATGCTGAGCCTTGCCGCCACGGTGCTTCTTCGGTTTGATGTTACACCAGTTGCAGAGGGATGAGAAAATAACAACCACGCTGGCGGAGCAGGTTAGGTCAGGTTGGGTCGAGTTCCCCAGCAACTACACCCGCAGGCCGTATGTACTGTAAATTCAACCCAATCTTTCACCGACGCCCTGTACCAACGTCAACCCTTAAGGCCTCTTGGTATAGTGGTATGAGACAAAATCATCTCGGGGTTTTTTTTCGTAGGTCTATGGTTCGATTCCGGGACGTGCTAGCATGCAAGTGGATAGGGCTTCGCTCAGGTCAAGGCACGTCACCGTCCAATAGGGTCGGATCGGAGACTCAGCTTTTTGCAGTTTTTCATAATAATTTTGTTGGTCTGGTTCTGTGGTGTGCATATTTCAATGACGTTTCTTCTCCCTGAGACGGTAGTATTCGGAGACTGCGTAGACGATCACTGCCAGTGCCGGAGGATGGTCTCACCTCTTTGCAGCCGTGTGAGCCGAAGACTGCCTTCCCAAATCACCTTTCCCTTCTTGGGATCCTTTGCCTCGGAGTTGTAATCACCAGGCTCCGAGCCGTTCAGGTCTGTACCTTTGGGTCGCTCGGTGAGTGGGGGCGGGCCACAGTCGAAAGCAGCGGCAAGAACATCGCGAGCAGACTTCTGTGGAGTGCGCCAGGTACCGTTAGGGTATAGAAGTAACAAGAACCTAGCTAGAATGCCTGCGAATACTCGGAATACTAAGACTCGGACGAACCAGGTGCTGTGGCGGACGATGCCGGTGGCCATGGCGCCGGGATCCACGGCGAGCACTGAGATGTTGCTGAGAGCAGGATCCTGATCAAGCCGTCTCTGGAGCTCATGGCTGTTTTAAGGATGCTTCGTAAGACAGGATCCATGTTAAGAGAGTGGTCAACATACATCATTGCGATACCACACATCTTAGAAGCGCCGTAGCGACGGTAACCTGCAGCCCAGGCCTCTTCGTTGTTGTTGTTTGGGCTCCAAAGACCCTTCGCAAGCGGCTCAAGGTCCTCGGCAATCATCGTCTTGTATCGTTCATACTTGAATGATCCATTCCAAACGTTGTTTTTGTGTTCGGGACTGTTGCGGTCAGTACGATCCGGCATCGGCACCACGATGAAACTTGCTCTTGGGCCCAGCTACTAATCCAAACAATCCTGCCGTTCTCACGATCCATACTCTGGAGGAGCAGAGGGGTGAGTAACCAATGACCGAGATAGTTGACGGCAAAAGATGTGTCGAATTTGTCCTCCGTCCAGGTCTGCTCTCCGAACTCTTCGTAGCCCGCATTGAGGATAATGGCGCTTATGGCAGGGAGAGTTCCCACTTCGACACGCGCATTGACGGCTGCGGCGAACTCGCGCACGCTGCTAAGCCGCGATAGATCAAGTGACATTGCTTCGTGGGAAACGAAGTGCTCCGATGTTGATGGGGATGACTTGAGCGTAGCATGGAGTGCAGTCGCAGACTCGATGTTCCGCACAGCAAACAAGCCATGATAGGCTCGGAGTTCAGGGCTCGAGGTAATCCGAGAGGCGATTGCACATACAAATCCGCCATTCGCGCCCGTCACCAAGATGGTGCCTTTGTGATGGGACATCATGCGAGAGCCCAATTGCGTTGCTGCTTCTGAGAAGAGAGGCTGCCTCCCGGTGCGGAAAGGGAGTACTGCGGAGTGGCAGGAGAAGAGTCCAAAGGAGATGCCCAAAAGGGGAGGCTATGCCGGAAAAGTGCATCCATCACTGGAGTAGTAGATGACCTGACCTTGAGCCTCTCGGGCAGCGCGCCGCCTCTCTGGCAGCACATGCAGGTTGGTTGACATAAAACGGCTGTTACACAAACGTGAACCAACAACACAACCGGCAGTCCCACAGTAAGGGGCTCACTGCTGCATGTGGGACTAAATTCCGCCACCGCGAGATATCTCACACATAGATATATAGGTGGCCGTACGTCTTGCCATCGACCTGGGCGGGAGAACGTTCCGGATACGAGGAGAATGGCCACATCGCGAGAGATATCTGCGAGAGTTGCTTGGATTACTGCGCTGTCGCGAAGAAATGCACTGCATAATGAGAAACGCAAAACGGCCGAGTTAACTGGTAGGTCACCTGATGGGAGTGAAGAGAGAGAATCATTAATTGCTGTTCCAAATTCGTTGGTGACACTGTGCCGGAAAGATGAAGGGATGATGCGGCCAGGCTTCACATGTAACAGACAGCTGGGAAGAAATGTGGGGATCCGCCAGCCTTACAACATCCGGTTGCAGCTGCGCGAACACCTGGAAACCGCGGGCCCGAGCTTCCTCCCTCACTACCACCTTCTCCATCCAATTGACCGACCGCTTCGACTCTACACTGTCAAGCTTGTCGCGCACGCCTTGGAAGCTTTCAGGATGGATCTAGGAGAAGCAGGAGACTCGCCATGGGGCGGTACGATAGCCCACACGGTCTCACAGCCCGCCCGCGCTCTGCTGACTGCCCACTAGATGTCCCTTCGCAGTCCATCTCGAAACCTGCTGCCTCCAGCACCGACAGTCCGTCGCTCGTTCCAACCCTCGCTCGCCGCAGCAGTTGCTGACCCGTCTCTGTGCTGTAGATGGCTCCTCGAAAGCTCAGGAAGCCGAGACTTCCCAACAATCAGGGGCATCGCTGAAATCACCTACCATCGCCAGGGGACCGAGAACCCCGGTGCGCCGTCTTGTTGCTCAACCCACCAAGCTCGAGGCTGTCGATGATCCGCTCGGCCCGTTGGGTCCTCTAGGGAATAATGCAGGTCCCGGAGCCGATTCTCAAGCCGACGAACCTCCCGTTCCGCCTCAGAAGGAACAGATGGTCATTCGAACGACTATGCCCCAGCCTCCGCAACAGAAGAGAGCCGGGCCGGGAGATCCCCATCGCATTGATGACGAGGAGTACGACCGCCCATCTGGCCCCAGAGCGCCTCCGCCAGTTCAAGCCGCCAAGCCGAGCCCCGTGCGTGCCAGCGCCCAGCCGAGCGTCAGTGTCGAACAGGCAGCGAAACCTTCCTTCCATATCGCTGTCGGTGATCCGCACAAGGTTGGAGACTTGACTAGTTCGCATATTGTCTACTCTGTCAGAACACGGGTAAGGTTGAAGCCGCGCACACATGGCCACAGGCCAAACACTGACTAGATCTAGACTACGTCGAAGGGATACAAACAGTCCGAGTTCGAGGTCAAGCGACGATACCGTGACTTCCTTTGGCTTTATAACACAATGCATGGGAACAATCCTGGTGTTATCGTGCCTCCGCCGCCCGAGAAGCAAGCGCTCAATCGTTTCGAGACCAATTTCGTCGAGTCCCGTCGAGCCGCCTTAGAAAAAATGTGTAATAAGATCGCGGCCCATCCCACGCTGCAGCGCGATCCCGACCTGAAGCTATTCTTAGAGAGCGAGTCCTTTAGCGTCGATGTCAAGCACAAGGAGAGAAGGGAGCCCATACCTGGCGAGAGCAAGGGCATGTGGGGTTCACTTGGTATCAATGTGGGAGGCGGCAGTAAATTCGTCGAGCAAGATGATGTAAGTTCATTAAGTTGACCGGATCTTGGGCAAATGCTGATTGTTCCAGTGGTTTCACGATCGACGCGTTTATCTTGATGCACTCGAAAACCAGCTGAAAGCACTCATGAAGTCTATGGATACTATGGTAGGCCAACGGAAGGCTATGTCCGAGGCAGCCGGAGACTTCTCTGCCTCGCTACACGCACTCTCGACAGTTGAGCTGAGCCCTACACTCTCAGGCCCACTTGATGCCTTGTCGGATCTACAGCTCACGATAAGAGACGTCTACGATCGACAAGCCCAGCAGGATGTCCTGACGTTTGGTATTACCATCGACGAGTATATCCGCCTCATCGGCAGCGTAAAGCAGTCCTTCGGGCAACGGCAAAAGGCCTTCTACGCATGGCACAACGCGGAGTCCGACATGCAGAAACGCAAAGCTGGCCAAGACAAACTACTGAGGCAGGGACGGTCCCAGCAGGATCGCCTCAATGCAGTTGGCGCTGAGGTTGCGGACGCCGAGCGGAAAGTTCACCAGGCTAGATTGTTGTTCGAAGATATGGGGAGACTGATGCGTGCGGAGATTGATCGATTTGAGCGCGAAAAGGTGGAGGATTTCAAGTCCTCGGTCGAAACCTTCCTGGAAAGTGCTGTTGAGGCACAAAAAGAAGTAAGCCTTTTCAGCCTTTTTCCCGACTCCATGAATAGAACTGACCTCTCAATAGTTGATCGAGAAGTGGGAGACGTTTCTGATGCAATTGGACGCCGAAGACGACGAAACTGTATTCTATCGTCCACCCGTGATCGAGACCGCCGACAAGTCGACTGGTCGTGGCAATACGGCTGTAGATCGAGCACGAGCTACCATTGATGAAGACTCGGACTAGGTGACCATTGATGAGGCTTCGGACAAGGGAGTGATGCAGAGTGTTTGGGGGTATTATATCTGATATCCTTACAAAAGTGCCAGTAATGCAGCGCAGTCTAGGGGCGGGTGTATACAATGTTGTACATATAGCTACAACAGACAGAAACGTCGATGCTGCCACATTTATCGTCTCCCTCATACCGCACAATCATACAGTAGAAGCCAAATTGCGTAGGGCCAACAGCTGCTTTCCCTCCATATATAACAAGTCGTCCCCCATATCCTGTCACTCGTCCTCTTCACACCCCTGGTGCTCATCTTCGCGCCAAGTCCAACCCCTATTTCTTCTTGCGAAGCGGCTTGTCCTCCTTGATATTCTGCTGCGGCGTCGAGTACCCAGCGATCATATCCGCCAGCGAATCCCCAGTACCCTCCTCCTTCCTTCCCGCCTCAGCGCCAGCCTCCCCTCCAACTCCCTCTCCAGCAGCAGCAGAAGCCCCCTCCTCCCCACCATCCCCAGTCTTCTCAGCATCCCACCCCCTTCCAAAGCGCCCGCGGAACGCGGCCAGCTTGCCGGCCTCGTCGACCTCGACGTTGCGCAGCGACTTCTCGCTCGGCTGCCACAGCACGTGGTTGCGCGTGTCCTTGGTGCTCTTGTAGTAACCGACAGGGGAGCTGGTGCGCATGGTGTAGGTGCTGCCGTCGGATAGTTGGACTAGCTGCGTGAAGGTGTAGGGGCGTCTGGGGCGGCGGATTATGGTCGCGGCTCGGGAGGGGGTGTGGGAGAGGGGGGTGTGGGAGGTGGTGATTGTGGTCGTGGTTGGTATAGCGGATGGGCGCCGGGGGAGGGCGCTGGGGAAGCGGGTCGCCATTGTGTGTGGTGTTTTGTGTTTCGCGCGTGGGCTCTATTGTTTTCCTGGCCGCCTGGTGGTTTGTCGACGTTGAAGGAGTGGAACGAATGGCGAGGTCGTGCTGCCTCGAGAGTTGGCAGGTTGTTGCAGCGCAGTGTGTGAGTGCGCCGGTTAGAGATCGAAGTTTCGGTTTGGACTTCCGAGATGAAGTCTTGAAATTCGTAGAGCTGCCGGCCCGATACAGGGTCTTGCAGTAGTTCCGGGCAGCTGGCGCTGGAGCTTCTTATCGTTATCGCGACCCTAGCTCTAGATTTCCAAAGCTTGCCTCCCGTCGACATGGAGCTCCTTTCAGTGAACTTGACAACCTCCAGTGAAGAAGGCCACGCCGGCTTTCGACGAATTATCTGCATGCCGTTCATGGGCTGAAATGAAGAGTCTCCGTGGTCTGTGCCGGACAATGGGGTCCCCCTTTCCACGCAATGCTGCTGCTCTCTTTGGGATGAGCTCTGGGGCTGGTGGAAGCTACTCCTCCATAATAAGATGGAAGAGCTCTGGACCGGGTCCATCATCGCGGGTTGAGAAAGGTGCGCTAGACTCTGTGGATGAGCTCAATAATGATTAGACGCTGATGTTCTAAGGGCTTAGATACGTTCGATGCAGACGATGTAACGAAAACCACACGTCGAGTCCCCGTACACTCCCAAGCTGAGAAACACACGGGATCTGCTCGTTCCGGCGACCTTCTACAGCCCATGCGCGATGTAATGCGCCAGATACCTCACCCAGTGGTTGTAATCACGACATTGGACAATACATATCGACAGCAGCTCGACTCGAACACCCCTCTCGAAGACAAAGACCTGAAGCGACCGGTCCCGCGAGCCATGACCGTCTCCTCCATGACCTCGCTGTGCATTAAGCCCATCCCCCGTGTCGCGTTCAACGTCACGTTGCCGAGCACGACCTACAACGCGATCAGGAGCTGTGGTGTTTTTAATGTGCATATACTGGCGGGCAGCGAGCATGGTGCTAGGGTCGCGGACCTGTTTACACGGGGTAATTACCGGCGGGTGGACGCGCAAGCCGCCGGACCGGATGGGGGTGTCTTTGAGGGCCTGATGGAGTTGGATGTCCAGGTCCAAGGCCGAGATGCATGGGAGCAGGAGTTCGACCAAGAGGCTACCGGGAGACCGCTCTGCAACCGAGACGATCCCTTGGACGCGGTCATGTCTGTACCGTTGCTGCAGGGGAAAGGCATAATGCATGTGCTCAGGTGCACACTCTACAGGCGCGCGGATGAGATCGATCAGAATGCGATTGTCGTCGGCGATGTCCGGGATATCGTGGCGGGAGAGCAGGCGCCGGAAGGGGCACATGCTTTGGTTTATGTTGATAGAGCATATAGAAGGATTGGGGAGCCGCTTCTTGATAGGAGCCCGGTCGCGGACAAGGCGATACGCCCGGAAGAGCCGGTAGAAGCTGGGGGAGTAGAAGGCTCGGGTAGACAGACCAATGGGAATAACGGCTAGTCTGAACAAACTAATGTTCTTGTCACTCTGGTTTTGCCTACGCTTCAGACTATAGGGTTTTGAAGGGAGTAGGTCTCTCGTCGCCACTAATATGACAGGGCGCGTGCCATGGGCGGCTCTTTGCAACAGCGGCTACATATGCAGATCGTGGAAGTTGCTAATCTGTACCGTTCAACGTCGCAGCGTTGGCCGCTATTATGGGTTTCAGGGGGTGGCAGGAGTACCGTCCATGACCACGAATCTATCCAACAGTCACCCGGTGATATTCTCTCATCTCCTGTACTCATATTCTTCCTTGTTGAGCTAATGCTGTTACCGGGGAAGAGCTTCTTAACCACACACTTTAACTCGAGCATATTATCTATCATGTTCGACTAACCTCCCTACGACTACCTAAGAAGCCCTCACTCGGGCCTTCTGGGAGCCATGATCAATTACCGCCGGTCGTCACTCCCGTTCGGAATGCGCGCCACATCACAAAGTTGATGCATAAGCATTCGAAATATATTCACGGCCTTCTCCTCGCCAACCTCTCCTGCCAGTTCTCAAGCTTTGAAGAGCCGCGTGGCTCCTCGGTGCTGTGCTCAATCAACGACATGTTTCTGTATCTGTGACTCCAGCTCCTCGTCCTGCCCCAGCTCGATTGCATGTCGCGGCTCCCTCCCCTCTATGGTGAGGCACACGCTCTCCCACGTCGGGGGAGAAGCTGTCGTACCGACGCCACAATTTGTCCTTGTGTCTGTGTGTATCCTGCCGGTCCCATCGTGACTCTTGGTTTCGGGCTGACATCCCACAGTGGGAAAGACATGTCTTGTCTGGGGCAATGGTAGGGTCTGCCGCTGCATTTGGAAAGGGTTGGGTCTGAGTAAGAGCTCCAGTGAGTGGCCCACACGAACATGGTAATGAGGTTAAAGAGAACTGGCCAATTCCAAAGGTACGCACCCGTGGAGCTTCACGATGCCCGTAACCTTCGTTCGGGCGCGAGGATTGCAACTTCAGAGATTAACTGAAACCCTACCACACCGCGAAGTTTAGTATTCCTCCAAATCGATCTCGCGGACTTATCTTCGATCAAGTCCACTCAAGTCCGGTAGTCGCTTCAGTCGAGTTGCTGTTCCTTGACAACCCATACCGATCATGAGGAAATGATTTCTTTTCCAGACGAGTCCGTACTCAGCGAGGAATAACGTTACAAGGCACGAACTCCCAACTTCGAGCTGATAACATCGGGCATTATCCAACTTTCGCGCATTTGTCCCACCCCGCTAACTCCAACTTGACGTCACTATCTTCACATCTTGCACTACCACCACCACCACCACCACCACAACCATCAAGTATCTACAAACCACCTGTCGACCTCAATTTTCCTCTACCCAACACTACATTGTCTGCCATTACACGATGCCTGACGCCGCCCAAGTCAACCGTTCCTTGGGAACGATCAGGACTGAACTCGTGAGTGGAGGGATCCGAATCCGAATCTCGTATCCTCAATGTTCCTTCGACACAAGCCGTGGTGAAGAAAATCTTCCCTCAGACCTAGCCATATGAGCTACTAAAGAGTTGATGCGGTTCACAATGCCTTTGGGCGGACTTGGGAATTGACACCAGGACGGGCCTCATCATCTCCGTCCTCGGTTGCCCTAATGTTTGGGTTTCCCTGGAAAGTCCTGTGCGATGAGGTTGCGGGCCCAGGGCTCTTGAAAGCTAGCAACGCAGCCACTGTTCCGTTCTGCCTTTCAAGATGCCGGGCTACCCATTTGGAGAAAGACGAGAGATCGCCGGAATCAGAAACCACCCCTATTCTTTGTCTTTTTGATGGCAAACTAGCTAACTGGGATGTTTCCTTCTAGGAGTTCCTTACCTCATCAGGCGTCCTGTCTCCGCCGCAACTGCAGTCCATCCAAGCACAATTGCCTGTGAGTTAGCAGTTCGACCATCAGAATAAGATGATAGCTTTGACAATATCAGCAACCTAATGGGCAACCTTCACAATGCATCGATCCGAGATATGCCCAGGGACAGCAGCAATTCAACCCCTCACAAATCGCTCAGCAGGCTCAAGATCCAAACAATCCTGCCCACCCAAACAATCCCAAGGTACGTAGTTATTGCAAGCTTTGTTGTTACCTTTCCCAGTGCGAGGCGGGTTCGAGAGGGAAACTGACTGGTTCCTAGCATCACGAATGGGCGAAGAAGCTTGGGTCCAAGTTTGGTAATGCGGCTTTGTGGGGTGCTGGAGCAACATTTGGCTCCGACATGGTTAATGATGCTATGAACAAGTTCTAGAAGTGTTTTACGCAATAATATAAATCATGTCCACTGCACAGTCGCCAAGTTGACTGCACTTTAAGGAACCCCAAGCTTTCGCGTATTCTTCAACAACGCGGCCGTCCAAGCGCTCAAGGACGACGTCGAGGGCTGCTCCGTCCGCACACAACCCAAGGCAACGAGCTGCACCTTGGCGTTGACATCCTCGGGCTCTTCCAATCTTAAGTACTAACCAAGCCGCTCACACGCCCATTCTGACCGCGACGGCCAAGATCGAGGCCCTCGGCACTGTGGCGCTTCGTCTGGGTTTCGTTCGTCCATGGGCAGCGTAGTTGTAGTTGGGCGAGACGTCGCACGGGTGCGTAGCCAACTAACTACGTGCGGTACTGGCCATCGATCTCGCCGCTCGCTCGAGCGCTATGGCCTCAGCAAGGCAGGACGGGAGCCTGGCTGCACGGTGTGGAGTTTGCTCGGCGTCGTAGGGAGGGGTGGGGGGTGGACGGCGTGCTCGGCAACCCGGGCCGTCTCGGCTCGGACCTCTGCCGCGAGGGAGGCCGGCTGATCACGGCGGTGCTGCAAGTCTGTGGTGCTCCTCCCGCCGAGTCATGCACGGAGCGTACTCCGAGTTGCTTGCTTGTAGTCGCCTGCGATCACGCCTGGAACGAGCGGGGCCTGGGGTATGTATGTCCTGGCCGCTTCATGAATCCCCCATTCGTGCAGTCTCAAATCTTTACTGTGAACTCAATTGGTGTCCACCTTAGGAGAGGGGGCCTGGTACGGTGGCGGCGGCGGTAAAGGTGGTAGACCTTCGCGCTGCACAGCAGAAGCTGGCGTTACATCGTCCGGCCCTATTACCCTACTGGCTGTGTCCGAATGCCCGTACGGCGGCGGTGGAGGCATCTCGTCCTCGTCCCCGTTCCAACCACCGATCCTCGGAGTGATGCCGCCATGTGCGGCATTATTATCATCAACATGCTGTCCAGCAAGAACGGACCGATGCCGCTGTACCATCATCGCATACTGTCCCTCCTCCGCCTCGTTATACACGCTTCGCTTCTTCTGTTCCGGGAAGCACGAGCAGGGGCATGACAAGCCCGCTTTGCGCAGTAAGCGGGCGCATGGGTCTGCGAAGGTCACTGTCCTCAGTGTCCCTATGAGGATGCGACCTGGGCGGAAGGGACCGCCGTTGTGGTGTTTGCGCATGCATTCTGTAGAGGGATGCGTGTTAGTAGTTTGCGTCCGAGACTATCACGGTATTACTTCAACTTACCGACTACGATCTCCCCTAGGAGAGTCCCGAAGAAGAAGAGGAGCCAGGCAAAGGCGAGCACTATCACCACTACGGCCCCTGTAGGCAAATTGTTGACATGGCCATCATGGTGGTCGCCGCCGCCGCCGCCGCCGCTGGCGGCTGCGCGCTCTCCAAGGACATGAAAGGTAATTGTCGTTGTCTCCATGCTGGGCCCTATGCGCCACTTGTGAGTGAGTGAGGGAAAAGAAGGTTGGAAGAGCCTGAGAAGACGGGGTGCCAGACGGATTGAATCCGGCTTTCCGGCTCGGTCTCGTGACGGGATGACGTTATGCGTGGGTCTTAATAAACGAGCCGGTCAGCCCGGTTTAGGGATCACCTCGGCCGCCGACGACTCGCGCGACAGGGGTTAAAGAGACCCCTTCTTTTGCAAATAGAAACAAAACAATTTATTAGAAAGCCATTTTAAATGATAGAGCTTTACTTGAAACGGTGTTGAATTCTCGAATTCCTAATCTTACTAAACCAGCTTTTCACTAGTTTATAATCTGTAAAATCCATGTTCGAAATTTAATATGCTGTCTATCGGTCTATTTCTTTCCGTCACAATCTGCCCATGTCCCTCGCTGACGTTCCTATGAGAGCTTAGAAACAATGATAAGGAAAGAGAAAACAGTCTGCCTGTCCCACCACGTCCTTTTGTGCCTTATCTGCTCTTCCATTAATGGCCCATCGCCTAGTTCAATCTATCACAGTCTGTAATTCCGAGCCGCTTCCCGGGTGTTACGAACCAACAATACCACGGGCCTGTAGGCAGGCCTGAAGGGAAAAGGATTACCTATGAGGAAACCCAATTAGAATAGGGACACAATACAGAACAGCGCAGGGCATCCAGGCACGTGATCTAGAGAGCTAAGATCACGTGATTAGAGTTGCTCACGTCTGCTCACGCGAGCAACAGTGAGCAGGGGAAGGTTGCTCATGTCTGCTCACGCGAGCAATGGTGAGCACACCTTATCAGTGAGGGAGAGATTGGATATATAAGGATAGATATTTCCTGGCTAGACAGATAGACAGTCTCTACCTCAGTGATCAATCTAAGCATCTTAGCCAACCCTAAGGTGGGAGAAATCTCCTGATGACTCGACTATACAGTAATCCCCTGGATCAGACCAAGCCCCAGTATCTAAGTGTCTTCTAGTCGACAGAAGCCTCTATCGTTCTTTGTGTTGACTTACCTCAGAACATAAACCCTATAGAACCCTTTTGTCATGGTCTGGTATAGGTAGCCCATGTGGTGAGTCCTGGAGCCCGGGCATGAGTACATGTACCACCATTGAATGTCAAGCTGCCACGCTTGATATTCGGCATCCTTTTGGAAGGAACAGCTGTGGCATGGTGGTTATGGTGAGCGTTCCGTCACACCTTTAGCCTTATAGGTTAGACGGCTCGTCACATTTTGATCACTCTTGTTCAGTTAGTACTCACGACGACTGCTGGGCAATATCGACTCAATAATGGCACCTCAAACCCCCGCAGGAAGCACAACGAGTGGGCCGACCACGTCGCCCAAGGACCTGGTCCGCATGGTACAACAACTCCAGTCCAGGATCCAGTAACTTAAAGGCAGTAACCAGCAGCTGAAAGCACAAGTCATGGCAGCCCCAGTGACAGGGAACAGTGGGTACAAGTTACCCCTTTCAGCTTCTTACAATGGGAAGGATAGCAACGTCCAACGCTTCCTTACCTAGGCCAAGGCCTACCTCAGGTTCTACGTACACCAGATCAATACGGAACCAGACAAGGTGCTCTGCGTGGCAGGATTCCTTAAGGGCGATGCCCTGGAATGGTTCAAACCAATCATGAGGAACTACCTCGACAAAGACAAGGACAAACAAGAAGACGAGACTAACAGAGTCTTCCAGAGTTACTACTATTTTAAAAAAAAATCAGGCCGACATTTGGAAACCCTGACGAAGCCAGGTCAGCGAAACTACGACTCATGACGCTATGACAGCAAGGATCAGCATATAAATACGCAACAGAATTCAAACAGGCCGCGTCTCAAACTGACTAGACTAACGAAGATGCTCTCATGGCACAGTTCTATACCGGACTCAGATGACATCAAGGACGAAGTGTCCAAGACTGAGCGACCCCATAAACTAGATAACTATGTCACACAAATGGTCAAAATTAACAACAGACTTTATGAGCGACAGGTAAAGAAATAAAGCTTAGGAGTCAGGACCTTTATTAAACCAAATATAAGAAAGTGACGATATAACAATCAAAGCTGTACCCCTAAGGTACCCAGTACTGCAACAAGATACCATTCAGGACCTATGGACCTTGATGCCACCAAATACGACAAGAAGGACATCAAATGTTATAACTATGGGAAGAACAGGTACTACAAAAGGGAATACCGCTCTCTACAAAAGAACAACAATTAGTGGCAAAAGGTACCAGAACCCCAGCAGCAGATTGCCACTATAACACGCTCGGGATACAATAACGAGCAGGAGGTCAGCATGATGGCCAGGGCCAGCACTTCTTAAGAACCTCGCATTCCAGAAGGGGAATACGAATACTATCATAATCCGGAAGAGAAAGCGTGCCCTACACACCCCAATTCAGCCAAGTCACAAGCAGCAATCCGCAAGGGATGCTACTGTTACACATGTTTCATATACGAACTTCACCTTCACCTTCACGGGTGGCCAGGCAGCGAGGACGAAGAATCGGACAGAAACGTCACGGCTTACGACGACAGCGGACGACCAGAATACCTTGAACCCCTTGCCCCGGACAACTACAACCGATTCAAGGACGATATACAAATTGTGATACAGGGCAGACCACAACCCGAGGTTCACGTCACTACGATGACCAGCACAGACAGCGCCAACACACAGGAGTTCGACGCACAGCATTTCCAGGAGCTGAACCTTGAGCTGTTCGAACAGATAACAGCACAAGAGCAAAGTAAGAAGCTTCAGGAGAAGAAAGAACTCCAGACCAACGGATGGATCACAATTCCAGGACAAAGGATAGAAGAGGACAAAGAAACAATCAACTCTATCCATACCCACATAAACAAACCACCAAAGGTCAACACACAAAAGGAAGACACACGACTGATATTAAAAGGACTAGGACAGAAAGAATTGTCCTGGATTTCCTGTGTCTTTAACGACTGTGGACTACATCTAGGGGAGACACTACACCATTAGTGGTTCCCCACGAGGACTGGACAGCACTTCATCACCAGACTATACTTGGAACACGAGACTCAAAGAGTCGTTACCACGTATAGGGAAACCTATGCAATCTTACGACCCGATCCGGCATATCCCAGAGAATATCTGCAAGACCAGGAGTGGAGCCAGTGCCCCAAAGATGAATGTCTTATCCATACTATAAGGAAAGCCGAGACATGGAGAGAAATTAAACAAGCCTATCAAGGAAAACAGATAAGAGTCTTACTTCCAGTAAAAGGAAATGACCAACCCCAGAAGAGGACCAGACGATCGATATCAGGACCCAAAAATCAACAGCAACCGGATGACAACACATCAGTCAGTCCCAAGACTCGCCAGAGACGAATACAAGCCCATTCAAAAGATGGAAGAGGCCAGCAGTAACGGGACAACCGCTGGACCTAAGCAAAAGATCCCTGTACGGAATCAATACAGGACTACACGAACATATCAACATTGAAATCATATACCACAGACACAAGATCTGAGCGATAATCGATACAGGAGCACAAGGAAGCTATAACATCTCACCCCCCCCACGGACCACTCCACACCACACCACTCTCATTCAGATGAAGCTATCTACAACCACCACAGTTGCTAAATACACTAAGGTCGTGGTGTTCTAACCATAATACAGCTCCCAGAATCCGATTCCGACCCTAAATCTTCACCAGGGACCTCTTGTGGGACCTCTTCGCCTGCAGCGGAGTCCCTATAGACCCTCCTGTTCCTCAGCTCCATTTTGGCCTCCCTTATGTTAGCCATTGTGACGAATCGTTCCCCTGGTGTTGGTTTGACTGCTTTTTGAGTGGTATTAGCCTTTTTAGCCACTTGAGCCTCAAGCAGCTCACATTTGGCCCGTGGATTTGCAATGGTAGCAGCCTGAACATCCATGGCCTTGCCAGCCTTCTGCACCAACAAGCGCTCAGAGGGCCCCCCAAAGGAAGGGTCCTTTCTTTCGAGCTTTTGAGCACTCTCCCGCAAAGCCCGGCTTCCAGAGGGTGTTGTGATAATGGTTTTAGCTACCATCTCGAGAAAATCTGGTGTTGTGGCTCGCTCGGAAGCCTTAGGGTCCCTCTGGCGTGCCCTGGCCACCCCCTTGTCCTCCAGAATCACATATTTCGACTTCAACGCCTCTGCTCTGTTGCGAGGAACAATCCCAGTCTTTTTCCAGGCAATTCTGATGTTGAGGAGCGTCATTGTGTCCTTCCGGGCCTGCTCGTAGCACTCCAAAACCTCCTCCTTAGATGGCCTGAGTCCCAGACGGCCGCTGGGCGTCTCCTGGAGTAAGGTCTTCAACCTCTTCTTCACCAAATTGAAGACTCCTACATCTAATATCTGGACTACATGGGAACAATGAGGTTCATAAAAGATCAACCATATTTTGTTTCTCAAGCAGGTGGCTAAGAACTCGTCATTCGTGTGGGAGTCGTGGCCATCACACACCAAAACCACCCATGTGTTGCCATGGATCTCCCGAATGTGAGGAATAAAGATACGTTGAAGCCATTCTAACACAACGGGATTCGAGGTCCATCCATTAGGCGACATAGTAAACCTCCAGTCGGTGAATTTGTCCTCATTTTGGTTATTAAATCACTGGGCTTGTACGTTAACCCCCTTGAGAATCACCAGCGGCGGCAAGGTCTCACCAGATCCGCTCATACACTCTAGGGCAGTTATCCATTCACCCTTCTCGACCCCTTTCTTCATAGCCATGTTGCCGGAGGCCTCGGAGACCACCCAATGGGAGTCCCCAACCCCCTGGGCGATTCCCATTTCGTCGACGTTGTACCAGCGTGCTGGCATGAGGTTAGCCACGTCAGGGGCGTCACACCGATCAAAAAAAATGTTGATATTTGCCGCTGTAGTACCATTCACTCGGTTGTAGTCGACACGAGACTTTATTATCTTGATTTCCGGGTTTCGAGACAGGAACTTGGATGCCCAATTTTTCCCTAATTCTCGAGCATCCCCGGTGGCATGGAGCATCCACTGGGCCATGAGACAGAACTTAGAGACCGCCGAAGAATACCCTAGCCGTGCTTGCCCCAGGGCCCAGCTTGCCAGCTTATGTTCGAGATACGGTGAGAGAGCCTGTTGGAGAGCGCTGGTCTCATTCCGCGTTGGGGTGCCAGAGATTCGTCGGTTGACGTACGAGCGACTGATTTGCCATTCGAGGGCTGACGAGCGGACTGGAGCTCCGCGTTGGATGGCCAAAATGGCGGCTTCAGCTTTTATTTGACGGTTGTAAAATGACATCATGAGATTCAGCAGTAGATAAGGATTCAAATAGTGTGCTTTGTGAAAAAAAAGATGCAAAAGTGATGGTGTAGATGGTGGATCACCATAATCCTGGTGGTTGGTGAATTACGCGTTTGTGGGTCAGAACGCGCTGGTCCGCGGGGGGGTGGTCCGCAGGGGGGTGGGAGATGTTAACCTCCATTGGCTAGCTCAACGGCGTTCTCTGAGTATCCTTCGGCCCGTGCAATCTCCTGAGGACTGGCTGAAAAGTACATTGTTGCAACACAGTCAGCTTCTGTTTTTCAAGAAGAAACCTAATCTTACACGGAAGCATATCTTCCCATGCTCTTTCTTGCTCCACTGTAGGGTATCCGGAGTGTGTTGTACCATTCGGGTGTTCTGACGCCTGGTCATTGTTGACTTCGTAGTCCAGCGTACTATGGACGGGAGCTGTGGACTCGCAGGTCAGCAAAGGAAAACCGAAACGGCTTTGCGCAAATATAAACATACACCAACTAACTCCTCTCGAGGGAGCCAGATTACAGCCTCCGGGTCCGTATATTCACGGTATTACTAGCAAACTTATGGCCAGTAGGTGAAGGAAAATAAGGTAGGCTGAAATGTGTGTGGCCTTCATAGTTCGTTCGAACCATGAAGATAGGCCTCGCCTGCCGGCTGATGTCTCCAAAAGACGCAGAGGCGCTTCTTGGGCCGCGGATGCCTCATCATTATGGTGTAAGGCTCGATAGACCGCCATCATACGGATGATGATGTTCAATGCCACTTGACATAGGGTAAGATAGACGCTGTGGAGGCGCACGTGAGAGAATGTCTCAGAGTAAGAAAGGATCTTGGAAGAAGGATGCTGGGGGATGTCAATGGACGGAGAAACCCAATAGAAAGGCCCCCAAGCAAGTTAGTAACTACCTAGGTACCTATCTCACTGCGTACGGTGTCTCTTCACATGCGGCTGCCAGCCAGCGTGCACGCCGATGTCAACGTGCCACAGCATATACGTTGGTTGCAACGGCCTCAATGTGTGTAGGACCAGTAAGAATCAGCAATTGACCTTGGGCAGTTGCCCGTCGGTGGAAGAACGGGATACAAATAGAGCTCAATCTCCCACGAAAATTGAACCGGACCCAGGGCTACTAGCACAACTACGAAGACTCCAAGATTTCTCACAGCCGATCATCCAACCTTCAAAAAACCCACTCTTATTGCCGCATCCCGCTACCATGCATTCCGTCAAATTCATCGTTGCGTCTCTCGCTTTGGTGCTGGGGCTTGCACTGGCAGCCCCTACCGCACTCGTTAAGTAAACTGAGCCTCGGCTTGGTCCAATGGACTGATGACCGCAACGAAGATATCCAAGGGCCGCAAGTCGTCAAAACCCGCGGCGGCGACGTCTGCGGAGTCGGGGGTGGGCTTGATCCCGACAGCCCAGTGGCAGACGGCGTTGACGGCTCCGACTGCATCTAAGACAGGATCAACCCAAGACAACCTCGACGCATTGAGGGATAGATGGTGGTGACATTAGTGGTTGGACCGTTGCGGGCTTGATTTCGGGAGAATGAGTTGTTGGTTGTCTTCACTTGGTCATCATTCACGTGGGGGTGCTGAGCTTTCTGCCTAGCATCTACTTTAGCTGAGCCTTTGGGTGTTGTTACGGTAATACAGAATACCTCCACATATTTATGTACATATATACCCCCAGCTTCCCCTCTCTCTTCCGACCTTGCCTCTTCTTCCTTAGATATCGTTGAATCGAGATATTTCATCCCCTCAGCCCTGACCAGCGTAACTGCAGGCCTGATTGTCACAGGTGTAAGCTAACCTCTCCTCCATTCCTCTTCTACTGTTGCTCCCAGGCAAAGTTATACCTCTCGGCAGCAGGAATAGACGATGCCGTATTCCCCTCCTGATGTACTTCTACGTCCAATGTGATCTCAATGTATGGCCTTCGATCTCCGTTGCGCGACGGCCGCGTGCTCGGCAAGGTCGGTTTCGAAAATGTAGCCAACGATTGCTGGTGAGATGATTTCGGGTCATTGGCCAACATGAATCCGCTCTGCAGAGACTTGAGCAAGGGCCAGAAGTACACAACACATGAGGCTGTGATACTTGTGAACTGGACGAACTGGGCAGAGAGGTAGTAAGGGAACGAGTCGAGTGTAAAGTTATCGCCGAACAGTCTTGAAAGGTAGACTAATTGACAGATGGTGGCCACAATGACGCTGGCTTCATGTTAGAACCCCTGCTGAGTTTCAACCTCATTGTGACTTACAGTATACGAGTCATATAGAAGGCGATAACCGTAACGCGTACCCCGAAGGCCGTGTGCAATGGGTATACAATGACGGTAGGTATAGCAATGAGTGCCGCATCTGTCAGAATGTTGGTGACCGCCATGTAGGCTAAGCACCCATGCTGTTTGAGGTCAGCATATCTCGAAGAGTCAGCCAGTACTCGACTTTGCGGCTCACCATGTTAATGCAGCGTGCGCCCTTGGTATCCCAACGGCCATGTGCTCCGCATTGGAAAGCCACTCCCAAGAAGGACGTTATCATCCATCCCACGACGATGCCACCCACAGCATGTGTCATGTATCGATGCATTAGGCTGGGCGATAAAGCGAGGAGGCTGACGTAGACAGATAGTTTCGAAACCGAGACATAGGATGAATAGAAGGTCCCTGACATATCCAGCGTCTTGGGGAAGGTTAGCATGGACATCGTGGTTCCGCTGGCAGAGCAACAAACCTTCTGTGCAGCGCTCAGTTCCTCCTCTGAAACAATGGCGATATCCTTCCCAAATGCGGTACTTTGAGGTATGAGGACTGTTACAGACTCTCCAATTCCCATCAACTTGCGCCATTTGGTTAGCATTTCCAGGGGAGGAGGCCAATATGGGATTGGACTAGAGGATGTTGCCGTACGTAAGATACAACGATGAACACATCCTCCCATCCGAAAGGCTTGCCAATCTTGATGTAAAACCTGGTCAAATCTCAAAGGGCTGAGGAATGTCCTCCGTGTTGGTGGTGCTGCTGCTGGAGAGCGACATCTCACAGCCTTGACACAATGACCTTTCAATCTGTCTCAGTGAACTTGAGCCGCAACCACGAGCAATGTTGGCAGTAATGCATGAGTGGCGTGGAGCATGCAATCCCGATGCTATCATCTGCTGTATCATCATGGTTGGTTAGAGCTCTGGTTAGCCGCTCCTGGCAGCCTCCTGCAGTATGAGTGTCTCTTTTTGCACTGTTGGGCCAGCGCTGCATTTCTGGCTCGGGGAGTTGCTTTACTCCACCTTCCGAAGTCCCGGAACCCAGACCCACGTCCCGATGAGAATATGCAAGTGGCTGCTTGTAAGAGTGCGGTGTACCGCGAGTGACAGCCTGGTACCTGTGCTGCTGTTCCAAGGGCCAGGATGTTTTTGCGCCCTTTCACAATCCTGCGCCGGACCAGATCAACCAACAATGGAGGAACCAGCAGGAGGACACAGGGATGCCGAGAGCGAGGCCTGAGATACCCATGGGAGACTCTCTCTGCAACTACTAGGACAGGAGCGACTGCTTGTCTTCATCTTCGGGGAGCCCACCTCCAGCACATTACACACTTTTGAGAGCCTCAGTATTCTTCACACGACCAACTTCGCACCCTTTCTCGTCCGACCTGCCTATCCGTCACTTCAGCACGTCAGAGCCTATGGTTTGAAGTCACCATGTCGAGTGACGGGATTGAACTTTGCGCTCCTGGTATAGCGGATAAGGACCAATTTTAGCCCAGTCATCCCAGTCGCGATCATCTTTACTCCGATGATGAACTCCTTCGTCGTCTAGGCAAAAGACCATTGCTGAACCGCAGCTTTGGATTTATGTCTATTCTTAGGCTATCCTACTCAGCTCTTTACACCTAGGAGGGCATCTTAGTATCGTCTATTCCAAGCCTCATAACCGCCGGTCCAGCAGCAATGATATGGTCGCTACTAATAAGCTAAGTAGGCACTACTTCTGTGTATGCTATGCTGGCAGAATTGGCGTCCGCAGCACCGACTGCTGGCGGACAATGTACGTCAAACCCCCTTCGCTTGTCACCCCGTCTGGACTGCACCGTCGAAGACTTCATATTGAGCTATTCGGGTACGCTTTCGTCACTCGATACAATCGCCAATGAGAATACTGACTTATTTACTCGTATAGACCACTGGGTTGCCAGCATGGCACCCAAATCCTGCTCGAACTTCCTCGCCTACCTTACCGGCTGGCTTACAACCCTCGCGTGAGAAGCTCAAGCAATTACGACGAGTTACCTGACGGCAACTACACTCCAAGGCATCATCGTGCTAGCAAGACCTTCGTATGTCGCAGAACCCTGGCAAACAGTGTTGCTTTGTGGGCTGTTGCGTCATTTGCTTGCGCTCTGAATTTCACCGGCGGACTTCTGGCCAGGTTCGAAGGTTTGATCCTGATCTTACACCTCGTTGGCTTCTTCGGGATATTGGTCCCTCTGGTGTACTTCTCAGATCACAACAGCGCAGAAGCCGTGTTTACCACGTTATACGACAACGGAGGGTGGCACTCGGACGGGTTGACTTTTTTAGTAGGCCTCGCATCTATTATCAGCACACTAACTGGTGCCGGCTGTGCTGTTCATATGTCCGAAGAAATACAGTCTGCTGCTACAGTCGTACCGAAAGCATTGCTTTATACGATTTCGATCAACGGGACTTTGGCTTTCGCTATGGCTATCGCTTTCCTATTCTGCATTACCGACTTGGACGCAGCCGTCGCGGCAGCGGACACCATGTTCTACCCGTTTCTCCAGGTATTCCAATCCGCTGTCGGGTCTACTGCAGGTATGTCAAGTCTTTCCGGCCGGAAGTTTTCCTCTACATGCTAACGAGGAGCCACAGGTGCATGTGTTATGGCCAGTCTTATCCCTATACTAGCACTCGCCAGCAGTATTCGGGTTTATGCCACCTCATCCCGAATGATTTGGTCGTTTGCACGATAGGGGGTTGCCTTTTAGTGGGCATTTGGTCAAGGTCAGCATACCAGTCCACAACCATATGCATCTATGCTGACCACCTAATTTGGCACAGCTTACTCGGAGCTCTTCGCTACCACTGTTCGCAATATTTGTCTCCTTGGGCATCACGGTCCTCCTCTCTTTGATCGTACTCGGCTCCGCCGTTGCATTGAATGCGTTACTGTCACTCATCGTTGTCGCATTGTACTCATCCTACCTTCTCACTTGCAGCTTAGCTCTCTGGAGGCGTTGCACTGGGTTTTTTCGGCCCTACGCAACGAAACCAGAAGATCAAAGGGATGTTTATGGTCTCAATTGGGGGCCTTGGAGACTTACTGGACCGTTTTGGGTGGCTAACAACGCATTCGCTATTGTATATTGCGCATTCGTTCTATTTTGGTCTTTCTGGCCTCAGACGAAGAACCCCACCGCAGATGAGTTCAATTGGAGCGTTTTGGTGTTCGGTTCCGTGGTTCTTTTTACCATTGTGTGGTATGCCGCGCGTGCCAAGGTTCACTTTAAGGGGCCTGTTAGGGAGGAATCTAGGTCCGGGCTATAGTGAGACGGGCCTCGGGAGGTTTCATTGTTATCGACAAGATAGCTAGAGTATTTCTCGTAACGGTAGTGGGCATGGTGGTAAAGAAGCGCTGTTAAGTAGATCATTCCGTCCACTTCAAGTCCACTTCCTTCTACGTGGACCCCTACCTTACCTGCTTACCCACTGGTCCTCCTACCTCTCCAGCTGCTTTGCTCGGCCTGCTGCCGGTAAGCGCGACTGGGAGATGGCCGCACCCGAGAGAATCCCGAAGCGAGTCTTCATTGACGTTGGCCGCCACCGTGACTTCCGCGAAGTGGCATGGGAAGACCCGAGCCCCGTCGTCGGCAGGGGAAGACCCGAGCCCCGTCGTCGGCAGGGCTCGGATGAAAAAGATGCAGAAGAAGCAAGTCGCGCCCCCCCGAAGCGCAGAACACAGAGGCAGATGCCCAGCTGCTCTTCAAGACCATTGAAAAGACGACCATGTGATTCGTGTTCGACCTCTTCCACGCCGCCGTGCGGACGAGCAAGCTGTCGACACGCCCACCACGTCCGCAGGCGACCATGTTCTTTCACAGCAGCCTTCAATCACTGAGGAGCCCTCGATCACGGAGCAACCCTCAGTTATACAGGAGCCTTAATAATGGAGGAAGCCCTCCTTCACAGATGAGCCTCAAGTCCAAGAGGCATAAACGATCTAGCGAAGGCGATGCGAGGCCGAATGCGGCAATGCCAGACCGGACTGGACGGACGCTGGTTCCGGGCCATCGTCAAGATGTAATCGCGAAACAAGCATCTCGAGGCCCACGTCATCAGTCCAAGTTACGGAGTGGTTGATGTCGCGCCAGCCAGGAGGGGTATCTGGAAATCACCTAGCCGACGGGCCGACCCCGCGGTTTGCTTCTTCCTCCCTTCTGCATTCTCCTCACAGTCCTCTCTTCTGGCGTGGAATTCACCAGACTCTGCCATCTCTTGGTTATTTCTCGTTCCCAAACCACAGTCTCACATATTCTCCACGCGGAGGTGAAGGTGGAAACACTCTCGTTGCCTAGGAGCAACACTAAAACAAAAACGACAAGGGAAGAAGGCAAAAGTGAGGATTATACAGCGATTGATGCCGTCGGCCAGGCAACATGTTGTAGTTCCGTGAAGATATGGGACGCTCTGCTAATCTGCGTCGCTCTGTCCAACCCGTGAACGCCGATACCCTTCCGAAAGCCTCGAAAAGCATGCCCACGATGAAATCTGGCAGGTGCTTTGCAGTCTAGACCTTTCTATGGGAATAACGTAGACATTAATGCCTTTGAAAGTGCCCATAGGTGTGTGCACTCGTTTGGGTGGTAATATGTACTTGGAGTTGAAGGTTAATAGGCACACGCAAGGAGAAGTGGTGCAGTGTGGATGGAATATTGATCGGAGAAGACAGCGCTGCATGTAATCAAAACGTAGGAAAGTCGTAACGTCGTTCGGTTGGTTTGTATATCCTGTGGGGTTCTGTGGGCTTCGGAACCATTGCCAGGCTTGTGGTGGTATGAGGCTCATCACATCATGATGCAGCATCCGCAGCCCGCCTTTTGGGGTTTTTCCTGAGGTTGTGGTTGCTTCGGAGGCTCTTGGACCCTGGTGATCTGAGGTGCTTGGAATTGCGGTTGCTGTAAGGACATGGGGCTGCCGAGGGGACTTGTAACCGGCTTGTCTTGGATCTTAGGCATGGTCGAGTAGGAGCTTGTCCCCGGGCGGCTCATACTTGTGGTTCTCGCATCCGGCCGTATCACATCCGGCCGTAAGGGCCACTCGTTTTGTGGCTCTTCAGAGCTGCGCGGCTTTTCCAGCTCGGGCGGCTTCGCAAAGGCTTCGTCGTTCAAAGGACGGAACTCCTTGTCGTACACACTTCCAAATGTGCCTTCCTGCTCCCACTTTTCTTGTTGTAACCTCTTCGCAACCGTAGGAAGAAGTTGCTGATCTGGAGGCAAGCGTGGGTCGGGTTTGTACGCCGAGATCATCCACGGCGGTTCACCCTCAGGAGCTTTGGGTGATAATTCGCCGGATCGAGTCGTCGGCCGTGCTGTGGAGCCACTTCGCTGCGTAGGGCCGTTTCGCGTCCTCGGTCGAGCCTGCGTTGCTGACTTCGCGGGCGCCGAAGCCTTGCGGGCTGTCGTCGTGATTCCTTTCTTGGGGGACCCCTCAGTGACGGCGCGTTTTCCTGGTTGAAGCTTGGGCATGTCTAGAGCATTCGCACTGCCGCTTCGGGACCGTGCCTTCGGCAACGATGTCGTATTATCACCATCCAGATGGTGGAAGCTTGGCCGTCGCAAAGCAGGGGCATCTCGATCGAGAAAGTCGACAGGAATCGGCGCGGGACTGAGTTTAGCCACCGGGATGCGTGATTTCTTTCCAGAGTCGTTCGATACCCAGTAGTCGCTAGGATCCTCCGCAATTTCTTCAGGAAGCCGGAGATCCCAGCTCGGACTTTCGAAGTCAGTCGTTTTGTCAGCCCCTAAATCTGTGTCCTTCCGAGGTCTCGGTATCGATTGCTGATCCGAAGCGTCTGTGCCCCGCCGATTCCCATTCATCTTGTCCGGACTGCGCTCCCGCCTCGGCCTGCTTTGAGCCCTTGGCTTGGGCAATATTATACCGGCTGCTTGTAGTTCCTGACTCTCTATCTTGGCAAGTTTGTCCCTGTGAATCCATTTCGAGTTTTCATCGTCATATACCATAGGAGAGCCTTCGCGGTGCGGTCGCTTGTGTTCGGAGACGGTAGTCCAGCTATTACTGCGTGACGCTATAGAAACGTGAGAAGTTAATTCCAATACGACACGGGTCTACGCCCCGCGGTGAATATGTGAAGAGTGTGTTGGTCAAGACTCGCTGACGGGTCGATCGTACCTCTTGTAGCCGGATAGCCATCCGCGGCGTATGGGTCGTGGTTAGTGTCCCCATTGTGCGTTGCAAATGCGTTTTTCGAAGAAGCAGAGGCACTGGCCTCGTGACCCCAAGATTTGTGCTGCATGTGGTCCTACGAAGGAGCGCGCATAATACGTCAGTTGAGATCGGGTCGACAGGTTTCCAGGTTCGGCAGACAAACTGGTTACCGGTTGCAAGCGGTGCGGAGAAGTGGTGGGACTAGAGCAAGAACTCACCTCAGGATGCCCAGACGACGCATATTTCCACCCCGCGTATTCTCCCTGTGCGCTGCTCGTCGGAGGGAGTGTCGTGGTACCCGAGGCCGCTGCCATGGCTGGCATCTGTATGAGCCGAGGCCACGGGTGACCGCGTGCTCGTCGGGCTCAGGCAGCTGATACCGAACGGATTGTGTTGTGGTGCAGTACCAAGATGGAGAAAAGGTCGAGGCTGGGGAGAGGAGCGTCGGTCGGCTTGGGTTGGTTGGGTTGGTTGAGTGGTTTTCGAAGAAGAGGGTGAACAGTCGCCGGCGGCTGTCGATGTGGTGGCCGAGCCCGACAGTTCTAAGTTCTAGGTTGGAGCATATGCCGACAGACAGAAGTAAATGATGACGGGGGGTCGGGGTGTTCGAGAGGTCCTTAAAGTGGTGTTTTAGGCGGTTGTTTCTGACGGTTGGTGGTGTCTTAGCGTGCCGGTAGTGGAAGACTACGGGCCGCGCTGGCTGAGACAATCGTAGAAGCTTTGATGAGTGATGAGGAGCGGGTGATGATGGTGAACACTCAATGCGACTGGCACACCCTGACACCCTGGTGGTTCCTGCGCTGCCTCGACTTCCAATGGTGATCCCTTCTATTGGAACTGCAGCAGATCAACAGGTGAGTGGTAATAACATGAAGGTAAGGAGTGCGATGCGAGTGCGGTTGGAAAAGTAGCAAATATTGTGTCCAGGGGTCTTGCACTCGCAATCACATTATGTTCCTACCGGTACCAGACATGAAGTATATTGGTTGCTTGGCCCTCGTCCAATCGCGTCCAGCGGGGCAGTCGGGAATCCAGTCGGCCATTGTCCCATAACTCGCTCATCGTTCTGCACGCGCTGCACGCGGCTGCCGTCCATCCATCCATCCATCCATCCACCAGATCACATGCCCACAGCCAACCAGACTCTTTCTTTTATTACTTACCTCTGGAACCGTCAAGTCCATTCAGCACATTCAGCAATCAATTGCATCCGATGCCCTTCCATATCACATTTCACCGTTGCAAACTTGCATCAACAACATAGAACCTCTTCCACCCCGTCAATGCCTCATTACAGTTTCCCGGGTTGGGCCCAGCTCGGGGCTCTGGTGACCCCTGCAAATTTACCCGGCATGTCCGATAGCGTCGCCTTCTTTGAGTCTCGACCAGCAGCCACAATCTTGACCACTCTGTCCAGCTGTCTGTGTAATAAACCTCCAAAAGTTGTAAGTGCAATAATGGTTCTGGAATAAAGCACTGAGGCAGTTGAGGATGGATTATCGGATCAAGACTGCCTAAGGTATTCCAGGGTGCTCCAAATGATCTGCGGATGCTACACTGTCAGAGTGTCCAGCCAATAGCCTCGCCCGGATGGTAGCATCGATAAAGGTTCAAGGAAATTGTCTCTGCTCACCTAGGCCAGAACTTTGTCTCCTCACGACAATGAATCATCTGAACAATCACCTTCTGTCTACGTTGATCTAACTATTCAATGTTTGCATGAAGCATCCATGCATGTCATCCAAACAACATCACAAGAGGGGGGCAGTTGAGCTCGGACAACCCCTGAATTCATTCAGATGGAGGACCCGGACCGTTGAGATGGCATTTCTTTTCTTGTTTAGATACCTGCAGGATGAGATAAGGTCGCATCGGATGCGCAGGGCTGCCGGTGCCGGTGGGAGGTGGGACAGGGAGCGGGGTACATGAGCTACATACCTTTATGTACTGTATGGACCCGACCAAAACACTGTGGCCTTGCCAGAGCTGTCACATGTGAAACACGGTGTTTACTTCTCTCGGGTACTGTATGCGTATCACCACACCACATCACCTCCTCGACTTCCTTCATCTTGCTCCATACAAGCAGTTTTTGGTGAAGCAAACACATTTTCCCTAATGTACATGTAGTTTCTTGGAAAATGGCGCCGACGCACCCTATTCTCAAGCCGCTTGGCTGAGGTGTTTGTGCCGTTGCATTCTCCATTCCCTGTTGGGTTCAGGTAGGAAAGGTACTGTATCTGTATCACCCGGTAGACATTCACTTCAAGTTGGTGAGCATCTTCCTACGTCATGTTTGCTGGCCAAACCACCTGTGTCCAACCTCTATCCTTCATCAGCAAACTTCCTTGCATCTAGTATCACTACCGACGCCATACACTTCCTTCGGTACACATTCATGCATTCCCGGAGTCTAGTTTTCCGGCATTCCGGCGACTGTCACCTCGCCAGACTGCCATCTTCCCAAGGGGTTCCGTCGAGCGCTCCTCTCGTGGTCGCTCAGCCGCGAGGCTTAGAAGCTGACACAACTGCGGGCGTCCCAGCCATACCACCGTCGGCTGTACCGCAACAGACACGACGGACTCGCTTTGTCTGCATCTCAGACACCCACAACTGCACAGTCAAGCTACCAAAAGGCGACGTGCTCATCCACTGCGGAGATCTGACGAACCAGGGCAGCTTCAGCGAGCTCTCCAAACAAGTCCGGTGGCTTGAGAAAGCCGACTTCGAGTGCAAGCTTGTTATCGCGGGGAATCACGACCTCACCCTCGACACCGCCTTCTACGAGCAATTCGGCGCCTACTTCCACAACAACGCACCGCAGAATCCCATCAACTGCCAGGACCTGTTCACCAAGTCCAACTCCCTGACTTACCTCCTTCACGGGAGCCGAACGATCAAGCTTGCCTCCCCGTCCGGTCCGCACACCACGTTCTCCGTTTTCGGGTCGCCCTATACTCCCGAGTACGGCCAATGGGCTTTCCAATACAGTCGAAAGGGATCCGCTGGTGATGAGATCTGGAAGGACATACCACTCGACACTGACATACTGGTCACTCATGGCCCAGCACATACACACACGGACGAGGCCAAAAACCGAGCGGCTGCGGGCTGCGAGAGTCTAAGGCAAGCCATGTGGCGGGTGCGCCCTCGACTCGCGCTTTGCGGACACATTCACGAGGCGAGAGGCGTTGAGCGCGTACGATGGGATCTCGACAGCAAGTCAGTCAAATACAAAGAGCTAAGCGACGTATTTGAATGGCTAGACCCTGGAGAAGGCAACAACAAGAACAGTTTGGCCGACCTGACGGCTAAGGGCGGGAGGCCTTTAGAAAACGATGGCCACAGAGCACCAGCAGACACACCACAGACATCTTGGACCTCGCATGCTACCGGGATGGAATGCGGTGGGGACAAAGGGGTGAGTCCCGGCATTGGTACTCGGGGCCTTAGCGGGAGCCCGGAGTCTGCGCGCAGCGATCAGGCGGCGTTGGCCGGGCGGCTGGGTCGGAAGGAGACGTGTATCGTCAACTGCGCCATCCAGTCGACCGGATACCCTCACTCGGGACCGCGCAGACTCAACAAGCCCATCGTCGTCGATCTGGACTTGCCCGTCTGGGAAGATGACTTCCCTTGTCCATCGTGAGTTTTGTGTGACTTCTGGGATACGCGTAGAAGTATCTTGCCCCCCGTTTTGTGAGCGCAGTATGAGACGCAAGGGACGCATTGGTTGGTTGCAGCAAACCTGTAACAGCCAGATCGTGGATCAGGCAGAGGGAGCAGCCAGTGAGGTCAAGAGGAAAGGTCTTTGATCCGGCACCTATGCTCCTATGAACCCTTCACATGATGACTTTGCACAGCTGTACCCACTTCATCAGCTCTATGCTACAGAGGGATAAATGTTGGTTCACTGTTTGATAACCGACGTCAAGCTAAGGGAGTCGGACTATGAAGTCATCGCGCGTGTTGAGAACACGCGACCGGTTCTAGCTTGACCTATAGCCATGTTCAGAGACTGGACAGCAAGTTGATCATGATTTCAAGAGCAAAAACTGGTCCATGTTTCATTCGTAAGGATGTCACGAGCTCAATTCTTGTACGGCCGCTCTCGGACCTGACACCTCTCTCACTTATGTTCCAACGCCACGAGGCATATCGCTTCTGTATTCCCGATCTCTCCTGCCTCTTCTGACCAAGCTCAGGTGTGATGACCTCAAGCGCAATACAAGTAATTGACCTTAGTTCGTATGATTCTGATTTTTGGACTGAATTTTACCTGTGCTAGAAAGTACTCGGTTACCATCACTCATCAGGAAGATCAGGGGGGTAGGAAGTGATAGTACGCAGGTGGTGCTTTGTCGCATTTCATCAGCGTACATCTCACGGTAGCCTCATGTGAATTGAGATCAACCCCTTTTGGGATGGCTTTGTCAGGGGGTCTTAGAGGCAAGGGCATATAGGCATTACCTCAGCAAAGCTCAGACCGTCAATTGCATCTAACGGAACTCTATTTTTAACATAGTAACTTGCTGGAGCCTCTGTCAGCTTCGGCCGGGGAAGTTTCCTGGTTGGTGCGGCTGAATTCGCTAACCCTTGCAGTTAAACTGGTTACACAAGTCCTTGTTGGCAGCAGGAGCATCATGCAAGGAGGTGAAGCTCATCCTTCAACCTCCTTGCGTCTTTGTTGTGACTCGTTTGCAAGAAAAGGCCTTCCTCGTGCCCGATTTTCCTCAAGTCCGATCCCAAGCTTCCAACTTTCTGATCGACTTCATCCATCATCATCATCATCATCATCATCATCATCAACATCATCAGAGCATAGACACACAGACAGCCAAGTTCATCCGAAAGCAAGTTCAACCCACAACACCAACCAAACAGACACTAAGCATGTCTTCCCTCGCAAGACAACTCCTCATCCTCACCAGCGGCATCGCCCTCCTAGCCATCGGCCTCCCCCATCTCCTGCCCTTCAGCCTCCTCCGCCTCGCCCCCCTCATCTCCTCCACCGTGAACCTCATGTGGGCCGCCGACGAATACATGTTCCTCTCCGCCTGGCTCCCCGCCGCCTACCGCACCGACGCCGACGCGCTTCTCCCGCGCTGGTTCCGGGTCTGGGGACCCATGGGCTCGCTCGTGCTCTTCAGCTCCTTTCCCTTTAGTCTCGGTGCCGCGATCGCGAATCTGCTCACCTCGCGCGACACGAGTGCCGCGGTTGGGGCTGCGAAGTGGTATTGGGCGGGCTTGGTGTTTACGACGGCGCATTTTGGGTATGCGCCGAGGGCGCTAAGGTTGCTGAAGGCTATTAGGAAGGGGAAGGAAGAGGGGGGCGATCCGACTGGGAGTATGAGAAGGTGGATCGGGATGCATCTGCTCAGGGTTGTCACGGCTGATTTGCCTGCGTTCTTGTGTTTTGCGACTGCCGTCTTGTCGGCGATGCGGGTGGTTGCGTAAATGTTGGATCCTGGTGGTCCGAGGGCTGGGTCTGCAACGGTGCAATGGTGTTCGAAGGAGTTGGCAGACTCGCTTTTGGTACAGGTCGGGTTTGGGTTTTCTCGCCGTACGCCCTCGGGACTTCGGTCAGTACTCCGGCCACGTATGGAGAGTCTGGCGACGTGGAGGGAACTTCCAACCAGACGGACCAGGCCCTCGGTTCAACTCTCCAGATCGCGGCATCGTTATCTCGAACTCTCTTGGGAATGAGTGTGGAATTTAAAGGAATGGTTTGACGGTCACGCTTTCTGTGTTGTGCAAAGAACCTCTGTAGTCGAACGATGTGGAGGAGGAATTGCCCAGTCATCTCCCCAACATTGGCCTCCTTTTGTACCACGGTGGCCAGCTGTGGCGCCGTGCCGGATCGTAGTTTGTGAGGAGCAAACAGACTCGTTGGCAGACGTTCAAGATGGCGGTCCTTAACACAGAAACTAGAACGCACGCAGTAACTTACTGGTTCCGCACCCCGACGACGTCCTTCCGATAGGGGCTATTACCAAACAACTTTTCGATAGGAGGTGGCGCAAAGTAGCCCTCACGCTTTTTCTAGGGTTGCTGTCATTCGTTGCAGCTGTCATCGTCGCTCTTCGGGAAGGAGATGGCTTTCTCCTTCCGTGGGCTTTGATCGGCATTTTGGTAGCATGCTGGGGTCTGGGCTTTGTCCTTCCGGCAGCTCTGTTCTTCGACATTTGCGGTGCATTGATCCTGCGACCATGATATCAGCCATGTACTCCGAACAACATTGCTGTTGAGATAGGCAGGACGGTCAAGTCACTTGAGCTTGAGCCACCTTGATCTATGGAATGTTAAGACACCCTCAGCGTTCGCGCAGCTCGTCAGGAAGCAACACATCGCTTGTTATCTCGAAAGTTGCAAAGCACCCTTCAGTGGCCGTACGGCTGTCCAGAGAGCAGCTCAGCAGAACAGGATGTCAAAGACCACACAGTTCGACAGTAACATGTACCGTACGCTCGTACCAGCGCATCTATCTACTCCCTACCCACACCTAACATCACCTATCTCATCACCCACCAACACTCGCCTTCATTACCCCGAAGATCTCTTTATTTCCCTAACTCTCGACCCCCCTCAATCTTACTAAGCCGGCTATCGAAGCACTCAGCCTCCCTCACTAACCTCATCTCCGCCAACTCCACCTGAACTTGCACCTCCCCAACAGCCTTCGTCCACTGCTCTTTGTACACATCAAAGATCTTGCGCATAGTCAACGAACCATCGAACTCGCTCAAATGTCTACTCAACACTGTATGTAAAGTCCCAGTCTCCTTCATGAGGGACTCCATGTAAGGAGTGCGCCTCCCTTCGTCCTCGGCTAACCTAGGAGACTGAGGTCGGTGGATTTGATCAGCCCTTCGCAGCCCTCGTGTCCTACACAGCTGTGCCATCTCTGCTGTTTTCGTGGATCTGTTTCGTATTCTGATAATTCCTTGGAGGGACTTGAGGAACTGCGCCTACGACGTAAGGGCATATGTTGTGTTAATTCTAAAGCTCAGGAGAGTGTCTCCTACTCGATTTGTAGCCCTCGGGGTGTCTTCAGTTATCATGGCAGCCTCTGGATTGCTGCTGATCCTATCGAACTGGCGAAAGGTACAGTCTTGCCATGTTGGGCTGCGAGCAGTCGACACCTCGGGTAAGTTTCCATCAAGATATTGTTGTCGAACTGGCCTAATGTTATGGTCGTTCGGTTGGACCAGTCGGTGGAATCTCCTAGGTCTGTCGATTGTTCGGTTCCGTTAGCTCTGTGATTGCGAGGATGTCTGTCGCCAGGAGACTCAGACAGTGGGTTCAAGCAAAAGAACATTCTGGCAGCAGACGAGTTACCATTGCCTGGGACGACGAGCCAAGCCAGACTGGACGGGCCTTCGTTGATCCCTCGCATAACGGAGACCCGGACGACGTGGACTTTCCGAACACTTCGCCTCTCGAGAAGCAGAAAGGCCAGCATGGCAGTGCATGTCGTCGCCCGGAACCCCACTGCGATGCGGATGACCATAGCACAGGAGTGCGTGGCTTGTGTTATCCATCCGTTAAGCATGACGGCCCACCAGACCTGCGGTGAGTCGGTGCCTTCATGGTGGATGCCGTGTGCCGTCCAAGAGGAATATCAGGACGCCCAAGCAAGACTGAAGAAAGCTCCTGTGTCCTCCAATGATAACGATAGGTCCATTGGCACTTTCCTGGTGATGTGATAATAGCTCAATGTTGATTTCGCAAACTATGGAGTGAAGGATGGCAATTTCGTTTTCAGATTTCCCGAACTCAGGCTCCAATGTAGCTTTTGCTGGATCTGCTCCCAAGCGTCGATTATCCTCTTGGCCTCTGCGTCGAAGAGTCGTTCTGTACCATTTTGGCTCCCGGGGAAATCTGGCTCAGCTATTGAGTTCGTGTTTCGTAACTCTCAGTGGTTTCCAGTACGTCCTTCTAGTCCGTTATTAGGATAAAAGTACTTAATAGCATGGCGTGGGCATCCATATTGTCATCAACTAACGTAGGATCATTGCTAACCATGGCGTGTTCGGCATCGGATTTATCGTTTGGTTTTCATGAAATGTACAGCAGTAACAAGAGTCTGCGGGATCTGAGGAATCGCAAGAGTAAAGTACATTGCTCGACAAAGCTACAATATGCTCTCCTACGAATAAGGGTGCGTATAGGCACTTACATTATGCCATGAAATGCTGATGACCAGGCAATACTCCAAATCGGTCACGATTAGCATAATTCTGCGCGTCGTCATAATACTCAGTCGCTAATAGGCATAACATGGTCTCGAGGGGATGTTAAAGATTGTCAAAGGCCTGCATGTGGCCGAGCGGCTTACCCCTATTCCGCATGGCCCCTATTGAACAGCCCACTGAAAGTGTTTTGGGGCTGACGCTGTAACGTTTCAAGTTGTCACCAGGCTTACACTATATTGAGATATCGGCGAGGAATCCGCTGCTTTCCACGGGTACCATACTATTGGGGACTGGCCGAGCGCTTATGCAAAATGGCCTACAAACTCAACATCTCCAGCCCGCGTAGACTGCCCCTACCTAAGCTGGAATCGCAAGTTGTGATCAAAAGCCACGGTATTGACCGAAGAGGCCACAGCAAGGTTGGCTCTGATGGCCGTAAAGACAAGGTGTGTACCTCGTATCATTCAGTGTCGGCTGTAATGGTGAAATACGCTGCCTGTACCATAAGCAAAATGAACCGGCTGTCGTACGCGTGCCGACTCCAACACCAACACTGGGACAGGATATCGAGGAGTGTGGCCTTAGTGATAGGTTTACATGGTAGTTAACAGAGTGATATAAAGTGTGTACAAGTAAAAAGCTCATGGCAGCCCGTACAGCGACTCTAACCACATAGTCCGCTGAACTGGATCTTCCGCCCTATCGGGCGGAGACCCTGGAGGAACTTAGATATTTGCAGATGATGCTCGCATTCCCGCAAGACTATTTAGATCTCAGTCAATGGCCTGGGCGATGAGTCGACTTTCTTTGCAAGCATAGATAGGAAAGGGGCTGTGATGTTTAACAGCTCGACGGCGCTTCCTCACATGACTACAATAACTGATCTGCGCGGGCACAAGAGCAACCCGAAGTTTATGACTTTGGTGAGTACTTACTTCCAACACGAATCATGTCCACGAGCATCGTACAAACAGTCAGAATATATACTTATACCGAAGTGCTGAGCCGACGTTGACAACTGAGTGGATCGGCCAAGCCGCACGTACGACCGCGGCAGCCCCGGGGTGGGACTACGGAACGGATGGTCATGGTGAGTCGGAACCATCCGAGTGGTGGCTAATGAGAATCGTACTTCGGTTGCTACTAGGAATGTTTGGGATCATGATGCTGTTTGGCTGCCACGTCCGCAAGTTAGAGCTAGAGTCAGTCATCAGGCCAAACCCACGATGGCAGTTGCGTGGTGGCTTAACCTGCGGCAGAGTACAGGTGAACATATGACCACCTACAAACCCCGCGAGACACAGTCAAACGAGCTGATTGACACATGAAACAGATGAGTGGTTGGCTTCGGATCTGATAGATGCCAAATTCCCGCATTCGTCCCACGCTTCCATGCCGTGACCGACGACTCTGACAAATGGGAGGGCCCTACCGGCGGGATACGGCGCTTGGATGCGTGGACAACTGGACACCTGAGGGCGAGCCAATGGCCGGCTCGTACGACCCCGCCGTCGTCCTGTCTCAGGGTGGGTATGGCCCAGAAGCTGCACGACTGGTTGGCTGGTTGGCTGGTTGGTTCGGGTTTTCCCACCTGGCAGTGTGGCACCTGCAGCTATCAGACGATGGATGCGAGTGATTTGAACGGGCTCGGCAGATCGGGTCAGATCCGAGAGGGTTCTCCATGGGCTGGGCGCAGGAGGATGCACTGCGAGGAGGAAGGGGTGCATATGTATGGCCGCTGTCCTGCTGTATGTAGGTGGGGAGGAGGGGATATAGTAGGGCAAAGTGAGGGGATAGCTAGGTACATAGAATCGCGAAGAAGAAAACGACGAAGACTCTCTCCGGTTGCATCTGCATGGAATTCCATGTATGCTGTGTAGAGGCGCGCGAAAGCATCAGACAGAGGCACATGGCTCAAGCCAACTCACTCACCGCCAGCCGTGCGAGGGGAGTGAGTGATGACCCTGCAATGCCGGTGCGCGGTTCAGCAACTTCGGCAAGCATCGACAGGCACAAGGCACACCCAGGACACCCTCCCACAGCAAAGGGCTCACGCGGAGGGAATAGCGCCAGACATGGCCCTTGCTATGGTAGCAGCTGTTCCTTGATCGTCTGCCCTCGATTGGCGTCCGCTACTATTGTTAGCAATTGCCAAGTTCCATACATGAGACTGTGAGGGGTAATGAGGTGAGGGTCGGTTGCGTGCGTGAGTTGACACATGACTCGCTTCGCACGTTCAAGAAGCCAACTCCCAAGGAAGAAGACCAGAGGCATTACGACTGCTTGTTTGATAGGGGACTCAAAGGATATCCTTTGGGGTTTGGGTAGCGAGAAGCTGCGACTGTGGTCCTCCTGTGCTGAAACTCCCTCGTGCGCCGATGAACGGGATCTCCAGTCGCGATGGCAGTTTGAGATGACCCACCCATATGACACCTGATAACCCCGCCCCCACCTCTAAAGCTGTTGCTGCTCAGTGCTGGATGCCGAGCTGGCCCGCGGGCACCCAAGCTGACAAGCTGGCAAGGGGTCCAGCACCAGGTCGTTGATCATTCCGAGATGAGGCAATCGGGAAGATCCTGAGGGAAGGGTAGCTTGTTCATGAGCTTACATGCTTCCTTCAGGTGAGTTTGTTGAGCTTGTTCAACCTATTCGGCTCCTGGTGCTCGTGTGTAGATCCTACTCGAACCGTCGGGACAGCCAGGAGGCAACAGGTCATATCCATCAAGAAAGAGCGGCATGAACTCGATTCGCTCGTACATCCTCGATCATCCCTGAATGCACACGTTGACCGCTGAGACTGGCTCTGGCCTGCGGAGACCTCTATGCAAAACTAGAGGAAGTTAGAGGCAGTGGAGCGCTGCCCAGGAGCCAGTCAGATCTGATTAGACGTGTAATCTGTTACTGCAAGAGGATGCAGGTGAATGTCTTGGACCCCGCGAAAAGCGCTGGAAAGATAGGACGACTGTCTGGTGTCCACAGTCCACGACGACCTCTTCGGTCCAGTCGCTGCTATCCATTACCCCAACCGGTCAAGTCAGTCCCACCTCGTGCTCTCGACTGGTCACTTCAAGGAGTTGGCCGAAGCATGGCTGACAGTCTAACATGTAGCACCGATCGAATACCCACCTTCTAGAAGTCCATTGGCTTGGGTGGTGGTGGTGAGATAGATCCCTTGGCTCGCTTCCCTCCTATGCCATCCTTCCCGTCTGCATACCAAGCACCACACCACTCGCGGTTCGTGGCCAGATGCTGAGACCTCGTGCGACCCTCCCGCAGCGGCCGTCAGAAGTCCGCCCATCCTGTAGGAACTGTCAGCGGCAGAAGGTAAGCAGCCCCGACCATGACCCAGGGCTGGCGGATGACGGTACTACACACCCTCTCGTCGTCCTGGCTCCCTACAAGTACTGGACGTACCTGCTTTTCAGGTCCGGTCGATTGGCCCCTATCTCCTCGAAGGGAACCACATAAGCGGCCTCGTAGCTGTGAGTGTGACAACGACCTTGCAGAAAGGCCTGTGATGGTGGTGCATCGCAGACCTGGACGCGGCCTGTGACTCGGCCTGCTGGGTTGGAGTGGCCGCACGCTGTGCCTATCACCAGCCGGGCGCAGGACCCTCAACTCCAATAGCCATTGTTACTACTAAGGCACACTCTGGCAGCTGTCTGGTTGGAGGTCTCTATTCCATACTCCCCTTGTGGATATCACCTATCACCCGCAGCAGGATAAGGATGAAAGGGGAATAATATGCAGTCCACACGACGATGGCCAAGTAGCACCTACTGACGCGCTCCTCTGGGTCCGGCGAGATGCCACGATGCCACGATGCTGGATGATGAAATGGTTGACGGGATAGGAGAATCAGCCGGCTATCGTGGCTTATTGGGACAGAGCTGCTGCCGTAAGACGTCAGACGTGCTATTAATGGCAGATAACTACCTAAGCGAGGCTGCAATCCAACGGCTCGGATCAGCCTGTCCCTGGCATTCAGTCGCCCAACTGAACGGTGCAATAGACGAAAACGCCCATCGTCAGTATTCTGGCAGACAAGTCAGGGGAGGCACATCGGGATGTGCCCAAATGGGATGGGCTTCCATCTGCGGGTGTCGTGACAACATGCTAGCCCATCAAATCAGCCGACGACCTACTGCAGTATATCGAGCGATTGACCCTTGGCGGGTCTCGTGCGCCTATCGTAGACCCTGAAGTCCATCGACGAGCACTACCGGTACAAGTCCTGCGCTGAGTTGCTGCCGATGGTCCAACAGGGCGTGCGCATGTTTCGACGACCAACTAACATATGAATTGGGTCGTTGGTGTTGGTGCCGGTTCCCAGCCTCTTTGTTCCTGGACGTCACGTTATGTGCTCTGCTGACTTCAATGTTGGCAGTTGGGGGTTTACTCCCAGCTTTCTTTTGTCTGGCATGTTTGAGGTTTGAATGTTGGGCTGTGTTCCGCGAAGAAACGAGGCAGACAAATCCAAAGGCACCGCAGTATGTAGACAGAAGAGCTAGCAGGAGGAAAGGGCGAAGTTCGAAGATTCCCAAGTTATCAATCTTCACCGCTGCTTCCCCGACCAGCGCGACTTCCTCAACCTCAAACGCGCAGCGGAGACCACCTGGGCACTCCACAGCAACATTTGATCCTCTTGTTTCTACGGCAATCGCGACCGACTTTTGAATCGCAAGGCAATTCATTTCGTTCTGTCCCTCTTGTCCAGCTTCTTGACAACGCCTCACTGAGAGGCAAATTGGATTCTTGAAATCCCATATCTTCAACGTGGAACGCGGCGGGTCTGGATTCCAATCCACACGCGTAAATTCGACATCTGTTAGCTGCGTATTAGTTGTTATCGCCACTGGCCGACAAATGCCCTACCAGCCACTTCACTTCTTAGCTGAAACTAAATCCATTACATTGGGTGACAGAAGGCAAATCCACGTCCCAACGTAAGCAAAGTTGCCCACGCTGCATTTGCCTCCCTTGGATCTGGCAGCTTGATCTGGCAGCTGGACTTCCGGAGATATCTTCAACCTGAACGAGTCGCTCGGTTTGATATTCTCTCGGCTTCTCTGATCGTCTCTCGGTCTTTACGATCGCTTACACACACCCTGACCACAGCGGTTTTGCATGGGCGGATTCACAGTCAGCAACCCGCCTGTCCGCTCCTCTATTCGTCTCAACTTGTACGGGAGCCGGACATCCCGCGCAATTGACTCTCGGTTACCTATTACGGCGACCGCTGTATTATCTAATACGCCCAGCTGCATTGCATCTCGCTCTCTGGAGACTCCGAAACAGCGCGAGGAACCCTGGCATCTACTGTAGAATACGACGGCCATCCGGATACGACGAAGGGAAGATAATTGATCCTGGCTGTTGACTCAGCAATAATCGACGTTCCTTGCCATAACACTTACACGAGTCCGAATCCAGATAGTCAGCTTCGTCCATCGTTAACAGCACAGCCTGCCGGGAGGAAGTTCCTCGTTCTCGATTTCTTGTACATCTGCCGTCTTGTACAAGCCACATCCATCTCTCTCGGATTGGACTCTGTCGAGTGGCAATACCTATCCATAGCAGAGTGGACTCAACCTTACGTGGTCCCCATTGCGATTGCAACTTGCCAAGGACAACGGGACTCGTGATCGCTGGAGAAACCTGAACGTCGCAAGCCAGCTCGGCTGCAGCCAGACGAGCACAAGGGTACCTCGGTTTGGGAGGCGTTCACCGCATTTAAGCAAGTCACGCCATCCCTGTCTGGCGTGTGCCCGCTTCCAAGTGTTCCAAGCACTGGCCGCAAGCCCAGAGCGAAACAGCAGCGCCAGACGAGCGCTAGAGAGGACCGCTCCGCCTGGCGATCGCTTTCCCGCCATCCATCGCCGTCGCTCGATACCCCTACCTCCCCCCAGAGGTACCTACAGCCCGGGCCAGTGCCAGTGAGTGCAGGTGTGCGTCTTAAGAGGGCGTAGATCACCCGTCGAGCCATTCACGCCATCTCCATACGGTAGTCCATACCTACAAACGAACCCCCTCTCTGTCCTGCTGCTGCTGTTGCTGCTGCCCGACTCTTCTTCTTCTTTCCCCCGTGACCTCATCATCACCCATCATTACCAACCAACTAACCAGCCTTTCAAACCATCACCGCTCCCTTCGTTCGACACCCAACTTGGAACTTGACCACACCATCGGCCCCTCCCGATCTCACCTGTTCCGTCTGGACTCTGCACTAGGACCAGCAAGGACCTGCCAGCAAGACCGCGCCCATTAGACTTCGATCAAGCGTGTGGGACGGTCCTCTACTTGACATACCCGTCCACTCCCTTCTCAAAGTCAGTTCTTAATTGAATCTGGCTTTCCTCCATTTTCTTGGCCTGTGATTACGGATAGTTGTATTATTCCAACCTTCAACCACCGTCGCGGCCGACTTTGCTGTCGTACTGTGTCTCGAACCATCAGCCATCAATTCAACCCCCGACACCCTATCCACTCCCTGCGATAGACTCCACCCTTGTCGTCACCTCCTGTTCGTTGTCGGAGCGACTACGGGACTACCCTGCCGACAAACAAAACTCAATTCCTTCGGCAACACGCCTGATAGAATCACAAACCAGCTACCGGAGCCCCCAACAACATGAGCACTTTACCTCCCGATCCTTACAAAATCCTCGAGGTCTCGAAGGATGCTCAGCTTCCCGAAATCCGATCCGCGCACAGAAAGCTAGTGCTCAAATGTCACCCCGACAAGGTCCAAGATCCCAAGTTGAAAGCCGAGAAGCAGAACGAGTTTCAACGGGTGCAACAAGCCTACGAGCTCCTTAGCAATGAGACCGAGCGCTCACGGTACGATGACAGAGTCAAGCTCCAGGAGCTGAGAGACTCGATGTCCAAGCTTAACACCCATGCCCGTTCTCCTTCAGCGACTCGACGGCAGGAACCCGTATACTACGACGTCAAGCACGCATCACCAAGGCCCTCGACCTATGCAAAGGCCGGTCCTTACGGACGAACGCCTCCCCGCTCGTATGAAGACGACATCTCCAGCAGCGCGCGGTTTGACGAGACCGCTCGCTACGCCCGGAAAACTGCGAGTTACGAGAGGTACGACAAATACAAGGAAGAAAAATCATCGTCAAGACGTGAGGATGAACGACGAAGACGTGACAAGGAGAAGGAGAAGGAATGGACACGGGAAGCTGCAAAGGAGAAAGAAAGAGAGAGAGAAAGGGCCGAGCGAGATGCCCGGAAAATCGAGAAGCAGCAGGCGAAGCTGAGGGAAGAGCGAGATAGAATGGAAAGGGAGCGCCGCAGAGAAGAAAAGGAAGAGAAGAAGAAGGCGGAGAAAGAACGAGAGAGGATACGAGAGAGAGACCGCAAGATTGCAGCCGAGGACAAGAAGAGCCGTCACAAGGAGGCCTATGTAGAGGTCTCCCCAGACGAACATGAAGACGATTACCCGGCAGGTCCCAAGTCGGACAAGAAGTCAAGCAGCAGCCGCAAGCTTGAAGAGCCCGACAGTAGTCCGGCGACTGAGAAGACCTCTGAGAAGATCGAATTCGCCATGAGATATCTGTCAAGGTCTAACGGCGGGAAACCTCCAGTACTGGGACGATCACAGACATATCATGAGCAGTCATTTGCGAGGCACATACAACCCAGTGCTCCAACGCCGCCCCCAGCTACAGCCGCACCCTACCCACCTCCTCCCCCCCCTGCTGACCTCCCAGACATTACGGTTGAGGAGGACATGGCCAGGAGATCATCAGCCAGACCATCTGGCCGCCGCACGTCCTACGACACGCCGCGATTGCCAAAGGAGAAATCCTACAAGAAGGCGACTTCCCGAGAACCAGAACCTATCGTTGTCGATGCTGGATCGCCTGGGACTCGGGCGATGCCTGCGTTCCACAAATCCCACACGATGCCTTCGGAAAGAGGACCGCCGCCGCCCCTAGGCCGCTCGCAAACCGAGAGCCGTTCTTCTCGTCCAGTTGGCCCTGGCATAACCCGTGCGGAAACATTTCACCCTGGGGCGGAAAGTGGCCGTGGACGGAATCGGATGGGACCCACCTATTCAGATGAGGACTCTGAGGACGACCGGGAGCGCCATTATCGTCGAAGTCGGGGAACCGTGGCTCCTGAAACAATGGGCATTCCCAGGACTACACGATACGCCATCAAACGTGAGCCAGATGAAACGACGCGAATTTACAAGAAGTCGGGCTATGCCATGCCGAAAATTTCTACGCGTACAGACAGAGCTAGTTACTACACGCATGACCAATACGAGGACGAGTCGCCCCAGTACTTCGGCTCCGTGAACTACGCACAGCAAGTCGACCCTCACGAGGTCAAATGGAGCAGCGTCCCTCATTCAGCGCACCGAGGAGAAGTATACACTTGATAGCTCTCGCAAATGATCCATGCTTCGGTCGTGACCCGAGTCCTCCTCGCCAATCTCTGACGATATGTCAGTCGAGGCAGCATAGCACTGCTGGCGCTACAGTGTTATCGAGCCAAACCACAAGATACGTCACCTTTTACCGTGTACTTTCGCCATTGCTTTTTCTCTATGGATTTTTCTCTGGATCTCATGTGGCCTCTTGGGCGTCTTGGATTTCTCGATTTCGGACTACAGCAATGAAACTCCACGGCATGCAGTAACGACTTGATGTCTTCCTCTTCGAAATTGGGATGATGAGAATGGATGATGGAGTAGAAATTTCATTCGGTGGTTCGCCTCGAGAATCGCTTCGCCACAGACACCGACTGCAATCCATGTGGCGTGCGTACTAGACCATTGGCCTCGGAAACTTCATTGCAGCAAGACACCCCGAAATACACTTTCATGCTCTCATGGCCGGCAGCATCATCGCCGGCTTTCATGAACTTATGAGAGGCTTATTATTATCGGCTTTTTGCTTGTACTTGTCTTTCTATCTCACTACTCCTCTATTATTATCTTGCTTCTCTCGCACGCTATATATACACATCACACTGCATCATATGGGGAGAATCGGGGTGGCTGGGGTGCAAAGGGTAGTCAGCAATCGTCGGTTTTTCTGCTGAAGAGTCCGCGTGCCTTTCATCCATGCTCGACATTTACGAGGCGTTATTTGGCACACACGGGGACAACTGTTCGGAGCGGCCTGTTTGAAACACTCGTTTGGCTCCTTGTTCACGTCCCTGGAAAGAGAGGAGCGAGGACCTGGAGTGATTGATCTATTATCCGTCATTCTACGCGAGAGTACATGGAGGCATACACCGAAGAAGGAGATGGTAGAGAAGAGATGCAGAGCAAACCACGAAGCCTCCAGCTCGTTTTTGGTTCATGGATCCGGGAGCTCGAGCTGGAAACGGCCTTAGACGTCTTTGGATGAGATGGGTACAAAGGGCTGCTGGGAGTAAGCAGATCAGTGAGCAGCGATTGTGTGCTTGTCAGCTAGGCATAGAAGACGAGAACCACAAGACGCGCTTATGAATGAAATGAACATATACTTTACTCGGATCCATACGATGTTTTGGCGTTTTCGTGTACCTCAGAGGCGAAGTCTGATGTCGACACGACTCGTCCTTACGCTCTCATCCACGCTCTGATCAGTATAAGCCTGACGAGGCGAGTACTGACTCGACTGATGAGTTTGAAATATGTCAAAGGCACGTCGCTCTCCTGAAGTGATGCTGGCTGCTAGACAAATAAGCGTTCGTAGTCTCACATAGTGATATACATTCAAACCTACCTCATAGGACACGGGCAGGCGGGCCTTCGGGTACCTATATGTGAGCGAAAAGGAACCAGCCAGAATTTTCTCGTTCCTCTCCTCTTTTCTCTTCCATTTACCTCTTCCATTTCCCTTCCATCCATGTTGTTTTTAGCAGTTTTGCTTCCTCTGTTATATTCAACACGCACGCAGTCCACACAGCGTACCGGCAATGGCATAGTCGCATTATATCTAGGCCCCCACGGACTGACTCCCTGATGCTTTCGTGATTGATTACCTACCTACCTGTACATAGTTGGTAGACTACAAGTGAAAGGGGCATACCGCAGGTGGGTCGGTAGATAGCTACGAGCACGCCCGCAACCCCATACGTGATGTGATGGCTTGTTTGCTAGACTATGTACGGAATGCGATATTGCGTGGAAAGCGATCGCGTACTTTCCCTAGTACACGTGGGAGGACGTCGCTTATAGGTAGTATCGCAAGGGGTCACGAGTTGCAGATATGTAGGCATGTGTATCACATAAGACCTGCTTGCGAGAACGTATCGCGAATTTTCTATTTCGGTCGACTTGCCTTCTGCAAACCTGTCAGGAAGGGCAAGGGACCATATAGGCCCGGCTATGATGGAAAGACGAAGTCTGGGGGTATATTTGGTACAAGTTAGGAAATCTCAGGGTGCAACGCTGTGCCACGCCAATGGTATGCTGGTGGATGTGAAGAGATGGGGTCGGAGTGATCCTGTGGGCACGAGTCATCTCCTGTCAAGGATTAACAAGCTCCCTGAAATCGTTGTCCGTCAATTCTTACGTCGTTTAACATGACAATCCCATCTACTACCGCTCGTGAATGTTGTGGGTGTTAGACCAGGACATATAGAGAGCAGATCTACCAAAATTAGTATGTCTAGTTGGTGAGTGACTAGAGGGCCGAACGGATAACGTACCAGACTAAGACCGAGGATCATACTGATCCAGAAGAGAACATTGTTTGCAGTCTTGTGAGAGCGAATCCACCGCGTCCGCTGCAACATCACGATAGGAAGCTGCATCATCTGGCAGACGAACCCATATCCACGTAGCTTCTTGGTGATACACGCCATGATGATCTCGTGGCCAAGGGCAGAAATCAAGAAGGTGATCAGGGTTGCCATGTTACGGCCAATGCTCGGCTTTGAGGTGGCGTAGACATGACGACGCAGGAACGAGTATACTGGCACGTTCCACTCGCGGCTGAATTCCATCCAGTCTGTGCTGTTCCACCAGTCGGCGTAGAAGTACCTGTCGGCGAAGCGGGTCATCTCGCCAAATGCGCCAAGCACATATTCGAAGATGACCAGGAAGACCAAGAGGAACGTCAGCATAAAGGGAAACAAGAGCCAAGAAATGGACTCGAGCAGGATAAGCAGCTTCTCGGAGACCGAGGATGTGTTGTCGAGGCGAACCCCGGACTCTTGCAAAACGGGCAAGATGAACTCCTCGGAGATTATAGTCAGAAGGAAGATGCAGCCAAAAGTAGCGACTATCTTGGCGATCAGAGACGTCCAGTTTATGGATTTGTTGCGTGGGTATTCGAGTTCGTAGCACAACGTTGGACAGAGTAGAAAGTCCATGTAATTCCCCCAGGTCAGGTTACGCGGGTATGTGACGTTGCCAATGGGACTCGTCAGTTCGCGAGCGAGATCGGTACGCAACTGCGAGAGACCCTCACTGTCACTATCGCTGTCAACGTTTGTCTCGCTATGCGCCAGTGCGCCCATCGGATTCTCGACCGTAGGATATACATAGGCCGGGTCCTTCGATGCGCCATGGGGCTCGTCGAGTGCCCGCAGTCGCTTTTCCGTCTCGGAAAGATGACCGTTGTAGAAGGCATACGAATGCATCTTCATGAGCAGCACCATCGTGTGTATCAGGAGGAACACCTGGGCTGTCCAAGTCCATTGCAGGGCGAAGGGTACCGTGATCCAGAAGGCAAGCCACACCACTTGATATACACTTTGGATGGCCTTACCGCCTGTCTTCCACGTCATCGCCCCATGACTGCTTCTGGATTTCCTGTGGAGGGGGAGGATGATGGCAGTACTCGCGACCATCAAGAAATCGGCGATGGCCAGATGCCACAGCTTCACGGTAAACAAGCCCCAGATTTGCAAGCGCAAGGGGTAGCCCGTATCCTTGTAGTTGCGCAACCCGGTGGTGATGCCCATGATGGCCAGGCCGATCCAGAACAGGTTGAAGAAGCCATGGAAATCGCGATACTCGGAGGCAGGATCGAAGTGGGAGACTCGGGAGGCATACTCGATGGTTGGGAAGATTCGTCGTCGCTGTTCGGCGCGGACCTGTTTGCGGGCACTGGACAGAGCCTTGGCCGATTCAGGGGCATTCTCTGGTATTGGCGTCGAGCGACCACTGCGGTCATAGAAAGGTTAGCAACGATGTCAAATGCAGGAAAGGGAGCTTGCGCACCTAGTCAGCCCAGAAGCAATGTCGTCAGGTTTTTCGGTCAAGCCATTGATCGAGGTAGCGCTGTGGGCCCTGACGAGCTCGGAGACCTGCGAATGCTGTGGTTTGCGCGGCCGGGGGCGTAAGACATGGTCGTGGTTGTCGCTGGTTTCAATATTGCTTGACGACATATTGTCTCTCTCTGGGTCGGACAACGCCACGGAGGACGAAAGGGGTTGTCGATCAGATCGGAAGGTCGAGGGCGCACCCAGACGGGAGCTTGCAATGGCCGCTGCCGTTGAGGGATGAGGTCGGTCTAGAAGTGTAAAAATAGAAGCGGAAGGGATAAGGTTGGGTATTCAAGAGGTTATCCAGGGATAGCTCGAGATAGAATTGCGGTCGACAGGTGCGGCTCGTGGAGGAAGGTTTATGTGATTTGCTTTTGGCTGGACTTTGAGACTTTGCCGGGCAGCCGGGTCAGTTAGGTACCTAATGTGGAATGAGGTCGAAGATACAGGATGAATGTTTCAGAGCGCGCGCAAGATGCGTCACATTGTCCTTTTGCGGTGGAGAGAGGAATATTGGATATTCAATGTTGGTTGAGTGAAGAGGCCGCGCATCGAAGTTCAAAGTTGGTTACGTGTGTCTCGGTGCATTCGGTCACGCTGTGCTGCGTTGGGACGCGTGGTAGCTCCCAGTAGGGGTCACAGTGGTGAGGTACAAGCCCTAAAGCAGCCTAGAGATCCCCAACAGGAGCCCCGTTAGGCCGCTGAACTCTGATTTGGCCAGGTGGTCCAATAGCGAGTCAGCTGCTCAGCCCAACAGCGGCTGCTGTCAGCCTGTCAGCGTTCCAAAATTGACGTCACATCAACAAGTCCAACTTTGGGGTCGGATGGATTGGGGTCGCTACGTCAGAACTGAGAATAGCACTTAATAAATGGAAATGTACTCACTCGGCCGAAGAATGCAGGTAGTCAAGCCATATCACAACCTGGCAGAACACAACCCCAAGTTCTGGATGTAGATCCTGACTTGCATTAGCTCATACCTTACCCCTGAACCCCGATTTGGAACGCGTTCCGGCAAAGTTATTCATAATTTACATAAGCAACAGCATAAGAAGTTTATCCCAGCAGCCTCAGCCGCAATTGCCGATAGCCTTATCGACAACCCCGACGACAACCAGGTCCAGCCCGGCAAATGTCAAATAGTTGGAGCAGACACCTGCATGGAGACCCTCTCTCCAAAGAGACAGCCCACGTGCCACGGCGCAGCAGCGTCCGTGACGAGGCTGAAGCGACGATCGATATCACACATGAATAAGAGCGAGTACCGCCTCTATTGCCACAAAGCCGCCATCATCCAGTCGTTGTGTGGCGTGGAACGATGGTGGTTGGAAACTTGGAAGCTTTGGAGTGAGCCAGTCCGCATCTCCTCTCTGATCAGTGAGACTGCTCTTCTGGGTTACCTAAATCCAGCCCGCTGATCACAGCTGACCAGACATACCCAAGGGCAGACATCGGACGTCCGCAATGACTAAGCAGGCGAAGACATTGACCAATTCTCCAAGTATCACTTGTCCATTCCACACCCAGCTTGGGTAACCAACTTCTGCACCGCCAGCTGGAATGTCTCAGTCGGTCGTCCCCGGAGCATCTTTCGCCACTGGGATGGATATCTCCTGTCGAGATCTCAGTACCACGTGTTGAAGGCGTGCGGCCCGTCCGACCCGTCCGGCATGCGACCAGTCGAAGGATATATTTATCCTTCGCTATGGCTTTAGCGAGGCGGAAGACGACATATGGTCGACACGACCGAAGCCGTCTGGCGATCTCGGCCCTTAGGAAAAATAGCGGGCGATCTGCTAGCTTGTCATCCCTTGACGGGCTTTTCTCGCCCGACTAGGCAATACGTGAGGAATCTGGATCATAGAATCGATACCCTGTTCACTACTTTCTTCGTCTTCTCACAAGGGGCGCAAAGACACCAACTATTTCAAGGGCCTCCTCCTCTTGTCGTAACTCAAAGCGCAGCTCAGCCTCCTGAATGAGGATGTCTTCCCCCCGTGTGCCTAGTGGTGCTAACATGCATAGTACGATGTATACGTATTCGTCTCATCATGATTCCAGTCTCAGCCTGGAAGGATCGCACACTGACATCACTGCCAGTTTCTAGTTCTGGTCACTTGAAGAACGTCTACCCGGGCCAGATAAGCTGTGTGCGGCCTTTTCTGCGCATCAGTCGCCGAATAATCTAACTCGGATCCGCTGTCAACAGGCTTTACGTCCCACCTGCCTCGGCTCGACCACCTCAAGCTCCGCAGAGCCAGACTACATCGTGGTGTGAAAGCAATATGCTGCGCATTGACATGGCGACATGCTTGCAGGGTATAGTCAACTGCAGCTACGCGCGACCATCCATCTCACCACCAGGTTAGATGCAGGCTCGCCAATCTGGGTACAACACAAGATCTCTTCCTATTGCATGACCATAGGTGCAGTCGACGACAATATGTCATTGCCAGGATGAGCACCTCACAGGGACCAATGAGGTATCAGCGCTTTGACCTCGACATTCGTCAGCACCAATGGATCTAAGACATTGCGATGAGACCTATACGATTCGAGGGCCCATGCCGATCAGATCGTCGTGTCTGGCCCTGCCTTACGACACCTAGACAAGGTCAAGGCTTTGCCCGCCATCCGCGATGAAGAAACAATGAGGCTTATCTAGAGGTATGTGCCCCTTTGGGAGACTCGCGCCCTCCTAGTAAAAACTCTCTAAACCCGAACCAGAGCGACGCCGTCTCTCGAAGGGGCACAACCTCCACAGTAGATAAGACTCATTGTGTTCAATGTGCCATGCACCTTCATCCCGGATGGCGGCTCACCCCTTGACCTTGATCTTAACCCATACTAATACAATGTCTCGACAAACCTGGCAAGGCACGGCTGTTGAAGGTACGTCAGCTTGGGGTCTAGCGAGAACGAAGGAGCTCAGGATAATGGGCCAGTTTGAAACATACAGGGCATTGTGTGAAATATAAATTTCCGTAAATGGCAACTTTTCACTTGCAGCCATGACCTGATCTCTTTCACGGTGAAGGACACGATTTCTACCTCTGTGAAGCATCTACCCGTTTCCTACTTATAGCATCTGTCCTGTTTCTGTGTACATGATCTTTCCGCTTTCTACCACAGGATCTGTCCCTTTCCGCATCGAATCCCGCAGCGTTCCACGGCAGTCACGGTGATGGTACGCATTGCCGTAATAGGCGCAGGTCCTGCCGGCCTCGTGACATTGAAGCACATCTTGGCTGCTGAAAGACAGCTAGGGACCGGGCCAGTCGAGGTCAAGCTTTTCGAATTCGACACAGGCGTGGGTGGCACCTTCAGAGCCCGCACATATGAGGATGGCGAGGTATGTTCCGACGTACTTCTCAGAACACCTTGAGATCTGCTATTGACAAGAACTCCGTATCTAGTTAGTGTCTTCGAGACAGCTCACAACCTTCTCTGATTTCCGACGTGAGGACGGCCCAGACTTCCTGAGTGTCAAGTATTACCTCAAGTATCTCGACGACTATTGTACTCACTTCCACCTATGGCCGCATATGAACTTCTCGTGCCAAGTCACAAGAGTCGAAAATGGAAAGTCAGGCGGCCATACCCTGACATATTTGTCTGAGGGAGCGGGTCATGAATGGGACTGTGACGCGGTTGCTGTCTGCGCTGGACTACACGTCGACCCTAACACGCCCCATCTTGAGGGCGTCGACAAAGTGCCGCTCGTCATGCATTCTTCTCAGTTCAAGAGAAGGGAACAGTTTGGTGTCGGCACGAACGTGCTAGTCCTGGGCAGCGGCGAGACGGGCGCTGATGTCTCCCTCCTGGCAGTCACGTCGCCGACCAATAGAGTGGTGCTGTGCCATAGAAATGGCTTCCATCTTGCCCCAAAGGTAAGCAGTCAGCTCACACTTCGAGTGGAATGACTTGGGCTCATCAACAGGCAGACGAATCCCAATCCTAGGTTGATACTGAGCCGCAGCCGAAGTACCACTGCCCGACCCCAGGTACCGATCGATGTATCACGAGCCAGCCTCTTCGACACGGCCTACACACATCCATGGTTGAGAAGCAGCAGCATTCTCTGGACATATTACGACTATTACGTGCGATGGATTCTATGGACGTCATGGGGGACGACTCACGGGTCCGATCAGTGGATCGGTGAGAAGCCAAAGGGTTGGACCACGGCTCAGAGTAAGTGCATTTCACTCAGAAGCGACACGCAAGAAGCTCAAAATCGTACGCTACAGGAGCTGACTCTGCCTAGTATTCTTCAACAAGTCCGGCAACAAGATCGCCCCCTACATAAACGTCAACTGGAAGCCCAAGCGGCCGCAAGGCCTGCTGCAACGTCTCCGCTCACTCGTAGTCCACACGCCGACCACAGACACCAAGGGCCGGTACATCGACGTCGCGCCGTGGCCTGAGCGCATCGACGACGACGGCATCGTGCACTTCCGCGACAACGGACGGCCAGAGTACCAGTACATGAAGGCCCAGCCCCCCATCAAGCCCGACGTCATCGTCTTCTGCACGGGCTACAAGCACGACTTCCCCTTCCTGCCCCCATCCTCCGCCTCCTCCCGCACCGACGTGCGCGACATCTGGCATCGCGACAATCCCTCCATAGGTTTCATCGGGTTCGTGCGTCCCAACCTGGGCGCCATACCGCCGCTCGCCGAGCTCCAGGCCCAGCTGTGGGTGCTGAACCTCCTGGCCCCTGTGCGAGTGGCCGGCCCGCTGCTGCCCGAGGACGAGCCGCACTACCGCCTCGTCGCCCCCGAGGGAGCGCGCGTGAACTACGGCGTCGATCATGAGAGCTATGCATACCAGCTGGCGCTGGATATGGGGACCGCACCTTCGTTGACCGAGGTGTGTCGCGCGGGTTTCGAGGCTTCTGAACATGGTGCGTGGTGGAAGCTGCCGCTTACATGGGCGCTGGGCGCGAACTTCAATACGAAATTCACGCTTGTTGGGCCGTGGAGGTGGGATGGTGCCGTGGAGGCTATGACGGGCGAGCTCTGGGACACGGTTGCAAGGCGAGAGGTGTTCTTTGGTACGTCTATTATCCCTTCTCGGCTTCGTCTGGTTGGTTGTTGGGAATACCGTACCCCTTTTTACTAACCTACTTACGTGTCGCTAGGTCATGTCACGCTTTCGGTCCTTCCGATCTTCATCTTTGGTCCGATGAGCTTGCTCTTCTGGCTGTATGCCTCTGTTGTCGGCCTTCTCGGTCGTCTGGTGGGTTAGTGTACCTCGAGGCGTCGAAATGAGCCCAGGGACTATACGAAGCGCCTCCTCTGATTACGACATGCCTTGGTATATAGTGACGATCTCGTTGTAATTGGCGGTGGATTTACATTCTGGTTTCCACTTACGTATAAAGTTTCTCGTAGCCGTGTTGTGTTCATAGACCGCTACCTAGGTATATACGTTCCTTTGATGCTTAGTTACTTTACCCCGTATCGTATCGAGTGTGAGCCTGACTTTCAACGCTCGCTTTTTCGTGACATCTAGTGGGTCCACCATACCTTACCAACACCCGCCACATTGGCGGTCAGTCTTTCCGACTTCCAGTCTCTGTCACTTCTTATGTTCAATTCCGAACGCCATCGACCAATAGCCGCAGCAATAATACAAGCTTGCTAACGCCCACACTTACACGCCTCCAGGGTCCGGGGGATCGCGAACGCCCAGTCCCCACTGCCGCCCCGCCTGTTTATACTTCTTTCCCCACCCCGCACCGTCGCCCGCACCGTCTCCCTCTCCGTCGACGCTTTGCTCCACCCGGTCCACCGCGGCAAGACCCCCTTCGTCCACCGCCGACTAGTAGTCGCCGACTACTAATCGGCGACCGCAGTGACGACCACGTTTTATACTATGATGACCTGTTGAATGGGAGCCGGAGATAGACACCGGAAGATCTCCAGTGGGGCAGAGACGCACAGGGCATCTGACCCACCAAGAAGACAGATGATCAATCTTTGCACGCAGAGCAGAACAATCAATAGAATCAATCAACATTCGTGTATTCAATATAACCCTATCCTTATCACAACCTCAATCTATATCAGAATTAGCCTCGGTGTATCATCTAGGTAAGCCCCTACAGATGTCGGGGATAGTATATGTTAGCGTTTATATATACTAAGGGGATCTAGGTCCGTATATGATAGTATTTTATATGCTACAATATAATGAGAAGTAACCTGCTTTATAACAGTGTAAGATATTGTCGATTACTATATATTTTTACGCATATCTGGCAGGCAAAGTACGGACCCAGGAGGCCCCCAGCATATAGGGACGCTAACATATACCATCCCCGATATCTGTACACTTCCGTCCCCGGCAGCTGCCCGGCTCCTGCGCAGCATGTCTGATGGCCTCACAAACCAAGGCATCCAGGCATGCGAGGCTCGTGGTGCCAGTCAGCCCAGTGCAGCGCCGGCAGCGGGTGCGGTTTCGTGTAGAACCCGGTCATCAGGCACCAGTTCCGGTCCGTAGATCTGCGAAAGCTGCTGAGGAGCTTGCAAATGTCGGATTAAAGGTGAGCCTAGAGGGCACCTTGATAGGTAGACACCGGAACCTAGTTGTTCCGTCCCGATCCAGCCCCCTCTGGCACAAAATTGCCACTGTCGCACAAGGACACTCCAGACAGACAGAATACACACACACACTTCACTCTCACGATTGGTTCAAATCTGACAGCAAAAGTCTGTTTTGAGTCTTGAGTGCCCGGCCTTTGTCTTTGCGGGTTTAGTTCCGGGGTTGATCTACTGCCGTTCTCAAGTAGAGTGTCAGTGCCCCACTTCAAATCGCTGGCACCTCCCAGACTTTTCTGACTGGCGATAAAAGGACGTTTTTAGCTATCACTGCCCCCGAACCAACGTCGCAAACATTCATATACTACTGCACTAATAGAACTAAGCCGTACTTATAAGCACATGTACGGATTGATACGTGCGACGTTATGGCGGTTGCAGCAATTTCGAATACCGTACTTCTGTATTTTTATCAGCTGGATAGATTGTAGTTACCGAGGCAAGAAAGCTATAGAGGGGTAATCAAGAGATAATATAACGATTTTTAAGATAATTATTTATAAGTAAGCGAGTATAAGTCGTATAAACTTGATAAAATGAAATTTAAACCCGTAGTTTTAAGATGATTTTAATTCAAAGTAGATTAAAAAAATAAAACTATATTAAGATATTACAACTTTAATTTTAACTTATAATAACGTATACATAATAAATAACCCCTTCATAATGCTTTATATAATTTAATTGATATCCTTATTAAATTTGATTTTAAACATTATATATTATATATATATTAACCGTTTTTACCTTCTTTAATATTGGCTATAATACGGCTTATTTCATTGAAAGCCCGTTTTAAACAAGTCTGGGAGGTGCTAGCGATTTGAAGTGGGGCACTGACACTCGGCTTGAGAACGACAGTAGGGTGTGGTTCTTGCTAGCTGGTGCGATGGAGACCCGCGAACGGAGGTGTGAGGAGTTAAATGACATACCGGAGCTGATTCTGATTTGGATTATGGTTGGGATAAGGATAGGATTATGATAAAACGTTAACGTCACTGCCGGTATCTGCCGCCACTGCCGCCCCGGCAGTTGCGTCCCCCGCGGGCACCTCGGGCACCTCAACTTTGCGCGGCCCCGACGATCCCGTGCACAGATGCGGACAGACCGGGATCTAGGCATGGCTGTTTTCGGAGATGGCCCAGGGACGACCCATTCTACTGGGATGTGCTTCAGGATAGTCCCGGTAGTTAAAGTTACCGTAGCAGCGGAGATGGTGTGCTTCCTCTGCTTCCCTATCTTTGTGGATGCTTGCTTAGATGAGGTACACGCGGCTTCGATGAATATGAAGAAAGAAGTAAACAATGGAATGAAAATGAGTACTCCGCAGTACGGCATGTCTCAATCTAAAAACACGATGTTCTGGAGGCGCATCTCGGCTTGAGACCAGTCTCGGCAAGCTCGCAATAAGAGACTATGTAGGGCCAGTCAGAGGGAATACCGACGCCTCTAGTTCATATGTTGTACACAATACCTATACGACATGCGCAGACCCGGTGAAATGGATCTTCATCCAAACACTAACTTACTAACCAATGCCGGAATCTATCTAGGCTCGCGAGAATTTAAACTTATTGCAAGAGGCTCCTGGGGCTAGTGAAATCCAATATCTGCACGACCGATGAATCTGATATAACTTGATCTAATCATCATAATTCAGCTACCAGCGTATAGCGTGCGTAAACATCATGGGGCCTTTTTACCGATGCTCAGAAATCAAGAAGCCAAACAAGTCATCCAGTCAGACCTCAAACCTCTCAAGAGTCAAAGCCGACTCTCAGGCTCTCCCTCTCCCCTTCCAACTCCGTAAAATCTCCGCGTCCGGCCTCGTTCATAACCACTCAGAACTTGGTGTAGCTTTCTAGACTCCAGATGATCTCCAGGCTTGTCCGCGACGAAGCGAAGCCTTCAGCTCCAAACCATTGGACATCGTGACGAAGTCGCAGTATCATGAACTTCTTGTCATGCAGGTCGAGCATGTAAGTTACAGCAAATCCTCGCTGTGCGTTTATCTGGCTCGCTGAGACTGTTGGACGCGAGGACGCACCGCACAACGTTGGATAGACGATTGGAAGGCTTAGATAAAGGCCCGGCGTTATGAGTACCCATGATGTAACACTTCGAATGGAACACACATGGTTTTGCAGTGCCGGAATGTCGATGCCGTGCGGGTTGGGCAGTGTACATTCTCCTGATGATCACGGTCGTGAAACCCACTGATGAGGTCGAAGCTCCAGGCAGCTCCCACAGTTTTTGACTCCATTAGCGTCTCCGAGGCCGACTTGTTCGACGAGGCAAATCGCACGTACTCCATCTGTGGACAGTATTCCTCCAGGCTAGCAAGGCGCGGACGTATCGCTCATTCCCAACCCCCAAGGGCTTGCCTCGAAGCGGGCGAACGCTTCGATATCGCCCTGGTACCTATAGCAGGCCGTCGCCGGGCCCTACGATCAGACACTGGGAAGGTTGGCCACGGTGTCTCTTTGGAAAGTCTCTCTTCAAGATGGTGCTTCGCCATCTTCCGATAGTCGCGCGGTGCGGGTGCGGGTTGTAGTAGCGCGATGCCTTCGGATCCCGGCTGTGTCGCGATGTTTTCAGACCCGGGCTTTAACATCGCGATGTCTTCGAATCTCGGCGGCTGGCCAACATGCCCTTCTAAGGCTTCTTGGCTGAAGGGCCTCGTCCTCACGCGGTTGAAGAATGCTTTGAGTCGGTTTGATATCGGCATCGTGAATTGCGTGCTAGAGGAGTCTAGCTTCTAGCTTCGTATATTGATGAAGATGACGTTGGGAAGAATTGTGTTTCGTTAGTACTGGAGAAATTCATCGGGATATTCCCTTGCGACGATACGTCTGTCTTTATGTAGGGCTCTCGTAACTTGTCGGAGAAAGAAGAAGCTTTCGCTGGAGCCATAGTGGCGTTGAGGTTGGGAGAGAACATTAATAGGGTTTGGCCATGAGCTATAAAGAAAGATAACTCATAACTTTATCTAAGGTTGCGGCAGAATATGAATTAAGCTAAATGTAGTATATTATGCCCGTCAAAGCTGCTTGAACCAGAGTCGACGGGAAAATGAAGTGTTTTATATAGCCACTATATGCAATATGCCGCCGCCTACCATGCATTCCAATACCAACAAGCCTTCATCCGACTCATACCTGGTAGTAGTACAGCCCTTCAAAACAGGATCCCTTGCTTGCCCCTTTCCCATTTGGTCGGTATCGCCTGCAGCGCATTCCGCCACCTCACGTGCGCCGCGTCCGCCATCTGCACATCACCAGCCTCACGATGCCACTTCGAAAGCAGTTCGAGGTCGCCGAGGAAATATCCCAAATCCGGGTCCCACTTGCCCTCCATAAGCTGGCACGTCCTCTCCAGATACTGTATCGAGAGCTCATGCTTCCCTATCGTGCTCGGGTCGCCCGCGTCGAAAAAGCCCCGGTGGTAGTGCGCCATGGCCCGGAGCGCGATGTACACGAAAAAGTCGACATTGTACGTGAAGTTCTTCGTGTTTTCGAGCACGGCCTCGGCCAGCTGCATAACCTCCTCGCCCTGCCAGCGGCGCTGTGTGCCGATGACGAGGAGCGCGCTGGCCTGGGTTACAGTCTGCTCCTCGGCTAGCTGGGGAGCCTTCCCCGTCTGCAGGCGCGTCAAGTCGCAGCGGCTCTGTAGTCGCCGGTACGGTTCTGGGTTATATTGGTAGGCGCGCGGGATGAACATGAGCGGATAAAGCCTCGCGATGGTCCCCTCGGGTAGGCCCGATTGCGCCTCGTCGTCGATGAGCAGCAGCTTCTCCACGCACGCGAACAGGAAGTCCCAGTACTCCTCGTGGTCGTGCGAGCTCAGGAAGCGGAAGATACCCTGGAATAGGCGCGCCAGGGGCCCGTCCGACCGCACCGTCGCGCTGTACGCAGCCAGGTACCGCCACACCTCCTTGGCAACGGCGCGGTTTTTGGCATCAAGGTGGAAGAGCAGCAGGTGCAGGAGACCGTAGATGCTGGGTCTTTGTACCATCAGATGCAGGGACTTGAAGCCTTGCTCGCACATGGCGCCACCGCGCTCGTAGTGTCCTTCGCTGAAGAGCCAGTCGGCGTTCGTGAGGTCGGTGATGGCGCAGCGGACGGCATCGCCGCGGTAGATGGCTGTGGGGGTGACGAGTGGGAGATCGGGTGCGCAATATGAGTTCCACGCTAGGTCCCTCGCGCACTGCAGCACCAACTCCTGCAGCGACAGCGCGCCCCCGGCCGGTATCAAGATGGGTGTCTCGGGCGGCGGCGTGACGCACCGCAGATGCTGCGGTAGTCGCTCGGGCATGCCCGGTTCGGCGAGATCGTACTGCGATATCCCCTTCCGCTTGAGGTAGGCGTCTATGGCGACCTCGCGGCCGTTGCGGTGGAATGCGGTGCGCTTGCCGAGGGCGTTGCGCTCCCGCTGTAACTGTAGCATGGTGACGACCTCGCGCTTGCTGTTGTTCTTGCTGAACCCCCACTTGTCGAAGCGCGACTTGTACATGCGGACGCTGGCATCGGAAGCGCATTAGACAAAGCTCAATTCTTCTGCCAATGGGGTCTGGACGGGTCTGGGTGCGGATGCCGGGCTCACGTACGTCGCTCTGAAGCCCTTCTGGCGCATGATGGCCATGACTTCCTTCAGCGGGCGGTTCTCATCGATGTATAGCCGCCGTATTTCCTCCTTGTGGGACTCCCACACTTGTGTCGAGTGCTGCTGTGACCGGTAGGCCTCCCCCGTCTGGGAGGAGAAGACCGACTGCATGTGGGAAGGGCGGGGCGTGTCATGGCTCTGGCTTGTCTGGGCTGTCGAAGGTTCTCTCGGGGCTGGAGGCGTTTGCGCTGGTGGTGAGAGGGTTGACGGGGGTGAGATAGGACTCCGCTGCTCGCGAAGGGTGACGATCATGGAGGGACTGGGAGTCCCCTGAGGGAGGTTGTTGTTTGCGACAAAGGTATACTCGCTCATCTTGGTGGCTTCCAGGTTGCACGAGAAGCAGTCATACCCAGGTGGAATCAGTGGCGACGCGTAAAGTGTCTTGCGGCAAAGCAGGGCTGATCACTCTGTGACCATGGCCGTTACTCTTGCGTACCGTTGAGATGACCGAGCCTCGGTTGCCCAATTGACCATACACTTGAGGTGGTAGTCCCGCGAATGATACGTGATGCTAGCAACTTGAACGACAACAGTTACTCGAAAACGAACGACTTGAACCTAACGAGCGCGGGAATGGTAATGAAGAGAGAGAATGGTTGAAGACTCAAGAGTCGCGGGCACTCATTTCCCATTTCCCTACCCTCGGCAGTAGCCGGTGGAGGTGGGGTGTTCTGGGTGTTTGTGTAACCGTACCTACACAAGTGTCAAGGCTTTGTAGCGATGACAGCTTCCGCTGTTGGCCGACTGTATGCATCCTTCAGTGTTCACCACCACCTACCGTTGCAATAGGTATGTAGACTCTCCATTCTTCAATGCGCTGCTACGCCTTGGTACCTTACGCATGACGCCTGGTCTCGGGAGTGCAGCAATCCATCCCCGGCCATGGATGGAGTCTATTAAAGTTCCGAGCTAAAGTAGGTACTATGTACTCACCCGGTCCAAGATGTCTCCATCCCGTTGGCCCGTTACCGAGAACAGGGTCATGGAGCCGAGGCTGCTTGGCACGGCTCAGCCAATCCGGTGGGCCGTCTGAACAAAAGTCCCTGATTACCGCATTTGGATGAGCCAAGGTCCATCTCCTGATTGGGCAGGTGGAACCTCGGCACGCCGCATCTCCCAGCTCCCAGGCTCCCTACCTCCAACATGAGGCTTGCAATTATTTGGAATTCCCAGTCGGCATCAACTGCGGCCGCATGGGGATCTCTTTTAAATTTGGTATATCCCTCGCCAGGAGGGGTGGCTCGGTAGGTAACGATAGATTTACTAGAGATGACCCTGCTGAGATGTAACTATTGCTTGAGAACAGCCAGCCCTTATTACCCCAGATGACGACAATGACCTGGTAGTCTGGTAAAGCGACAGCTCGAATTGGTATGCCCGTCGCCCGAGTCGTAGCCGTATCCCCTACCAGCCCTACCCGGCTTCGGACTCCACTCAATTTCCCCATTGTCCTCCTTGCCTCCTCATCAGATTCGTTCCCTGCGTCCAGTCATCGTGTGCGGCACACGGTGTGCCTGTAGGGGAGCGAAGCCCCTGAACTTACCGGAACAAAAGAGCTCCTCATTGCAACTATCAACGCGCGAGAATATGGCGGTGTTCCCTCCGATCTCGACGTCGAAGGGTGAATGGTCCGAGACCCTTTCCGGGAGGACCGGGTTCCGTGAAGCACGGCAGCTTGCGATGGTCTGGTGGACAGTGACGATGCCGGGTGTCCGTATGCCTAAGGGAGGCTGCGTTACCTTCCTACGCGAGCAACATCATTTCAGGGACTCCGTGTGACGAGCTGCGTTACCATTAACGAGATGTGAACGAGGCCCGGCTTTTTCTGGCGCGGAACGACCCCCGGAGAGACTATACTCGCGGTGGTCATCACAAATCAGAGCTGCCGGCAATGGTGATGGTGGGCGGCGATAGGCTCTCAATCCCATTGTGGCATAACAGGTGCTTGAAATCGGTGATGTGATATGGTTCAGTTCACTGAGTTTCCCCTGAAGCATACCAAGCCAGCAGACCAGACAAACATTCTGCCAGCTACTTGCCTGGCCAGTAACGTTATCGCATAGGGCGAACTCTGTCCTTGCCCTGTATTCTGCACATGATAGAAGCTTGCTTTTAGGTCAGGCTCTCGGGACCAATCTCTAGTCAATGTCAGACCACGCATATACTCGAGGGGGTCTTATTGTAGCAACGCCTTTGGTCGAACATTGGTTGTACAAGGCTACTTTGAGCTCATTGACTCTTATCTGACTCGTCGCCCTTCTTCTCACCCTTGTTGTCCTTCTTCTCGTCTCTCCTCGTCAAGATCTCGTCCACAATGCCCATATCCTTGGCCTCCTGAGCCGTCAGATACTTGTCGCGCTCCATCATGTCCTCAATATCTTTCAGGGTATACTTCTCGTGGTCAAACGCCGCGTTCAAGTGCTTCCGGTATATCTCGTTGACCTGCTCGCGCGTCCGCTGGATCTGGTTTGCGTAGATCAGGATATCACTGGCCGGGCCCTGGGTCCCTCCCAGCGGCTGGTGTATCATGATGCTGCTGTGCGGCAGCACAAATCGCTTGCCCTTCTCTCCACCCGTCAATAGCAGGGAGCCCATAGATGCCGCTTGGCCTAGACAGACTGTCGACACTGGCGATCGAATGTAACTCATCGTATCGTAAATCGAGAGACCAGCCGTGACGGATCCCCCCGGCGAGTGGATGTACATGGTGATCGGTTTGTCTGGGTTGTCGGATTCGAGCCATAGAAGCTGGGCGACGATCGAGGCGGACACCATGTCGTCTATCGGTCCGTTCAGACATACTATCCGTTCCTGGAGGCCATGCGATTAGCTCAAGCCTGACAGCAAACAATAGGGGTCGACTTACTTGTAACAGTTTCGAGAATATGTCGTCTGCGCGCACACAATCAGCATTGTCGGATCGAAGCCTCGCTAGCACGTTGAGCTACGAACATGTTCTCCAACCACCAGACTACCTTGTATTAGCTTCCAAGCCGCCGGTGAAGAGTTCCAAAGGTAGCTCTCACCGTTACTTCTGTTATATATGGTAAAGGGATAGCTGCTTGAGGAGCTTGGAATGGGCTTGTCGGAAACTGAGAGAAGCGGCGAGCTTGGCTCGCAGGCAACTTCTGGAGTAGCCGCCACAGCGGCCGTTGGCAGTTCATCGCGACTCAATTGGAATGTTGGCCACAATCAGAATGGTTTGGTGCAAGGCTTTCGTTGTCTGGTCGTGTTGTTGGTAGCTGTAGCTTTGGTGGTGGCGGGCAGGTACCCGGCGCTACGAAATGCAGGCTTGGACGGCAGGAGCTATGACCTCTCCGGCAACGGCCTACAGAAATAGCTTTCAGATCTTCATGGAATCCACCAAGCTTCTTCCAACGCCGCGCTCGATTGCCACGACAATCGAGCGCCACCAGCCCCAAATGAGGTTATGAGGTTATGAGACTATGTACCGCACTGCGTCAGAGCAGTGCCCGTATAGGCCACCGCCAGTGCCAATGCGCCGTACTACATAATCACACTCGCCGTCACTATTTTACCAACAGACCGCGCAGGAATGCCGCCGCTCCTACTGTCACGGAGGCCCCAGTTCCCACCGGCGAAGAGACCTTCAAGGTTGACAAGAAGAAAAAAACGATAGCGACGGCCGTGGGCGAGCTTCCATTGTCACCTGTCATGGACCCTTCATATTGGGAAGCGACGAGACGGCACGAAGTTCCTAAGGCGCGCCCGGGCAAACCACAGAACTCGGTCGAGCGACAACTTCGGGCCAATCCATTTGGTAAGGAATATTCACAGCGATAACCTCCCTTCGAAATGCTGATAAATTCTCAGCGAAGGCGCTTGCGACTCCTGTTCGCAGGTGTTCGGCCACCTCGGCCCGCTTGCCAAAATTCTTTCTACAAGACTTCAACCTCATAGCCCACCCCGAGACGAACAACCCATGGTGGGTGCCGCGCAGTCTGACCCCACAGCAGCGCCACGCGGCTGGAGACGAAGAGGATAAGGGTATACAAGACTCTATAGAGGGGTCAGAACCCTCTTTTGCACAAGAGGCGGCCGAAGCTACACAGTCTGAGTTGAAGCACGACCAGGGCTCGGGAGACGAGAGCGCAGTAGCCGCTACAGAACGAGAAGATGAGCAAGCATATGGTCCATCCGCTTACGTTCTCGCAAGGCGGGATCTGATCTCCTCCTTCCTGACCGATGAAGCTGGCTTCAAGCATCATAACCAACGCCTATTCGCCGGGTCAAGCTCACGCTACGCCAAATTCGCCTTCAAGGCCCAATGGCGTCAAGATATGGACAGTTTCATGCTGCTCGCAATGCGGGAGGACATTGTCGACGATCTGCTCTACCTCTCCAGGCTCTGCGTCGAGGATAGCCGCTACTACATCGTCAAGTGCCATGGTTGGGATGATGTGCAGTACAAGCACAAGGGCGCCGTGCTGTGGTTTGGAGAGCCTGGCCAGTCTTCCGGTCTTGACCGGAACAAGAGCCAGCCAGGCCCGTTTGCGACGTTCGATATCAAGGATGTGATGGCCCCGACGAGTGTGGTTGTCCACAACATGCCAATGTTGCTTGGGCCAGACCAGGCCGCAAAGGTGAAGGAGGAAGCCTCCGTGCTGAGAGATGGATCGTTCTTCATGCTGGCCGGACGGCGAACGACTGAGCTGCAACTCAAACTCTGGCGGCTACAAGGATATCTAGCAGACTATAGAGATACGACTTGATCCAGCCAGCGATGGACCTTCTTCTCTCGAAGGGGCTGGCACATGCCGGCCTGGTTGATTGGGTGGCCTGAACATCTCGACTACCGTACCAGGTTTCGGCGATCCCAGTGAACGGTTGTTCAAGAGTTCGTATCTTCCAACTTGCCAATTTTTCCAACAAGGCAACAACGATCAATTATCGGTTGATGATCTGCTGATATACGGTTCAAACATCAAATAAACCTTTAAAATCATCCTCATCCATTGATCTCAACACCCCGTCGACGAACGTATCTAAATCGTGAGAAACCCTCGAACATTCATTGGCTAGAACCAGTAGGTGCTGGTGCGGTACGCACGTGGTAGAACGCTCAATACATTTGTCGGGGCTCGTACCCTTCAGAAGTTACGACACTCATTCTCATTTGAGAATCTTCACTCATCGGTTGAGAGGCACACAGTGGACGAGTGCAACTAGACCAGAAAGCCTGGCCTAAATCTGATTGACTCGAGCTTTCGGTTAATCTAAGAGTTTGACAACGGGCGAAAGGCGCGAGTCACATTTCTTTTGTTTATGACATCAACCTTGCGCAGTGATTTGCAACATGACCAGCGACTCGGGATGTGGCACGGCGGCTGCGGAGGGAAGGTAATGCCACAATCACTCTGCCGCAGATCGCGGACACAGCTGCAGGCAGTGTTGCCATCTGCAAGTCTGACCTCCTCAATCGAACGGGAGAGGGGTGTGCAGCCAGCCGTCTCGAGAGGTGAACCAACTCGCTCGTGCATGCGTACCGTTGCATGAAACACCAACCCGACCACCTCATTGGCCGACCTTGCCGTGATTCGCCATCCATGTGCACGTACTTGAGGGTGATGGACTGCTGGTGCGGAGGCAACCCAGCGATTCCATCCTTCTCAACAATTCCGATCAGCTTCCCTCGCGGCGCTCGGGATCACGATGGATCCGTTGTCCGTCCTCTCGCTCACTTGCAACGTGCTCGACCTGGCCGCCCTCTCGGTTCGAACCTTCAAGGATATATACAATGGTCAGGGCGGCCGAGATGATCGCGGGCTGCAGCAAGAAATCCGGAACATGGAGAAGATCGTTGTTGTTGTTGTTGTTGTTGTTGTTGTAGCATTTAACGCCGGGGGGACTGCCGCGTAGCGGCGTCAACCAGGGGCTCCAAGAGGCCGCTCAGGCGTGCTAGGCTAGGTCTTCTATGTACATACACTGCCCATCTAGCAGGTCAAGTCCGTAAACAGCCACCACACTTAAGCGGCGGATCACACCGTGTCCCCCCTCCTCCGGGTGAGGGGAAGTATCGGCTGGGGTCCCAAATGTTCAGTTTTCAGGGCGCAACGCCAGGTTCAGTGCTCTTAGAGCTTACAGTAGGTGCCGCGGCATGCCGCAGTGGTTCTTACGCGCCCCGTGAGACGTATGGAGGAGATCGTGGACAAGTGGAAGGACAACAACAGCCAGCTTGTGGATGCTTCAAACATAGGTAGAGACGATACTATCCGCGATGTCGTTGCCAACACGGAGCGCATCTGCAAGGCATTACAGGAAGTTCTCGACAAATGCAGAGCAAAGAAAACACGGAGTTTCCGAGCAGCAACTGAGTCTATGTTCAAGTCGTGGAAGAGTCGAGATGACCTGGAACGATACCAAACCGAACTGGAGCGCTGTCAAAACAGTTGAGCTCACTCCTTACCGTGAGCGCTCATCACAACTCGGTGAAGATGCTTGGTCTCCTGGAGTCTGCCGGGGGTGTTCAGGGCGGCATTCACGGCATGCTCAAGGAGGCAGTTACTGTTTTGGCGGATAGCTCTTCAGACACCGCCAAAGTTTTAGAGCAACTTAGACTCGCCCAAGTTGCTTCCAAGAGGGCTGCCGAACATACCCGCCTACAGCGATTGCTGCAGGCACTGGGACCGCCGGGCAATAGATACGAAGAAGTGCGAGATGCTACCGAACATACCTTCGCTTGGCTCTTTCCAAGTGAATCTTCCTCCTCTGATAGCAGCGATGCCATGAGCGACAACAACTCCGACCGTTCACTTGACGCCAATCATTCAGCGGATGATGCAACGGGCAGTTTTGATTCGGGCGACGAGCGTTCGGATGATGGCAGACCTCTCGGGTACCCAAGGGTGACGAGCGAATCCGCCCAGAACAATACTACTGGTGACCGCAGATATTCGGAACACCCGCCTAATGAAGAACATATCCGAAAGTATACTAGTGACAGATTACGGAGATGGTTGTGTAACGGCACAGGGGTTCTGCACATCGCTGGCAAACCTGGATCGGGGAAGTCAACCCTCATGAAGTTTATCTCCGAACACCACGTCACCAAGAGACTACTTTCGGAATGGGCCGAGCCTAACCTGCTGGTTCACTCGAAGTTTTTCTTCTGGAAACCCGGGGACTGGCGACAAAACACGTCGAGAGGCCTGATCCGCGGCCTCCTATATGACATCCTAGGCAATGCACCATCTTTAATGCCTATCATGTTCCCTCAATGGTCGGCCGGGAATCTTGCTGAGAAACCTGCAGATACTCAGGCCATACGGATATCTGAGAAGGATTGTTTCCGTGCTTTTCACCAAATGATTGATGCGCGCCATGCGCGTGAAGCTCCTTACCTCTGCTTCTTCATCGACGGTTTGGACGAGTTTGACGAGGACGCCGATATTCCACATGGTGAACTAGTTAAGATGCTTCGTCAATGGACCGATCAATCAGATGGCAGAGTTAAACTCTGTGTCTCCAGCCGAGAGCTCCCAGTATTTGAAAACATCTCTCCCGAAGACAAGATCCGCTTGCAAGAGCTCACGAAAGGAGACATGGTGACATATGCGACGAACAAGTTGAGGAACAATGAACAGTTCTTTGACCTTCAATCTGCCGATTTCTGAGAATGCCACGGCCTGATCGGAGACATCGTTGATCGTGCCGAGGGGGTCTTTCTTTGGACTGTTCTCGTTGTACAATCCATTTCGAGGGGCCTTGCCAACAAGGACCAAATTCAAGTACGAAGAGCACGAGTAAAACATACGCCAAGGCAATTGGAAGCTTTTTTCACCCAGGTCTTGGACTCAATCGAAGCATGCTATCTTTGGGAGGCGACCTTGTTGTTCGCCGTTGTTATGCGAGATTCCGGGTTGCTGCTCGATGGTAGACGGGCAACACGGTCAACACGGTGCGGCTACAACGGGACCGACACTGTTAAACTCAGTGTAGTCAATGTGCATTGCATCTTGACAGCCTACGACAGGTCTAGATCCATTTCTCTTGCCGCCAAGGACGCAACTACCACTGAGGGCAAATTTTTCACCAATGAACTTTACTACCAGACCCGTACTCAAATATACGGAAGGTTCAAGGGACTCCTAGATGTGGTCTGGAAATACGATAAGCTAGGAACCGTGACCGACTCACAGATCGATCGTGGAACTGATGATTGACCGACTGCCGAAAATGGCCCAATCGTCAGGTATTACGGACCACTGTGTAAAGGGCGCTTGTCTGGATGATCACGGCTGAGATCACATATGACCACGTTTCCGGTGTTCTGTGCGTTGGCATGGAGGATTGGCCTGGTAAAGGCAAGGACAGGGTGCTTTACATCCCGTTCGACACCCCGTCTATGGAAGTCCGAAGTAGGGATTATAGGGAAGAGGCTTCTGTGAGCCTGGAATCAGTACAATTAAAGAACGGATGGTGTCGAGAATTCAACGCGGAGGAACATGTTCGCGCGAGGATAACTGGTTTCATACACCATCTAGAGACCTCCAATGGAGTCTTACCAGAGGACTTTCTCCTCTCTTTAGACATTCTCGATTGTCATCAACAGCAGTGTTTGCTGCATTCCGCTAAGGATATTGATTGGAAACAGGCCGACCAATGGTCTTGTCACCAGCTCGATTCACAACCAGATGAAGAAATTCACATTGGGAAGTCGTTAGTACTTACCGCCTGCTACCACGGCTTCGACCAATATGTTGCGTGGAGACTCCAAAATGACTTACCCGTGGTACCAGGCGGACACAAAGAGCGCAATCTTCTGCATATTGTTTGCACAGCTATCTATCAGAAGGTCACTACGGCGTGCAACACGCTTTCTGTACTCTTTCGAAATGGTGTCGATAGCACCGCCATGGTGCCTGCTGGTTCTACCTCTAGCGTGCTTCGCTACTTCTTCAAAGACTTCACCCGGGCATATTGAGTGGACCCAAAACTTTACAATCTCGTTCTTCAACGACTTGCGGATAGCATGATTCCTCCGCTCATTCTTCGACCCAATCAGGAAATCCCTGGCAGACAGGTCTCCAGCTTGCTTTCCAGGCCATATCTTCGAATCATGGATCCGGCACCACGCAGGTTTGGTTCCCATCAGTCATGTCTGTATCAAGAGGGTCATGAGGACCAGTGGCATGTCTCCTCTTCACCGCGGCAAGTTCGATATCAAGGTAGCATACCATGTCCAGGAGGATGGGCGACGTCTACTCGAAGTGGGTACGGATTGTGAAGATATGCTCAGTGCATTTCCCGAGCATTCGACGATCACATTCAAAGATGCGGTCGAGTGGATGAACCCACCGAACAAGGAATCTCTGTTGGCGCTACTGCAGTCAGTCGACGAACAGCAATCGGAGAAAGCAGCTACCGAAGCAGAACCTGCCGGTGTCGCTAGTGACCGCCTCGAGGAAGACGGGAACCAAGCACAGCCAATGCCAGGTTCCAGTTTGAGACTGCAATCATTCGTCACTCTGGTCTGGCTGCCACTGGCTCTCGTTGTCGCTGGTTTGGCGTGCTTGTTGTTCCGCTGGGTATCATGATCCAGCATCCTACTGGCTACATGATTTACGGGGAGCATCATGGGGCGGTCTGGTTGGAGTATGAGGAGAAACGGACGACGAAGGAGTATTGGGTGAGGCAGGTACTGTCCGTATCAAACGGGGATGGATGGCAAGGGCCTAGCAAAGGGTATCTTACAGTCGGTCGTTGGATCTGCGGAGTTTGGCGTCTCGCTGCTGTTTTGGAGGCTACCTCTGCGTCACAAGCGCTTCCTCTTTGTATGGACTGGAACAGTCACTCGTTTACTCCAGCTACACTCCCAGCGCAATAAAAAGGCAGTCGTTGATGTGATCGATGGAAGCAACGTCGTGTCGCAGGCGGACTTGGGTCTACACCAGAAGCTATACATTACAAATCTGTAGAATTCCACCGAGAGAAGCCACCGAGAGAAGCCATAGAGTAGGTTCATCTACCTACCTTGTGACTTAGCAGAAACTACCATAGCTCAACGCCGAAAGAACATATCTCAGAGACCGCGGCTTCGGGCGCAGGGCCGTGAGGGCTTCGTGCAGCTTCGACATGTATGATCGTCAAGGAACGGAATGGAGGATCAGGACAGACGCGGACCGTGGAGACAAGGCACCTAGACTCCGTGATCTTTGCACGCTGGAAAGGACTATGGCATGCGGCGACGGTTGGACATCTGACCTCACCGATTGTTGTTGGCGGGCGCGGGCATTTGTGCTGTGTACTCCTGTCACTGGCTTGGATCGTACGGCGCAGCTCGTCATCAAGGCACTTCACCCACCCTTGCACGTCACCTCACTATGTCGCCAAACCTGCAGCCTAGCGCGCAAGCGCTCACTGACGACGCGATGAGGGCAAGCCGACCGACCGACAGAGCACGAGCACGACCGAGGAATGGCTTCAGACGGCCATCGTCATGTCGCAGCCGGCCGCCGGACCTGACCCGGAGGGCTGTTCCCGCTCGGGATCTAGCTAACCTTAGGCCCCGAACGCCGGAAGCTCGTAGTCCGCTTCCGTCCTTGCAGTCTGCCAGACCGGACCGCATTGACTGGCCTGGACCACCATCACTTGCGACCGCTTTGCCACGACTGGAGCTGCCGCCAAAGGCGGGTTTTGCAGGTCGCTGGAGAGGATCTCGGCAGCTCGGGTAGGCTCCCCATCCTTGAAGATTATGTGAGCGGATGATGGTGGCTTGATTGGATTGACGATCCTTCCATGGGCATGGGGCTGGGATCTAATCCTAAATATACACTTTGAACACCAAGGGTGAGCTGGTGAGAGGCACAGCTGGTGATGATGCCTGCAATCGTTGATCGCGTACTGTGGGGACCGAGAGGCACAGCTGGTGATGATGCCTGCAGTCGCTGATCGCGTACTGTGGGACTGACATGCAGCGAGATCCTAGGTGTTGCACTGCTTCTCATGTCTTCCCTCGAAGCTTTGCTGACTTGCTCACATTTTGTCTGTCTGTCTATTTGCTCGCACACCCGCCGGCTCGCTCGTCCGCTTACCTACTCTCTTTCTATCCTCTTTCTCCTCGAGCCGCCATGTCGACGTGCTACTATCCCGACGGCACGATTTCCACGGACACGCCGTGCAACACAACGGCCATTGAATCCGCCTGCTGCGCTCCCAACGCCATCTGTCTTGGCGGCGGCGTCTGCTGGGATGGCGCCGGGCTCGCGCGCGGCGCCTGCACGTCGAAAGACTGGACCGATCCGGCCTGTTTCCAGCATTGTAAAGATGGTCAGTCAGCTCGTCAACCGCAGATCAGTCATAGGAGAGAATCAGCGTTGTCCTAACCAGCTCCCAACAACAGCCTCGCCCAGCACGGGCGCTCCCCTCCAGTTCTGCGGAATCTCCAACTACAATGCCATGTACGCCTGCTACAACCAGAGCACGTATCAGTGCGTTGCTTCAAATAACGGCCGATTCGCCCTCGATACTGCCGCTGCTTCGCTCGTCTTGCGGCCCACACAGCTCGCCGCCCTGAATGCCGAAGCCACGAGTACGAGTACGAGTACGAGTACGAGCAGTAGACTTGGCAACGCGGGTGCCGCGAGCAGTAGCATTGGATACGCGGCGAGTTCGAGCAGAAGCATTGCCAACCCGGCGAGTGCAAGCAGTAGCATCGCCAACGCCGCAGGAGCGAGCAGTGGCATTGGCAACGTCACGACGAACGGGGTCGCGAGGGCGTACACTGCCGGCGATATGGCGGCTGTAGGGGCAGGAGTCGGGGTGCCACTGGCGCTGGCGCTGGCGGCGGCGCTGATAATGCTGAGGAGGGAGAAGAGAAGGAGTGAGAGAAAGGAGGCGGAAAAGACGCAGTGGATATGGCGGGACGACCAGGGAGATAGCGTGGGGAAGGAGGAGCTGCAAACGCACGAGAGGCCGGTCGAGTTGGATGGTAATAGGGGGACGTATGAGCTGCCGGTGTACGGGCCATGAGGTCTGGAAGGCTCGGTCTGGGACTCTGGGGGAAGTGAGTACCTTGTAAATTTGGCGGAGTGAGTAGACGCGAGAGATGGGAGTTGGTACCAGGCGTGCTCAGGGTCCGAGACGTGCGAGAGTCTTGGAGGTGTTGAGGATTGGGCGTCAAGGTGTCGTGGCGCGTTTCCCATTGGCCGCCTTCCTGCACCACTACTGCCTCCTGCTAGCCATCGTGCGTCTCGATCGGCTCGAGCTTTCGCTTCCGACTGGGCGCGGTGCGTGCTTCGGTTATGTACCGTAGGGTGAGAGAGTCTCTGCCGAGGCTCTGCAGGTGCCGAATGGCGTATAGGTAGTATCGCTGCATGCCCGGTCCGTCTTGCAGGAGGATGTCGCCATGCTGCTGTGTCAGCGGGAAGATCTTTCTTGGTGACCGTTGCGACCGCTGGATGGTGCTTTTGATAACGGCCGAAGCCTCCTTCTCGTGAGCCTCTGGGGATAGTTCTCCGGAGGCCCTCCTTTCTTACAAATGGAGGAGATCCTCCCAGCATTGACAGCCGGCAGAGGTCTAAATTGATGGAAGGTATAACGCATTCTTGTTCCAGGCCAGAGCACGTTGGCTGGTGACTTTTCCACTCGAGCAGTACCGACGTGTCCCGTGGACTGTTGCGCGAATCCAGAATCGCTTGTACCTGGTCGACATGGTTGTTTGGGGTTGGTCGTACTCCCCCGGGTCCCTAGTTTACCAGTGTCGTACTCCGATATCCTTGAAAGAGGTTGTGCCAATGCCGTATGCAGAGTAATATTCCTCTCCGTATTTAGCGATCATGTGTCTGCTTACGTGGCTACCATTCCCAGCTAAGATACGACGGCTTGCTGCTACTGAGCCATTCTGCTTGAGGTTCTGAAGTTCCGCGTAAGCAGAATCAATCAGAAGGAGCATTCTCGCTGCTGTCCTTGGGCGGAGAAGCACAACATGGTCTTTGTCGTTCAATCGCATGCGGTATATACAGTAGTTCTTCTCCTCAACTGGTGGTGGTTGGGTGGAAGGGTTTATGTATGTGAATGCGAAGTGTTTTTCCCAAGAAAACAAGCAGCGTCCTTCTGGCGTGGTTGGAATACGTAATTTCGTGTTCAGTATGGCCAGGCTTTAGGGTACTGAGTTCGGACCACAAAGCTGGGAGACCAGCGGTTCGAGCAGTGAATGGAAATGTTGTGATCAGCTTGTTTTCGCCCAATTTTTGATTTTCTAAAAATCAAGAATTTTTTTATTTATCTTTTGATATGTTGCACTAATTTTTAATCTGTTGTCTTCGGGTTATATGTTGGTTTGTTCGGGATTTTCTTTTTCTCGGCCATTTGTTGGTGCCTTAGCAACCAACCCAACACTACCGACATACTCGAACACAATCCTCCGATGCTGCGTTGACTTTGAGACCCGGCAGAATCTCGTCAGCCGTTTGTGGTCTGTGATATGTCTCGTTTGACAAGTAGTATTCAAGAGGCACATTGGGCGACACAACCGTCCTGCTTTTCCCACAGCCTGCACAGGTTTGCCTCGCATAGGCGGTGAAGTGACTGAGCACTCCGCAATGTCGGCAGCAATCGCCGCGCCGAAAGGTCCGAAAGTTTAATTTGTTCAACTTCTGGTCTTATGAAAGCTCGAAGCTCGCCTTGGACGCGGGATCAACTGCGGGTATTCGAGTTTCTGCTCGCAGGCATCAAATTTTGGTCCAAGCAGGAACGAGGACTCGAAGTCCGAACTTCTAGTATCCGGTTACCATTGCTGTCACAGGAGCACAGGTGCTGGGGGTTGAGGGTTTTTCAGTATCCTTGGATATCTGCAGGGCTCTATACGCGGTTTAGTAACCCAACCGACGGAAATGAACTGTCTAAATCGAGGAAGAGGTGAGTAGGAACCCCTCGTCGCGCGAGCGCTGGCAATGCCCTCGTTATTTCTCGCAAGATCTTCCTGTTGAATCTCCGGATTCATCTTCGCTGCGTAGAGTTCCTGTTTCAAGTCTCGCTACTCTTAGCTGAAAGTGCTGGCATGCATCCATTCGGGTGCATCAGAATACTCAGACATGATCCCATTACTTTCAAAGATGAGGACAGAACGGGCAGCGTACTTACACACAGGGTGGTGCAGATGGGCAACTTGAATATTATGATCCTAAAGGTCCCGGACAGCTTAACGAGAAGCTCCAGTGATTGATAGCACAGAGTTGACACGCTCACGTCTTTGGGTTAGGCCAGCTCTCGTCTATCGAGTTGACTCTGGTTTTTAATAGTTGGAAGATGACAGCACCATAGCGACGAGTATCTCGAGGTGAAAACGAGAGTTTCAGGGCATCAATGACCATCGGCAGACCATGTCTTGTGTTTGAGAACACCGCGCTATTTGACTGTTCGCGAGTCACTGGCGCACGGAGTCACGAGCATCGTTTGCCAAACCCGAATGGTTAGTGGCCTTCAGGTTTGGAAAGAGTAGCAACATCGGCCCTGTTACGTTTGCACCTAGGAAAGGAAGTCGGAAACAATTCGCCAGCTCTGACATAACCTCGGCAAGAAGGTGCACATGTGTTGAATGTCACGCAAGCCACCGTGGCGTTAGAGAGGTGGCTGTGCATCAGGTGTTGAATGGGAGCCGGAGATAGACACCGGAAGAGCTCCAGTGGGGCAGAGACGCACAGGGCATTTGACCCACCAAGAAGACAGATGATCAATCTCTGTACGCTGAAGAAGCAAAGCAGAACAAAAAATGACAATCAATACAATCCATCAACATCCGTGTATTCAACACTTATGATATACTAACTATAAGGGTTATATAGATTAGAATATAAATTAAAACTAATAAGTTAAAACTAAACCTATTATTAAAGGTTAAATTTAACGATAAATACGGCATTAATATTAATTATCTTATTGTGAGATTCTAGAAGGGTCACAAGCCTTGGGGGTGTGAGCGGTCATTGCAAAAATGTTGTTGTCATTCTCAAGTATGCTTGGCAGGGCTAATCTACAGCTAAATACCATACTACACCATGCCAGGGTAGATCCACTGTTCCTTTGACAGCCCCCTAGTGGGTACTGCACCTAAGAGCACCATATCTGGGATCCAACATCTGACACTTATTAAATAAACTAAGATTAAATTATATAAATACTTAACAATATTATTACAAGTTTTTAAAGTCAAACTATATATTATTAAGAATTCGTTGTTTAAACCACGAGTATTATACTCCTTTATATAATAATTGTCAAACTTCAGTGTGCGGAATACTGTTCACTCGTTCGTGGATTATCTAAGTGTTCCACTACTACCTGAGGTGGACGTATTTGTATACAAATATAGTATTAACGCGTTCAACTGGCGTTGCAGCTAAGCAATGGGGCAATGGTCGCTAGTCAACCGTTCCTATGGCGCTCGGACCACCCTTGATCCTCCGCCCACAGACCACCTCCAACACACACCCTGAGCCACCCTATTCGACAATAATACTTATTTTTATAAAATTTAAAACCAATTTCAACTACCGAAGTTTCGTTTTTCGCTTTATAATATTTAAAGCTATGAACAGCCTGATATATTCTTTATTAATAAAAGCCGCAAGAAGTTTAAGCAATATAAATAAACTAGAAATAATTTAAAAACAAATAAGATTGAAATATATTCAAAAAGCCTTGTTTAAAGGTATATACGAAAGTATACTAGGATATAATTGACATATATATAAAAATATATACTTGAAAAATAAAGGCGCTAGCAAGCGAATAGCGGCTATAACAAAGCTTTAAATTTAAAGATCGTATAAGACGAATTAAAAACGAATATAAAAATGTTAAATCTTTAAAATACTTAAAAATAAACGAAAGAAGTATATATATGACGTTAAAAGAAAATACTTTAAATTTAATCAAGAAAGGTGGTAGCGCGTTATTAATTAAAGGACTTTATTACAACGGTATAACTTACCGTTTATTTATTATAATAATAATGTAACTCGTTTAATCGAGATTTTATTATAAATATAAGCGTTTTTAAAGCTATTTAAAAACTTAAAATTCTATTAAATATATATATCGTTAAGAGGCGTGTTAAATAAAAGTGGCTTTAAAGGTTAGTTTAAAGTTGTTCGTATATTAAAATAAGAGGTAGTTGTATTATAATTTTTTTATTATATTAACTAGACGCAATATAGTTATATTTAAATACCAAGCCGTCCACGTAAAGTAGTTTTAAAATAATAAGGTAAGTAAGTTATATATTATTTTAAACTATTAATCTTTAAACCTTTATGTTATTATTTTAAAGTAAATATTGATCAATTCTATCAAAGCTTTTATATAATAACGTAATTATATTATTAGTATATAAATTTATTTTACCATCATTCAATCACACTATCTTTATTTTTATTTCTTAAAAGAATAAAAAATCCATTATTCTAGCAATTTATACGGTATTTAAACGATAAAAAAGCGCTTTAAACAGTATGACTTAATTAAGTTTTCCCAACAATATTATAGATAAAACCGACCTGTTAATTAAGCGCTTTTGGTTAAAAGCTAATTTAGAAGTCGTGACTAAATTTAAGCCTTTAAAACTATTAAATCGTAAGCTTTATGTTTACAAGTTATTAACCACGCTTTTAAAGTTATTTTTACCCTTCGTTTCTTTTTAACTCGTTAAAAAATAGGTAATATATATTAATAATCAAATGCGTAAAAAAAGATCTTATAATAAAAAAGTACTTTTAAGCTTATAAATAATACGATATTACCGTTAAGGAGCTTTTTTATTTTTTATTTACGATCATTTATATACTTCATCATTTGGAAAAGCGTGTAAGGAAAAAAAAACCCTCGATATAAAAAACATTATATTGTCTTTCAACTCGTTTTATTACTTACCGAGCTAATAAGCTTCAAAGCTAAAATTTTATACTTCTAATCTTATCATCGTTTTCTTTTTATCTTTTGAACAAATAAAAACATAGTTTTCATAAATATAGTAAGAATCCGTCGAATTATAAACTTTTAGCTTAAAAATGATAATTTATAAATATATTGTTAGCTATATTAATAAGGCGAGAAAAACCATTATGATTTTTATTAAACCGACTGTTATAAGTTTTAAAGAGTATGTATTGATAAAAGCTAGCTACTTTTTATAATAAATAAAACACGTTTTAAGCTCGTTATTATAATTAAGGCTTATTAATATAGCTAGGAAATTAGAAATAATGCTTTTTAAATATATTATTAAATACGATCTTTTAAATAACACGTAATAATTAGTTACTACTTCATTCGATCGCTGATTTAAGGTTTTTAATAATACGCAGCTTAAATTTCTACGTCTTTTCCAATAACTTCTTTTATTCATTTTATTTATATAAGTAATTCTATATAAAAAACGTAAACGATATAAAAACTACGTAAATAACGTGTATAATCACGTAAATAACGCTTTATCCGTTAACTTATAAAGCTTTAACGTATTATTAAACCAAAAAATTACTAATTTTTAATAAATAAATGATTTAGATTATTTAAAAAGTTTAAAAAATAACCTTTCTACTTTTTAATATATTAACTATTTAACCGTAAGTTACTCGAAATCGTAAAAAGTGAAAACAAGCTATTAAAGTTATTTAAAAATATTTCGATTATTAACTTAAAAGATAAATAAAGACCCTTTTGAAGCGAAAAAATCAATTATAACGAGCTGTAAAAATAATATAACCATATCTTCTAATAAGTATTATGGTTGGAACAAGCTTGAACGATCAATTATAATACTCGAGTATTAGGTCAAGGTCATGATATTGCTGATGGTTGGACTGGGAGGTCAAGCTGGACTCGCAGGTCTGGCTTAGTGACCTCACAATCCGGTATCTAATATCTTATCTAATCATACATGTGGGTTCGGTATGGATGGTTTGAATGTGGAATCGCATGGATCCAACAATTATTATATAAATAAAAGTAAACATCTGGGTGTTAAAATATATGAAAGTAACATTATATAAAGGCGCTTATTGAATCGTTTAAAGGAAGCTAAAGATATTAATATTAATAAAAGGCCGCCAAGAACTAAGTGGGGTTATTTAAAGTATAATATAATAATTTGTTATAAAAAAACTATTAACATACGTATTACGACGTAAAAAGCAAATAAATAAATATATTTAAATATATTAATACTTTTAATTAAACGATTAGCTTACTACTTTTAATAACGCGCTTTTAACGTATTAAACAGGTGGGTTTAACTATATGTTATAAGGTAGTACGTATAATTATTTAAAGGAATACACGATAAAATATGATAAAATCGCCTTTTTTCAATAAACCAAATCGCAGTTAATTTAAAAAGGAAAAGAGGAGTTCATGTATGCACAGTAAGTAAATTTAAATAAAAAATGTAACAAATTTTATAGGGAAACTATAAACGTAAAAATAACGGGTATATCAAGAAATACCACATTTTTTAATATAAAATAAGGTTGTTTTTTATATATATTTTTGTTGGATACATGTGATTCCACAGTCAAATCATCCATACAGAACCCACATGTATGATTAGATAAGAGATTAGATACCAGATTATGAGGTCACTTAGCCAGACTTGCAAGTCCAGCTAGACTTCCCAATCCAACCATCAGCAACATCATGACACTGATCCAATACTCGAGTATTATGATTGATCGTTCAAGCCTATTCCCACAATTTTAAAAATTATATTTTACTTTATTTATATGATTATCATTTGTTGAATTATAATATATTATATTAAAGTATATTAAATTAATACCTTTAAAATAGTCTGAAATTTAAAAAAACGATAATAACTATAAAAGTACGTTTTATAACTATTACGCTTTTAAATTAACGTTATAAATATTTATACAAGCCTATATTAATAAGTACGATCCAAGGCTATTAGTACATATATATATTAACACGTGCGATATTAAACCGGTAACAACAACGTACTTTTATCGTCGTCGCATACCAGCTTAAGATTTTATTATATGTTGTGAGATTCTAGAAGGGTCACAAGCCTTTGGGGTGTGAGCGGTCGCTGCAAAAGTTGCTGTCATTCTCAAGTATGCTCGACAGGGCTAATCTACAGCTAAATACCATACTGCACCATGCCAAGGTGTATCCACTGTTCCTTTGACAGCCCCATAGTGGGTACTGCACCTAAGGGCACCATATCTGGGATCCAACATCTGACATATGTGTTAGATACTAGTACGAATGTGTTGAATGAGAGCCGTAAATAGACACCGGAAGATCTCCAGTGGGGCAGAGACGCACAGGGCATCTGACCCACTAAGAAGACAAATGATCAATCTCTGTACGATGAAGAAGCAGAGTAGAACAAAAAACAACAATCAATACAATCCATCAACATCCGTGCATTCAACAATATGTGCAGAGCAATTGAAGGTGGGGAACTGACACTCTGCTTGCAAATGACAGTAAGGCATTTTAAGGCCACCTAGCCACCAACCAATCAAGACTTTACAACAACATGATCATCAAAATCAGCACTAAGTACACGAGTATCAACCATATGAACTATCTATGCACTGTTTGATATCAAATGATGGCTCCAGTCAATTTGATGTCCTGATACTATACTGTGACGCTTTCAAGTCTCTCAGGTGCTCTGCGGGCTGCAGCAGCCACAAATCCGGGTTCGCCACTTTGGCCTTCGTTTTCTCTATGAACTGTAGCAGCCAACTGCACCGATCTCAGAGGAGGAGCAAGCATGGTCTCTTCCGCAGCGGGGCGGCTTGTATTCATTGCCGTGCTTATTCTGCTAAACTGGGTGAACAAAAGTCTCCGCCCGACCACTCTCTCAACACCGCAATTAATAATGGATTTATGATCTTTTGGGGACGAATTAAGCGGCAATCGCGTCGTTAACAGCAAATTCACTTCAGAAGCTCACTTGGCAATTGTGGCGGCGCAAATTGACGGCAGAACGTGCAGGGATATTGCAACCGCGTTTAAAACGAAACGCCTGAAAACCATCTCCGACATCATTACCAACTTTGAGGCCACCTCTACACTGAAATCTGCCCCAAGGAGTGGTTGCCCACCCGTTTTGAACACTCGCAAACGCGCTCGTGTGATCAAGAAGCCAAGAGAGCTCCCCAAGGCGACGTGGCAGAAGATCCGAAATGAAGCCCGCATTTCGTGCTCTCCCAAGACTATCAAGAGGATATGTCACGCACACGGCATCCAGAAGTGGCGCGCAGCGAAGCGAATCAAGCTTACAGATAAAGACGTTCAGAAGAGGCTTGCTTTCGCTAATTATTATAGCACACCAGAGCACCTAGAGGAGTTGTTACAAGCCATGTTCTCAGACGAATGTACAGTCCAAAACTCCTCTGATAATCCAAGCGATTGGGCCATCCGATTCTCTTCAGAGCGGTACCGTTATGATCTCGTGAACGAGACGGATCACAACAAATCTCGTATTTCGATAATGGTGTGGTCTATGATCTGGCTGCGCCGCGGAGAAGGAGGACTAGGCAAGTTGGTCTTCTGCCCACTCGATCTGGATGCTCCGCGCGGAAGAGTATCCGCAGAGTCATATAAATGGGTTCTTAAGAAAGGCCTGCTTCCGTTCTATGAGGCTGGAGATCCTTTTGTTCAAGATAACGCGAAAATTCACATTACTGGCGGTGTTCCAAAGTGGATGGAGGAGCACGGCATCTGTTGAATACACGGATGTTGATTGATGGATGCTATTGATTGTTCTGCTCTGTGTGCAGAGATTGATCATCTGTCTTCTTGGTGGGTCAGATGCCCTGTGCGTCTCTGCCCCACTTGAGATCTTCCGGTGTCTATCTCCGGCTCCCATTCAACAGCATCCACTGTATCGACTGGCCTCCTCACAGCCCCAATATGAACCCAATCGAGCACGTTTGGCGACTTCTGAAGAAGATACATCAAATCGAGCCTGAATTTTCTGAATTGAAGGACAATATCCCCCATTATCGCTACGCACACGAATTAATTGAGCAGGAGTGGTCAGAAATCGATCCGGAGCAAGTTAGGGTCTTGATGGAGTCACTGGAGGACCGAATGGCTGCAGTGAGGCGCGCCGGTGGTTGGTATACACACTATTGACTTAGCTATTAAATATAATTTATTTGAGAATTTTATCACCAGAATTGGGTGCGTTGTGGTTCAATTGAATTGGAGGGTGTAGTAGATGGAAGGGGTAAAAATGGGGATCGGGCGGAGACTTTTGTCCACGGATTGTACCAGTTGTCGATGCGGCCCCAGAGCCTGCGACCGGGGTCAGCTTTGTTCAAACATGAGCATGATCGTATTCTGGTGGTAGGAGCACTGGGCTCTTCTGGCGAACACATTGACTATTGGAAGGTTGGAATAATGAGGAAGTGACATACCAGAAACCGATGAGGATCGCAAGCGCGAGACGTGGGAGAACCGCAAGGAACTCCTAGGTCCGCTGGACTGGTCATAGAGGACTTGGATACGGGCGACAAGGGACCGATGTTCCTTCCGTCGATCATATCCAGTGTACGGTTGTTCCGGACCCGGGTTTCCTTGGCTCGAGTTGGCTACGAGAGGAGCGCTGGAGTAGCGATCAAGCCGGCCACCGTCATCTTGGCTCAAAGTGGCGAAGTTCGTCCTTCTTGACTGGGCACTCATTACGGCCACGGACCGAGTCATGAGCCACCGGATCACAACTTGCGGCTTTCATTGCTGCTCCGGTCGCAGATGTTGGGGGGGCTCCAGATCAACCAAATGAAGACCAAAGATGGCACGCTCAAGTGCGGCCCAGCTTACCAGCCAGGGCAGGAGCCTTAGGGAATAGTCTCATGTTGATTGCCTCGCCAGTACGCGTCACGTTCTGGATGCGCGTACGGGGACGATTTCGGATGTTCATAGGCCACAACTGTATGGAGGTGTTCCAGGCTTCCAGCCGACAATGGTGCTCCTGGTCCACACGGGACCTTTGATCTCGAGGCCAGTCTCAGCTTACAGCCATCACAACACACACATGTGAAATACCCACCAGAGAGAAGTGATTATGCCACGTGGATATATAAATGATGGTTTCGACGGCCTCGAGCCCTACCAAGCTCCTCGGGAGGATGGCGGGAAGCGATCCGGATGCTGTGAAACAAACCAGGGGTTGGGTCCGTCGATAATAGTGCTGCCTTGTTGGGCAGCCCAAGCCATGAGCTCGTCGTCCTGGAAGCGCCCATGTCGATGGAAAATAGTCTCAATGCCCATATTTATGATGCTGCCCAAGGTTGCGTTACTGATCAACTCCTGGCAGGCCCTCGAGGCTTGGAAAATGAGCAAACCGACATCCACCCCAGAGCGCAAGGTCAGAGGCACTCCTAACCGCTGACCGGTTTATTCTGGTGCTTGGTGACCTTGTCGGTGCGGCATTTCCTCCCCATCTTGGTGCTCTTGTCGATGCTGCTTGGGCGTGAGCAGGAACAGTCTAGAACTCGTCCTCGTCCGTCATCAACCAGCCCTCGTCGTCGTCGTCAGACTCGGCAGGTTCGCTGGCGTCTCCGAGTGACTGGGACAAGGCTGCCTCGGGCTCGACGTCCTCGTTAAGCGATTGTCCAGCATCTGCCGTAGCATCGTCCCAACGACAACCAAGCAACTTGTCTATGCTGACTTGAAAACCAGGGGCGGCGCTCCGTCGGCAATGGCGCAAGTTCTTCCTGCCTACCGGACCCGGGTAGTGCAGCGTAAGCTTTTACATCTGAGCTAGGTCAGCAAAGAACATCGACGACTCTCGGTTCGTCAAAGGCAAAGGGGTTACCTACACAGAGGTATGGCATTCCAGATCGAACGGCCCAGCACCTCCCATTTCGGAGCCCGCTGATAGATCCAACGTCAGGATGCGAGGTCAAGGGTCGTGTGAGTAGCCCAGGCATCGTCGGCTCCGGCATGCTCATATCCAGATCTATCAAGCTGTTAACTGACATCCTGTGGCTGGCTTAGCGCTGCGCTGGGGGCTCAGAGCCATGCGAGGGCAGTCCGATCGGCTCTGTTCCCTGGAGTCTGCCGTATCGGCCGCATCGGTATTGCTGCTACGACTTCGTCATCTATGTAGCCCCGCTGGTTGCTGCGCGACACTCGCCAACTACGGACGTCTCAGGGTCTGACCTAATCGTTCGAAGGCGCTGTATCAACAGACCTGATGCCCCCGCGGACCTAGGAGATCCCCCCCTTTCAGCTCCTAAAATTCGACACCGAAAATAAAAGGTGACCAGACGGGTATGAATTGGTCGCGAAAGAATAGCGAAGAACGAGGATGCGATGCAAATGCGCCGTCTGCTCATGCTATTGATGAGCTGTATCAACGATAGTCAGTTTTGCGGCGTTTTATTTTGAGACTTAGCGTACAGCACGGGGGCTGTGCTTTTTGTTGTCTGGGATATTTGGGTTTGGCTCCTCCCTTCCAGTCCAAGAGCTTAAAAAATAAAATAAATCGTGAACGATAGTCAGCGGGCGGCGTGAGTAAGTGCTCCATGATAGGGCTGGTCATTCGTGCCCATCCGGGAGTATAGCAACTGCGTTGCTCTGGACATGGGCTTGGTCTCCTTCATCACGAATGGCTGTCTGGACGTTAACGTCTTGGTTGACCGCTGCGCCGGGTTCCTCCTTGACTCGGTGTCCGGGTCGTGAGCTGATTTTACCTCCTCACCCTCGATATACGGCAACTTTCAAGACGTCGACAAGTGCCTGGCAACCGTCGTGTTGCTGCACCCAGCAGGGCCAATAACGAGCTAGATAGGCTCCGGCTGCTTCGTTAGCGACAATGGGTTGTTCAACATCCTTTGCAATGAGGGCTCATTCTGGGGCTCTTGCTTGATCGGGGCATATTGGCCTGCTTGGACTGCCTCCTCCGGGTGGACAAGATTGCCAAAGTCAGGCGGCATAGTCTGCCGTCGTAGTCAGAACCAGTATCGGAACGTTCATCTGTTGCTGCTGCTGTGCCTGCGAATTGCGGACACCCTGTTTTGCAGAGGGTGCAAGAGAGATGTTACTCACCTCATTCACAACCTTTGAACTCCGTCCTTTTTTCTCGAAGAAGAGACAGTGTTTCGAATCTTCGGCTTGGAGTTCCTGGCGATACGGACCGTGGCGTGGGGCGAATGAGCGGCATAGAGGCCTGCGGCAAAGATCTTGCAGTACTCGTGCACATATCCGGGTACATAGTTATCGGCGTCAATAAAGCCGATGTCTGTTTGACATGAAAACGAAGATCCAGCGGCGGCCGGTCCGGGGCTGAATCGATCAGGCGATACTGGCGGTGTTGTCGTCGCGTTCTAGGGGCAGGCCGTAGTTTCCTTTGTCGGTAACCACTCTGATGATGGACTGCATCAACTCGACCGGGATCTCTTCCTTCTCGGTTACCCCCATGTCGAAGATCTTGTGCTTAATGCCGTTCGCGTCGTACGGCGAGTGACTTTTTCATGCAGAAGGCAGCGAAGATTGTCCATCCGAGAAACAGTCCCTCGTAAAGTTTCCCAAATTTGTCTGAAACCCGGATCTTGATGCGCTGGACTTCGCCGAGACGGCCGGGCAGAGTCTAGGCACCCATAGGAAGTCAGGGGTCTCTTAGGCGCGTTCGGATCGTGAGTGCGCTTCCTGCGCTCCTTTTTCTCCTCGTGAACGGGCAAGTGGTCACCAAATTGGCCAGCTCTTCAGTTCCGACTCGGGCCTTGATGTCATCGTCTTTGTGTATGCTACCAGTAGTGGTAGACCTTCCCCAGTCCGAACCGCAGGGCATTGTCGACAGTGTCTTCGCTGCCTTCTCCATCTTCATCCTCGCGTACAGGTCGCCTCCTAGTCATAGGTACTGCCGATACCTGCATAATTTCCCTTGATCTGGGAAGTGGCGCGGCCGCCAGTAAAAGAGACGAGCTGCTGCACTCCTTGGTCGGCGGCGAAATTTGGCGCTGCTCCACCTGCGTTTGTGCTGGCCGAGCCAGAGGAGAGCTGAATCACCGATGCAACAGCGTACACTGGGGTTCTCTTTGGCACCGGCTTTGGTTTCTTCTTCTTGGGTTCTGAATCGTTCAAGTGGGAATCTTCCGAAATCATCGGAAACACGGTCGAACGTTATGTCTCAAATGCAGTTTAGGGTCGTGCCGGACCGGTGAGCCCACATACACAATGGCATAACACAACGAACGATTACGCGGCTGCGGCGCGGCCCAACGATTCGAGGTTAGGTTTATTTTATTTTATTATCAAGCTCTTCCAACCGCAGGGGAAGACCGCAATACAAATTCTCTAAAATACAACAATTAACCAGAGCCCCTGTAAGAGGAACATGTTGCTGATGAGGAAAGGGTCCGTGACTCCTCGGTTGGCCAGCTCTTGGGCGACGACGATCTGGAGGAAATGCTCCATGGCCGTTAAGTTGCTCGGGTTCGGGGGCATATTGTTAACCAAGTTCTCGACGCGAAGCCTGTTGGCGGTAGCGTGGACGGGAACGTCCGGGATGCTTTGAAGGGGTGCTGATCCCGTGTCTGCAGCGTTTCCGTTGCCATCGGCCTCGTTGCCTGCGTCCTCCATGCCAGCGGCCTCGTTCCCGTCGTTCTTGACGACGGCGTGCAAAGGCGGCGATAACAGACCCAACGTCATGATATTATGCGAACGCGTGCGGTTGTAGCTGCTTAGCCAAGGCGGCGTTTTCCTTGACCTGATCGTGCGCTGCATCCTCGACTCTACACGACTGTGAGCTAGAAAAACATAAGGTAAACGATGGACCTGACTTACTGTGCTTGATCGTCTTGAACTCGACGGTATGAGAGACGTATCCCGTCTGGGCGCGGGGATTATTGATGGTTCCATGGGAGATAACTTATCACGCTCCCAGGGCGTCTAGTGGGTGTAGTGAAAGCGATGCATTTCCCCTTCACCCACTTTCCGTCCACCAGAGCTGCGATGTCGAGACCGTGATGTTTGAAACCCCAGTCATAGTCCTTGGATACCTCCAGGCCGCCGTATTCATCATCACGGTCGTCGTAGCGCCGGCGTGGGAGGTCTGCGGGGACCAAGTCTGTCGTGATGTATACCGGGCCCTCTGTGTTTCCCTGCATCGGACGAAGTGGTATGACACCAGCCCTTAGCTCCGATGAGGGATGTTATCCAGATCTTCGGGCCACGTCAAGACTGACGATCGGGGGTACTTATCGCATTGGTGGGACTGCCCCCAGACTCGTTTTTTCCTCATTTCGAGCCACCGTACAGAGTCTTGGCTTCCTGTCGATACTCGATACGATCGAGTGAGGCCTTGTGGTCAGCACCATGCTCTCTTTCCTCGGGCTGGTTCGGATCGTCGGAACCACGGCCAACTCGCGAGGCACCGTACTGGATGAAGTACCATCCCCCCTACATCTCGGACACCCCCACATCTCGTACAGCAAAACCCCACCACCACCACCTAAGCCCTATATGTTCACTTATACGCTTTCAGCCCGATATTGAAGCTATTCAGAATGTATTTAGTGCTCTAGGTAGCCCTGATCTTAAGGTTTAATCCAATGTAGAAATTACCCCGTGCGGCCTACGTGATTGGCTGTCTATTACCCCGCGTTTCTTACCCCGAATAGAGATTTTTGGGTGCTAGAGCCTCGTCTGAAGCCTTGTTCTGTATGCACCGCAGCATCGTATAGCCGCCTAAAATGCCTCCCAAACTGTATACAGAGGATCAGATAGCGAATGCCATTTTAGATATCACGGATAAGGGCCTCTCGCTGCAAAAAAGCGCTCAAAAACACGGCATCCCTGTTACAACGCTCTCTGACCGACTTAACGGCAAGCCCTCAAAAGGCGAAGGCCATATACACCAACAGAGACTCTCCCTTACTCAAGAAAGCATTATAGTCAACTGGATTTTGCGTCAGGGGAAGCTAGGACTAGCCCCTTCGCACTCCCTGGTGCGTGAGATCATCGTGAAGGTGTTGAAAAAGAACGGAGATTCAGGCCCCCTTGGAGACCACTTCATAACCGGCTTCAAGCGTCACAACCCCTAAATAAAGACCAAAATTGGCAAAAGGGTAGAATCAGCGCGCTTTAAGGGCTTCACGCCGAAGGCAGTTAACTGGTTCTTTGAAATCCTAGAGGATTACGGCTGGGTCAAGCCAGAAAACACGTATAATATCAATAAAGGCGGCATCATGGCGGGTTTTGGTAACTATAACTAACCCTTAAAATCTATATAAATTCTAATTAGCTTTATAGGCATCGATTCTTTGGTTTTAGATAGTTCTATTACTAAAAAGGCCTTCTTAAAAAGCCCTTAAAGCCGTAACTGGACCTCCTTTATCGAGGCCATCTCTGCAATTAGAAAAATCCTCAAACCAGGTATTATCTTTAAAGGGAAGGACCTCCAGGCCCAGTGGTTCATTGAGGAGTTTCAAAAGACCGCCAATTGGCATTATATATGCTCAGAAAATGGCTGGACTTTGAATAACATAGCCTGCAGTGGCTAGAAAATGTCTTTATCCTGTAAGTAAATAAGATACGAGGAAAAGATCAGGCTGAGTCTATTCTTTTATTATTAGATGGCCATAATAGCCATACCTCCGTATGTATATGATTTTTCTTATTTAATATAGACTTCCTTTATTTCTTTCCTGATTTAATAAGAGCTAACGCGTGTTGTAAGGACGAATTTATGACTATCTGTTATTTCGCCAATATATTGATCTGTTTCTTCCCTACACATACTAATCACGGCATGCAACCCCTAGATAACGGGCCCTATAACGCCCTGAAGGCTCACTACCAGAAATTCCTTTCTCAGCTAAATTCTCTGACGGATGCCTCGCCTGTTGACAAGATCAACTTCATTCGGTGCTATAGCCAGGCCAGAACTGCTGCTTTTACTAAGGCAAATATCCTCTCTGGCTTCAGAACGACTGGATGTTATCCTATCAGCCGCAGGAAGTGCTTAGCGCACCCAGAAATCCAGGAAGAGAAGCAGAAGACCCCTGAGCCTGAGACCCCTGAAAACTCTGAACCAGAGGACCAACGGACCCTTACTACGAGCCGCCAGATCATGAATTTCGGCAAAAATAAGTCCCCTGGCACCCGGCTAAAATACAAGAAGATAGCCACTGCGTTCGAGGCTAAGGAGACCGATCTTGTTATTAAGGATAGGAAGATCAAGGCCCTGGAGGCTGAATTGGAGCGGCTATGGCCAAAAAAGCGGCAGAAGATCCCTAATCCTAACAGGAAGTTCAGAACAGTCACGGAGGTACTAAGTACGGGTGGTATCATCACCCCTGATGCCTCTGCGGATGTACCAGAAGTTGTGGTTGATAATGACGAGGAAGAAGAAGCAGAAGACGAAGACTCGGCTGAAGAGGCCGCTTCGGAGGCCATACAGGAGCCTAGGCAGACCCGTTCGGGGCGATTCATTCGGGCGCCCACTAGATATTACGAATGATCAGATTCAGCGCTCTCGAATGATAATTTTGCTGGATTTCTCTGACCTGAATGACTTCTTTTACATGTGGGTGAATAAGGGGGTGTTTTGGTGGTGGTGGTGGGGTTTTGCTGTACGAGATGTGGGGGTGTACGAGATGTGGGGGGGGGGGATGGTATTGGATCAGGATGCCCGGTAACCAATGCTGTGCCCGATTCTGTGCATCGTGCCCTAGACGCCTATAATACACGGTACCTATAGCTCACCAGTCTCCTTTTCCATATGCGCCAGCCTGGGACGCCCTTTGTTGAAGGGGAGTTATGAGACCTCGGGGGGCTCGCAGATGCGGGAGGGATGCTGGCAGGCCAAGACAAGGGGCATGACGCCCGTTATTATGGTCGGCTGGATCACTCAGAGGCGCTCGGCTGGTGGCAGGGGACGCTGTGGCGGCTGAGAAAGACCAATTATTGTCCATTGATGCTCTTGGGCCCGGTCTTGCGACGGGGCCTGGTCGGATAGTGCCCATATCAACAGGTATCGAGAATCTGCACCGCCGAGGGATGCGCCAGCTCACTATATATGTGGAATCACCACATCACCAATGCTGCCTCTCGGGGGTTTTGCGAGCAGTGTCAGATCATTGTCCATCTCACCCAGTACAGCATGCAGGGCCATGCTTCATGGCCGCCAAGAACACCAGTTGCTCTGCGCTAGGGTCCACCTCGATCTTTGCCGCGAGCTACAGCGTGTTAGCTTATTCTTGTGTGTGGTTGAATATAGGGTGGTGGCTTGCCTAGAGTCGACTAGGCACAGACTGCACCAAGTTCGTTGTAACTCTTGAGAGCTTCGGCTCCGGCGCGTTAGGGATGTTCTCGTCCGAGTCGGTGCGGTCAACTTCGACCCGGCCATCTTCATCGCGGCTCTTTAAGCACGACTTTTTCTAGTTTCTATGGCTCAAGATATAAGTAGCCACCGACATAGTCACTGACATAGTCACCAGGTGAGTCACCGGGAGAGTCATCAATGACGATAGCAAATCCTCCTCAATGTATAGCAGTGGCTGCATCGACAGCCGCCACGCATTGCGCAAGAGTGGGTTGAGAAAACCCGCACCCGCAACAAATCGCGGAGGAGTAATGATGGAACTCCTCCTCTTTCATCCATTAGATCATCTCAATCTGGTACATGCTGTTACCCTGGCTGCTATTTCAAGACCAGGGTTGACAAGTTTCTACTGACTAGTCTTATTTTCGGTTCGAGTGCCAATGGCAGCGGCGGGCTTGAACCTGTCGACCACAGATCCGGTGGTGCCTGGCGAAAGATACCCTCTTCCAATTGTGCGGACGGTTTTCAATGTGACGAACTTAGTTATGCAAAGCCAATTGGCGAGGCATACTTTCGCTCGGTTGTGCTTGTAAGTCGTTGCCGCAATGAATGCGTCTTCGACGTCGGATCGGGAGATCACAGAGATGAGGTAACGGCGGGAGCCCCCAAGTGGGACAGTTTTGACACCCAACATCACAATGTTCACTTATACATATCTCCACGAGGAATGAAGCTGTAAATACTGTCCCTATTGCCTTTGAATCGTTTTTTCTTAATGTCTTCTTGGCGATTGAGTAATTAATTATTGCTTTTTTCTTAGGCGTTTGGCGGTGCTTTGAAGTTTGACCATGCCTTGCTCTCACCAAAAGGTCGGGAAAACCAGACCCACGGCAGCCCGGAACGTTAAATTTAGTAGGGGTAAAACTTCATGCTATTATAACTCTTGTTATAACCATAACTTACTATGAGCACCCATACTTTACAAGTTTAGAAAAAAGAGACAAATATTGTCGCTCAAATAACTACGTCGTACCATTATTATCGGTCGAGTTATGAGGGTCGCAATAGTGACATTTTGGTGGGAAAACTGTCCCATTGGGGGGGCTGTCCCACTTGGGGGCTCCCGCCGTTAGAAGCCCTTTCGGGACTTAGCAAGGATTCCGTGCCGTGGCGACGGGTGGCAGTTGCAGAATTGTTTACACACTCTGTCTCGATGGGCATCGTAACGAAGCATGCGCAGGGTTCCCCGAGTGACGATACCGCGAGACTGGTGTCCGTCCTGACCCTTGCAGGCGTTGTTCATGCCCTCGCCGCAGCGAGGACCAGAGACTTGCCCAACCTCGCAAGCAGGAACTTGCTGTTCGAGCGCTGGATGTGTACATGTACGAAGGGATTGTTGGGACTGCCAGGAGACTCGACCCTCTTGGGAGTGCCTCGCAGGGCTTTATGAGAAAGCTCGTGATTCGGGCGCGTCATCGGTCGCTATGCGCCTTCTTCTCGGCCATCTTTCGACTATGCTTGTGGGGACCTTTAGTGTAAGATTATTCTGAACACAGGTCAGCAGACTGGGCCCCATCACCTTGAAGGAGCCAGTCCTGCTTCGCTTCCTTGTGACCAAAAGCCAGCTTCCTTCTGACTGTTCAAGACACCCCCCCACCCACATACCAGGAAAGGTACCATGACGACGGTAGGATATATCCATTGTCTAATAGCGGCCGAATCGACAGCCGCCGCGCACTGCGCACCATTGACGTTGACCCTTCTCCTGGACAGCACCCTTGGGAGCCTCCGTACCAAGATCGCTATCAATGATGGGGCGAGCGGTCTGCATGTAGAGGAAGTAGGGTCAGGGGTCTCTTAGGCGCGTTCGGATCGTGAGTGCGCTTCTTACGCTCCTTTTTCTCCTCGTGGACGGACAAGAGGTCACCAAATTGGCCACCGATGCCGTCGGTTGCTGAGAGGGAACGACACTCACATCCCACACGCTGGCATATACAGCGTAGGGGACAACGAACCTGCTGACCTGATAGTCCTAACAGGAGTGGACTGGAGGCCTTGATACCCTCGCCCTGACGGAGGTTTGAACTGACCTCGGGAGCCCCCATCACCAGGTACGTAGTTAGCATACGCAGATAGATGTTGGACCGCTTGTCACGTCCCATTGCCCCTGAGGCGTTGGCAAGGTGCTTCTACGCAGCATCCAGCAGACGTTAAACACTGCCACCAACCATTCTCCTCGTGAACGGGCAAGAGGTCACCAAGCTGGCCACCGATGCTGTCGAGACTAGACCAAGTTCGACGTTTTCGAGCCATGCTCGGACCGCTCCTCGTAGGGCGCTTTCTTTTTCCCGCGTTGCTTTGGTGACAGGCCTATTCGTGCCTTGACCTCTTTCTCGCGGTGATCTGCAACGTCTTGCACGATGCTACCCGAGGCTTTAAAGACGACCGTGTTGCACGATGCCACCCAAGGCGTTCAAGACGACCGTCTCGCACTCGGCACGTGGCATTTCCTGGAAGTCATGCTGACTGTCTGTTGCCAAACAATGTTCCAGTTCTGAAACTTTACCATTATTTCGTTCTCTTCGCTTGCTAACTGGTCGGGACGGCGTAGCAAAACATCTCTTGCTCATGTCACTAGCACAAGCAATAAGTCGATTGAGAAACCGGCACCCGGAACAAATCGCGGAGGATTGATGATGGAACTCAATCCGGTAGACGCCGACGGTGAGTGCATGTCGATATTCACCGCATCACCGTCTTCTGTGGCACGTCCCAGATGCCTGTGTACTTCGCCGGGTGCATGCTGGTGCCTTGTGTCTGTAGTCGAGTGCGAAGGACGTTCAGTGGATAGACAACACTAGCACCGAAAGCACCGGAAGATGCGCCCATGGTTCCGGTCATGGTGGTACTAGTTTAGGCATCCTCTTCGTGGCATCCGGTGCGCTTGGCCTTGCACGTCCCGACTGTTCCAATCATGGTCGGGATTGACGAGCCAGTCCCAGTATACCGAGGTCTTTACACGAGGCGGAGAGTGAGAACCTCTGAATAGAAAGTGAAAACCGCACGCAGTGTCGTTGTGGGATCAGATACGACCTTTGTAAGCCATCCTTTGAGATATTCCATGAGTTGGACAAGGTGCTCGAGTCTCCGTTGAGATTGATGGGTTGGTTGGAGATCAACCAAGCCTGTACTCGGTCGATGCTGGCAGCCGTTTCCACGGACCGCGGCCCTTGGTGGTTGTACCGGAGCCGACGTATCGCGCCTCCGAAGACGCGAGCAGGGACGTAGGTCGTCTTCAGAAGCTCGAATGTTCTCTTGACAATGGCCGAATACGGGAACATGCCCGTCAGCCCCATCGTGACACCACGGTATGCGGCTCGAGCACCACCTTCTGACAGCATCTTGCGAGCTGTCTCAAGCAAAATGATCCTCTCGACTCCGCCATCCAGTCGGAGGTGCTGGTGGGCGCTGGTGTTGCTCCATCGAAAGGGGTTCTGGTGTTGCAAGGTGGTGAGTCGAGGACCACCAGAGACGTATTCAGACTGCGGTTCATAAACTTTACGCCGTTACTATGACGTTGGCTCGTTCAGTATCTCCAGGTGTAAACCCAGCCGTCATAGTCGCTCTCGTTGCCAGATCTGTTCTCCTCATCACTCTGCTCCATTGCGTCGCAATTCTTTACTATCGAGAAGACGTCCTCATAGTATAATCATCGCTGAGGCCCAGCCTCCCCGGCACGTCTCATCTTGACACGGCCGAAACAGGGCTCTCCAACACCCGTAGAGCGGCCTCGAAGTCTGCGATTTCGCCGAGAAGCTTCACCCGGTCGAGTTTTACTGGCGAATCCTCGGGAATGGTGTAGTTGCGACATTCCATGGCGTTATCCCTTACTTCCCGAAGTTCAGGAACTTTAGATGTACCCAGCTAGAAGAGACTGTTTCTTTTGATGAGAACAGCTTACTTGGACGTGAGAATGGACAGTCTAGGACTCGTCCTCGTCCATCATCAACCAACTCTCGTCCTCGTCAGACTTGGCAGTGTCGCTGGTGTTTCCGAGTGACTGGGACAAGGCCGCCTCGGGTTCGACATCCATGATGAGCGATTGTTTAGCACCTGTCATAGCATCGTCCATCGAGATGACCGAGAAGGATGCTGGCAAATCGTTTATGTCATCACCTTCCTGGGAGGCTATGGCGTCAACGCCCGTGGACAGCGATCCAACCTCTGACGTTGCGTGTCCGATCCTTGTAGATTGGTCCTTGAGCTGGCAAGGTCACCGGGGCGATGCCGGCTGGCAGCCACGACAAGATTAGAGACGATTTCCACATGGCTGAAATTGCGATGCGGGTTATGATGCGCGCCGGAAAAGGGGAAGTCTGGCGGTTGAATTGAAATTTCAACAATGCGAATGCGACATCTTGACCGATGTCGGGCTTTTCAAGGTCCATCAACAACCGAATGTGACACTGCGGACAATCCGGCGTGTCCTCTGAGCTGATGTAACTCTTCACACAAGGACAGCAGAAGTCATGCTTGCATTTTCATGCTCCCCTCTGGATCGAATCGCTTGCTCGGCAGCGGCAGGTTCGTCGAAGATGCAGCAGACATTCTCTTCAAAGCTGGAAGATATTCATGCGCGTGTGCGAGACTTGCCGACAAGATAGCCAGCGGACATGAAGGCAGTGATGCCGCCTTGTCGGTACGAGATCGGGTTGCCGAAGTACCGCTTGTAGGCCTGGGTGCCAAGAACACCGCTCATAGAGCTGATATTGAAGCCCGTACATTCTGTCCGCCCTCGCCCGACGTGAACGCGTCCGGCATCGAGGTGAGGCATGTTTCTCGAAGCCCTCAACTTCCAGTGCGATAGCATTGTGTGCCGGAAACCGCTCTAGAGCACCAGCGGGCCCATGCAAGCAAGTATAGCTAGATTATCATCCGGCAGTCGGTAGCATGCGGGTCGATGGTGCCTTCGGGGAAGGGAGGCCATCTGGTGATCATCTGGATGCGGTCGCCCGCTGTCGGTGCTCATCATCGCGGTGTCGATCTACGTAGTTGAACCTGTTCACCACGATCATGCCCATTCCGGTTCTCTCCTGGCCGTCCTGGCGGACGACACAGAACCACCCGGGCGTCGCTGCAATGTCACCAATAGTCGGCTGTTGGTGTTCGGCGAGATACGCTTGGCACCTGAATCGAGATCGGTATCGACATTGGAATCGGTATCGGTGTCGACACTGGAATCGGGATTGGCAAGGCGTCTGGTTTCCAAGAGGAACCGGTAGCCGGTAGATCAAGGCTTGTTCAACTTGCCCTTCTTCTTGCCACATTTGGCAATCAATTGGTCCAGGGCTCCAGTATCATAAAAAGCGCCATGGCTGACATCAACATTGACCAGTACGCGTTTGGTGGCGACACGGACGCCGGCAAAGAAGCCACGAATGGCAGTCAGAACGGATCATGCTGCGTCTTTCGGGCGTGTTTGCGACCACAAAATTAGCGGCGTCCCGTTCTTCAGTGAAACTGAAAGCGTTGACTCGGTAGAAACGAGCATGTATTGCGGGGGCGTATGCTCTCGGGACACGACTTTGGTAGACGAAGTGATGCCTGACTCTTCTCCAAAAACATCGGAACAAGCCGTGCTCTTGTAGCGAACGAAACAAGGGAGTGCTTGCTCTGTAGTTGGCAAAGGTTCCGTCATGTCCAGCCGCTCGGCAGCGCAACCGTCCTCGGATGCAGTTCAAGGTCGTGCTGGACCGGCCCTTGACGGGGCTATGTTTGTTTGGGGTGATTTATAGAGTACGAAATCATCGCAGATAAATGTAATGATTTCCATGCAGAATGCAGCGCGGCCGTCTCCCCTTTTCTCAACGCCTGCGACTTCGAGATTCTCAACCCAGCGAGTTGAGGGGTGGCAACACAGTCCGAATCAACAGATTGACGTGTTTACTCTCTTGAGAGCGCTGTTGACCATGGTCCCACTTGTTGATGTCGTCCACAATCCATAGGTACTCATCGCGGTTGAGGTTGACCACGACCTTGTATGGTCTCGAGAGCATGATCTCGACGCGTGGGGACAGGGCGCAAACCCCAGAGTCGATAAGCGTAAAACCACGACTTCGTGTTCCCAACCCAGCAGATTCAGAGATGGGATCGGTCTTGAAGAACTCTGTTTATCTTATCCCTCAACATCGACGCTAATATGACGGCTGTGGCAGAAGGACAGTTCAGACTGAACAGTAGTCCGTCTGCCATGAGGTTATATCATTAAGAACTCCATGCTGTCAACGTATATTTAACGTCCCCGGCGGGACGAACGTAAAAACACAATCATGATATCAAGCGTTTATTAACTACGATTTTTCAAAGACCAAACCCTGGGAAATCGCTGGGGTAGAGTCGGAGCTACTGTGGCCATTTAAGGCTAGGTCGTCTGGCTTGGTAGTCTTTTTCTTCTGGCCCTTGGGGAGGGGTCTCTTATTTTTCCTCTCCGGTACCTCGATTGGATCGACTCTGTTCTGCCGTAAGTCAAGAGGCACATGCCTCTCAGCTTTGACTTCGACGACGAAGCTGCTGGGGGGTTGCGAACTGATTCCAACCTGGGAGGAGCGGAAGAAGTCCCTGCGTCGCCTTCTCCGTCGTGGTCTGTCGTGGTTGCCCGGAGGCGTTGCGACACCTGAGCGCTCTTTCTGGCCACAGCGACGGAGAAGGCGACGCAGGGTTTGACCCGACGGCATCATCTTCTTCTTCCTCAAGATCGCCACCCACGGCCTCTGGTCTGTCTACCACTCCTGAATGCCTTCTAAGGTCATGCAGGACCCGGCTCTTCCAAGTGAATGATTGGTTGTCCTCTTCCGGTGGTGGCCTGAGCAGCGCCGTGACCTTTATTCCCCCTCAACCATCGCCATCAGCGGATTCTCGTCTATCACTCTTGAATGCCTTTTAAGGTCATGCAGAACCCGGCCGTCCCAAACGAATGGTTGGTCGTCATCTTTCGTGTCGCTAGCAGAAGGTCCGTTCGGGTGGTGTCCTCCCAGACAGTGCGTGCTGCTGCGTTGGGATTGTGGTCGCCTGAGCAGCGTCGCCATCTTCCTCTCCCTCGGCATTGCCATCGGTGGCCTCTCGCATACCACCCCTAAATGCCTTTTAAGGTCATGCAGGACCCGGCTCTCCCAAATGAATGGTTGGAGGTGGCGGTTGAAGTCCGGCGGGGTGAATGTTCTTAGGACTACGACGTGTTGGAAGTGGTTCTTGCTGATACTCAAGTCGTTGAGCTTGATGGGCTTCAAGCCCTGCAAGGGGGTTGTCGGCGGTGGAAAAGGCGAGATGGGTTAGCCACGGACGTAAAACGTTTTCCTGGGAGTAGTCGGATTCGTCAATGACCTTCAGCTGACTGAAGAAGGTCTTCATCCAAGTATCAGCCATTATGGTTCGGCAAGGTTGTAGAGGAATGAGTGCAAGCTTGACTTACTGAAGAGGCGACAGCTTCCTCGATTGCCTGACCTTACCTTCAGGTCGCTAGCAGAAAGTCCGTTCGGGTGGTATTCTCCCAGACCTCCCACGGCACCTCGTCTACCACTCCTGAATGCCTTTTAAGGTCATGCAGGACCCGGTTGTCCCAAATGAATGGTTTGTTATCGGGAGTATCTCGTAAATCAACCGAGTTTTTAAACGCCGTTTCCCTATGTCCACTGCAAGAGTGCTCGTTCCTCCATGCCTATACCGATCGTTTACTTCACGCAGTACTGCTACTAGGTTAGTAAATGCTCTACAGAGGCTATAGGGAGTGAGTATACTCACGCCTTTCCCTTCCCTCCGGTCTCGGCTGCTGCCACCGCTCTCAGGGGCGTCAAACATTCCTTCGTCAGTCTGACCGTCGGCGTCAGTGTCAGAGTCATGCATCTCTTCATCTTCGTCTGAGGACCAGGATGCCGCTTTTGAAGAGCCTGGACCGTGTTAGTCCGTGGCGGGATAGTGTGGGGATCAAGTCACGGGTAGCTTACCGGCAATCAGGGGGCGGATGATAGACCCTTCTTTGTCTTTAGCCTCGACGAACTTGCAAATTCGCTTGATAGCGTCTCCGACCGCGCCATGCTGCCCAGCATTAGGGTGCCGGGGAAGCCCTTTTGCATCAAAGTCGTAGTCTCCGGTCTGTGTTTGATGTAATCGAGCCTGATCGAGCTCAAGTTCTCCAGTGACTGTGCCATCGGGCTGAGATGGGCTCAGAGCCAGTGCCTTCAGCATATACTCTTGTACCTTGTCGTACTGCTGCAGCTCACATGACTCGATGCAGTGCTTTGATATTTGCATTTTGTTCTGTATTGTCGGTCCTAGATGCCTTTTAAGGTCATGCAGGACCCGGCTGTCCCATATGAATGGTTTGTTGTCGGTGGGCGGACTTCTGTCTCTTATGTGGGAGGAGTGACGTCCATGATCGCTAGCAGAAAGTCACCAGGCACCACGGGCTGCCAACTTGGCTGTCCCGGGCATCACGGGATGCCCATTTGGTTCTGGTCTTATCGTCCCAGACAGTGCGTGCTGCTGCGTTGGGTGCCATGGTTAAGGACTTCTTGAAAAGGTCCCCAAGGCGGATGAGCTGGGGATAGACGAGGTGCAAGTCACCGTCTCTTCACTTGCAACTCATCCACCTTGCCGTGGACTTCGCACTCGTGGCACAGCAGGCCTCCCGAGTAAGTGAAGTCTGCGAGGCCCTCGAAGCCTTCGGTGGCGGGCATCTACTCCGGGCGTCACGGGTTGCCAACCTCTTTCCCGTACGGGCGGTCGTGCTTATCCATGTGTTTGCTGTTATGAATCGAGGTCAGCCCGCCGTTACTTGGTTATGAATACTGGACACACTTACTTCCACTCGCATTTACGAGCTCTTCTGCGATGATGATCTGGAGATAGTGCTGCTCCGCGGCCAGAAGGTTGCTGGCCATTGTGCTGTTCGGGTCCATGTTGTTCACGTAGTTCTCAACGCGAAGCTGGTTCGCGTTGTTGTAGACCGGAACGTCCGGGATGCCTTGAAGGGAGGAGGTCCCGGTGCGTTGCGAGCGGCCTCGCCGTCCTCGTCTTCGTCCCTGGTGCGCGCGCCCTCGTTTCCTTCATGCTTGACGGACGCGTTCTCGTTGGCTGCGTTGGCCATGTCAGCGTCCTCGTCCGGTTCCGTCTCGATGAAGACGTTCTGGTTGGCTGCGTTCTCCATGCTATCGTGGTACCAGCAGCCCACTCATCACCATCGGTGCAACCAGGCACCGTGCAGATGAACATTCCGTCCTCATTCTTGGTCTCCTCTCGGTCAGGCTTTACGATAGGCTTTGAGCGGAGAGGGCCACGTCCGTTGTTGATAATCGGTTATCGTTCTCCCGACTAAAAAATGCATCCCGTGGCCATGTTCACCACCGTCATGAACATTCTGGTTCTTGTCTGGCCGCCCAGCGGTGCTACACAGAACCACCCGGGCGTCGTTACAACGTTACCAACAGTCTCTGGTTGGCGGGCGGCGCGATAGGCTCGGCACCAGAGCCGACATTAGCGACGGGTCGGATTTACGAAACGAACGTATTGCGGATGAGGAAAGGGTCCGTAACTCCTCGATTGGCAAGCTCTTGCGCGACGGTGATCTGGAGGTAATGCTGCTCCAACAACATGCCCGGCAACCCGACCAACTTGCTAGCTGCGGAGCAGCATTACCTCCAGATCATCGTCGCGCAAGAGCTTGCATGTTGTTCACGTAGTTCTCGACGCGAGCCTGGGTGGCGTTATCGTAGATGAAGGATGAGCCTCGAATGCCTTTTAAGGTCATGCCGGACCGGCGAGTCAAGTGACGCCTTGCGGCGAACTGTCCACAGTGAAGTGGTATAGGGTAAATATCCTGGATAGAATCAGCTGTTGTGAAACTTTTGGCCAGGCGATGATAATCGTTTGCCCAATGTCACGGGAGATGGTGAATCTTTTATCATCCTCGAGGCTAATGACTTGTAGCGGCCCTTGGGTAATTGTCAAGCAGACATACCATTTATTCGTACTCTTTCTCAAGCCACAGCTTGGCTTTTTCCTCGGTCCTTTGCTTACCCCATTGCTGGGGCGCAGCCGATTTCTCTAGGTAGGGTTTGATGGACATCCGTGATGAGATCATAATGGGTGCTTCGAAGGTGCGTGTAGGGAAAGGGGGGATTTCATCACGGATGTCCATCAAACCCTATCTAGAGCATTGCTGGGGCGATGTGGCACAGGGCAATGCCCATGATCATTACTTCGCCCTTCCCCTTTACCTTGCGGATCTTGTTCTGGCCGTCTTCGGGGCATACCAAGTCGGGCATTCCCGCTGCCTCAAATGCGAAAGCAGCTCCCCGATTATTCTGGTGGTGCGCATCAGCGCAGAACTTCTCCAACAAGCGGACTTCGGCCTCATATCGGTCCACCGGGGGGATTGCGAGCTGTTAGAGACCAGGATCACCAGGCCTCTGGTCTATCATTCTTGAATGCCTTTTAAGGTCATGCAGGACCCGGCTCTCCGAAATGAATGGTTCGTGTTCGAGAAAAGGATGACCAGGCAATCATGAGGGATGCCCATCAAGACAGTTTGTTTTTATACTTTTTTTATCTTCCCTTTTTCTTCTTTTTAAATTTTTTTTTTTTTCTCCTTCCTTTTCTCTCCCCTCATTGAAAGATCCGTCCTGCGAGGACCGGGCCTTGATGTTGGAATCAGCAGTACCAGCGCTGTTAATCAGGACGTCGAGCGCACCGTAGTCTTCGACACAGGCTTCCACAGCAGCGTCAATGGCGGCGACGTCGCGAACGTCAACCTTGAAGAAGGAGACGGGCAGAATGTCGAGTCTCAGATGCCTTTTAAGGTCGTGCTGGACCCGTGAGTCAAGACACCCCCGTTTGACTTGAGAGAAACATCATTGATGCGCTCTTCCTCATCGATGATGATTCTCTCGCCGAAGCCTCTCGAGATCGTTCCTCCGGTGCCTGATCGATACAAGGTTTCTCACCATTGCCCTCGTCGTCACCGGTCTGCCCAATATCACGGGAGATGATGACATCTTGGTCACCACCGTCGAGATCAATGACTTAGCGAGGACCCTTCGCCACGAAACCCTCTGACTTGAGGGAGATATCGTCAATGTCCTCTTTCTCTTCAAGGTTGACGATCTTTGTAAGGGCGTGTTTCTAGGCCGCTGTTGTTCTCGCTTTACAGGGCAGCACCTCACCTTGGTAGAGGAACTCTCTTCTCGCTGAAAAAAGCCTTCGGGCGGCTGGGTTTGGTGCTTGATCTTGACCATCTTGCGCTTGTAGACGCGCGCTCCTCTCCCCTTTGCGAAGAGCCTTTTGAGCGTCGGCGCGGTCCCGGAAAGCCAATAATCCGCTGGTATCCGCGAGATCAACCTGACTTCATGTTCCACATGGCACAAGCCACTGATATGGTAATATATATATATACCAAAGGCGGCGAACGCCTGCAATAGCACCTCATCGCTGACCTCGTTGGACAGATCACCAACGAAGATGTGGAAGTGACCAGAGTTGTCCTCCTTGTTCGTAGTGTCGAACGAACAGGCACCGAGAATCGCCAAGCTACAACAACACCAGCGTGGTGAGGATAGTAGCCGCAGCGTCGTCACGTTCCATGTCGACGTTGCGGAAGGTGAAGACTCGCTCGTCGAGCTCCTCGGGGCGCCGGATTCCATGCTTGGTCAAAACGATGAGTCGACAGTCTGTTCCCACAGGCCGCAGGTAGTGTAACGTCAGCTTTTCTACCCGGGCCGTACCCACGATTCGAAGTAGTCTGGGCCAACTGGACGGATCCAGAGTTTGGTCGCTGGGTCGGGAGCTCAGCTTCGGTTGCAGAGGGGGAGGAACCAGCCGCAGAGACAGAGCCAGACGCACTAGCACAAGCGGCAGACGCGGAGGCGGTCGGAGAAAGACAAGAAGCAGACGCAGAGGCTGACGCAGCGGCACCGGCAGACGCAAACTAACCAGAAGCAGACTCAGCCTGACCAGAAGGATCAATATAGAGTTATAAAAACTCCAGACCCGTGTGGGCCAGAGGGTAGCAGTGAGCATACTTAAGTGCGTTGGGTGAAAATCTGTAGCCGAGGCCCTGCAGTTGCTCAGTGATGAGCTGCCACTGCACCTGTGGGCTTCATCACTGCGAAGGTCGCCATGAGAATGTCATGGTGCGTCTCCTCGTCCCAGTTAAGGTACAAATGAACGAGGTGTAGTAGGCAAATATCAAGGACGAATATGGACCCCAGTGATGGTGACTTGGGTTCAGGGGTTAGGCGCTCTTCTCCACCTCGGGCTTTGCCTGATCATCACCTTCCACCATACTCTCGACACACCTACTGTTGGAGGCAGGCACCTGCGATGGAAATCATGGGCAGAACGCGTCTTAGGCGGTTGGCTTGGGATCTGAGTTTCTACGCCTGACACAGGGAGGCCGGAAGCAGCACCAGGAGAGGTAGTGGAAGACGGCACGGTGCCATTCTCCGTCGGAGCCGTAGTGTTGGGAGCACCCCCGTCGCTCGGGCACCACCAGCAAAGCAAAAGCTGCGGTTGATCGGGACAGCTCCGTTCAGCCATACAGGGAACATGGCATGGTTCTGCTGGGCAAAGCAGTCCCTGGATATTAGCCAGTGCATTGCCAGGGAGCATGATTCTTGTCAGCATTCCCTCTTTGACCAGGTGATCTGGGTGGGGCTACTCGAATCGTCGGCCGAAGATGAGTCTGCATCCAGCTCCTTGAGCCTGCGCATCAACTTGCGCATCTTTTTTTCCTTCTTCGTGCTGTCCTTGTTTTCTCTCTTCAGCTTCTTGCTTCCTTCCGCTGCCTTGCTTCCTCCCACCGTCTTGACTCCTTCCGCCTTCTCGCGCATAGCTTGCAGCTCGGTCAGAAGGGTCCATTTGCCGCGGAGCTCGCAAGCTGCGACCTTGAGAGGAAATGCGCACCTTTCGTACTGTTGTTTTTCTGTCTCATCTCTTCCGCCGCAGGTCGCCGTGTGCGTGCTTGAACACCATTCGTTCGGCACTGGCCAAGACCCGATCTTGCTGCTCCTGTCACATCTCGTCGGTTCAGCTCTTTGGAGAGCTGAACAGCATTTTCGGAATATGGAACCGACGACGAAGTCGGTGACCTCCTCACAAAAGCTGATCTCCAGCTTCGACAGCTGCGGGTACACTTTGTCCTCCGTAAAGACCGCCTCTGGCACCCAATAGCTTCCGTTCCAGATGTACTGGATCATCTGCCGGTCATTGTTGGAGCCGCACGTGCTCACTCTCTTGATCTCCTCGGTGGCGTCCGTCCGTGATGTTGCTCCTGGCCTTGTTCGTGGTGACGCTTTGGGCAACGCTCTGGGCGTCGCTGTCGGTGTCCATTTCTACCGCCTCATCCTCCTCGTCCCCCTCTCGAAAGCCGCAGCTGAGACGTGGCGACAGGCGTGAACATTGAGATACCGCAGGTTTGTGCCCAAGTGGGCCATGAGAGCACGGAAACCCTCGGAACACAGATCAACCATGTGTTCGTTTTCTCTGGGCTTTTCCGTCAGGATCGCTGTGACTGGCCTTTCGTCGATGATCACCAGATCATTGTCGGCGTCATTGCCATCATCATTGCTGGCGATATTGTCGGCAGTATTGCCGGCGACATTTTCTGTAACCTTGTCAGCGACATTGTCGTCATGCTTGTCGGCTCCATCGCCATCAATCAGCTCCGCCTCATCGGCCTCGTCACCTTGGTCCTCATCTTCATCCTCGTACCCCTGGTCGGCATCAGGGGTACCTCCTATAGCAACGTCCTCGCCATCGTCATCGGAGACTTTCTCACCAGCAAATCTTCGGACATGCTTCTCCAAGGCGGCCTTAGCCTTTGCCAATGAGACACCATAGAGACTCAGGATCAGCATCTCGTCGGTATCGTCCATGTTAGCGATAGCGGTGTTCATCTCGGTCGATTTCATCTTTGGTTGACCCGTATCGTGCCACTCTGCGCACCAGCTTGTGCCCCAAAGCGACCGAGACTATGAGGTCGAATACCGGTGTGCCGGGGGATCAGGTCGGCGACGGCCGCTGTCCGGGTTGTACAGCGAAAAACTCGGGGCACCCTGGATGAATCCGGGGCCCGGTCGCTGGGTCGGGAGTTCAGACTCGGAGGCAGAGGGAGGAAGACCAGAAGCAGCATCAGACGCAGACGGAGCATCACCAGCGGCAGACTCGCGACGTCGAGCTTGCTCCAGAGCCTTCGAACACACCCATAGGCGGTGCGGGACTCGTGCCTCAACTGCTGGCTGGCTTCTCGAGTGCCACCTGCATTCCGCGGGCTCGCTGGATCGAAACCAGCCGACTGGGGGTTTCTCGGGGTTTTGTTGAAAACCCCCCATTTCTTCACCTCGAGAAGTCTTCGAAGGATCGTGCCATGATCTGGTTCGTGGCTAATGCCTTTCCCCACTTGTGGACAAGTTCGTCGTACTGTGCTTGGATCGGTGGGAAGCGTGTCATCTTGAAGATGAGTCCTTGTGAGAGGGGTTTGTAAAGCATGCACGTCTCCATGGCCCACTGCAAAGTTGTTAATACACTTGTCTCGAGTTCGTCCACAGGGTTGCAACTTACTCTGCACTTCAGGGGCCTGCCATTAACCTTGTACCCGTTCAGTTGGCAGATGGACATCGCCGCATTCTCATGCGAATCACACCAAGGGCACTCAGTCTCGGTGCTGCGCGGTACACTAGACTGGCGCATCTCCCTGGCTTCATGTTGTTAGCTGGTGGTGCTGGTAGAAACAGACTCAACACTGTGTGTGGCATCAACATACCTGAAGGATCAAGAGAAGTGACCAAGGGACTTTCACCCCATCCACTGCCTGTCGGAATCGTTCTTCCACTCTTGGCCATCGATTCCTGCGGTCGAGGACGGTATCTCGTCCTCCTGCTTCTTCTCCTGCTCAGGGGCACGAACCGGGGCTCGGGCGTTGCCGTTGGCTCTGCGAGCGCGCTTGGGACCCCCCTCCGGCCCGGTGCCAGCAGCATCATTGCCATTAGCTTCGTTGTCCTCAATGGCTCCACTCGGAGCAGTGATGAACGATGGGACCCTGAAGTCAGGACCAGGCGATATCGGGAGAATGACTCCCGTGCTGGTAGGGTTCCTCAACGGACCACTCGCCGACGTAGGCCCACTTCTTCTCTTCCTCGTTGGTGGCGCCCTTCATGTCCTCCTTGGCGTGGAAAGGCTTCCATCGTGCTTCTTAGTCGTCGGTGAATTGCTCGAGGAAAGGGGCCTTCAGGGTGGTGGGGAATTGACCACCTAGGCATTTGCGAGCCTTGGGCCGGTATCGTAACCATTCCCCGAACCACCGAATCCCAAACATCGTTGTCCTGGTGGAAGAACTTCTCTCGCCTTCTGCGAATAGCAGCTGCCATTTCCACCTTGATGTGGCGCATGGGACCTGTCGAATGGGGGCATGGTGCACGTACTTGCACCCTGAAGGGTTCTCGCAGCGCCATTCCTCCCATAGAACGCGGGCAGCTGCAGTAGAAACAGATAGGGCAAGCAAGCGTTGCCAGTGACCTCGATGCCTGCGATATCCATGCCACCGGCCTCCCTGCCTCGTTCTTGATGGCGACGTGCTCATTGCCTTCCTCCTTGATGGCCGCGTCCTCGTTGGCTGCGTTACCCATGATGGCATTCTCGTTGCCAGCGGCCTCCATGCCAGCGTCCTCGTCGTACTCGGTCTTGATGTGGACGTTCTCGTAGCCTGCGGCGTCCATGATGGCGTGGTCTCAGCCTTCTGCTCTGAGTTCTTGGAGTATCTGGTCTACGTTGACTTCTTCGTCTTGGGCGGTATCGTCTGCATAATTTTCAAGATTAATATCAATGCCGAATCGAGTGTCGGAGGAGGTCGGGCAGAGGCGGGTAGCGAAGCTAGATGGGAAGCTTTTGAAAAAGTAAGCCGTGAACAACAAGAAGGGAATGCTGACGAATAACCTCATCATCGACGAGCAAAATGTGTAGAATGGTACAAGATGTCAAGAAAGTCGCAGAGCTTGGGACCACTCAAGTGCTGGTAAGGTAATGAAGTGGTGGAGGTGCAGGGCGGGGAGGAAGATGAGAAAAGTTTTCGAGCGAGAGTCCTGTGGTGAAATTGTGGAGTGTGGAATCGAAGAAATAAATAGAGAGCATGGAATTCAGGTCGGTTGATCATGACCAGGCAGAGAGAAGCTGGAATGGTGCTGGAGGAAGAGGAGAAGAGAACTCATTGACGATCTTGTAGGCAGAGAGAGTTTGGGATGGTGAGGATGCTGGAGGCAGAGGAGAGAAGAACTTACTGACAATCTGGTCAGGCAGAGTCGCAGAAAGAGGCTGAAATGGTGCTGTTAGCAAGTTCGTAGATGCTGTCGCCGGGGCCGTAGGTGCTGTCGCCAAAGTACCGTAACTCACAGAGGTACTTTGAGAAGATATGTAGCCAAGCAGGAAATAGATGTAGAGGAAAGAGGACAGGTACCAGAGGGCCAAAGGGTTTTTACCCAGAAGGCTAGGGGAGGGGAAGCTAAGTCCAAGCGTTTTTTCACTCACAAGGAACCTGCTACCCATAGTGGAGGTGAGGCCTAGGGGGGCAGTATGCGGCCCAGGCGTTTTTGTTCATGAGGATATACATGGTGGTGAAGGTCAAAGAGGAGGGAGGACAGAAATTCTTGTTGAGAAGGGCATGACATCTGAGGATGGCAATGCCTGAACAAAGTTTGTGGAAGGATGTGGACTTTTGTCTGAGAATTTCCTTGTGATTGTGAATAGGAAAACAAGGACAGATGGATGCCATATCTGTGTGGGTTGGAGGTCATGGAACCCTATGAAGGCACACAATTATAAAAGTTGTGTGAATTATTTCCTATTAAGTACCTTATTGGCGAGACTCAACTGGTGTGCAGCTGGAAGTTGAAAGGAATTGGTTGACGTTGAGTTGAAAGTGACATACGTGCCCCTTAAACACATAGGAGGATGGCTGCGCGCCCTTTAATCGCGTGGGAGAATGGGCTGCGCGCCCCTTAATCGCGTGGACGGGATGGTCTGCGCGCCCCTGAACTGCGTAGGGAAAATAGTCTGCGCGCCCCTTAATCGCATGGATAGAAGGGGCTGTGCGCCCCTTAGCCGCACGAACGGGCAGTGGAGCCTGAACAGCATAAACTTCTCTTCATGAGGTGGCGAGGTATCAATGAAATATACATCACATGAGAGATCGGCACATTTGCTTGGTATGATTGATCGCATGGGCAGCTATGAAAACGATGGTGGACTTAGAGTCACACATTGTGACTGCTTTTGAGTCACAATCCGTCTGAAAGAGGGCGGAAGTCTAGAAGCGTTTGCACAGAGAGTCACTAATTGTGAGCTTGTATCCGTGGATCCTTCTAGTATGTGCTACCAGGCCCCAAAGCAGCCCTGCCATGACCACTCATGAAGCCTTCGCTTCGCCCAGACCCCTTTTCACCCATAACACCAGTTGATATGCCAGGCCGTGATGTCCTTGGAAGCACCGCCAGATTACTCATGAAGCGTCAACGCCGTTTGCCATGTTGATCCCCCGAAGCTTGTCAGTCAGAACCTTAGCAACCTTCAGGAATGCCTCCATCTCCTCGGTGCCTCCCAGACTGGTACTGGAAAAACTCATAGAGTTGCCCACATACACGGGCATGTGAGTCTTCTTGGCCAGGATCTTGGCGATACGTGTGGTGAAGTCCAGAGTCGCCTCTACCGAGAAGATGGTGGTTGAGAGGGGCTGGTCTGGGTTGTATCTCTGAGGAGGAGTATCAGTTGCCTCCTGATCTGTGAGATGGGATGTAGGGATCACATACGTCTGGCAATGCGTAGACAAATGACCCCATGGGCACCGGCTGGTCTGCCTCGTCTGCAGTGGTGGTCGTGAGGAAGACGATGATGACTTTGGACTTGATCTGCAGGCGGATGTGGACTCTGGTGTCCAGACTCCGTGGCAGCGGAATTGAGCATTCGGTAACTTCATGATCCATTGGATCTTCCATTGTATCTTCCATCTTCACCGGAGTGAGACTTTGGCAAGATCGGATTGCTGTGTGTAGGCTGTGGCTGCCCTCCTGATGGCTGTTTCGTCAACGGCACCGAGTGGATGGCTGGAGACCTGCTTGGTATGTTAGCACAGCCATCCCAATTGAGTAAGATTCAAAACCTCACGTGACAAAATGAACGATATGTCAATCTTGTGGGAGTGAAAGCTTCGTCTTCTGTCCTTTTTCCATCGGACCGAGGTGTTCAGACGGTCTGGTATGTGAGTGTTGAGGTCAGAGAGTCCCTGAGTGCTGAATGCTAAGTGCTGAGTGCTGCATGTGAGATGGAAGCGTCAGACGTGGTGGTCCAAGCTTCTTTGCGTTGGCAGCAGGGTCCACTTCAATGCTCGCCCAACCTTTTTGTAACTTTACGTGCTGATTCCGTATGCTCACCACACACCACTTATACCAGGTCCAACGTCTCTCAATACAAATCCCTCCTTCAGAGTACACCTGAAGTGACCAATCCAGAATTCTAAAAGCTGCCAATCCACTATGTCCTTCATATAAACATACTTGCTCGCAGCTTGAGGCAAGATGTGTGCTGGGGCTAGCTGACTGTCCCGATTCCTTCTTCCAACGCTGCCATTTCACCAGGAGGTAAAGATCTCTTGAGCTGACAGCACCACCACCTCATAACCATCCGGACTCGAGGGTCAAAGACCCAGGCCTTTGGCAATACACCAATCTGCCTAGGTACTCTTGATTACAATCCTACCTAGCTGCTTCCCGATCTACACCGTCTCATCATGGAACAACCGGAACTACCCCCGGCCGAAGACAACCAATGGGATGGTGTCGAGGGTACCATCGAAGATCCTGAAGAGATCCGAGTCATATTCTGCGCACTCGATTCTTTCAGGTCAGTAACACCACTGCTCTACTGCCGAGGATGTCTTACGTGCCTACCCGTTTACGGGTGTCGTTCAGAACCTCGACCAGGCCTGAGCGTCAATGCCTTATTTGGTGCATGATATGATACTAACACTCACCATGTAGCCAGTACGCCAAGACAGCTCACCTGAACTGTACGCATCTACGCAGACAGGCCTTCTATGCTCTTCCGCAAGCTCACTGGCAAATGCTAGCCAAGCCCCCGTTCTCATATCTGGACACACTGGACCGGGTAGACGATGCAATCGAGCAAAACGCGGAGCTCGCCCGGATCATAGTCAAGTTCGGCCTACGCTCCTTCGGCATGGTGTCAGGCGAAGAGGAGCCCACCATGCCCGAGGAATGGACAGGGATCGCCAAGTACAACGATCTGGACAAAGCCCGCAGCACGCTGCGGCAGTTCTACCGCGACTGGTCAGCCGAGGGCGCCGTCGAGCGCGACGCCTGCTACGGGCCCATCTACGAAGCCCTTGAGGCCGAGAAGACGCGGTACCCGGACCGCGGACCCCTGAAAGTCCTCGTGCCCGGAGCCGGCCTCGGCCGTCTAGTCTTCGACCTCTGCCGCAAGGGCTACATGAGCGAGGGCAACGAGATATCGTACCACCAGCTGCTGGCGTCGTCGTACATCCTCAACTCGGCGGAGCGGGCGGGCCAGCACACGATACACCCGTGGATCCACTCGTTCTCGAACCACCGCAGCCGCGAGAACCAGTCCAAGGGCTACGCGGTGCCGGACATCCACCCGTCGACGACGCTGGCGGCGACGGTTGGGGTCGGGTCGATGCAGATGTGCGCGGCGGATTTCTTGTGTCTGTACGGCGACGACGCGCACCGCGGCGCCTACGACGCCGTGGCGTGCGTCTTCTTCCTCGACACGGCGCCGAACCTCGTGCGCTACCTCGACGTCATCTACCGTTGCCTGCGGCCCGGCGGCGTCCTGGTCAACGTCGGGCCGCTCTTGTGGCATTGGGAGAACCACATCGCGGGCCACCAGCACGGCTACGACGGCGACGACGGCGACTACGACGAGAGCAACTCGCTGGGCATTGCGGACCCGGGCAGCTTCGAGCTGACCGACGACGAGGTCATGGCGCTGGTGGAGAGGATGGGGTTTGTGGTCGAAGTGCGGCAGACTGGGATACATGCCCCGTATGTGCAGGATGCGAATAGCATGCTGCAGACGGTGTACCGCGCCAGTTATTGGGTTGCGCGGAAGCCGGACGACGCTGCGGAGGTGAAGACGGAGAATGGGACCAAGGGCGAGGCCGAGGTCAAGATGGATGATACCGAGGTCAAGGCAGACGAGAGCAAGCTTCAAGGTTGATCATGGGACGAAAATAAAGAGCTAGAATGTCTGATGCTCACACGATGGGGAAAACTGGACGGGGCAAGGGGGCGCATTTACGCCGCATGGGACTGAGTGGCAATTTGCTCTTTTAGATTGATACCAAGTCGCTCGTGTTAAAGAGGGAGGGTAAGCAAAGAATGGCTCATGCTAGATGGCGTTGCTAGCATATTGGATTTCCATCTAATCGAATCAAGACGAAGAGTCACGCATGACTGATGAAGCAAGTATGTGTACTCATCTTGCCGTCTGTATATATGACACTATATTACCAATCCCCTTGCTCGTCAGGTTCTCGCTCGACTTCTGGCCAAGGAGAGCACATCGCCTGAGCCAGAACAAGTCTCAAATCCAGAGGCCTGCCCGTCTATCCAAACCGAATTGATCCTATAGCTTCGCCTTCGTCTCCGGCTCCACGGCATCCAGCAACTGCCCCGTACTCCACAGCGCACCGCCATCAATCTCAATAGCCGCCCCATTGACATGCGCCCCGGCGCGACTCGCCAGATAAACCACCACGCCCGCGATATCCTCCGGCCTCCCCAGCCGCCCCGCCGGGTTGCTGCGGCTATGCTTCTCCAGCCCGCCCGTCAGCTCCAGCAGCCCGCTCGCCATCTTGGTCGGAAAGAAGCCGGGACAGATGGAGTTCACCAAAATATGGCGCGGCGCCAGCTCGACCGCCAGGTTACGCCCCAAATGCAGTACCGCCGCCTTGCTGGCGCTGTACCCGAACGTCGCCTGCCGGCCCAAGGTCCCAACGCCCAGCCCGGCCACGCTGGCCGTGATGATGACGCGGCTGGGGTCGTCGAGGCTGGCGCGGGCTTGTAGGAGCGGCGCGAATTTCTGTACCGATAGGAACACGGCTTTGACATTGAGGTCCATGACCTTGGAGAAGGCGGCGTCCGGGTGCGTGTCGAAGGCTTCGCCCCACGTCGCGCCCGCGTTGGCGAAGAGGATGTCGACGTGGGGGGTTTGCTTGGCGACCTGGGATACGAGCGAATCGATGCCCGCGGCTGTGCTGCTGTCAGCGGGCACGGAGATGGCGAGCGCGCCGGGGCGGAGGTTGGGGAGGGCGTTGAGCTGGGCGACGGCGGCCTCGCAGGCGCTTGCCTTTCGAGATGTTATGAAGACTTTGGCGCAGCCGGCTTGGAGGAAGCTGGGACAGAAGGAGCGTGGTTAGTTGGAGTGTATGTGGTATGGGATAGACGGATGGATAGCTGGGGAATCACGGGTTGGAAGTCCATGATCATGCAAAGTGATGGCAATGGCATTTAAAGAGAGCACAACTTACGCCGAAGCAGCATTGAGTCCCAGGCCTCGCGAACCGCCCGTCACGATGGCGACTTTGCCCTCGAGGGAGAAGAGCGAAGGGAAGTCGCGGAGTGCAGTCTCGTCAGCCATTGTCGGTTCCAAGCTCGTCGAGCTGATATAACACTATGTATAGAGTTATCCTGTGGGGGTTGAGTTAATAATAGGTATTGCTCAATGTTAAAGGACAGTCAGGGTGGTTTGTTAACGTGGAAGTACAAAATCCATGATGCCATTGGGATCTGGGGATCTCTTCGGGGGACCTTGTCGTGCTTGACGTAGGATCAGCTCCAAGAGCTCGGTCGTCTCACTGGCCGGGATTCGGTATTGCTGCGGGGGTTTGCCGAGGTTCGTCTTGTAAAGCCTCGCTAATGCAATGTTGCCAGAAACATTTACTTAATGGATTGGCGCTGATATATACGCTTAGGTAGATTGTGCCCCCTACTCGATGTCACGAACTCGATAATACCCTCTCCATAGTGTAAGATCAGTAAAGGGGTTATAGAATGTGACAGAAGCTCCTCATCTGGTTCTCCGCCTCTATAGCTACAGCGCGACCACCAGGGGAAAGAAAACACCACCACCGGGCAACATGGCATCCTGTGTGGTTAGGGGTATCAAAAAACAGCCAGACACCCTCTACTAGTCAGCGTCGCCATCAGCATCTTCCGCCCCATCATTTCCCATGCCATCGTCCTCATCTCCGTCTTCGATGCGACCTTCTCCATCGTCGTACTGCTCATAATCCTCACCATAACCGTCTTGGTCATCATTTTCCGCTTCAGGATCTCCCCCGTCCAAGTCGCTATCGAGGATGTGATCCCATGCGTTGTCCATTTTCTGGTCATCAGCGACAAACAGACCATCAGAATCAAATTGAGCGAGCTCGTCGTCTTGGCCATGGCGGTTGCCTGTGGGGCTTCTTGGCGCATTGGCGACGAACAAATCATCAGAATCCTCGTCTTGGCCATGGCGGTCACCTCTGGGGCTTGTAGGGGAATATGCGGCGCCGGATTCAGACCACCGCTTAGGCGCTTTTGGTAGATCTGGACGACGCTTGCTGCGTATCCGTCCTTCGAGTTCTTCTAGCGGTCGCAGCAGCCCTTCCACGGCAACCGTGAATGGCTTGTCAGACACATCCGGGTACATAGCCAGCTTGGCCGCGAGGAAGGAGTTGTAGAGATAGCCTTTCTTCTGCGGATTGTCGTCCTCCGAGCCCATCTTGCCCTTGCTGATGGCAAACATCTTTACTCTCATGGCCGCTTTGACTTTGTTCCATGTGCCTCTGTGAAACCAGCCTGACTCGTTCACATCGCACTCAGTCCGCAGAGGGGCTTCCTCGATCAGCTTCAGCATGAAAGGGTCTGTGATATCGCAGACCTGCCAGAACTTGCCATCGGTAGAGTAGCTCTCCCCATCCCATGAGTGGCTGTTCCTGTCTGTATTGTTGTGGATCTTGGTTTGGCCTTTCCTGATGGTTTGCCAGGGAGTTTTCGCCTTCCCCGCAATATTCCTCTCCAGCTTGAAGGACAGAGTTTGATATTGTCGATGCTCCGGATCAACTCGGGGATCTACACCATATTTGACAATGGAATCCCGCCACGGACCGCCCCTAAATTGGTACCCAACCAGCTGGATCGCGATTTTGACGATTGACTCGCCAAATTTGCCGTGTACCTGGTTCAGTATGGAGCGGCGCGTCCAGACGGGTCTACGTTCCATAGCCTCATCTAGTTGGCTCAGTAATGCGTCTGGTACACCATGGTTCCCATCGCGAGGCCTTTTCGGTTGCTCGGGTGCGGGAAAGTGGTTGTGGTGGATAAAATGGCCATAGGAGAGTTGTTTCCGACCTTGCGTATTCACCAATCCGTTTTCCCCTCCGTCATCACGAATAGTCGGGTTCTGCTCGTAGTTGTAATTAAAGCCGATGACCTTGTCGGTAAAGTGCGGTGGAGGTATTATCTCCTGACCAGGTGCGGTGGCCACACCTGGTTCCAATCGGAATTCCCGCAGCTTCGACACTGGAGAGTATGTTAGCATGCTCGGGTTTCACTTGAAGATGCAGTCGCGGGGGTTCATACATTTCATCGGAAGCAGATGCTCGGCGACTTTGTTCAAGAACGGGGAGTCGGTACTTGCGAACTGGAAATCTGCCAATCCTCGGTACCGGTGGCTGTCTCGAATCAACCCAATGGCTTCCACTTCATGGTTGTCCACGTTATCCTGCATTTTGCGCAGGATGGAACGTGGGGAGTCGCGGCGGTCCACGGAGCCAACCACGTTGGCTTCTGAGTCCATCATCATAGGCCTCGGGAGGTGTACATCGCCAGAAAAAGGGTCGCCACTCCCGCGTTTACGCTTACGGCCTGTCCGCCTAGGGACAGTGATCTTGAGTAAGACGTTATTCGTAGCGGCATGGTGGGATATGATCGGCTTTGATGCAGGGTTATCAGGCCGAAACCACAGAGGTAAGGCCATAGGTTCCGGGACATCGTCGATTAGCTATAAATAGTTAGTTAGAAGCAGGTCGTATGGTATAACACTCTGGTATGCCTAAACTTACTCTTCGGAAGTTGGGGTCTGGTCCAAACGCGTTGAGGCCATTGTCGAGATTGCGCAGGATGCATGGATGCTCCACGGCAACTATCTTGCGCTCTGGCACCTCAAAGATAGGTGCACTGGTGCTGCCGTGATAACCAGACATCATCGTAGAGCTGTCTTTTGACGTCTCGTTGCCCGGATCCTCTGGCCAAGTTACTCAGCTAAAGAAACCACGTGTGCCAAGTAATGACAATTCCGAGCTGAAGCGTCCCGAGCTGAAGTTTCTCGAGCCTCGACTCTTCTCAGTGGAGTCGGCTCATTGGTGTACGTAGAGGAAAGAAACGGTTGCGCTCATACGTAACGCTTCTATGAGGGATCCTGCTGAACGACTCCTCAGGATACGACAAAATATTGGGGGTCGACTAGCCTTGTGAACTTGACGACCATGCAATGAGTGGGCGTAAAAGCAGGTTTGCTGGTAGGCTCCTCGGTCAACGTTTGGAAGACTGTCTGGTGGCCGTTATGCTGATTGACGCGCCTTTGAATAAGTGAGTCTTGGAGCGAATGGCCCTGGACGGTTCTCAGTCACTCCTGAACGTGAAGATCAGAGGGTAAGAAAATGCACCAAAAAACTAATATTGAAGCCAGAAAAGCCTGACTAGCCGGTCAGTAACAACATAACAAAGCAGTGGCAGACGACATTCATATCAAAATGGGTAACCTTACCTCCAGTCTTGAGGAAGAAAAGGCAGGTGTACCTTCACCAGCAGATGGACTCTTAAGCTGCAATGTACACGAGCCGACCCAGCTGCCGCCAGCTGATCTTTTATTTCGTGGCTGCTGTGGCTGCTGTGGTGCTCGCGCCACTTGGTTATCACCTGCAGCCTCCGATGTCCGTCCAAAAGCACATCGATGGGTAGTATTGATGGACCTTGGACTATCACCACTCCAACCAGGTGATAAAGGCACTTCATCATTTACGCAAGGTTGACCAGTCCTCATTCTCGTTTCTCCGTTGAATTGATCTGGTGCCCTGCTTCCTATCACGAAATCCGGATACTGTTCAATTCCCTTGGGCTTGCTTGCACAATAAGATCAACACGGTAGCCGACGTACAAGGCCGTCAGAAGGAGAACAATCGAAGTATGTCCTGCCGCCATCACCACCCATCGTCCATTTTTAGACTCGCGCCTAGGTATCCTCTCACAATGGAATTTGCCCTGAATTTATTGCCGGCCTGCCCCGCGTACTGCCCTTGAGTCGGCGAGGCGGCTCTCTTGCAGCTGGAGACTCGCACTACGCCTAGCCCTACTGCCCTATCACCTGCCACCTGCCACCTGCCACCTGCCACCTGCCACCTGCCACCTGCCACCCCTTCTGCCCTCAAGTCGCGGAACCCAACCACAGGGCACTCCGGCGGGCACTGAACATCGTCAACGGTACCTGCGCAGACCCCTCCAGAGGTACCAGTGGTCCGTGGACCTTACCCGACCTCCAGTGCACCGGACGCAGAGCAACACCTTACACAGCATCCATTACCTACCTTCATCGCCAACTCCGATGACCAGCACATCCAATGATTAAGGACATATTTACTAACGGCTTCTTCGATTGCGCTCTGACAGGGTAGTTTCAGTCACCGCTTGGCCCTTCAACCCCTGTGTGCACTGTGGCTCGTGGTACAGTCCGTTGCCCGTACAGCTCGTCACTCGTCACTGGCCCGTCGTCCGGCCCCTGCGAGATCGACGGAGTCGCTGGCTCTCTGGCCCTTCGTTTCTCCACTCTCACAACGACAACCCAACTTTACTACAGCAACGACCTCGACTACCTGCCGTCCTCTGTCTTCGAAGCCGGAGTCTGACCCCTCGAGCCTCAAATATACCCATCCCGACCCTGTCGCCGCGATCATTGAGCTGGTGCCATTGACGGAGGTCCAACTCGAGTCCATTCGGTCCACCTCACTACCAGCAACTCCGCACCTAAAAACAGACGGTGAATAAACACCCCTAGCATCTGCCGGCCCTGCTGTCAATTCGACCTCCAGAACCACGTCAAATCTTCAGGTGCTGCTCAATCCCGCGATTGTCACGCTTCTAGGCACCTGTCTCCAGCTTGAGCCCCTCTTCCAACCTCAGTCGACAGGCAGTCAATCAGTGTGCTGGGCCTCCCACCCCACTGTGACGTGGTAGGCTACAACCTCCAAAGATGAAGCGCTTCAGCAACAGAATCGTCAATGCAAGTAACTCTACTACCCCGACCCGTCTCATCAGCTTTCTTAGTCCGTTGCTAATTGCTTTCGCGCCTTGTAGCTCTCACGAGGCAAGAGTGATGGCAAGTCGTCGAAGAAGAATAAGGACTCGAAAGACGGCACAGCCTCACCTTCTGGCCGAGAAGGCCAGTCGCCGGTCCTAACCCCTTCGTCGTCGACATCGACCCTCAACGATATTCGCAACAAGCCTTTACCCCCGAATAACGGTGGGGCACAAGCCGGCGATTCTGCTGCTTCACCAGGCCCAGGCAGTCCAGCTGCACAAGGCAGTGTTCCGGACCGGTTCAGCAGCATGGGTTCCCAGTCGCCAAACGGGTCTTCTACTCCTTCGCGGCACGGCGCGCTTCCTCCCACCATATCCATCAGCCCCAGCGGTCCTGTATGTTACAATCTCGAAATTCCAGGTAGTTGAGAGGGCTGCAACTAATATTACTATTCTTCATAGCATATCCCGCCCCCGGGTGCTGCCGAGACCATGCCTCACGACCTTGCCCCTCCAAAAGCCGGCCAGAAGTCGACAATGTTCGATCGCCTCCAAAACACACCAAAGGATGTCCCCGAAGGCCTTCGGACGCCCAAGAGACAACATTCGTCGCGATTCGATATCTCCGCTGATCGAAACCTTGATAAGCTGCCTGGATTCCATGAGGTGCCGCCTAACCGTCGACAAGAGCTATTCATGCAGAAGATTGACCAATGCAACGTTATCTTTGATTTCAATGATGCTAGTGCCGATATGAAGGCCAAGGAGATCAAACGTCTCGCTCTGCACGAGCTACTTGATTACGTTGCGAACAATCGTCAGGTCATCACTGAGCCGATGTATCCTCGCGTCGTCGAGATGTTTTCCAAGAACTTGTTCCGACCGATCCCTCCGCCAATGAATCCTCAGGGTGAGGCTTTCGACCCGGAAGAGGACGAGCCTGTTCTGGAAGTTGCCTGGCCGCACATCCAAGTGGTGTATGAGTTCTTCCTCAGGTTCATCGAAAGCCAAGATTTCAACACGAACATTGCCAAGTCCTACATCGATCACAGCTTTGTGCTTCAACTGTTAGAGCTCTTCGACTCGGAAGATCCTCGCGAGCGGGACTTCCTCAAGACAACTCTGCATCGTATCTATGGCAAATTCTTGAATCTCCGATCATTCATTCGACGGTCCATCAACAATGTCTTCTTCCAGTTTACTTACGAAACAGAACGGTTCAATGGTGTTGCGGAGCTGCTGGAGATCCTTGGGTCAATTATCAATGGCTTCGCCCTGCCTCTCAAGGAGGAGCACAAGCTCTTCCTCACTCGTGTGCTTCTCCCTCTCCACAAGGTCAAGAGCCTCAGCATGTACCACCCGCAGCTTGCATACTGTATCGTTCAATTCCTTGAAAAGGACGCCTCGCTTACAGAAGAAGTTGTTCTCGGCCTCCTTCGTTACTGGCCCAAGGTCAATAGCACGAAGGAGGTCATGTACCTCAATGAGGTGGAAGACATATTCGAAGTGATGGATCCCGCAGAATTCGCCAAGGTTCAAGAGCCTCTTTTCCACCAATTGGCCAAGTCGGTGGCGAGTCCCCATTTCCAGGTTGCCGAGCGGGCTCTGTACTTCTGGAATAACGAATACTTCTGTAACTTGGTGAGCGACAACGTGGAGATCATCCTGCCTATCATGTTCGCGCCACTCTACGAAAACTCCAAGGGTCATTGGAACAGGTACGTCAGACACACTTAGCTCCCAAGCTACTGAGACTAATGTATGCCAGAACAATTCACGGCATGGTATATAATGCCATGAAACTGTTCATGGAGATCAACCCTCAACTTTTCGATGACTGTTCTCATGAGTATAACGAGCAGCAGAACAATGCTCCGGCAAGGGAAGCTCTTCGAGAGAGGAAGTGGGCAGCTATCAAGGAGCAGGCCGGCAAGAGGAAATCCAATGGCATCTCCCGTAGCGACAGTCCCGCTTCGAAGACAGCTATGTTGCCACGCGTGGAAGAGGCCGACTCTGTAACAGACGATAACCAGAAGAGGCTGGACTCGCTCAAGCTACAGGATGGCGACCGTTGGGATCGCCGACCCCATGAACGGCAAAGCTCGGTAGGCTCCTCCTGAAGCCAGCGATGATTTACCTCTCAGACCACGTCACGATCCCTTTCCCGGGGGTTGACCGGCATCCCTTGATTTCCCTTTTCATGATAGACATTCTGGGCGTTGATGACCTGGTTTACACGAACCCCCTAAAACTTTGCTTCGATTCACAACAAGTCGTACCACCTGGCGAGGATCCTGATCGCAAGCGACCATCGAGATACTCCGTTCGCCCTAGTTCAATCGATCTCCGCTGTTGACCGTTATCTCTTGCAGGACACGAAACCCGCTCCGGATGAGGCAGAAGCGAGCGAACCTGTTTCCCCTGGACCACCCGGCGATCCCGCTTCCTTGGGTACGACCTAAAATTGGCCGTATTCGTTGGCGATCACATCGCTGCTGGCCATTTTCATTCCCCGTACATAATTCACGATGCCAAAAACCATCTTGGTCTACCTACCATGTGGGAAGACAGAGTGCAGCAGCAGTCTTGAGCAGATGCCGATGGATGCGATAGGAGCTGGGTTTCTGCAGACACAAGAGTAGGCATAGGTGGCGCTGGGTGCTGCAAGCAGAGCTGTCTCGACAGACTGCGAACTACCCGCGTGCGATGAACCATTGATGGATAGGAGCATGATGGTGGAACTGGGAAGTGGTTCTTCTCTGTGTAAGGATTTTGTCAAAGTCAGAACGGGTCGAAATGACTCCCGGGGCGTAAAGGAGCAAGGAAATGGGACGATGCGACGGCTTCCCTGAAGACAGTAATGCAATCTCCATAGACATTATCGAGTGTCCAAAAGCACTCTGATCTTTTGCTGACTTTCTGTCATGGCAAGTGACCGCAGTGTTGTTCCAGACAGTTGAGCTTAAGGTTATGTGGGGACGCCCTCTGGGCCCCCAAGGTCTCCAGAAGGGTATATTCGCGCAATTTAGGAAAGATGAGGCGGGCGTATTTGTGGTTCACAGGTGAAACACGATCAGTGCCATTAGACTCTTTGTATTTGTACATCTAGATATCGAGTCGCGTTGTTTGGTAGCACAGTTGATATCTTACTCTCGCTTCCAGCCTCTAACGTTATTCCCTTTCAAGCCTCTTTCGCCCTTCCCTTCCCCTCCCCTTCTTCCTCTTTTCTATTCCTCCACATACCCCAGCGCCTGCCCCATCTTGACCGTCTGCCCCTTCTCGACGGCCCAGTGGAAGCCGCGCTCCGCGTCGCCGGGTTGGCCGTCGGCGAGCGGGGCCTCGAAGACGAGCACGATGGTGCTGCCGAGCTTGAAGCCGCCCATCTCGTCGCCGCGGCGCAGGGCGTGCCCCCCCAAAACGGCGCTGGCGCCGGCGTAGGTGGCCTCGGCGAAGCCGCTGAAGGGCTCGCCGCGCGCCGACGCCTCCTCGGCGGCGCGGTCCGCGGCCGTGTCGGTCAGGAGCGAGTTGGTGCGCAGCTCGCGGTCGAACTTGACCTGGATGGAGCCGACGTTGGTGGCGCCGACGGGCACGTAGGAGAAGAAGCCCCAGCGCCAGCGCCCGAGCAGCACGACGCGCTCGTTGAGGGTGAAGAGCCCCGGGAGCGTGCGCTGGAGGTAGGGGGATACGGAGTAGAGCTCGCCGGCGAAGTGGCGCCGTCGCTCGACGACCCAGTTCGCGGGACTGTGGAACCGGTGGTAGTCGCCCGGCGCTAGGTAGACCACGGCATAGTAGAGTGCCGTGCGGTTGTCGGGCGCCAGCTGTGCGTACCACGGCTTCTCGCCCAGCGCCAGGTCGGCGCGCACCTCGGAGACGGCGCCCGGGCTGGAGGGGGTCGCGGACTGGTCCTCGATCTTGGTCTTGCCGTCGTGGCTCTCGTCCGGCCCGCCGGACAGGAGGTTGGGCAGCGTGTACGAGATGCCGTTCACCTCGGCGAACTGCTCGTCGGCTTTCACTAGCTCTTCGTCGCCGTGCAGCTCGTCCTTTGCGCCGTGCGGGCGGTCTGCGTCACTGGCAGATTCCACGCTCTGGTCCGAGACGCTGGGCGTCGGCGTGTTCTTGCCCAGCAGCGCATCGACCGTGTACGTCATGCCCTTGACCTGCTCGATATCGTTGCCGTCGATCTTGCCGTACTGCAGCACCCGTCCGTCGGCGGGCGACAGCAGCGCATTCGGGTTGGGGTCCAGCGGCCGAACGCCGGGCTTCAGCGTGCGGTAGAAGAAGGCGGCGAGGTTGGGGTAGACGCGCAGATCGGGCTCGGAGACTTCGTCGAGGTTCACGCCGAATATCCAGGCATAGAGCTTGAAGCCCGGTACGCGCAGGTAGTAGGGGATGTTGATCTCGTTGAACTTGCCCCATAGCCTGGACATGCCCTTCAGGGGCAGTGTTGACATTACTTGTACCTGCCTGCGAGGAAGAGAAGAGGTTAGAAAGAGCGGCGTTGGTGTTGGCGCAAGTTAGAAGGCCTACCATGGTCCATCTGGCCGTACTCGAGGCCGCTTCTTCGGACGAGAGCCCCCCTCGCCTTCTGATGCCTCTTGCGAGCGTCTCTCCTTTTCCCGCGCTTGCGTCTTATAGAACTGTACGAATCCCAGGAAGCCGATCCCTAGACCGACTGGTATGGGATACCACCGGACCTTGGTGTCTCTTAATGTGGTCCTTAACCTGGACCCGAACCGATCTCTGCTTTGTTGGTATCTCCGGGCCGAGTGGTGGAAGGATGTGGTTGAGGTCGCTGCAAACCCCCTTGTAGACTGTCGTATGGAGGCTTCACAGCTTTGTCGGAGCATACTTGGTGATGCTAACCTACTCGACATGAGTGGCGGCCCCCGGGCTAAATTTGAGGATATAGTCGCCATTGACAAGCAGCTTGGGGTTTATAGTAAAGATCATGCGCTCATGGCAATTTCGGTTTGTGCGCAGCTCGTGTAGCCCGGGCTGATTCGACCTGAGAGCTGGAGCTGAACTTCGTGGGAGAATATAAGGTAGGTAGTCCCTGAGAGAGCCAATCTAGGGCTTGAATAAGGTTCGTCTGATCTCTACCTGGCAGAATTGTCATGGAACAAATGCAAATACGGTAACAATCTTCCCGTCAGGAGATTCTGGCAAGTCATGCTGCAGCGGCAGACCTAATGCAGCTACTTCAGGGACCCTCCATGACGCAGCTCGGCTCGAGAAGCTATTCCCCACTGGGTGGCGAGACAGGCGGTAACGACCGGCAGATGCCAAATAGTCGGGAGAAAGTGCAACGTGGATGTTGCCTATCTGGGGGACGCTAGGCCAAGCTGAGATAGCTCCGGGATACCCAGGCAGCCCAGGCACTCCCAATGGCACCCGTGGGCCGTGGATGACAGCGTTGCTTCATCAACTCGGTGCCAGTTTTGTCCTCACCATGAACATACACCACTGCTGTCCACGGCTGAATAACACTCATTGTTCGTCCTCTCTTGTCGTCCACTATCTTTCATTTGCAGTGATTCATCCATGCACGCTGTCGGAGGTTTCCCCGAGGTGATATTCCTACTATTGTAGTAGTAGTCAGCTGTCAGTCCGTTTTGCGCGACATGCTTCCTGTCATCCTCGGCCCAGCCTTGTGAATGCGCACCCGCTTCCGCCTCTGTGTTTGACGCCCAACTATATCCAAACTCCGTACTTTTGGCCGACGACCACTTCTTCAACCATCAACCGACCACGATGGCTTCCGAAACTGCCAATCCCTCAGGCTCAGCTTCCCAAGCTGGGCCTAAGCCCGAGGGATACACGTTACAGATCATATCACCTTCTCTTGGAGTTCCGCAACCTCTCATTCTTGGGGAATTATCCGGCACTACGACGATCCGGCAACTGAAGGAGAGGATTCGGAATGCCCTCGATGCCAAACCCACAGATCAGGCACAACGCCTCATCCATAGAGGTCGTCTGTTGGCTCGGGAAAACGAGACCATGCTAGAGCTGTTTGGGGAAGAAGCAGTATGTTTCCTTGCCACACGAATCGGAAAGGACACATCGCTGACTATGTCTGCCCCCTATAGCTTCGTTCTACAGAACGCCAGACTCTGCATCTTGTCCTACGCGATCTTTCCGAAGGGCCAACCGCATTCACACCGAGCCCCTCTGCGCAAACCCCCAGTCGAGCCCCGACTTCAGCTCAACCCCCTGCGAATGTGCATGACCACGCCCATGCACATATACACCACCAGCAACATCAACCTCACTTTCATGCACAGCCTCAAGTCCGAGTTGGAATAGGGGCTCCTCAGCCCATGTTCAACTTCCCTCAAGGCCCGAACGCTACTCTAAATGCTGGATCTCAACCTCCACCTGGTTATACACCGCAACATCTCCTGCAGCACCAGATGCAGCACCAGATGCAGCACCAGATGCAGCACCAGATGCAGCACCAGATGCAGCACCAGCTCAACGTGATGGCGCGTATGGGAATCCCAACCCTGAACCAGGGGGACCGAGCTGCTCCAGGTATGCACGGGATGCCGGATGTGACACCTCAGATGCGAGGGGCGCCCGGCGCGAACGAGCCCAGGACTGGATCACCCTCGCACCCCGATGCAACACGTACCGTGATACGTGAAGGGTTTGGCCCCAATAGCCAGCAGTGGCGCATCACTGTGAACGAGTCACTGGCCAGTTCGCTCCCACGGCCAGGAGGTACAGGTTCGCCACTCCCTAATGCCGACGTTTCAGGAGTGCGAGGTATGCAACCACGATCTGCTGCAAACGGAGGGCCGTTTTCAGGGAACGATCTACAGAATATATTACGGACCGCCGACGCAGGCCCAGCCACAAGAGCCATGACGGATGCAATGCGCAGAAATGCCAGCAGTTCTTCATTGCCAAACTTAGCCAGTAGTCAGTTCCAACAGCCCATACCACCTGGAGTGACTACACCTTTGGCTTCATCTCGAGCCGGTAGTGCGGCTGGCACACCTATTCCGCCACCGGCAGAGGGGCCTGCTGCGAGTGCTGCTGCGGCTACGAATCCGACTCAGATTCAAGGCCTCCAAGGGGTTCCTGAAGTATACATCCTATCTTCGCCCAGCGGGCCACGTGCCCTTCTTCTCAACACCACTTTGGGCATGTACTTCAGCCCGCAAGTACGAGGTCCTTATCCACCTGGCTTTTCGCGACCATTCCCTACCACCTTTGGCAATACATTCAACACGCAGTATGCCCCGCCGCCACTGATTAACTTCCAGGCGCCGAGAACACATGGGCGGGAATGGGAAGTTCGTGCAGCGAACCCTCAACAAGTCAATGCGACACCACCAGCACAGCAAGCACCCGCACAGCAACAACACGGGCTCCCGCAGGCACCCCCGGCTCAACAACAGATCGGCCACGCTGTGGCGCGTCCCGACAATGCACAAATACAAGCAGTCAGGATTGCCCAGGTGTGGCCTCACGTATGGATGATAATACGTCTAGGACTATTTATTTGGTGGTTTACTTCCCCTGCATCTAGCTGGTCGCGATGGATAACCGTGATTTCCATTGCTATCACCTTGTTCCTGGTCAACACCGGGCTACTGAACCCTCTCGTTGAACAATTATGGGTTCCGTTCCGCCAACACATTGAGGGCATGATTCCTCTCGGACCAGAAGCCCCGGGAGCCAACCGCCGTCCTGCAGTGGCTGAGAATGCCCAAGGAGCAAACGGCGAAGCAGCAATTCCCGAAAGGCAACGAGTCCTCGACCCTGCAGACACAGCAGCAAGATTGGTCCATCAACGCCGTGAGGACAACGCGAACTGGTTGTTGAACCAGGCAAGAAGACTGGAACGTGCTGGGATTCTCTTCATCGCCAGTATCGCCCCCGGTTTAGCTGAGAGACACATTGCGCACGTGGAAGCAGAAGCCCGGGCTGAGCGGCAACGTCAGGAAGAAGCCGAGGCGGCAGCGGCGGCTGCTCAGGCTGAGGCCAGGGAAACATCGGAAGGCGCTGAAGCAGGCAATGAAAATAGTGGCTCTGCTGACTCGGGTGAAACAGCCGGTGCAGCTGAAGCGGCCAGCAGTACAAATACCGAAAGCCGCGCCCCGCCTGTCGCTGCAGAACCGGCAATCGCCACCTAAGGGGCCATGGACGAGGATATCCAAACAGTGAGGCCGCAGACAATACGACGAGCATGATGACGAATGGAGTATGTATGCAGCGCGTCGTGTAGGCCCTTTGAAGATTACGTGATTGGCAATGTGGGATATATTCAGTTTGACTGGGCGGGCCCTCGTTGGGCGCAGCGTTTCCACGGTCACAGACTTGAAAATCAGTATGTCAAATTATAGCGACATGTATGTTTAACAATAATCTAAGCGATGACGGGAAAGACAAACCATGAATATGGAGATATACCATCGGGAGATAACGCGTTCAGAAAGCGTGTCCGGCTATACCAAGCCTGCGTGCCACATGCCGTGTTGGCCCCTATGTGCACCTTGCCCTTTCCTAGTCGAAGGAACAATGTTATGGTAAATCGACTCTGGGACGCTCCCTTCCCCTGTTGGGCGTGGTGGAGAGTTCACTGTGTGGTGGTGTTACGACTACCATCCGACCCCCCGAACCGGCACACCCCCCCAACCCGCACAGCCAAACCCCACAACCACCACCAAAAGTCCCCTTACTCACTTATATGGATTACAGCCCCTTTTGAGGGTATCTAAACGTTCTTTAGATAGTTAGATAGCCCTTTTTTTGATATTTAGCTTAATGTAGATTATTTAATTGCTGGCCATCGGCATCAGTATTTAGCAGCCTCCGTGCCCCGCCCTTAAATGCAAATTTGCTGTAGAATTCTCTCTGTGAGCCCCTGTCCCTCATGCAACACAGCATCCTGAAGCCAGCCACGATGCCTCCGCCCACGTATACAGAGAATGATGTGGTGGGTGCCTACCTAGACGTCACAGATAATGGCATGTCCGTGAGAAAATCCAGCCAAAAATCCGGCGTCCCGGCCAGCACGCTGTCAGCACGCATAAAGGGGAGAGGGACTAAAACAGAAGCTCACACCACCGAACAGAGAATTTCTCCCGGGCAAGAAAGCAAGGTAGCAGCCTGGATATTGCGCCAGGAGACTTTGGGGCTTGCCCCCTCTCACTCAGCCGTCAGGGAAATTGTGGTAGAACTCCTAAAAAGAAAGGGGGATTTCGCACCACTTGGGAACCACTATATGAACAGCTTTAAACGACGCAACCCTACCATTCAGACTAAAATCGGCAAGCGAATGGAATCTGCTCGGTTTAAGGGGTTTACCCCTAAGTCTGTGAACTGGTTCTTTAACATCTTGGAGGACTACGGCTGGGTGAAGCCAGAAAATACGTACAATGTCGATAAGGGCGGCATCATGTCGGGTTTTGGTAACTCTTTCGAGCCCCCTACCCTCACAGTCAACTAACTACCCTTATAGGCATTGATTCCCTAGTTCTGGGAAGTTCTGAGACGAGGAAAGCTTTCCTAAGAGCCCCCAGGGCCGCTCGTGGACATCTTTCATCGAGACCATTTCAGCTACCGGTAGAGTACTCAAACCAGGCTTGATTTTCAAGGGAAAAGATCTCCAAGCGCAGTGGTTCCTCGAGGAATTCCAGAAGATAGCCGACTGGTACTATATAACGTCGGAAAACAGCTGGACCAGTAACGATATCGCCTGCCAGTGGCTTGAGCACGTTTTCATACCACAAGTGGATGAAATTCGTGGCCAGGAGCAGTGGGAACCAGTCCTTTTGATCCTAGATGGCCATGGTAGCCATACCTCCGTACGTACACCAATTTTTTCTATTTCTTTACTGGTTGTTTGATTTATTCCGATTTAAACAGTAACTGACTGTAAAAAAGGACGAATTTATGATGCGGTGTTATTTTGCTAACATCTTGCTGTGCTTTTCCCCAGCACACACCAGCCACGGAATGCAACCACTGGATAACGGCCCCTATAACGCCCTTAAGTCCTACTACCAGAGATTCCTCACCCAGTTAAATTCTCTGATTGATTCTTCCCCTGTTGACAAGATCAACTTTATCCGCTATTACAGCAAGGCAAGGGACATGGCATTTACGCCAAAAAACATCCGCTCGGGCTTCCGAGTGACCGGATGCTACCCAATTAGCCGCAAAAAGTGTCTAGACCATCCAGAAATCCAAGAAGACAAGCGGAAGACCCCCGAGCCAGAAGAACAGGAAGACTCGGAGCTAGAGGACCAACAGACCCCTACCACGAGCCGGCAAATCCGGGATTTCGAGAGGAACCGTTCCCCAGCCACTCGGCTGAAGTTCCGGAAGATCTCCTATGCCTTTGAGAACCAGGAGACGGAACTGGCCATAAAAGACCAGAAGATCAGGGCCCTGGAGGCTGAACTGGAGCGGCTACAGCCCAAGAAGAGGAAAAAGATACCAAATCCCAACAAAAAGTTCATGACAATGGTAGAAATACTAGCCCAGGGTGGTGATCCGTAGTTCCGGTTGCTGTAGAGTCTTCTTCTTCTTCTTCAGAGTCGGAGGTTGTTGAAGACGAGGGTGAGGAGGACGAGGAGCTTGCGGACGCTGAGGAGGCTGTAGAAGCCCCTGTTGCAGAAGCCCAGATGACTAGATCCGGGCGGTCAATCCGGGCGCCGGCTAGATACGTCGATTGAGCAGCCAAAACACCATAGAATGATAATTTTGCTGATTTTTTTGACCCTATACAGCCTCAAATGCGTGTAAGTGAGTAGCGGGGTCTTTTGGTGGTGGTGGCGGGGTTTGGCTGTGCCGGTAGTGGGGGCGTGCCGGTTCGGGGGGTCGGATGGTATGTGGAAGAAGATCTTCGGCCCTGATAAGATGATGGCAGGTCCGGAGCAGGTCCTTGCGGGGGTCTGGACGTGCGATTTTGATAACTACTACCTCTGGGATAGAGGTAGCGACTGGTTCGGCTTTGTGAGGGCTATCGTGGCTGACTACTACTATGATGAGAGCCGGAATTCTGTCCGGCTGACATGAGGATTGCGCACGGTTGTGGTTTATGCTCTTGAAGCCAGGTTGTCAACTCGGGCTTGAGGATCGTTTGGCACATGGCTGCAACTGGGGCCTTTATGGATTCGACGTTTGGGGCTATGACTACGGATCATTTATGTTTACTTTCAACCTGTGCCCCATGCGATATCTCTCATCCAGTGACTCCAGAGTTCCCCGATGGGGTGCGAACATTATCCTACTTTGGGCTGCGAATGCCCACCTGGCACCATGCTCATCATGTTGATATATACATGAGTTGTGGCGACTTTTTCGGTAGGCCAAGCGCCAGGATCAGTGCGTGCTGGTCAAGTGAGAATATACTATCTAGAAGACATCTTACAATCTTTCCCTTATGCTAGAGACGAAGCTCAGACTAATTTGGCGGAAGGGAACGAAGCCAGCAAGCTTGGAGCCCGTGCCCACGTGTTGAAAAAGAGGGCGTTGGTAAATGCACTGGGACAGAAAGTCGGATGGAATGCATCATACAGCCACTTGAAAAAACGAAAGTCAAGAATGAGAGAATGAGTGTATTTAGAAGCCGAAGCTCGAAACTTGACTAGTGTCCTGGCCATCAGAGCCGTTCAATCCTCAGCCGTATGAGCCCTCCACAGGTGAACGATACCAGTTCCACACAGCCATGGCGGCTCGTTTGCCAGGACTTCAGCTCCCCCCGTTTCAATCATAGTCCTCTCTGCTCCAACGCTCAGTATCCTTCACCCAGCCTCCATTTTCGGGCCGCCAGGGGGGTGAGTAGTGAAGAGGCTCGTCACTCCTGTTGTGGACGCTAAACCAAATACCCAGGGGGAAGTCCTTTAAACTGTGCTTCGCCTTGTCCAGCTCGTTACTGATGATTTTGTTGATTTCACCATAGAAGCCGGATGAATAGTCCCAGCCACGCGGGGCGTACACCCAAATATGGACAGCCGTGCCGTATTTACCGCGGGCTGCACGGCCGCTCTTGTTAGCGGGTCTGCCGATGTCGTCAATATCGAGCGGTTTGAGTGTGTAGTGTTCTGGAGCCTTCCAATTGAGTTCGCTCTTGTCGTGTGCCCTCAGGCCCTTTGCTAATGCGTCGGCCAGGGGCCCTTTGACGAAGTTTGCGAGCGCTGCCTTGCCGGGGACGTCCAAGGGGCGAGACATGAAACGGCCCTCATCCGGAATCCGGTTTGTTTCCCAGGTTTACAGATAATGCTGTCTGATTTTCTGATAATCCTGCCGCCTCTCGGCCATTTCCTCGTCAGAGAGGTCCCAAGGATTGAAGATGGCTCGGTCGCGGGAGGTCTGGTCGGGGACAGTGGTCGACATGGTGGCAGGTGTTTGTGAAAGACGGAGTAACGTTGTTCGTTTGCCGGGTCGTAGGTGCATGAGTGGGATAAGCAAAAGTCCGTAGGATGTTGAAATTCACCCTGCAAGACTGCAAGAAGGAGGCATTATATACCCGAGTGCATCAGTAGGCAGGCAGTACAGTCCCCGTAACACCCAGGGTCGTCTGACCAACACCGAGCCGCGTGACCTCGACATTCGAGGCCAAACATCCTGTGACTGATTGATTTGGCGACACATGACTGTTTGACCGTCTCGGTTGGCAGGTGTTTTGGGTTGTGGTGCGACCAACTCATGGCATTCTCTTTGTTCGTCCCGTCAGGGGCGGTCGTCCAGCGTGACACATGTTGGCTGCGACGCCTGCCTGAGTTTCGAGTCCTTTCATTCTCTGCCCCGAGGCGAAGTAACCGGGGTCCAACGAAGAAGCAGCATGTTGGGCCGTTTGCGGCACTCCCGTGGTACGGTAGACCATACATTTCGTACGGTAGACTGGGGAGAATTATTGCTGTGGGTAACAGTATCCCCTCTCATCGCGCACTCGAGGTTCCCTGACTTGCCAATAGCACAATCCTCATATCATCAAAGAGTCCCTCCCACCGCAATTGGTTTGACCCGCCTTTGATCTTCGTCAGAGTGTGTATGCATCATCACGACCTGCAGGATATTTTGTCACATCGTTGAATGTAACCAACCTTGCGTGAAGAAGCCGGTCAGCTAACAGGAGGTCGTGCACAATGCGCATCCAATCTGACATGTCGCATCGATATCATAGATGCCATAGGTCAGATTCTTGGTGTTGCCCACTGGGGTAAGCATGCCCACCAGTCGATGCCTTTCGGGGATCCACAATCCCTTGCATCTCGGCGTATGGAGACCCCGGCCAACACCAAGTTGATCGTCTAAAAGGTCTCAAGTCCCGATTCGCTTCGGTGAGACTTGGAACAACACAACACCCATCTAACATACCTCCTTTGCTTCTACTACGATGTTGGACGTCCTCACACGACCAGCAGTGCTGGCCCCGGCGCTGCTCGTAGCCGGCTACGTGCTGTACCAGCTACTCCGCCCATCCAGGCTGCCCCAACTGCCGATCATCGGCGCAAAGCCGGGCGAGTGGTTCCCGCTCACACGCGCGCGATGGCGGAACGCAAAGGACATGAAGACCGCCGTCGAGGTCGCCTACAGCCAGTACCGCGACCAGGCCTGCATCATGCCAATCGCCGGCGCAGCCGACCACGTGATGCTGCCGCCGCGGGAGCTGCAGTGGCTCGTCGACCAGCCCGACCTCGACATCAGCATGCACGACCAGATCATGTACACGCTGCAGCTCGACCACACCCTCACTGACCCGGAGCTCGGCCGCAATCCCGTGCACGTGAGTCTGGTCTCCGGGCTCCTGACCCGGGAGACCGGCAATCTGGTCCCGGAATTGATCGACGAGATCGAGCACGTGGTTGACGAGCTCTGGGGCCTGGACGGCAGCTTCAGGACCATCTGCGTGTACGACACTTTGAAACGCATTATTGGACAAGCGACGAACCGGGTCTTCGTCGGCCTGCCACTGTGCCGCGACGCCGCGTTGCTCGAGGCGGGAATGGCCTTTGCGCAGGACGTGCCGCTGACCTCGACGGTGCTGCGGTTCATCTGGCCGCCGATGAGGCCGTTCGTGGCGCCCCTCCTCACGCTGCCGAACCGCATCCACACGAACCAGTTCTACAAGATCATGCGGCCCGAGGTGCTGCGGCGGCTGGCCGACTATGATGCCCGGCAGCGCACGGGGACAGACGCCACCGGTGCCGAGAAGAAGGCGCTTCCATCCAACGACTTCCTCCAGTGGTCCGTGAACCAGGCCCACGCCTCGGGCGACCCGTACATGAGCAAGCCCGACACGCTAGCCGGCCGCATCCTACTGCTCAACTTCGCCTCCATCCACACGTCGTCGTTCGCCATCACGCACGCCATCCTGGACCTGGCGAGCTCCCGGCAGGAGTACATCGACGAGCTCCGCGACGAGATCACCACCGTGCTCGCCGAGCACGGCGGCGAGTGGAACAAGCGCGCGCTGGCGGCCATGCCGAAGCTGGACAGCGTGTTTCGCGAGTCGCAGCGCGTCAACTCGTTCGTGACGCTTGCTTCGATTCGCTCGGTCGTCAAGCCGGAGGGCGTTACGACGCCTTCGGGCCTTAAGATTCCGAAGGGCCTGTGAGTACCATCTTGAGCTCTGTTTCTTTCTCTCTTGGACATGTCCTGGGATTCGTTACCCCTGGGACATGTCTGGGAACTCTAGGTAGATCGCCAACCACATATAGGAGTTGAAACTGACTGTGAATGCTGCAGCATGGTATGCGCACCATCATATCCCGTGTTCCACGACCCCGAACTCTACCCCGATCCGCATGTCTTCAAGCCATTCCGGTTCGCAGAGAAGCGGATCGTGCCAGCCGAGGCCAACGCCAACGGTGACGCACCGTCGTCGTCATACGTGCAGCGCGCGAGGCAGGCCTTCGCCAGCACGAGCCCCGAGTACACGGCGTTCGGGCACGGGCGACACGCGTGTCCGGGCCGCTTCTTCGCGTCGAGCGAGCTGAAGCTCATGCTGGCGTATCTGGTGACGAACTACGACTTCGAGATCCAGGAGCGGCGCGCTGAGAACCTGTGGTTTGGGATGAATAGGATACCGCCGATGGCTGCGAATATCAGGATCAGGAGGAGGGGTTGAAGGGTACGTTAGCTTCGATCAAGGCGACAATATAACAAGTCATGTGATTCATATACCATGCTGAGCCACCGACTATCGGAGGTGTTTTGGGGTTCATTCGCAGTGACTGCTTGCGTTCACAACCACTGCCAGGTACGATTCTTCTAACTTCGAGTATCTTTTTAAAAGACGGCGTCTCTCGAAGGCGCAAATCCTGCCCGGGAAGGGTGTCCTTCGCTGATGTGAGTCCTTCAAATGGCTTAAGAGTACCGTCACGATCAGTGTCACTGGACCACGTAAGAAACTGTTTCGGACAAATCCTGATGTCCATGTAGATGGAGAATCCGTTGAAAGTATGATTGACTTCTCTGCCGGCCTCAGTCTGTCAACGAAGGCGTTGTCTCGATATGAGTATATCGTCGATGAGTATGGCGCACATCCGAGGATCCTAGTTTCGGAAATGTAGCGACAAGTATGGCCCCTTCCGCCTGGCCGTCCAACCGAAGAGTTAGGAAGAGGCAGCGAATTTGCAAAATAGGCGGTACATGTCAACTCGACTACGAGACGCATACTGCTTCAACATGTGCTTATCTGGCAACCATTGGGTCTCAACTTCTCCGAACCCGCAATTGGAGAAAGCTAGTTTGCACAAGAAGCCGCGCACCGAAATTTGAAGCACCAGACTTACATCGCGACAAGTGATGCCGCCATCCATTTGGAGGTCCGCTGTGCTGGTAGGTAACGTTCATACAAGACGACCCATCCATCCTACTACCGCCCTCCCGGCCCCATGCTTTTCTGTTCTTTTTCCACTGCCGGAGGCAGTGCAAAGGCGCATCTTTGCTTTTGGATGGCCTCTACCGCGACGTTGCCAGATCGGCGGGCCCGCCCAGCTGCAAGGCGTTCCGAATGGCATCACGTCACTGGCCGCCCTCGGCGATTCCATGCGATTGCAGCAGAGCCTCCTGCCTTCATGTCTCAGTTGACAGCAGCGATAACGGATTACACCCTAGAGTCCCCGGTAACCACAAAACCCACGGTTTTATCACTTATCACTTATCACTAATTCCTTTCCTGATCCTGATTTCCCCGTTACCAAGTGCTGCGGGAGGAGGATGTGACAGGGGTTTCGCGCGCGGGTCCGCTGGCGCTGCTGGGCGTTACCGGGGGACTAGCGAATACGAGATTCTGGTCACCAAGAAACCCAAGATCGCATCATCACGCATCGGCGGGGGGCTGGGCTGGGGGACCTGGGGGGCCTGGGTTGCGGTCGTGTTACGGAGGGAGGGGCTGGCTGGCTGGCAGACACGGTGGTAAGTAGGAGAGTACAGGCGCTTCTGCTTCTTTTCTATCGTCGTGCAAACGAAGCGGTGAGGGAGTGCTGGCACTGCGGCGCTGTCGACTTTCGAAAGCTTGCTAACAACGGGATGGGAACTGGGTTTGTTTGTTACCTTGCAAGGTGCAATCGTCTACCTATCCTTGCTGTGGTCCAACACAGTAATTCTTCTTTCCCTACCCCCCCCCCCCCCCCCCCCCCCCACCATGTGTGCTTTTTCTCCACCTCCTTCCCCTAAGATACGCTGACGCTAGGTATCGGATATAGTATTAAGGTTGGGCAAGGTCAGGTACGGTGTCACTCGACGATATGCACGACAAGGGCGATTCTGTATTGCGCCAGCTAGGTGCTTGCAGCAGCTGCATGTAGGCCTTGCCTTGGTAAATGGCATGTACGGCGTCGACCAGCCTCGTAACGGACGGATCTGCAGCTCTTCTGGTCAAGACTCCATCCAGCAAGCCAAGTTATTAGCAGAATCGTGCTGAAAAATGAGAGCATCATCTCAGAGACCCGAAGCCGCAACTCGCCAGCCATTGATCCATACTGACTGACTCCCTCAGTCTCTCCAGGACTCCGGGCCAGGAGCTTCTCTCCCGCCGTGGATCGGGCTCCGACACCACCCCGGGCAGCTTGGTTGGTACCTGGCAGGTAAACAGGCATAATGGTAAGACAGACCGCAGTCGGACCTCTCCGGGGCAATACTAACGCCCACATGACCCAGGCATGCACTCTCTCATGAGGCCACGTAATCAATGCAAGGTGCTTTCGGCGTCGATGGAAGAAAGAGCTTCTAGAAGCAAGCACCGTAGCTGCAGAGACGGACGTTGATGCCGCTTTGAGGGTATCACAGTACACCACTGCATGCCCCTGACCAGCTAAGCTACTGTGCGTTGTGCATAGTGCATGGTGCATTAGGTTAGGTACGTAGTGAGTGTATACCACTCGCGTTGTCTACCCCCTAACGTTAGAGGCTATGACTTACGCAGATGGTCGGTCCTATGGCCGCTCGAGGCGTTGTTGAAGACCACACTGTGTTCCCTCCCCATTTGCCATGCGTTTCTATTTCTGCCCTCGTTCTTCTACCGGGGGCCGTCGAGCGCTTCTGTAACGTGACACCTAACCGTCCCGAGTCTTCGTCATCCCGCCCGAGTGCCGCTGTCTCATATCCCTTCCGTGCTCACTTCGGGGACCTATGGTCCCCGGACGCTGGGCTTCCCCATGGATCAGCTCGACCTTGTGGGCCTGACTTACCTGGCGACACGGTGGAATCATGCTTGTTCGTGGCTTGCTCACGTGGCAGCTGGTACTACGCATGTACTACTCAAACAAGCCCTTCTCTCACCGTCTCGCGTCACTCCAACCTTGGAAAGCGGTCAGATTGTGTTGGTATTGTTTGGATATCATGTACCTAGCACTGAGTAGTCACGGTATGTACCTACTCCAGTCTCACTCGGGATAGGCGGCCGTCAAGTGGAAAAGTGAGCAAGAACTTACTTGACTCTTATCTATCTACCTACAACTTGCTGAACCTCGTTTCCGCAATAGTTCCGAAGACATGGCAATCGTTTACCTATCAGGTAAGGTCCTAGACTAGGGCTTCCATCCATCCATCCTCCAAGACGTGGATAGACCTGCTCAAGGGGCAGGACGCAAGGCCCAGCGCTACGATGGCGATGTATGGCTAAACCGCTTGGTACATGATGATGTGCGTACATAACCCAAGTGACAATAATCATAAATCCAACTGCAGCTAGCGAACGAAGCATTGTAAATTAGGAATGAATACCTCGCCGGACATGATTGTTCGTGCGAGCAAGGGGCCTCAGTAATGGTAGTCTCATGTGGAACGAAGAAAAACGACGACTGCTCACCGCCAAGTCCCTTGCGGTGATGTATATCTACTTAGTCAAACATAGCGTAGATTCCTGTACACTGCTTGCTGTCTCTCTAGCCCGCATAGGCGTGCTTGCCATGGGTTCAACGGCCCTGATAGTGTGAAGTGTGAGACGCGACAAGTTGCTGGGCTGGGACCTTGCGTACGTATACCAACAACAGCGTACGCGAGGCCTGCCTGGCTGGATGGGACGGGACGGCCAACAGGGACCACTTGAATCAGACCGCAGGTAGTAAAGCCCCATCTGCACCACCAGCCAGCCACCCGGAACTTGAACGTGCTGACGCGGTTCCGCGCCCTCGGGACCAGAAATAAACAGCGTGCTTGACCATCCTGCATGCACGCAACCTGCACTCACTCCACGAACCATCGTCAACGAGCCTACTTACCTACCTAGCTAGGCGCCATTCGTTCGTCCGTCTATGAAGACGCATAAATATATTCTTAGCTGTCTGCTTGCTGCCCCGGACACCTCGTATACCGAGGCTGAAGTCTGACTGAGCCATGCGACCGACCCCTGCATGCGTCTGCCGTCTCGGCGCGTGGCCTGATTGGGCTGGCTGGCTGGCTCTACCAGCCCTGCCGGACCCAACTGGCGCAGGTACATTCATTGCCTTGCGCATGTGGTCGTCGTCCAGGTCGCTGGCAGCATGAACTTGTCATCGGGTTAGGGGCTCCGATGCGGCCGTATACCTAAGTAGGTAGGCAAGCTACTTCCGGATGTTGGAAAGGGGAGGGCGTGGGTCGGGGACGTTACGGATAGAAACGGTGGATTCAGGGGGGCACGGAGCAGAAATTAGTCATCCCGTCATAGAGCTATCCATCATCGGTACGTCAAGCGAATAATCGTTGCTATATGCTTTAATGGAACGATAATCAGCCATCACAACTGTCGAGAGAAAAACAGCGTCTGAGGTGCAAGGAGAACATCATCGTCAATTATTATTAGGATTAGATATCCGCAAGCTGACTAGGCCGACCTTGCGGCCCAATCCCATTATGGGTAGGCGTCAGCTCTCTCAAGTCCTCCAATGCTGTGAGCAACAAGTGATAACTGGATGCTCCGACATCGAGTCATCTCGCGATGCGCGAGGCTCTCTTCCCTCTCTGGCGGTTGCTTTTCCTCCTGTGCAGTCGTAACACGTGCGCCAATAACTCCTAAAACTTCATATGCAACCGCTCAAAAGCGTCTGTTGCTTGTTTCGCCCGTGCATGGTACGTCTGCGGAACGAAAAATTCGTCACCATTCCTTTCCCTTCCGCGGTCGACGGGGCGCTCAAAAACCATGAATGCACAAAAAACAAAAACGCCGTCCCAATGCGATGACAGACCGCCCGTAAGGTCGTCGATTTTGGTTCCCGGACAAAATGGTATAAACAGTCGCTATGCAATTCGGCAAAAGGTGAGGTGGGGTATCCTGGTAATTTCAAACAACGCAATTTTTCGTAAGGAGTGGCTGAGATTCTATGCCGTGTGCATAGAAGTCGTCGTAATTCGTAAGGAGCGTCAAAGGTCGGTCTATGGTGTGGTATCTTGCGTAAGGAATGTCTATGGGGGTATCTTTCGGTGTCGTCGTAAGGAGTGTCGTAAGCTGGGTGAATTATGCAATATGTATTATGCGTTTCGTATAACATAGGGATCGTGGGTATCATTGTGTCGATGGAGACGTGTGGGTATCTTTGATGCCTGTCAAGGAGTGTGGTGTGCAATTGCGTCTGTGCGAAAATTTGAAAAGGTATTAAAAGTGGTGTTGGGGAAAATCGAGCTGAAGGTGGTCCGGTGGTGTTCAGAGAAGCCGCGCTCATACTTCATCGTTCTCTCGCCTGAAGTAAACAGGCGCTGATGAGACTGAGGAGCTGTTTCGATGGTGGTGTCGGAAGAGCTGAGGCGGCATGAAGACAGGCGATGGGGCCGACAGAGAGAGTGGGGTGGTTTCTCGTGGGGTAGTCGATTCTCTCTGATGAGCTCCATACCACTCTTGGGGGTTCAAGTACGGTGAGGGCATGTTCTGAAAGGCTGGAGATTGTAGGGTCGCGGACGGGGTGGTATCCAGCCGATGCATCGGCATCTCGAGGGGGAGGTAACTCGAAGAAGCATGCTGAGCAGTTGGGGTCCTGGGCGCCAAGGTCAATCTGTTGTCCACTTCCATTGCAGACGGAGGCCAATGTGGGAATGTGACTTCTAGATCCACACGGCCTGGATTGGAGAGACAAACCCAAGACCAAAGTTGCTGGACCCTGCCGAGCCGAGTGGCGGATAGCCAGACATTCCCGTCTCGAAGGAGCCGAACTCCTCGTGATCACTGTAGGCGACGGAGCCTTCACCGAAGGTTGACGAAGCCGGACTGTATCCTCCGTATGAAGGCGACGGGATGTTCAAATACTGTCCGCTGGGGAAAGGCGACGAGAGCGTCAATGGGCTGACGGCACTGCCATGCTCATGCTGCTCAGGTGCCAGCATGGAAAGGTCCTCGGTGCTCCAACTGAATGGAGGGTTGTCGGTGTACGGCAAGTAGGACGTCGTGGAAGGCGGCGTGCCCTGCGACATGTTGTCGCTCATGTCCATATAGAAATTGGCCTGGTCGAACTGCGGAAAGGACTGCGTGCGAGCCGGCTGAACCCAGCCCATCCTCGAGCGGAACTCGGTGACGGCGTCGATAGGATATTCCATGAGCGCCAACGGCGTCTGGAAGTCACCTTCAATACCCACAGAGACGTTCATCGAGAACAGCCTTCGTGCGATCTCCTCCACCGGTCCAATAGCCAGACTGCCAAAGTACGCAGCACCGATTTCGGGAAAGAGACGTTCCATCATGATCGCAGCCGTGTAGTAATGCGCAATGACGATCAAGGCACTAGGGGACGTGCCATTCTCCTTCAGGCACATGACGGGGAGCCAGAAGAGCCAGGTACGGAGCGGGCGGAGGCGGTCGAACTGATCCTCGATGGACTGGATGGGGCTGACTTTGCGTGCACCCTTGAGGAAACATACGAGCTGCTGTACCAGATGGGCATCCTCCCTGTTCTGCTTCAAATGAGCCTCGACCTTGGTGAGCTGGTTGATGGTTTGCTGGAACGCGTCGAGGTCCTCCTTGCGCGGCTGGTGAGGCCGGTGATCCGGACTGGGCGATGGCGGAGCAGTGGGAAACGTGCTGCTTTCGGCAATGAAGTCTCCGAATTGGGACGTGCGCTTCCATGGTTCCATGGCGTCGATGACCTTTGCGTTCTAATGTTAGCGCAATCCATTTCGAGGCAATGCGTGTATCCTTACCGAGGAGGTTCCTTGCATCAGCTGGGTCCAGCTTCGCCTATCAGACAGCCGGGTTAGTGATGATCGTGCGGGTAGATGCATTCTATTGCTTACCAATCTGTGGCCTGCCACGAGAGCACAAGAGAGGCAGCCAGAACGGCGTCAGAGTTCTCGGGCGAGAACGAGCCAATGGCTTCTTGCAACCCCTTAAGCGCAATGCCACGGTGCTCGTAGGCCATGTTGCCCACCTGCGGGCAGGTGGTCAGGAAGGCAATGTGCTCGGCGGAGAAGGCGAGCATGGCATGCATGACGAAACCGTGAGTCGCACCGATCTGGAGGATGCTATTCGAGGTGTCAGCGGGCGTACTCGGCAACAGACAGGGCCGGGCCATACGTGGGAATTTGACGTGTCCACAAGGTGAAACCGTTGGCGTCAATGGCACTCATCTCATTGCAGATAGCAGCCACATGGAAGATCAGGCGAAGGTCCTCCGCGGAGAAGTACTGGGGCATGGGTGCCGGGCAGATGTTCAGGCCCGGGAATGGGAAGACTCCTGATCGTTGCCATTGCTCGATGGCAGCCTCGATCTCCGGAGTCCACATAAGGTCAGGCTTATCCGGGCTCGCGGCCCTCTCATCGGGGAGCGGCGAATCATTGTACGGGCACCGAACCTTGTGCTTCGTGCAGTTGCGGCTAGGGAGATGTCAGCAAACCGGACATGACAAATCCGAGATGTGTGGGCTGCCACGTACCATTGGGGGAAGTTCTCGTCACATCGGATGTGTCGACGTTTGCTACAGATGCAAGTCAGTCACTGATACGTCTGGCCACTCGTTACGGGTCTTGCGTACCAATTCTCGCAGCCCTTGCGCGACTTGGTGTGACTGAAAGTAACAATCAGCATGCTGGACCTGGACACATGTGGCACGTTGGTACAAACCTGCGTCGTGGGGGACCACCACCTGGGCCAGCCATTGGAACAGCTGTAGAATAAAGTTGAACGAATGAACTGAAACATTACACATCAGTATATTGAGTCTTGTGCGCCTCGAGGGTCCGACAGGCGACTCGGGGCTTCCTTGCGGAGTACGAGGCGAGCTCATGGAACGACTTACATAAATCAAGGCACGAGAGAGCTTCGTGCCGGGCGGAAGCGAGCGACTAGTTTGTTTGGAGCGGGTTCTTGTTGCAGATGTTCCCAGACGGAAGGTAGATGTGGGAGGCGGATGACCTCCTCCTCGGCTATGTTTTGATAGTACTGGGCGAGAGTAGCGGTTGCGTCCAATGTTATTGAAACATAGGTCGATTGTGGTGTAGCGTCCCCTGCTGGTCGGCTGTTGCTTGTTGAGGGTGCCGAGAGCTTATTAGCAAGGTCGGCGGGGTAGACACAATATAGTTGATGGCGTCGTCGGTAATTCTGTTCTTTTTCTCTTGCTGGATGTTCCCCTTCCAGGTGTTTAAGCGATTGAATATCTCTCTGGAAACTCGAGCACAGGTCAACGAAGGTGGGTTGGGACTCTATATAGAGTGCGATGTCATTAGGCTATCAGCAACTGGTGTTCTTGGAAGTCGTGGACTATGCAGCGGCTTTATGTTCCTGGGGGTGATCTGGGGAGGTATTGATGATGAAGACAATGCGGGCGAGTCGGGACACGGTGGATGACGAGTACTTTCGAATACAAATCTCCAAAACACAAAAAAATAGAAAAAGCGAATGACAGGAGTCAACGAGGACTTCCTAAGGTGAGGTAAAGCGAGTGTTGGGGTGAGGGCGGTGGTGCAGCTGTGGCGCCGAGATGGATGGGGATGATGAATGGGACTAAATAAAGGTTGGAGAAAATCAATGGGGGACCAGAGGGTGTTAAATAAAACGGGCAAAAGACTTGGGGAAGCGGTAGCCAGTGGGCGGTGGTACTGGTCGCGCAAGCGGGCTGGCTGGCTGGCTTGGCTGGCGGTGCAGTCATTGTGCCTGCGACAGGCCGACTTTCCGCAGGGGGAGAAAAGGAAGGCCATGGGCGTGGCATGGCATGGCAGAGGGGGGTGGCCATGTGGAGCGTGTGAGCCAGCCCAGCAAGTCCCCATCCGTGGCCTGTAGGCTGTGACTGGGCTGCCTGGGTCAGCGTGACAGAGACAACCAGTGACAAGAGAATAGGTACGGTCCACGGAGTACGGCACCGTTACGTCCAGAAGTGTGGACTACTGACTACCTACTCTTTGCACGTAAAGGTTAGCAGCCAGGTATAGCAGATCCCGACTGCAGCATTGTGGATGACGCTTTATTCACTTAAGGGAAGAGACAGGGGGTCACACCAGCGGGGCGAGGGAGGAAGAGGGTTGCATACCTCCGTGCAGAAGTCAGGCGGCGGCGGCCAAGGGAGCCCGGCTGCTTGGGAGTCTGTGTGTCTGTGTCCATGCTATGCATATTCAACCCTGTAGCTATAAATGACAACAGCACTGTGGACATGGAAATGCCGTTGTGTCTGTCTCCAGCCAGTGGAGTCGAGAGCTAGCACCAGATCACCAGCGGCAGGTGTTATCGGTATGGTGGTGTGGTGTGGTCGTGAGAGCACGTCCATGATGGTCATTGGTGATGATGGTCATGATGCTGCTGGTGATCTCGAGACCCTTGCCCTATGGCAGAAGGGCAGAAGGGATAAGAGGAGCTAAAGGGCACACTTGTGACTTTAATCCTTCCAAGTTCCTGGGCTGCCTGGCTGCCTGGGCCGGGGACAACAGAGGCGGAGTCACTGGCTCGGCCCCATCGGATTGGAACCACTGGATCCTCTGTCCAGTGTCAACGAGCAAGCAGCAAGATGGAGTGACGATTACTGTAGTCGCATGCAACCATGGTGCATGGTGTACATGGGATAAGCGCATTCATGAGCGTTGGTAATGAGGTATCTGTGCGCCAAAAAACCATGGAGCTGTGTGTGCATCTCTCATGCATGACACTGTATAATTGTATGCAATGTAGGGGACGGTGCTGTGTGTCCGGTCTGCCATTGTCGCATCGGCAACTCCACTGGCGCCGGAGGCGAAGATCACTACAATTCGGACCCTTTAAGCGGCGTCTAAACTGGGTTTCTTTAGCCGTAGCGCTGTCATGTCTATCACGTTACGTCGCGAACTGCCGAGGGGCGAGGCAGCAGGACTGTTGACATCAGTGTCAGCGCAGAGGGGCTGTGAAGTAAGTCACTGAAGTGGCCGGATCCGCCTGGGCTGGGAAGTCAGGAAGTCGGGCACAAGAGCAGAGATCTTGTCATGCCACGGGCGTCCAGTAGAGTCGAGAATCGCCATGGTCATCTTGCAGGTGATGACGGCCTCGTGGCTCAGGTATAAGCAGTCGACTTGGTACGGCAATAGTGTGTATGCAATTGTCCCTATGATATGCCAGTATGCCACCACTTGGCTGGCACCCCAGTTGCAAGGCATGGGCCATGTGTTGTAACTTGTGTGGCTGGCATGCATCAACCTGCAGGCAGCGGCCAACGTAACGCGATTCATCCAGCAAGCGGTCTGAAGCCCAGCCACGCCCAGAACCATGACTTGTCAATCGTGCTGCGATGGATTCATTGTATCGTGCATTTCGGCCGCAGGCGTGCATCAGATCTTCCCAAACTGGGTCCCCAGCATGCAAAGGTCCATATTCGAGGATAAAGAAGCATCGTCCCCAGACATGAGGATGCTCACCGCACTGCTGGGCTTTGTTGTTGCGTCGATAGCTTCATCTCTGTGAGACCAATGATGTTCAGTGATCTGCCCGGGACGTCCTGCTTCGACTGATGAATCACAGTGATATGTGCGGGTGTACCGCCGTGTGGCTAAGGTATCGCAATGGAGACTCGGGCGAGCCGGCGTGAAGTATGCCGTTCTTCTAGTGCCGTCACCTGACGAGAGCTGAGCTCATCAAACTCTAACGGACAGACAGCATCATGATGATGCATTGGTGAGGACCTAGTCGGAGCTTGTAGGTATGAAGCCAATGGACAGACCAAGGGTTTCAGGTGGCAGTGACGTGAAGCAACTACCAGGTCAAGGTCCTATGCATGCCGTGATAGGAAGGCAGGCAAACCCTGTCCACAGTCCGGTAGAGAGTAACGGGTAGCAAATGAAATAAAAGAAGAAGCCATCTCGAGCTGTTCTTACCATTCTCACCAGAGCCGGCCAGATTCGATGACTGTCTGACAGAGTACCGCACTAACTAGTATACTCCGGCCACTGGAGGCGTAGACGAAGAAAACGATTGTCGCCAGCTTGACTCTTGAGGGCAGCTAGGTAGTTCCAGATCTTGGCGGCACGTCTAAAAATAGCTACCTATCACGGAGGTTTGTAGCGAGCAAAGACCGTCCCCCGTTTATCGCATGTACCCGATGCATACTGGCGACCCGGGAGTCGGGAAAGCCGGACGACGACGTCAACGGAGATGAAAGCGTATCTCAACACTCGTCGTCGGGACAAGGTTAGGCATCGCATAGGTGAGTTGTGCCCGTCGTTGGACTTCCATGTTACCTCGGTAGTATATAAAAAAAGCTGGGAGTAGGGGAAGCTTGGCAACTTTGTCGGGCTTTACTCCGATGAATCTTAGCGCATATTATGACATAGGTAGGCCTGTAGAAATTCTCACCACGTCACTCGAAAAATGTCCCTTTCCCGGGGCAAGCTGGAAGGTGGAAGGTGGAAACTGCAGGTGGAAACCGAATGGTTGGACCCTTCGTTCCATCCCGAGGTCTGCTCCATATCCACAAGCTGCAGGTAACAGCGGAGCGTCGGGTGGTCCCTGTATCCAAAACATCGAATATTTGAAATGCCCCTTGAATGTTCTTCTAAGAACCTATCTTAAGCGAGCGGTTAGTCTATCTGATCCCACAATATTCAATGGAATTGTTGTTGAACAATGTCAAACACAAAGTTTTCACTCTCGCCAAGACAGCTAATAGCCATAGGGGTTCTCTGAGGAATGCCGGCTTCCGCAGGCCATGAGCGGGAATGCGAGATGAGCAGGTGGACCGTCAGAGCGAAGTCGCTCGACTTCGGTCATCCTTATCCGGCCACCGCGGAACGGCAGCAGCTAAAGTCGGTCCAATTAGGCCATTTTTGTTGTGAGATTCATGATAGATCTCGCGATATACTCCAGGATACCTACCTCCTCTACCCTGCACGCACGCACGCAGTACAACCCTAATGCGTGGGAGAAGAGCAAAATGAGGTATGCATGGCTTTGAACTTCGCGGTTGCACCTGTGTTCGGAATTATGCATTCGATAGGCAGGCTTGTCGCATCATATTCCCAGGGGACTTCCATTATCGCAGCTGCGTGCTGTTGGGAACCCTGCAGAAGGCGATCTGATCTCCAGGACCCCAGGTCGACTCCCTCGCTGTGGTTGGCTGAAACAGCAGTTTCTCGTGTCCCTTTTTGGCGTGCATTCGAAGTGGACCACAGATCCCATCGCATCCCAGGCATTGCAGGCAAGTCAGATAGACTCGCAGGGGAAGACTTGCCCTTTGCCTATCTGGGTGCTTGACGGGCAGTTCCAGCATGGGCCCCGGCTGTCTGGTCGAGGGGTCCCTGGCGCTTGTCCGCTTGACGTAGCGGTTTGTGGTAAAGAATGTGACTCTCGGTGAACGGTATCCGGGCTGCCAACCCTTTACGATCCGTCGAGTCGGATGTTTCTCATGTTGATTGATATGGGGAACAGCACAGCCTCGTTGAGGACGGACCCCAAATACCTAGCGTTTCAGGGGAACAATGCAGGCGACATCTGTTAGTCGGCATCCACCGCACGTCGTGAGTGCCCGACCTCATCGACCTCGTCGGCGCAGTCAAATCGTGTCGTGCGCCTTGGTCTACAAATCGTCAGAAAACATCTGCACACTTGCGCCGCAGAATGGTACGAAGCGTGATATACTACAACGGAGCTGATACCCTTATTGAAACTGCTCTGTTCATCCGAGGTCTATGACGGGGTTAGCAGTGACTGTCTCCGTGACCATGTCCGCTGTTGATATGGGATGGCTAACAAGCCATGACGACGCGAATCTGAATCTCAGCTTCATCTCGCGCGGTGCCTTGGGGTCGAATAACAACACTGCAATGCGAAACACGGTTGATGCCATGGCTGGCAGGTGGTCTTGCACTGTTGATCGAGAATAGGGGTCCTGCGGAAATACTCGCGCTGCGGTGGCTGTGCCAGTCACGGATGAGGTTCAAACGGACTCTGTGGTGTTTGGACCCGACTCACTGGAGTCTGGCGACCGAGATGAAGATAAGCATTGAGCATGAAGGACTCGAGCCCCCGCCCCCATCGTTCCGACGATAGTCCAGCGCACTTGTCCACATATCAGCACGATACCCGATATGCCCGACTCCCATGATGAGCCCCATGAACGATCGGTCAATGAGCAGCGGGCTTCAAGTCCGTTTTAGGGCACATCTTTCGAGCCGGCCGAGGACAGTGAAAGTCTATCCAGAGTCGACTTCATACTGTACGCTACTGTGTATATAGACTGTGCCTAGCCTCTATCCGTGTTAGTGCCTAGCACCGTCGATTGCATCAAGCAGTAGACACACAAGCCCTTACTGAATCAGTCTAGCTTGTTTCTATTTCTGACATGAATCGCCCTTGCCTCCGGACCGGCATCCATGTCTAACACTGTCTTACACTGTCTTACACTGTCTCTTTTGAGGTTTCCGTACTCATTCTGCCAATTACCACGTCAAGACACAAAATTATGGACGACAAGCTTTTACATGCCCCATCTGCCTCAATACTTGCCGTTTTCGGAGCTATAAGGCTGCGAACTGCGCTTCAGCCTTCAAGAATCAAGCTGCGATTAGCGCCGTAGACTAGGCGTGGCGCCTGTCGGGTGTCGGGTGTCGGCTGGCACTGGGGTGTCTTGCTCTTCACCGCAACCTGGATCCAGTATCCCTATCGCCAATACAACGTTCCATGGTCTTCAACGCTTCGCCTTAACCCGTCACCCCAGCGGCCAACCCAACCTGCGCGAAACGCACGTACCGTCCCAGCCATTCCAACCGCCCGAGCGACTCCCTGCAATACTCGTCTATCTGTCCAATATCGCAGATCATCAAATCCTGGAGGATAATTAGTAGGACGGCGGTACTTTTCAGTTGACTCTGACATTTGCGCCTCTCCCCACTACTCCCACCCCAATTTCACTTGCCCTAATAAAGACAACAACTATACCGCATGAATTAAGCTTCGTCTGCGCCACGCTGAGCTCAGAGCTGCCGGCAACTACAGGTTCTCACCTTTGGTTTGGAGGAGACGTCTGTCTACTTGCTTGTATGTAGCATTCTCCACCGTGGGCAACAACACCCAGATGGATCTTCGGTTCAGACTTCATCTCCCCGGCAGAGCTAATGTGTCAACTAGCACCGTTACAAGGCCGTTATCAATCAGACAGACCTTTTGTCTCATACCCCCCGGTGCCCAATATAGTGCGCATATGGATTTCAGCATGTGGTATACCAGCATGCACATCGCACCAAGAAGACCTGGCTTGGCTGTTACTGTATCGTCATCTATCTCAAGCCCCCTTCTGCTACGTATCGTGGGTAACAGCCACCATCTCCATCAGTCTGGTAGATTCTGCTGGCTGCCGTCAATAACAAATCACAGGAACACCTGAGGAAGCGGTGAGGGGATTACCTACGGCCTTGGGTGTTCATGAGGTGCATCCTCTGCGTATAGACGGGTAAGTCAGCTAATGCGCCGATAGTTCGTGGCTGCTTGCATGGCACGACACGGCGTTGCATGCTGCATTTGGGCAATATGCGGGTTCCCAATGGGTTCCCATGTAAGGGTCCTCTACTCGGGTATGCAGTGCAATCCAGTCGTTCCTTTCTCCCTCATCCCCCCAGCGGTGTGAAGCCGGCGGGGTTGATGAGAGAGGCCTGTCTACCTACCTACATACATACCAACCTGCCTCGAAGTCTGGTCTGGGTGGCTGGCTCCATCACATCGCTGTCAAGCTCCAACCTCCGAAACCTCCCAATCGGAGGCCACTGACCAACTTCACTGTGGCTTGGAGGACGGGCTTAGCAAGCGCCGTTCGCCAAAGCGAACAGACGATGTGACGAGCGGCTCTATTAGTGGACAAGGCTTGCTTGGAAGCCATGGAACAACTGAGAAAACGACTAGAAACTACCGTGGAATGCAGCTCCCCATGACGACAGTGATGCGTGCAGCCGATTTGCCGGGGACGAAGCGGGACCTTCGGCGTACTTACCCTATATTTAGACATGATTCTAACCCCAATGGGCTCGACACCCCGAGAACCTCGCAGCCATCATCCATGTGAGTCGTGACTCCCCACCGCGGACCATGACGGCATTTCCAGATTTCCATCTCCAGAAGTCCTGGGCCAACTTCGGGCGTTGGCTAGGTATTCGACATCCATAAACCCCATTTTATAGAGTCCGCCCCGACTACCGGCATCACCAGATTCTCTAGCGGACCCGGGCCCTCCTCTGCCGAGGTAAAATTCGGGCTCACTTCCGACCAAGCGAGAAACCTGGCTTCAACTCGACTACAGTCCGGCTTCCCTTGTCGGCGCGGGTGCTAGCCGTTGTTCAAGGGGAGAGCATCCACTCGTTTGATCCAGGGGAGCGGAACACGGTGGTGGTCGCGGAAGACGCGGAATGCCACGATGCAGCTGACATGCCGTACGAGGCGATGGCTAGTTTTCTTCACGTTGAACATTCCGCGATTGGCTCTAGGACAGAGCGACGGCTCGTGCAAGTAATAACTGATTCAGGAGGTCAACAGCCTATCGCTCAACATACTGTGAGCCGGCGGCCGATCTGGAAGCGGGTTGATGCCGACAAGCCTGCCACCGATTGCTCTTGCTGCTGCATCACCCCTTTTGTGCCTTGTTCATGTTGTATTGCCCAGAGTATTTGTGTACCCGACGTAACAGCACTGCCACAACTCTGCTCAAGGCAAGCTGAAAGCGAGCGTCCTGCAGGCAAGCAGTTCGAGTTGGACCTCATACTCTCGTCGCGGTACAACTTGGTCGCAGACCGTACCGCCGGTATCATCTCTGGGTACTGCATACTACGAGCAAGTGTGCGCATGCAATTCGGCGACTCTGTGTTGCGTCACGGGGACCTTCCTGCTTACCGCCTCGTCACCAATAAGCCAACCTAGTCGTCAGATCTATAAGCGAAAATCGCCGCAAAAGTTCCCAATGTATCTCACCGCATCCCACACCGCGGTCAGACACGCCAGGACTCCTGTGCAACGATCCATCCAGTGGCGCGCCACGCAGGCAACGGGCTCCTTCCCTCGTTGCACCATGACTCCGGTCTTTACCGCTCGCTTCATATGGCCGGGAGAGGCTCTGCGCTCACCCAGTAATAACGCCACGCCGCTTATGAACCACCTCGGCGGTGTCCAATGGCGCGCTTCATGATAGCCTATCTAGACGCGCCTCGTCGGCTGTTCTCCGGATATGCTTCGCGAATCCTGAGCACTAGACGTGATGCGTTGCTCTGCGGCGCGAACTGCGCTGTGCTGTGCTCGCACATAGGCCATGCTGACGAAGCGAACACATGGTATGTTCTTCACAGCAAAGGAATCACAGCCATTGATCTCACTCACTCAAATTACATGAACACGTATACTCACCAATCATCTTAGTTCTGGACGTCTACAGTTGCATTGGTATACTCTGTCTCCTCCCATTGTGACAGGGTAGACTCAGACGCCAACAGGCGGGCGACGATGCTGACATCCCGCCGCTTTCGTGGCGTCCATCTCGGCCTCGTTCCCAAAATTATTCAAGCCTGGAGCATTACGAATAAGACTCCCGTCAGAACCCTGTCGCCTTCGACTGCGTGTCTGCCGGCTGCTCGTGCGGCTTCGGACGTTCAGCACCATGTGGAAATGCATCGATATCGACCCTACTCTATGAATGGAGGGTCCTCTTCGAAATTGGTAATGCATCGCAATATAGAGCGCTGATCAGGGGTAGAATCGCATGATAACCCTCCAAGGGGTTAGTCGGCACCCATCGACACCGTGCGGCTGTCAGCCCCAGTGACAAACGCATGAAGTTTCTGATTCCTGTCCAGCAGGGGATCATCGTCATCTCCGAGAGTTTATACAACGAGATAGATAGCCATTCGAAGTATGAAACGGCTAGTTCGTGACTGACTGAGCCTCCGAGGCGCTACGGTAGGGCCGCGGATCAGGAGAGTCGATTCTGTCTTTCCTCCTGACCCATTCTCCCTGCCTGAAGAAGCCTGCAACGAAGTCGTCTTCATCGAGCCCCAGCACCTGATGCGTCCTCCAACGCTATTGTTGTCGATTTCCAGGCGTCTATTTGTGTCCTTGTTGCCGTGAACCTAGAGGGAAGGTGTACCCTCCTGGGCAGAAGGATTCAGCAATAGGGCTGACTCAGGGTCACGACCGGCGTCGTTCGCATGAGATAACCGTATGCGGCCAACGATCAAGCTTGCGCCTCGCCGTTCCCGCCGATGAAGTACCGGTCTTACATCCCCAGATACTCATCAACGACAGGCTAGCAGGCAGGTAAGCAGCAGCCACGATCCTCAGATCCCATGAAAAGATTCACTATGAACCTGTGTATGAGATGGGCTGGATCGGGGGATGGGTAAGTAAGCGCAAGGGCCCGACCAACTGGCTCACAAGGACCCTGGCTCGCGGGAGGATGACTAACTTTCCCGAAGGAGTATCATTTCTCGAGAAGGCCTTGGCGTCTGGTGGATGATCTGTGTTGACGTGGCAACGGCATTTGGCATCTGCGATTCCCGCCTTTTGGTTGCGGCATGTCATTGGTGGTTTTGTCGTCGACGACCCTTGCAAGGGGGAGCGAAAAAGTGGACGTTAGCGAGATGCAGCTGAGAGGCAGTTATCCAAGATACCTAGGAGCTGACAACTTCAAGGCAAGCCACCCCTTTCCTAACAAGGCGGGAACAGTAACGCACGTAGGCACCTGCATGCATGCGGCGCTGAGCGCGGCCCTGCCGATCCAATGCTCGCCCGGTAGCGAATCTGGACGAACCCCCCCCCCCCCCCTCTTTCCGAGCGGGCCGCAGCGGACATCGCAAATGTTACGTGACCTGACCTCGACCATGTTTTCTTACTTCACCAGCACAGCCATCGTCGCGTCATGCTCGCGAGTCCTATTGCCGTCATCTCCCGAGCACTGAACAGACACGTTGATCGATAGCCGTCCGTAACTGCTGATCTTGCTGCTGATCCTTCATCTGGGGAACCATTACCTCACGTTTGCGCGCAGCGGACGTCGCCGCAGCAAATCAGTACCAGGAGCGTGGCTTTGGGTAATCGGCGGTCTGCTAGACGTAACGTTGACAACCGGCGACAGTTTCTATCAGCTGAGCAATAACGTTATCCGCTGTCGTTCTGCAGTTGCTGGATGTTTCGCCGCCAATCGCAGTCCCCCCGGAAGCATCACCGTCTCCACGAAGCCGGTCTATGGCTTGCCTGGAAATACGCTACAATACGGTAAAGCATATAACTGCCTAAGCGAGTTTCAAGGCCTCCAATGGCAATATGGTGGGCTCGCCGCTCGCCACTGGCTTGAATTGTCTGATGATCGATGCATTGTAGGGGCCCGACATGGTCACTGCTTGCCCGTGAATGGAGCCGCGGACAGGCATGTCATGAAGATCGGGACGATGTCTGAAGCCAGGGCAGTCGACACGATCTCGACATCGTGCTCGTACATGGGCCGAACAGTACCATGTGTTGGATATCAGGGGCTCTTGAACGAAGACGCGGCCATGACCGGGCAGTTTCATTCGCTCCTGTACGTATACGGTATGCGCGTAGTCCTACAGCCCCTGATATCGAAGCCTCTGAGCACTGAGGTAAGCCCCTCAAGAAAGCATCAGGCCACGTCCGCCGGCCCAGGACGGCTATTCTACTCCATAACTCTGATTGAGTGCTGTTCGTGTTACCATAGAAGAGCAGCATCACCTTGCTGTATCTCGCCCGGCCTCTTCACTGGCGAGACATAGATCTCGATGCCAACGCACGTCGCTTGAAGCTTGGATACGAAGCGTTCTCTAAGAATATCATGTCAGACATCAAAAGTTTCTGATTCGAAGTGTCACGATTTATCGCGTACTCAGTTTACTCGTCTCGTCTATCTACAGGCTCGTTTCCGCCGTCGCCGTCCCCCAGTGAGTTTGAGGTATCACGAGGAGATCGTCCACTATCCCGGGATATTCTCTGCCCACCGAGCCATCTCCTACTACCAGTCCGCAACGGCACCTCAGGACCAAGCCTGCTGTGAGGACGGCGCCTTGGTGGCTTGGAACTTTTTCGCTCGGGCTGCCTTGGCAAACGTGATCTCTGCGACCCACGGGTCTTCTTCACTCTGTCCTTTCGCTTGAGGGAAGGTTTTGGCTGGTCGAGGCCCGAGAGTCTGAGAAGGGTGTTCTCGCGGTGCTTCTTCACGGCAATGAGCTCTGTTCCTGGAGCCTGATGACTTGGTCCGCCATTGCTGCTCCCGCGGTTGTCTTTGGATCCCCAATTCACCGGGCGGAATGGGATATCCGTCTCAGGTTTGAACTCATACACCCGCTCCCGGTATGCACGGTAAGGGGCGGCATTGTTTAGGGGTCTTCGATGTATTTCAGGCTTTGTCTGGGTGCCATGTTCCATGCTAGGCAAGAAGCTGTTCACGAGCTTTCTAGTGGGCGGCGGTGGCTTGTAGGCACTTTGAAAGGTGAAAGGCGGCAAGTATGATTCCGTTTGTTCAGTAGGTCCATTGCCACCACTGAAACTCCGGCTTCTGCGCTGCTCAAGCACTTCGGAGGGCTTTTGCGACACCGCGAAGTAGCTGCTCCGCCTCTGTGTCTCGGGCTGCCCATTCAAGCCCGTCCCCGGCTGCCAGTATGGGGAAACATCGAGCGATCTGTCCGACAGGTGCTTGGTACAAGCCTCGCCCCCTGAAACGTTCCGACACATGTCGCAGTTGTCTTCACACCCGAGAGGGTGCGGTGTCTGGCCAAAGACATTGAAATCCTCGAAGATATCTTTCACATTGGGATGAAGGGTAAACTGAGCGAATTTGTCCCGTTTAGAGATTTCAGGTAACGCTTCTTTGATTCCGAGACTGTGCCACACTCTCACGAGCTTGCCGATAAACGATTGGGATTGCTGGTTGGGAAGGTCCATTTCTTGGAAAGTTGTTGCGCCACTGGCGCGCTTTCCGGGTGACTGCTGTTCCCACGAGAACTTCCTAGTCAGCTGTTGTCTCTGGGCAGTCGGACTACCGCCGTCTCCGGCTGTGAAATTTCTCGGATGAGGTGGCGGATCCTGAAGTTCCTGTACATTGTCAGTTCTGGATGCTTAGTTACGCCCACCATGCCAATGGTCAAATGGGTGGAAGGTTCAATCTTGTATTGTTCTGCCAGTGTTACGTACGTGTCTAGTTGGGACCTGCTCGCTCTCTATCTCATCTTGTTCGCTGGCCTGTTCTTGACTAGTCTCACCATCTGCCTCCATTATAGCTGGTAAGTTGGACGCCACGGAGGAGTGCCTAGAATGCGGGCTTCGCGGGAGTCGTGGATGAAGAAGCTGAGATGAGGAACAAGCTGGATCGTGATACATAGATCTGTTTGGGTAACCACCGTTGACGTAGGGATGGATCACTGAAGCGATGGAGTGACCACCTATCCGATTGCCGTGTGGACTCGCTGGAGCAGGCGGGTTCATAGTCCCATTCGTTCCTCCTAGTCCATCTCGTCCTGTGGCTCGATGAGATGGTAACTTACCACGGTCCAGCCTCACTTCTCCGTGACGCTCATCTCTTGGACCATGAGGACGCCCGGGAACATAAGTGTTTACTGGCACTTGAGGTGCTTGTGATTGGTCCTGATTGCTGATACCAAGGCCTGTTGAGGGGGTGACCCGTGGTTGAGCGGTTTCACTGCTAGGCACAGTCTCTGGATGCTGCGTGAATTGCTGACCGCCTGCTCTCCGTTGCGGATTCCCCGGGTGGGGTGGCAAGTCATATCCCTGCCCCCTTGCACGAGTCGGAAGTTGCGAATTTGATCCCTATATGCTGTTAGCAGGCGTTCACTCACGTTACATCTGCTCTTACTTGTTGATAGCGCTTCGGCGCCCTAGAAGAGCTTCCCTTTGGGATATCACCAGCTTTCGTTGGGGTTGAAGCCGCTGCTGGACCGCGCCGGCGGTGAGCAACACTCCTCATCGGTATACCATCAGGAGGAGACAACATTGGATCTGTTGAAGAGTGTCGATGAGGGCCTTGCCGGTTTACTGAAGGATCGAGTGTTCGTCGTGTTACTGGAGTCCCCCCATGTTGCGGCCTGTGACGTTCCGAAGACAACGAGGGTGGCTGGCCCCATTCGGGTAGGTTCGGTGGTCCGCCCTGGTGCCCAGAGAGTTCTGCCGGCGAGGGTGTCTCAAGCAATCTCGATTGTCTTTCGAAATGTTCTGGAGTCATAACTGTCCCTCCAAGCCTGTCATCCGAGTTATGGTGCGTCTCTCCACCTGTCCCTGTGGCCCCTTGCTTATCTGGAGAATCGTGAGGCCCTGCTCTCCTCACCGATTTCCTGGCAAGATTTTCAGACTTGGTTTTAGCACTGTTCCTGGTGAGACGGTCACGGAATGCCTCAATCTTTGAGATCCGGCTACCGGGCCGACTTCTGAGACGACTGGAAGGATAGTGCTTCTGTTTATATAGATATAAACAGCCGATACAGAACAAGCCGAACAAGGCGGCAAGTAGACCTGCGACGACGATGGTTGCCTGTTGAGGTACGGGACGGTTGAAGGTAAGAGTGGACACAAGGATAGCCCCAGCTGACAGGGCTACAAGGAAGATGAGGCAGAAGGGAATGACTTTGTAGGTGAAATCTTGTATTTGTCGTATCGTGTAGTTGGGCTTGGTGTTTTCCCACTCTCCCCTTTCGAGGTCGCCGCTGGGCGAGCCAGCTTGCGGTATCGACGCCATTGTTTGGAAGTGGTTTACTCGAGTAAAGAGACATTGGTTCACCGGTGTGCGGCATGGTGTATGGTATAGTTTTGGGACAAGCTATGGGAAAGAAATGTAAGTCCATGGTCGAACGGTTCTGCATGTTCTACTCAAATCTCGACGATGATTGTTGTCCGTGACCGGACAAAGACATCACAATCATGATCTCGAAGGGACAGCACTTGTATTCGAGCACTCCTTACAACCCGACAATTGAAACAAAGCACGATGCTGTAAGAGGCTTCTATGGTGTTCGTGCCTCTTCACCCGTCCTATGTGGAACCATGCCTAGAATCAGCGGAGTATCGAGATTGCGGTCGAATGGGGGCAACATCACGGTGACAATTCTTCCAGAAAGTGATAGACGAGACACAGATGGAAGCTCTGCTCCAAGAGCGATTCTTGAGATATCTCGATCCAAGGCCCCTCTTTTTGAAGGTGGTAGCTCGACCCGTGTGGCTTTCACAAGGTCTTGACTCGGAGAAGGGTAGCCGGTTTGTTTGCGCAGAGTAGCCTATCTGTGGTGGGGGTTGGGAATCGCCCAGATGTAAGTCCCAGAGGCGTTCGGGGCTATAATCAAGGCATCCAGCTTCAAACGTCTTGGTACGCTTTTTATTCCTTTGCTGAATTCAAACCCAGCAAATATGGCTGGCACCTGCGTGTATCCATCGCCACTCGCACAACCATCCTATCTGCTGGCTTGGCTCTGCCCAGTTCTGCCCAGAAAAGAAGGACGAAGCAGTGGCTGGTGGGTCGGACCCAGTGTCGGATGATGATGGAGCATGAACTGATGGGGGGCTTCGGCGTTCAAAACTTTACCGTAGATACTAGGCAGATGCGCTCCGAGTCCCCCGGCGTAGCGCGAAACCTAATTTGCTTGGAGGGAGGAAGCTAACGGATGCTGTTGACCGAAATGGTAGGACTTCCATGTCGCTGTCTCTTCCAGTTGCATATCCCCCATCCGGCCCCTCGGGACAGCAGACTGCACTGTCACTGGCTAGAGAGAATCAGGTGCCACCATTGCAGTAGCATGGCAGACAATGTCAGAAATACCCCTAGCAGTGAGGACAGCCGTCTTCGCCGTGGCGAGTCTGTGAATCCTCGGACTCAATGGGTTCCTTGGAGCAGGGGAATGCAGGAGGGTTGGTCCTTGCAGATAGATACCCCATGAGGAAACAGGAACAGCGAAGCTACATAGGGAAAGGGGCAAAGGGCACCGGCGACCATCCTTCCATGGGAGGGAGGGAACGGTACCGGAGGAGCGGGTGAACCATTAAACTTTGAAGAAGAGAGAGGCTCTTAATGTAGGATGATCCTTGCACCAGTTAGCCTGCCTTGCGCCAATAGGAAGTTCCGAAGTTGATGAAGACGACCGTTATCATGGATGATGGGGGTATCGAGCTCATGACTTTCTCGACGGTTGAACCAAGCGCATCCATCGCGACGACTACCAACAGCCAGGCAGCACTGACGCTGTGTAAGTACGGATGCTGCCGCTCCTGGTGCGACACTCGGCGGCCACGCAGATAGTATAGTAGGTGGTAGATAGTAGATAGTCGTTTTTCACAGCGGCCGTACTGCACTAGGTCACCGTGCGGGCGCTCAGGTGCTCTAGATGCCAAGGCAAAAGCAGGATATATAGCGTATCGTAATCTTCCGGTGAATTAAGGCAGACGCCAAGCCGGTCCAGTCCTTGTTCTCCAGATGAAACTTAAAGATCGTGGGAGTGGCGTGCTGCTAAGCATCTAGTCTGTTGCCGCTAGGTCGTGCGTATGAGGATATGCCAGGTCCGGGTCAGCGGGTTCGACTATGACGCGGCATGTCCTTGCAGATCCAGACTGCCATAGACCTTGCTGTCGTAAGTAGTGTCTGCGCTAGATGGATAGGCATTCGACCGTAAGGGTTTTTTTAGCAATGGGTTCACGCAGAGATCAGAACCGTGTGATTTTATAGTACTTGCAGTTGCAGTCTCGGTTGAGGCTTGCTTCTCCCTCCTTTGACTTCGAGATCACATTATGCCAGGCAGTGCCACTGTCTTCCAATTGCCACAACTCTGCCGTCAGCATGGCCGAGTTTGAGAGCACTGGGCCTTTGATGACAGCCAGTCTCTGGCCCATCACCTTCATTTGCGCTGTTTTCCTCGGCCTGAGGTTGTATACCAAGTTGCGGTTCCGCGGCCGCTTGTGGTGGGATGACTACATCCTACTGTTCTCATGGGTATGTGTCACTTGCTCCAAGCTTTTGTTCCTCTCGGCAAAGTAGCTGATCGCGGGTGTCGAAGATATGCCTTCTGATAGAGGTATCAATGATACAAAGAGCAATATCGTTCGGGTTCGGCATGCACATGGTCGACCTGGCAGCCACGAAGTCGCGAAGCGACATCATCAGATTCGCAATTTACGTGCGGATCGGTTTGAGCTTCGCGATTCTATCGATCAATTTCAGCAGAGTCAGCTTCGCGGTGACTATGTTGATGCTTACGACCGGCTGGTGGAAATCCTTCGTGTGGCTCGCAATCATATCGTTGATAATGATGATGATACCGGCACTTGTGCTTCCTTGGGCCTATTGCCAACCGCTAGAGAAGGCTTTCGACCACTCGGTCCCGGGGACATGCGTATTCTCCACGTCGGTCAACGTCTCCTATGGTACATTCGAAGCGGGTTGGTCGTGCCTATCCACAGATCAGCGACCACTTACTAAACTTACATTTTGCAGGGCTTTCTGCCTTCTTCGACTTTGCACTGGCCATGTTGCCATGGAAGGTCATCTGGGGGCTGCAGGTGAGTACAATCATAGACGTTCTCAATCAAGGTAGGACTGGTGTACTAACCTGACTTGCAGATGCTCCGAGCTGAGAAAATTGGTCTGGGAATGGCCATGAGCTTGGGTATTTTGTACGTCTCTCTCCGTTACAGTTCGCGCGGAAACTGACTGGGTGAGCAGCTCCGGGGCGATCACGATCATCAGGGCGATCTCCATCGTCCGAATGGCGAATCATGATTTATCATGTATGTTCGACAAGCCAGTCAGAACCCTCGTTGCTCGATCTAACCGGTTTCCTGCAGACTACGGAGCTTACGTGACAATATGGAATACGACAGAACCAGCATGCGCCATCATCGCCGCGTCGATCCCCATTCTCCGCGTCTTCGTCCAGGAGAAGAACTCCAGTTATCATCCCGAAAACCAAGGTTATCCCCTTTCGACTGTTGGCGGGACAGCGAATGTGATATCTTTGAGACCCATCGAGGATAGGAAACGAACAGACAGCCAGACGTGGATAACGTCACATGCAGACGACGAGAGCGACAAGATCAACCTACGTGAAAACGCAGCTCCATCGGGATATGAAATCGTCCAGACGAACACCTTCACGATCGAATATGTAGACGAGAACCGCTCACATAATGGTCGTTGATGGTGGTTGGAAAGGTCGGAGATAATTGCCGGCCCCCAGGCAACCGGCCAAGAGTCTAGACAACTAGTCAGACAGCCTGGAGATAGTTGTATTGTAATAAATACATGCGCTTTCAGGTGTACACACGAAGTAAAACATTCATGCAAGGCGCAAGCCAGGTCATCAGCGATTCGGCGTCTGCCTGAGCTTCAAAGCCGTTTGATCGGAGTCGGGATTCTGGGGGCAGTTTGCAAACATGATGCCCTAGGATATTCAGTCCCGTCGAGGGGGCGGCCCTGATCGATTCGAATGGCTCTGGATGACTCCAAATTGACTTCAGTAGAACGCGTCTGGTAGACGACGTGGGAAAAAAAGAAGGGTTGATGTCAGAAGAGCCTTTCTCTTCAAAGTTTCCGTTCGATAGTGCTATGTGGGTCAGCATGTGGCGCACCGCATCGTAAAGTCTCAGCCTCAGCCTCAGCCACAGCCGACAGCGGCTTGTGTCATTGAGGCGGCAGTGGGATATCGTCGGCAGCTTGAGGTCAGTTAAGGTTGTGGTCCTCAACAACCCGCCGTCATCAAGTCCATTCAAACCCATTACACTCGCATTTCCTGACCGCGGATAGCCTCATTGACCTAAGACGTACCTAGTGAGAGCTTCCCCCGCGAATCCCACTGGTATATCTCAGTCACATGATTCTCGCTCCCATACGATTTCGGCTGCAATGTCTGCCCCAGGGACTGCGAGATGCTCTTGCCGTATGGCCAGGTACAGGTAGGCAGTCAGGATGTCAGGATCAAAATTGATGCGCTGGAGCTAAGAATCATACCAGGGAAAGCAGGAGAGCTTTTCTTTGGAATCGCCCTTGCCAATGGCGGACAAGAAGTCTCGCTACTATCACCAGTAGGCCAGCCGTCACAAGCTCACTGGGGTACCTCAAGTTCTCCTACAATGACACGGCCAAGGAAACCAAGCGGACCGCACTGTAAGTACCCAGGCTGGACAGTTCATCAGATTAGTGAATGTCGAAAGCCAGCCACCGATAGTAACAAGTACGAAGGCCAAATCTATGGCTCCGGTTAGTCATCCCTCAAGAATGAGATGAGCAGCATCATTGAACATTTCAAGGGACAACTGTCGCTGCGATACTTGCGTTCATCAGGACACGATGCAGAGGAACTTCAACACATTTGAAGTCGGTGTAGCCCAAGTCACTCATGATGCGCCATGCTAAAGTTTATACAGCTACCGCAGGATATTCAACCATCACATATTGCCACCAACGATGAGGGACTCACGATACAATGTAGGCTCCCCACCTTGTTGCTTTCGATGTGTACTCATCGTAGTAGGGTCAGAAAATCTACACAAGAGTTTCTATCCGTGGGACTTTCTTGAATCTTACTTGAAGTCTGACAAGCCAACGCCGGAAGCTGTTGAGTGAGTCCATCTGCGTATTCGCGCTACTGGATCCCATCTGACCCTTACAGCATCAACTTCTTCGGAGTAGACGGACATGAGAAGGCCGAAATGATGTATGAGAAAGTCCTGCAAGAGCCCAAGGCTATCGGACGTCTCACGGACCTGATCGTACGTTTAGCTGATGCTTCATTGTACTCTTGCTGATGATGAGGGTATAGAGACGCAATGGGTTTGCGTTCGTAACGGGCGTTCCAACCAGTTCCGCCAACGCCACGGAGAAGTTCCTCGAACAAATTGCTTTCATCCGACAAACTCATTACGGCGGCTTCTATGATTTCGTACCGGACCTTGCTCTTGCCGATACGGCCTATACGAACATAGCGCTAGGCGCACATACTGATACAACCTACTTCACCGATCCCGCCGGACTTCAGGCTTTTCATCTGCTTTCGCATGTGGATACCGCATCTGAGAGAGACTCGGGCGCTGGCTTAGGGGGTCAGTCCCTCCTCGTCGACGGCTTCTATGCAGCAAGCCTGTTGAAGTCGGAGGACCCAAAAGCTTTCGAGGTGCTCAGTCAAGTCAGACTCCCTTGGCATGCCAGTGGCAACAAGGGAATCACGATCTCCCCTGACAAGATGTATCCTGTGCTTGAGGTTGACGAAACCACGGGCAGGGTGCATCGACTCAGGTGGAACAACGATGATCGTGGTGTGGTTCCCTTTGGCAGTCTATACTCGCCCATGGAATGGTATGCTGCCGCAAGGAAATGGAATGAAATCTTGAGAAGAAAGTCCGTTGAGTACTGGTTTCAGCTGAAACCTGGCAATGTCTTGAGTAAGTGTGCAATGGATTCCCCTGGTGTGCATCTTAAAAAAATTGATCCCGGCTCACAGTCTTCGATAACTGGCGAGTTCTCCATGGCAGGAGCGCATTCACCGGAGTACGGAGAATGTGCGGAGGGTATAGTAAGTCCATCATTCTTGAGTTCATGTTCACAGCCGCCCCGAAACCGTAGTCCGTATGAGACAAGCACTGACTTTCCCAGTCAATCGCGATGACTTCGTCTCAAGATGGAGGAATACCAACTTCCCAAGGGCAGAGATACTGAAGCGAGTCATCGGTTAATTCTGCCGGGCATCGGCATAGCCGACCTGCGTAGCCACCGGCCTCTTTGTCAGTGTTTGGGACTGTCGACCTGAGTCAAACGGCTTACGGGACGGCATCGCGGCGCCCATGTAACAGGATTCCTCCCCCGGCCCCCCGTACTGCGGCTAACTATCCACATTAGACGGCTTGGCTGTCACGTGGCATCTGTCGATGGTCACATTTACCCCACCCCCGTGGAGGAGAAGAGGAGGAGAAGAGGATCAGCATGGGTAACGGGGAAACTGTATGCAAGTCCAATGTGGAAGTATATGCTCACCAATAGGACATAATGCGCATACTAAAATGCTCCATCTCCAAGACTCGCTTATCTCTGACCCCTCCTGCCCATCAGCTCAACCGCCAGCATGCATCCGCCGACCCCTTGATAGCCGCCCGAAGACAACAGTCTGCCCTTTTCCAAACCGCGTCAAGCGGGAAATCTTCCGCCTGGCTGCCAATACTGTCTATGATTGCCCTGGATGCAATGCTACTCGCGCTCCACTTGAACGTCGCCTTCCGGCCCGTTTGCATCTGGATCCATACGCATGTCGGCGATACTCGGTATACCAAACGAGGACCCTGCATATTCGGGGACACATCAATCTCATATAACATGTCTGAATGCTTCCAATTCTTCCGATGGTAAAGGCGTTTGCCCTGTTCTTATCCATTCGCCTGTCTCTCCTTCTCTCCGTGCCCCAGATAGAGGATCACCAGCGTCCCGTCTTTTTCTCCGTCGTCCTACTGTCCTGATACCCCAGTCGGTGCTCCTACCGCAACTGCCAAGATGGCAGACATGCAGGGCGGAAACTTCCGGCACGACAGCATGCCGGCGCCGAAAGGCGACCTGGTCATGCCGATGTTCTCGCTCAAGGGCAGGACTGCGATCGTGTCAGGCGCCGGAGCCGGCATTGGCCTCGCCATTGCGCATGCCTATGCCGAGGCGGGCGCGAATGTGGCCATCTGGTACAACAGCAACAAGAAGGCGCTCGATGAAGCCGCTAACATCGAGACCAAGTACGGCGTGAAGTGTAAGTCTGGTTCATCCGCGGCCCATCACTAATTAATTGTGCCCTATCCTACCCAGCAAGACTAACATTGTCGGTCTTCAGGCAAAGCGTACCAGGTCAACGTCGTATCCTACGACTCCGTCGAGGCCGCAGTCAACGAGATCGTGCAGGAGTTCAACGGGCGCCTGGACGTCTTCGTCGCGAACTCGGGCATCGCCTGGGAGGACGGCCCCTTCATCGACGCGTCGCTCGACACCATGCACAAGGTGTTCAAGGTCAACGTCGACGGCGTCTTCTACTGCGCGCGCGCCGCGGCCCTGCACTGGCGCCGCCAGACGCGCGAGGGCACCACCGTCGACGGCCGCCCGCTGGAGAACTACTCGTTCGGCAGCTTCATCGTCACGGCCAGCATGAGCGGGCACATCGCCAATATCCCGCAGATGCAGACGGTCTACAATGCGTCCAAGGCGGCTGTTATTCATGCTTGTGAGTTGCTTGCTCCTGTTGACCTCTCCTTCCCCATGATCTTTCTGTGGTAGACACGGCTGCCTGCAAGGGACATCAGCCAGCTCACACACAGCGCACAACAGGCAAATCCTTCGCCGTAGAATGGGCGGGCTTCGCGCGCGCCAACTCGGTATCGCCCGGGTACATCAATACGGAGATTGCCAACTTCATCCCCAAGGAGACCAAGGAACTCTTCAAGGGCAAGACGCCAATGGGGTGAGTACACACACCACCTCCAAAATTTCGTGCTGCAACTATTTGAGTCTACGTTATCTAACTATGCTATTCTAGTCGCCAGGGTGAGCCCGAGGAGCTCAAGGGCGCTTACCTGTACCTGGGGTCTGACGCCTCTTCGTACACGACTGGGATCGACATCGTTGTGGATGGGGGCTACTGTGCGCCCTGAGTTAGAGGGCGCTTGTGGGTTGGACTTGGGGGTTCGTTTGCTGGGGAAGGGACTTGTCGTACTGCATAGTGTTCTCACGCGAATTTACTCGGTGTTGCTACAGTTGGTAACTTGACTCTGTGTTGGTGATTTCTTCATATTTACTATAATAATGTGATAAGTCAAGCTCCTGTGCCGGGTCCACCCTTGACGAGCTTTTGCTGATACTGTACATCAGGATGGGGGTGGAAGGGTCAAGGGGCACACTTTCTCACTGGCAAGCGGTTGAAATGATCATTTGCACTAGAATAAGCAGCGGTTGGGTAGTTATTCCAGTCAATTGCCCCGGGAATACCTGCTTTTGCCAGGTGCTTATGCGAATCATTATTCCACAGCTTGACTGGTACGAGCAGTGCTGAATGGTGAAGAGAGGTGGTGGTGGCGGGCGAAAGTGCAAGAAGGCCTGACTTCTGGATCGTGTTACCTATATGGTCGTCAGCGAAGTGTCCTGTCGTTTCTGTCCTTCTTCAACTCCCTTTCTATGGTGGCAGATTCGTTTGACAAGGCTCGTCTGGTTAGGTAGTTTTGACAGGGCACTTTTGCGGAAGATACTTCCCTCTCCCTCAAGCGACCCCTATCAAGGACACCCCTTTTGACAATGAGAAGTCGACCTGTTCCGGGCCGTGGCGGGGATGTGCTTTTCCGTGGCGTAGAGCCGTCGCGACACCGACCGCATCAATAATGCCTGCCAATTTCCGGCGCTCCAGACAGGTTGCGCACTCCCCCAAGGGCAGCATCCAGCGAATGGGCGAGGAACGCCCACTTCTTCCTCATCATCGCCGCGTACTGGCTCTGATGCCTGCCCCGTGTGAGGAACCTCTTCCACTGCATCTTGGTGTAGTACAGCGAAATCGTGCGCCCCTCCTGATCGCCCACGAGCGGGATCTCGACAACGTTGTCGTTGGGCCGTAGCACGTGAGACTGGGCAAACGGCAGTCGAATATGGTCCTCCCACATTCTGCAGAGACACGATTTACGGCATTCGCTTAGCCGTATGTCGTAGAGGTAGATGGTGCGCAGTTGTGGGAACCTCTCCGCGAGCAGGCATTGCGCCGTCCACAGCTCCGGTCGCTCGGGGTTCGTGCGTTTCAGGGATGCGATGTACTTCCTTTGCAGTCTTTCGCGCGAGTTTTTATTATTATTATGCTCTTCGACCGCAAGGGGAAAACCAAGCGATATATATTTTTCTTCGGTTCTCCATCTCTTGAGAACGTTCAGGTCGCCGACGGGCGCCAACTCGGGACAGGCCAGATTCCTCAGCTGGGCCAGGTCGGCGCGCTCGAGGAAGTGGAGCGGCTGGAAGTGGCGCGGGAGGTCCAGGATGTCGAGGTCCATGTTGAAGAAGAAGCCGCGCTGGGAGACGTGCAAGGGCGCGAATTGCCCCGGTCCGTATGCGCGCAGGGTCTCGCGCGCGAATCGCCCCGATTGGTATGCGAGCAGGGTCGGGCTGCGTGACTCGCGGTTGACGTGGGCTGACACTGGTAAGCACGGTACTGGGCCGGTTTCCACCTTGGCGGCGACGTTCGACGATCCATTACAGTTCTTTTCACGAAGCGGAAGCTAATCATGCGCTTGTCCGAGCTCTGTCGCCAGATCATGTAGCGGATCTCTGGGGGGAACGAGGGGAAGAGATGGAATGTTTCTGACCTTTGGTTTTCGTGATAGGCTCCTGTGTTTTCGCGCGGCGCACGTGCCTCGTGTTCATCGGCAATACCGTTGTTGGACATGCCTGGGGACGTTGACTGTTCATATATGCTTCCGGAGTGGTACGACATGGTCTTTTCAGTTGGAATGCGATGCGGAATGATGGGAGGATATCGCAGTGAAATGGTGATGAAGACGAAGTGACGGTAGTTTGGGGAAGATTAGCAGGTTGAGAAGGAATGAGACTGGAGTAAAAGAAGAAGAAGCCTTGATATAGTGGATTTAAGCTTTTCCCGAAAAGCCACCAACTTGACTCATCGGCATCGTTGCAAACCTTGACGTATAATTCAGCCACCCGTGGTCGCGGCTTAATTCTTGTTTAGAGACGACGCTGCTGGTTGGTAACCCTCAGCACGAGTGTGTTGTGACAAGCCGTCTAACCTAAAAGGCTAAAGGGTTCTATAGGGTTTATATTCTAGGGTAAGTCAACACAAAGGATGATAGAGGCTTCTGTCAACTAGAAGACACTCAGATGCTGGGGCTTGGTCTGAACTGGGTTCACTGTGTAGTCGAGTCGTCAGGAGATTTCTCCCACCTTAGGGTTGGCTAAGATGCTTAGATTGATCACTGAGGTAGAGACTGTCTATCTGTCTAGCTAGGAAATGTATATCCTTATATATCCAATCTCTCCCTCATTGATGAGGCGTGCTCACTGTTGCTCGCGTGATCAGACGTGAGCAACCTTCCCTTACTCACCGTTGCTCGCGTGAGCAGACGTGAGCAACTCTAGTCACGTGATCCTGGCTCCCTGGATCACTGGATCACGTGCCTGGATGCCCTGCCCTATCTCGTGTTGTGCCCCCGTTCTGATTGGGTTCCTTTGTAGGTCATCCTTTTCCCTTTAGGCCTGCCAACGGGCCTGTGGTATTTGTTGGTTCGTAACATTATCCCTCTCCTCTTAGGTCTTCGCCCTTAAAGATAAATAGTGTGAGTTCCTGTCCATCTGCCTGTTTCTCCTTGTTCCCTCTGTCCTTCAGATTATTGTTGTTAACAACACCATGTCGGTAGAGTCACAAAGTTCCGCGCCTGTCCTCGCGATCTTGTCTCCTTGTCTGTCTGTCGCTCTGAACTTCTTGACGCCTTTGACGATTTCTTCTTTGAGGTCATGCCTTGTGCTCGCTACTTCAATTCGGATACGAAATAATAGAAGGTGTCCGGAAGTGCAAAGAGTGCACTCGCGTGGGTCGTCCCTGTGATGGGAGTGGCGTTCCTCTTGATTCTCTGCGGAGTGTCCGGTCAGAAAATCAACGACTGTTTCGTGAGGAAGAACTCGCTGAAGAGCGTTTTATTGCCCTCTACCATCATTATCAATAGGAGCAGCGTCGTCAGCAACAAGAAATAGCTGCATGTGGTCGCCAATCAGTATCGCGTGTTCGATGGACGGAAAAAGAGCAGTCAGGGTGTGGGCCTCAAGAACCTCAGCCGCTTCTTCGCACAGCATGACTTTGCAACGTAATCGTCGAAGGAGTTCAAAATCCAATGCTAGGCCAGTGGTTGTGACCCCGACGACTTCTGCTGCCTGTAGGCATTGGAGACTGATATCGCGCTGTACATTGTCGCGGTTCTGCTTGGCCGCCTCATAAGAACTGCACTCGAGCATGATATCAGTGATGAGCGGATCACGTATCTCATGTAGCCAGAACGAGTAGAGTCGCAGTCTCTCAGGATGCGTCATGTCCCAAAGGTTTGCCTTCACCAGATCCGCAACAGCACGAGTCCGGACAGACTCACCTGGCAGTCCACCAGATTGCCATTGGATCAGGAGTCTATCAGGACCGAGGCGAACTTTCTCCAACCCTACTCCGTGGTGGTGACCAAATAGAGCATCGTGATGTTGAGGGTGGCACGAAGAGAGATGATCCTGCAATCTCCTCAAGCTTTGACAGGAGACGAGATCCTGGACCGACATCATGATCGATGAAGCTTTCTCCTTGAGAGTCAATCTATTTTCCCGCCTGGACGATACTTCAAATCTGGTACGACCAGCAGTCCCGGCTACAAGACGAAGATTGACACCCTCGAGCTCCTCCGCCTGGGACTGCGAGCCAGTTCGGATGATGTTTACATCGTCGCGCTTCAAGTGCACAAACAGCTGGTCCAGTGCGTGATTGGTATGATAAGACACAAAGTATAGGCCCCAGGTTGGCCTTTCGTTTGTTTCCAAGTAGGGCCTTGATGATCATCTCGCCCGTGAAACCTTCACGATATTATGTCAGCGCTGCGTTCAATACACCGAACCCTCAAAAGTCCCCGGACACCCCGTAATCAAGGTCTTGAATATTCATGAATAATTGTGTGTATGTGGAACAATCACACTGGAATAAGCATAAAGCATGGCTTTATAAGATATAGTTGCTTATCCCATGGCGATTATCCCACTGTTCATGTCCGGCCAGGAAGAGAACCCTCGAGTTTCGCGAACGAAGACTTATGTGGGGTGACTGTGACGCGATAGAAGAAGGGGGAAAAACACTTACTTTTGCCAGTACCCGGGGGACCTTGTATCAAAGCCAGTTCTCTTGACAATGTGTTTAGGAGAGCTCTCGATTGAGTCACATCGAGAACCGAGTGCCTTGATAGTTCTGACGGATCGAGTGGCATTCGAGGGTGGTGTTGCAGGGCCGTACCATCAGTTGTGAGGCAACTCAAGTCGAAGCTGAACCCTGACATATGTGTGTAAAGAGGGGGCTTAACTGTGATAAGTCCCCCGTTTCTCTCCATTGAAGCGACGATGCCGGCGAGAGGGACATTAGACTCTTCGACATACGCTGAAGAGCCACGAGCGTAGGCAGAAATGATGGAACGAGGATAGCGGGGAACTCGACGAGAGTTAGTTGCTGCTCAGAACCGATATTCTGAAACCATCGAAGTGCTTGACGGATGTTGTCTGAGCGGACCTCAGCAAGATTTAGGTGGGCATAAGCGAACGAATCGTCAAAAGCCAGAGATGGCATTTTGGGGGTTTCTTCAACCTTCTTCTGATCCCCTACCTGCTCCCCCTTTGCGTTTCTCCTTCTCTTCGTGTATGACGATGGTGCTGTGCGCAACCAGGCAGAACGAGAAAGAGCCTTCCTCATCAACCATGCATACAAGATTTCCAGGCTGGAAGCGGTCGGGATTTGCCCACCAATCTTGACGTTCTTGGGTGGTCCTGTTGGATACAAGCTGTCTGAATCGAATGAGTAGATCCATACCCCGATTCTCATCAAAGTCGACGTCGTTCACCGCCGCTTGCTCGTATACGTAAATGCGGGAAGCATTCCTGTTACCACGGTTCTGGTTACTGTCAGGGTTGCGCCCTGTGCCGAGTCGAGTGCGGAGTGCATCTCGAATCTGGCCGAGTGTATCTTCTCGGAGTAGGCGGAAGGCTCTATCAAGACGCCCGTGGATGCCTGGCTTATGGAACAGCGAAGAGTCGGTTGTCGGTAAATATTCGCTGCGTGTTGAGAAAATTTCCGCATGGGTGGGGAAAATGCTGATGTCACAAATGTCGGCATGATCGTTGTCATGTCGCGGTCCTTCAGCTGAAAGCTGTCCAGGTAAGTCTCTTCGCATTACGAATTCGCTTCGTGTGACTGGATTTATTTGCTCTACTCCAGTTTGGGGTATCGCATCACCTTCTCCAAGGCGCTGATGAAGGTAATTCAGGTACTTCTGAGCTTGTTAACTTTGATAATTCGTTGGAAGATCGCTGGGCAGTTCTGACAATATCTTCCAGCCGCTCCACGATGTGACGGAAAGTGGGACTGAATATGTTGTTCGTATTGCAGCCATTCATGGTCGCCAGTACCGAGAGCGAAAGCTCACAGGCAACTATTCCATACTCGTCATCCTTGGCCATCGGTAGAGTTGACCAAGCATCGAGAAGGCCCAAGACGAAGTCAAAGAGCGTTTTGATCCGCTTGTCGCCAACACCGAGTATGAAATTGTAGATTTCGGCAACTTGTTGCTCGAGGATGTCGGAGTTGAGGACACAAGGGTGTGTAAGGACCTGGAATATAGGTCGCACCTGCTTCAGCCATAATTCAACTCTGTTGCGTTGGTTGGAACCTGTCTCCCCGAGTATCCGATGATCGACAAGGCTTCTAATGAATCCGAAACCCTCTTCTTTGGCCATAAGTTTGATGGTCTCTTGCGAATCCTCGGGGTCTCCTCCAATCGACACAAGGACAAGCTGGAAGAAACGATCGCCTTGTTGCTGTTTCGTATATGTGGATGATGAAGAGGTATGTGAGCGTGAAGAGATTTGGCCGACAAGCTGCTTCAGTTCATTCAGAGGAGCGTTGGCTGGTTTCCGTTCCCCACCTTCCGCCTTGTGTCGTGTGGGTTCCTGAGAGTTAGGAGGCGACGGCAACGATTCATGGGAAAAGAAGCATTCAGATCCGAATTTGCATTTGCCACGCGGGAGATGCGGACATGGGCCTGATAACTTCACGTGGCGGTTTTTGCATTTGGATACAAATTTGCATGTATCACGCTGGAAATACATGCAAGGTTTGGCCTGTGGCACGCCCTGAGAGCTAGAGAAATATGTCAGACTGCGTACCTACTGAAGAAGGTGCGAGGAGATATATGTGGATGAATGCATCACATGGTGTGCCACGAGGACAGGGTGGAGGAGTAGATTGCACTTACCGGTCCATGGCCGCAGTTGATGGCGATCTCTCAGATGGCGCGAGACTGGTACTGCGTCAGATGTAGGGTATGAAGTTGTTACGGATTGACACAGAAGGGTTTAGAAGATGGGAGGCTACCCAGCGACGCTGCGTATGGGAGTGGGAAGGATCTCAATATTGATCTCGAGGAAGCAATGTGGGTGGTGGTGGTGGTGGGAGACCAAGAGGTGGATCTGGAGAACGGGAAAGATGCCCAGATCCAAGTGTCACCAAGGCAACCTTGGCCGTACTGCATGCCGCCTCAGGCACCATCAAGAGTCAGTAAACAGTCAACCTCCAGCCACCTGCACAACCCGGTATTTATCTTCGAACACCACATATAACCACCAGCAACCGAAGGAACATGGCTGACCAGCTCCCATCAGCCATCGCTATGCCGTGCAGTAAAAAAGCAGCAGCTATATACTGCAGCCACGAATCTACCTTTATTCCCCCGAGAGGTTTGGATCAGGAAGGTAAGAACCTCAGTAGCGGTTCAGGGACTGTCGTCTGCGAGAGACAGCAGGAGCCACAAAATACGACTGCAGCCTCGAGCCTAGGCGTGTACTATCCGGTAGGAGACCAGTTCTCGACATTAACTGATTCATAAGGACCATGCCTGATGCTCATGGATGGGATGTGGTGTATCAAGTGGGTACTTATCAGTGGCTGACAACTGATTTCCTCGATAGATGTGTGGCCATAACAGAAAGGAGAGGCAATACCGAATCGAAATCCAATCTCAAGTTGCTGCCAAATATCCAGTGCATTGAACATCCCGGGTGGTGTATCTCCTGGTTTCCCACCCCCGAAGCCACGTCGGATCTGTCAAGACGTTCTCATCGAACCTGGTTTTCGATCGAGCTTGCAGTGTGGGAATCGGTAAGTGGAAAACCGGCGAGTGTTCGAGCTTCCTGCGGCAGAGGTAGTCTACGGAATAGAGCTCATGGTTCGTGTGATCAATCCGAACTGTAGTCACAGTCTTGTTGATAAACGACCAAGGTCAGGTTCGGTGGCCTCCGCAGCGAAAGCTAAAAGCCATTGCGGAGGGCGTCAAATCTCCTGGTGAGGCGAGGCCGTCCTGCTAGTACACCTCAAACCACTCCCGCCTGAGAGAGTAGCAATACCGGTGTGCCAAAGACGAAGCCATCCGAAGTCATGGTTACCAAGCAATATCATAATGCTCTGTTGGAACTGTGATACCGCTTTTCTATAACTGTTCTCGGCGTGGTGGGAGATGGCGGCCAGTATCCAAGCCTTGACGCGATTGAATATTTGGCCAGGCTCAGCCCCTGGGCCCCTTTAGCAGCGAGATGCTATGCGTCTGATCGATCGATGGAAGACAACCTTTATAATGACCTGGCATAAGCGACCAAACATGGAGAAATACGTCGGGATAAGCAGATAATCGCAGCTTATTCGACAAAACTATCCGGCTCCCTGCCATGCCTGTGGGCAGGATGTGCCGAGGCGGCATCTCCTCAGGGCATCACGGTACATGTAACGTATGAAGTTGTTCTGAGCCAGGCAAATACAGTACGTCCTCGGATGTTGAGAGGGTGTCTTCGCTGATCGTTGTGTGCCTGAGCTAGGGTCCTCGAACCGATGGAAGGTGAATAGAAGGCTGAATGTGTGGTAATAGTATGTACCAGTGAATAGAGTTGGCTGTATAGGTATGCTTCATCGATTTGTCACTAAAGTTCTTTCGAGGTTCGATGTAGAGCTCGCGTCGCAGTATGATCAGCTGGGTTGATTGATCATGGCTGCCTTGCTGGGAGGTTGACAGGCTGAACCTGGGTTACTCTTCAGATAGAACCAATGATGTTCAATCAGTGTGAGACGTTGGAAGAGGCATAATGCCCCCCTTGGAAGGTATCCCATTCGTGCTCAGTTTTTCAATGTTGGCTCTGGTGTTCGTATGAGGTTCAGCAACATTCTGCGTGATGTCGACTGGGTCAGCCCTACGGGTGGAATCTCCCCACGCTACCAACCCCCAAACCCCGTTATTTCGTTATCACCGTTAGGCTTCACAGTCTTGAATGACGACACCTGGGAAGGTGCTTTCCTCCGTTCTGTTTCAGAGGGCGAAGAGGTGGCAGGTGGCAACGTGGAAGCTCATGACAATACTATCAAATAGATATGCCGCTCCTGTCACGGAGTCATACTTTATTTCACAAAGGACGATAATAGTGATCGCAGTCGCACAGTCATCGGCCCTGATAAGGCCTTGACATTCATAAAGTACTCGGCGGGGTGAAGTAAATGACAACCCGGCTATAAATCATTGGCAAGGACACAGCTCGTGCAGCAAATGAAATCCGATGACTGCAAAACCGATCCCTGATGACTGTCAGCAAATAGTAACCCCAAAGTCCTACAAGTAGCACCAGAGTCAAGAGGTCGGGTTGCCCTTTTCTGCTTTATGTAATCGTTCATGCCCGTGTGCAAGTAAAGTACGTACTGTGACGGACTAATTGCCCCTGATTCCTGAAGCTGCCTGCTAGTCGAGAAGTGGCGGGGACATTACCTGCAACACATGAGACGACACTTCTTTTGAGTTGCAAACCATGTTCACTAAATCCACATATTATTGACAACAATACCATTGTCTCAAGCAGGATCCACGTCTAGTTCTTGTAGGTGTGAAGAGGTGCACACCTGGGCATAGGACTGACAGCAGATAGGCAGGTGTAGAAGTACCGCTGTACCCTGACCCACACCGATCAGACGTTAGCGCACCCTTCAGTTTTGTGCCTCGACCTAGGTTGTCAGCGTTGCCCGCCTTCGCCTTCGCCTCCAGTCTTGGCCGCCAACCTAATTCTCCATCTCCATCCTCAAGCCTCACAAGGCCTCGTGCTATCCTTGCCCCCAACTCCCTCACCTACGATCGCTGCTCTGCACTGCCGCGACGGCTACAGACTTGACTTGATATAGATTCTCTCGTCCGCATTGTCGTCAATACCCTCGACCGCGCCCGCTTTCGCCTCCGCAGTTTGAAGGCGCATCGCCCCTCGCCCATCATGGACGCCGGAGACGACCATGTGCCCGGCTCTGGAGCCGACGACCACCGCAACGCCCAGGTCGACAATGCCATTCGCGCCATCAAGGAGAAGAAGCCCCTTCCCGAGATCGACTTCAGTATTCATACCATGGAAGATGGCACCCAGGTGAACACCGCCGAGCGGGTCTGCAAAGGTATGCCACAAAGCCTCGAGCTCTTCCCACCTACCCCGCTGTCGCTGTCACTGTCGCCGCCAGATGATGGAGATTGCGAATACTGACAAAGAATAGACGTACAGGCTCCTGCCATGTTCAAGCCGACAGACGAGCAGTTCTTCGAGGACGATTCGCACACCAAACCCAACATCACTTTCCTGAAGCAACACTTCTACCGTGAGGGCCGACTGACCGATGAGCAAGCCTTGTGGATCATCAAGGCTGGAACCGACCTTCTGCGCGCCGAACCCAATCTCCTCGAGATGGATGCTCCCATCACAGTGTGCGGCGACGTTCACGGCCAATACTACGACTTGATGAAGCTATTTGAGGTTGGTGGCGATCCCGCTGAGACTAGATACCTCTTCCTTGGCGACTATGTCGATCGGGGCTACTTCAGTATCGAATGCGTTCTGTACCTGTGGTGTTTGAAGATACACTACCCGAAGACCCTCTGGCTGCTGCGAGGCAACCACGAGTGCCGCCATTTGACCGACTACTTCACCTTCAAGCTCGAATGCAAGCACAAGTACTCCGAGGCCATCTACGAAGCATGCATGGATTCGTTCTGCAGCCTACCGCTTGCTGCCGTCATGAACAAGCAGTTCCTCTGCATCCATGGAGGCCTTAGCCCCGAGTTGCATACCCTAGACGATATACGAAATGTTAGTTACTGGATCTTTGGTCTTCTCTCCAATGCGCGGCCATGGTTAATTGCTAACCCTGGGCAGATCGATCGTTTCCGCGAACCACCCACGCAAGGGCTGATGTGCGACATCCTCTGGGCCGATCCTCTCGAAGACTTCGGTCAAGAGAAAACGAACGAGTTCTTTGCGCATAACCATGTTCGCGGCTGCTCCTACTTCTTCTCGTACCCCGCGGCCTGCAACTTCTTGGAGAAGAACAACCTTCTCTCCGTCATCCGAGCACACGAGGCCCAGGATGCGGGCTACCGAATGTATCGAAAGACGAGGACGACCGGGTTCCCGAGTGTTATGACCATATTCTCTGCTCCCAACTACCTCGACGTGTATAACAACAAGGCTGCCGTATTGAAGTACGAGAACAACGTTATGAACATTCGACAGTTCAACTGCACACCACATCCGTACTGGCTCCCTAACTTCATGGACGTCTTCACGTGGTCTCTCCCTTTTGTCGGAGAGAAGATCACGGACATGCTGATCGCCATCCTGCATACGTGCTCGGAGGAAGAGCTCAAGGAAGAGACGCCCTCGTCTATTTCACCGGGCCCGGCGTCGCCTGCACTCACGGGGCCTGGTGACCCCGAGACGCTAGAGGCAAGGCGACGTGCTGTCAAGAACAAGATCCTGGCAATCGGTCGTCTCTCGCGAGTGTTCCAGGTTCTTCGCGAGGAATCCGAGAGGGTCACGGAGCTCAAGACTGTGTCTGGTGGCAGACTGCCAGCGGGCACTCTAATGCTTGGAGCCGAAGGCATCAAAAACGCGATTAATAGTTTCGAGGATGCGAGAAAGGTTGATTTGCAGAATGAGCGGCTGCCTCCGAGCCACGAAGAGGTGGTAAGAACCCATGAGGAGGAACGCTCGCAGGCTCTGGCGCGGGCGACCCGGGAGGCGGACAATGACAAGAAGCTCCAATCTCTATCTAGGAGACTCAGCACGTGAGTACACCACCTTCTGTGCCTGCACACGTATCACTGACAATCTTTAGCGATCGCAAACGATGATGATTCGGTGTGCATGTACACTAGCTTGAGCGTGCGTGAGACGAAGGAGCATTGCTTAGACTTTTCAGTTTATACCACCTACGCTGGGTAGTAGTAGCCTTAGCATGGCACAGCTCGAGCATCCCATTGAGACCGCATAAGGCAGCAGGTTGGCAGTCCTTGGTCATATTGGCAAGCTATGTTTGGTCATTCTCCTGATGAATCAAGATGGGGCGGTCAAAGGGCTCGAAAAGAAATGGAGTCACGATTTGATCCGTGGTCTTCCGGCTTGGCGGCGGGGGCAGGACCGTCGTTTTCTGGAGTGTAGGGTTAAACAAGGGCACAAGGCGGTATAATGAAGCTGAGCCAAACTCATAGTCCTGACTCGATGCGTATGATTTCATCAATCCGTCCTACTTTCTCCAATCGCAGACCGGGTGATCAACTGATATTGGTTCCTGACATGACTCTTCTGCGGTCGGGATCTGAGACGAATTAGTCTCTTGTTTGCGTAAATCGAAAACAAACTGGATGGATGGATTCTCAATTCTTGGTGCTATATGGTATTTCAGGTCCATTGCCCAGACGTCGTTGGTCGATGGTACGATAATCCTCATGACTATCCGTCTGCGCATAAGAAGCTATAGTTTAATTAATCGCTACTTATATACGACCAGAACTTAACTTTATACATGCGTTTATACCGGCTGCGTGCTTTTCGTCTAAACTTCCTGACCCTGGGGATAGTCCTATGATGTAGCGACTCGCAACGGTGTTGTCGCACAATATGGCGGCACCGGTGCGGCAATATGACATGGATGTCAATGCAGTTGGTACGAACATTAAGTAAGGGCGCGGGTCTTGACCAACAACACCCTCTTGAGCGCAAGGCAAGATTCAGCATGTCCTACCTATTTAAACACCCGCTTCGGCGTCTCCCTCGCCTCTGCAAGCTCTGCATCTCACACCAGCTACAGTTGCGGCAGACATCACAACCGTCCATTGCCTCGCCGCCAAGATCAACCATGTTCACCCACTTCTCCGCGCGCCACATCCCCGCCCTAATCGCCGGCACCTCCATGACATTCGGCGGCCTATGGCCCATATTCAACGCCCGCGCCTCCCTGTCCGGGTTCGGCCTGCCGCCGCGCATCGCCGACGTGCCTGCCACCCGGCCTGTCGCGGTGATAGGTCAGGTCCGGGCGGCACCGTGCTCGGCGTTTTGGTGTTGTACTTCTACTCGCGTGGCCAGTGGGACGTTGTGGATGTTATTATGGCGGTTACGGGTAGCTATGCGGGGCTGGTTGATGGGTATGTTGTTTGGAGGGAGGGTGGCGGCGTTGGGAAGGTGTGGATGAGGGTAGTTGGGTCGGGGGTCGTTGCTGCGAGCGGGTTTTGGGGGTTGACTGTTGGTGGTGCTTGAGGTTTTTAATGGGCTGGTACTTAGGTGCGAAGAGAGCGCCTTGCGATCGATGATGGGACGCCTGGGCCGGGCTGTCTATTATTTTGGGATACTTTTCACAGGTGGCCGAAGGGGCAGGACGTGGGGGCACGACGCGGGTGCCGTACAGCTTGTTGCATATAAGGACTATAGTCCTCTGGTGTTGGAAGACGAAGGCGACTATCAAAGTAAAATCCGAAACCTTGTTGCCCATGCCCCCTTACATAATTGCGCGAAGGAGACCGGCGGGTATAGCACGGCGTTCCGTTCTGATGCGCGACTACATCATTGCCATCCATTTGACACAACGGTAAGGTAGGTCACAGCAAATGCGGGGGATTCGATGTTGTCCGCTTGTGTGTCACAGATGACATCCGAGGTACGAGTCGCACGTACCTCATGATGTGACCACAAGTTGAAAGCTATTGTTTGTTCGCTGTCCTGTTTCACAGTCGAGACTTGACCACGACTGCCTACGCAATCCGACTTCCGCAACTCGTGATCTTAAACCGGACCGCAGGGTTGAGTGCAGTGCTATAACCACCCACCATATCTGCAGCCCTCTACAAACCAAAAGTCGTGAAACCATGGCCCCGCCGGTCTCCGGAATCAAGCTCAACGCCAACGGCGTCCCCGACTTCGACACCCTGCCGCTCCGGAACTCCGACCCGCACCACTCGGCCTGGGGTCTGTACGGCGACGACGACCAGCTCGGCACGCTGAACCGCCTCACCGACGAGCGCGTGGCTGCCGCGGCTCGGGACGAGATTCAGACGGGTCGGCGGTATGTTGTCTCTCCTTCGTGTCGAATACACCATTACTATCACCACTTGGCCAATTGCATGTCCTAAGTGTAACTACGACTACATGTATTCAGTAGGTAGATGCAGAACCAGTATCTGACTGACGCTGCCCAGCATCTCCCTCAACTGGCCCCTCAACGCGCAGCCGCGGCGCTCCTTCTTCCAACGCGCGCTCTTCCACCAGGAGCTGATCGCCAAGGCGCCTCGAACCGTCAACGACGACGTGTGGACGTTCAACTCGCAGGTCTCGTCGCAGTGGGACGGGCTGCGGCATTTTGCTTGTGAGTAAAAAGTCCGTGGTTGCTTTTGGGTTTGGTCTTGATGCATGATTTGGACAGCGAGAGTTGAGGGAGCTTGGGTTGAGTGGAAGGGGAAGGGGAAGGGGACTCGAAGTGGGAGTGAAAGTGAATACTGACTAAACACGATACAGACCAGGACGAATGCCTCTTCTACGGCGGCGTCACGCAGAGGGAGATCCACGCCGTGGACGAGCGGGGGAAGCCAAGTGAGGTTTTGGGAATACATGGTATGTGGCCCTTCCACCCCATTTATAAGGTGAAGGGGTGTGCAGCTGACACTTGATGCGCATTCAGCATGGGCAGACCAAGGCATCGTAGGCCGCGGCATCCTGGTTGACTACCACAGCTGGCGGCCGTCACAGAAGAACGTCAAGCCCTACGACTCGTTCGACTCCGTGTCCATCCCGCTGGAAGACCTCCAAGCATGCCTCGCGGCGCAGGGAACAGAGGTGAAATTCGGCGACATCCTCATCATCCGCTCCGGTACGTCTGCCTCCCCCATTGCCAGCGGGCCATCACATCACACCCCAGCCCCTTTCCTCTATACCCAGTCCAACCCCCAGACTGACGCACGCAAAACAGGCTTCATGGCCACCCTCGCAACCAAAACCGACGACGAGCTCTGGGCACACCAAGACAAAGTCCCGCACCCCTTTGGCGGCGTACAGCAGTCCGAGGCCATGCTGCGCTGGATCTGGGACAACTTCGCCGCCGTGGCGGGCGACCAGCCGTCGTTCGAGACGTGGCCCAAGCAGCAGGACTGGGCGCTGCACGAGGTGCTGCTTGCGGGCTGGGGGTGCCCCATCGGGGAGCTGTTCGACTTAGAGAAGTTGGCGGAGCACTGTAAGAGGGAGGGCCGCTGGAGCTTCTTTCTGGCGAGTGAGCCGTGTAATGTGCCGGGGGGTGTGGCGAGCCCGCCGAATGTGTTGGCGATTTTTTAGGGGAAGGGGGTATGGGAAAGGGGAGTGGTGGAAGAGATTAAGACTCGAGGACTTTAATGTCACGGCGAGCATACTGGGGAGCTGGGACATGGCCTGCAGCAAGCAGCTATTACTCTATTGACGAGAATATCAAGACTAGAGAGGAAAGGAAGAGAGAGAGATAAGGTACAGCGGGAGGTTGCCCCTTTAAGGGGATCCTCTGGTCAGATCCTTCCCTTATTGGGAAGTATCGGCTTGTCATGTGGGAAGGTCTGTGCAGGCCGTCACATTTATGGTACCGGTTCGTGTAGTCAGACATCGGTTGGTGATTCCTGGCAAGAACCGAGTTGTTCCATACCATGGATGGATCATCAAACAGTAAGGTCACCTAGTACACCGGTCAGTCGCGGAAACACGCGGGCGTAATGAGTTTGCTACCATTCCCAAGCTCATATATTTATAGCATAAGCTATGCAACAGTGGAGGGGAGGTCACCTTTCCGATAAAGGCTGCGGTGCCACGGAAAGCATATAACCCCGTCCAGTAGTTACAGATAGGAGACACAGTCAGGCTATCCCCTTAACGTCTCAATATGCCCATTTTTACCAAGCTACTCCACCCCTCCCGCGTCACCAATTTTGATCTCCGTTTGCAAACTTTAACCATGTACCGTAAAAGACTTTTAAGCGTATTTTTTTAACGATTTACACGCGTAAATATAAATAAAACGTATTTTATAAGTACTCTTATTATAACTATTATTAAAAAAAAACTTAATTAATAACGTTATTTTACTTTTTATATAATGAATAACGCTATATCTTATTACATGCCTTTTTTGCTTCTTTAATATTTATAAAGAAAACTATGAAAAGATTAACTAATATATACTTATGATTAAAAATTCCGACAGTAATATTAAGTATAAACTTAATATTAAATATAAATAGCTTAAAAGAACACTCGATCTTTTAATTAAGGGTTTTAACGACTTTTTTAATAAACCTTAACTTTAAATAAAGTGAATATTAACTTTAAGTATAAAAACCCTTTTATCGCCATCTTTAATAACTTTAACGTTAATATTAAGCCCTTTATAAATAACGACAATAAAAAGCCTTTTTGTTACGAATCAACGAACAGTGCGGCCTGATAGCAGCCCTAGAAGGGACGATTGGAAACAGATTGACCAGAGAGTGGGGTGCTGATCAGTGGAGAGATTGGAGCAACGGAGCAACGGAGCAACGGTACACAGATCACTCGACCAGTAGAGCCTGGGTCATGTGACTAAGAATTTGGATCACTGGATCACCATGGTGATCCAGTGAGCAGGATCACCTTGGATCACTGGTGATCCAGGGTGAGCCACCTAATCAGTGAGGGAAGGATTGGATATATAAGGACAGACATTTCCCAACCAGATAGATAGACAGTCTCTACCTCAGTGATCTATCTAAGCATCTTAGCCAACCCTAAGGTGAGAGAAATCTCCTGACGACTCGACTACACAGTGAACCCAGTTCAGACCAAGCCCCAGCATCTAAGTGTCTTCTAGTTGACAGAAGCCTCTATCGTTCTTTGTGTTGGCTTACCTCGGGGCATAAACCCTATAGAACCCTTTAGCCTTATAGGTTAGACGGCTCGTCACACTTTTAAGGTTAATTATATAACGTTAAGATAGTTAAACCATATTTATATTTTCCTTTAAAGTCTTTAATATGTACCTTTAAAAAGCTATTTATAAAGCTTTTACGCCATTTGTCACGAGGCAGCTTGAGAACCAGGACGAGAATGCCCATCAATTTCCTCAATTATACAAAAATACTTTGGTGAGGAAGGAAAGAAGGATCTGCAACACCAGGCAATTCTGGTGGAGTAATAGATCCCAAATCCCAACTCACAATTATCTATCAATCTGTGTAATGGGGCGACGCTATCACAAAGCGCAGATGTGAAGTGGACGTAAAAGTCCTGCTTTTACTATGTATGTGTAATAATCTCTCAGTGAAGAAGGAAAGAAAGATCTGGTCCATCAGCCAATTCTGGTGGGCTAGAAGATCTTTCAGTCTGACCCACAATTACCCAATCCAGTGGCAGTCGGAGCCACACGTCTATTGCGCCAGGTCACCTGATGCAGCGCACTGACCACTGCAGATGGGATATCAGACCTGATGGGAGGTCAGACCATCACAAACGCGTCCACCCTACCAAGTCACCTGATGGATGGCTGATCCATCACACCATTTATACAACTAGTTATTGATTGAATTAAAAAAGAACTTGTTTTTACCGATTTTTTATCGAAAAATAAATATTATAAACTAGCTAGCAGCACGAAATACGATAAAAAATGTGACGGCCTGCACAGACCTTCCCACATGACAAGCCGATACTTCCCAATAGGGGAAGGATCTGACCAGAGGATCCCCTTAAAGGGGCAACCTCCCACTGTACCTATCTCTCTCTCCCTCTTTCTTTCCTCTCTAGTTTTGATATTCTCGTCAATAGAGTAATAGCTGCTTGCTGCCAGCCATGTCCCAGCTCCTTAGTACGCTCGCTGTGACAAAAAAAAGCTAAAAATATATCAGCATAATATTTAAATAATCGCTACGTTTAAAGAATTAATACAACTAAATTTACGTATTTTTACCGTAATTATCTATATAAGATTCAACCTCCCTTAACGCCATTAAAAATATTAATTTAAATTTAAATTTAAATTTTCTTGATAACTTTTTTATTTAATATATTACTTAAAAATTAATATATCTTTAATGACTTTATATCTTAAAACCTTAATTATTTATAAGATATTAAATTTACTTTTTAAAATAACTATAGTTTTAAACCTAACTTATAAACATAAATACTACTCGACTTAATACTTTTTTATTAATAAGATAATAATAAAGTTTATAAATTAATTTCAGTAAATATAAGGCTTAAATATTTTTGGTAACAAATTCTTTTCCTTTGTAAATTTAATATATAAAAAGTCGCTACTCACTTAAAATAAAATCTCTTTACAATTAAAAGCTCATTATAATTCTTACTTGAATAATTATTATTACTTTTGTAAAAAATGCGTTTTGTATTCTTTAAGACTTATTATTACGTAATTATAAACAATACTTTTATTACGGTAAATTTGTTTGAATATTTTCGATTTATTAACATTATAGCCATAAATATTACATGTATTAACGAAAATATTGCTAATAATTTTAAAACTTAATGCATTATTAAAAAGTTTAACCCATGTTGGAACAGGCTTGAACAATCAATCATAATACTCGAGTATGGTGTCAAGGTCATGATGTTCCTGATGGTTGGATTGAGAGGAATCTAGCTGGACTCGAAGGTCTGGCCAAGTGCCCTCTCAATCCACTATCTTATCTTATCTAATCATACATGTGGGTCCTGGTATAGATGGTTTGCAGTCTAGAATCGCATGGATCCAACAACCCAATTAATTACTATAAAAAAACTTATACGTTAAACGATTTAATAATCATAAAGTTAGGTAATTTGCTTTTTTAATAATAACATTATATTAGTACTTTTTATAATATATATTAAATATTAAAAGCTTAATGATAATAATAAAAGCGCTTATTAAGAAGATTGACTATAATAAAATTCTCGTAAGTCTTTTTCTATAACGAGTAAAAAAAACTCATTATTTTTTAAGTAATTAATAGTTATAATATGAAAATATGAAAATATGAACAATTAATAATTAACTACGCGTAGAAATATTTCTTAATATTAAACACTTGAAAAAAATTAATAAACGCTTTATTATAATTTCCTACTCAATAAATACTTCTTTTAATCTTTCTTCCTTTCTAACTAATTTTTAAGTATTAGTCTTGTTTACAGATTTATTATTTGATATAAATCTTTTTATAAAATGATTAATAACCGCATTATATACGACGTTAAAAGAAGCTAAACATATTTTTATAAAAAGCTATATATAATATTAATATAACGGTTCAACCTTGTAGTTATATGAAATCAATTAATATTAAACTTACCTTTGGATACCGATTAAAAAGGGTGTTACTAAAAACCCCAATATTTCATTATATAATAGAAATAATAACATGTTAAAATATTGTATCGGTAAAAGAAGCTATAAAAAATACGAAAAATACAAGATATTCTTTTACCCTAAAAACGTATTAATACGAATAATAAATAATGATAATCATAAAGTAATTGATGAATTTTTTTTAATAATGAGAATATAAATCGCGTATAAATCCGATAACGTACACGTAAAAAAGTAATATACACGTAAAAAATAATTCAAAAGTTATTTTACTTTGAAACCTATTAATTAAAGTTTAAAGTAATAATAAAATATATCGATAAAATTTTATTAATTTTAAAAACGTTGGATCCATGCAATTCCAGCCTGCAAACCATCTACACCAGGACCCACATGTATGGTTTGATAAGAGATTAGATACCGGATTGTGGGGTCACTTAGCCAGACCTGCGAGTCCAGCTAGACCTCCCAATCCAACCATCAGCAATATCATGACCTTGGCCTAATACTCGAGTATTATGATTGATCGTTCAAGCCTGTTCCAACAAAAAACTTATTTGTATATATAAATTAGTATAATATTTTACTCGAAATTACCCCCAAAATTATACGCTGTTGAATATTTAATTTACTTAAAATAAACCTTGGTAGAAATATGTATATTAAGACGTTAAAGGAATAAGATGCGGCCCGTAATAACACGATGATTATTAAGATAGGTTTAAACAACATTTACCAAAGTTTAACTCGACTCCTTTCCTCTTATACGGGAAATATACATCGCCACACGTTTTGATTGACGGTTTCTTGCAGCGCGGTAGAAAATCCAATGCGATAGTCACTCCTCAATATGTGGTAGCCTAGAATATACTATCGTATACGGACCCAGAGCCCCCCAGCTGGCCAGCCATTGTCAGATGCAGCCGCTAGGCAAAAGGGATTGACACTGACATCAAGTCAGTGCTTATATTTGACAGCCATGTAGTGTTGAATACACGGATGTTGATTGATGCTATTGATTGTTCTGCTCTGTGTGCAGAGATTGATTATCTGTCTTCTTGGTGGGTCAGATGCCCTGTGCGTCTCTGCCCCACTGGAGATCTTCCGGTGTCTATCTCCGGCTCCCATTCAACATGTAGGGCATTCGAGTCTCCCGTCTTGCGTAAGGAACTTCTCTTCCACCTCTAAAGGCGGCGTCCCGTAGCTTGCGTAAGGCCGTGAGACAGCCTCGATTTATGATTGGTTAGTTGCGTGTTAGCAGGCTTTTAATTGGTTCTTAATTGTTAACGTGACTGGAAAGAGGTCTGCTATGGCGCCACAGGCTAGGCGGAGGCGGGGTCCGGGGCCAGCTGGGGGTCTCCCCTGGTATGTAAACATGATGGTACCAAACTCCGCTTTCTTTCCACATCTGTTTCCACGCAACACCTTACAACATGTCGCGACACTCTCGAGGCCTGTCGCAACACTTTACAGCATGTCGCAGCGATTTGAAGGCCTGTTGTAACACTTTACAGCCTGCCGAGACACTCTGGAGGCCCGTCATGACGCTCTAGAGGCCTGACGAGACGCCCTGGAGGGCCGACGAGACGCCCTGGAGGGCCGACGAGACGCCCTGGAGGGCCGACGAGACGCCCTGGAGGGCCGACGAGACGCCCTGGAGGGCTGCCGGGGCACTCTAGAGGCTGTCGTGACACTCTGAAGGCCTGTCACAACACTCTGGAGCCTGTTGTGACACTCTACAGCACATTGCAACACCTTGCAGCACGTTACAACACTCTGGAGGCATGTCACAACACTCTGCAGCACGTCGCAACACTTTGCACGCAAATCAGAAGCCTGGTGTAAGGCTCTGATTGTCAAAGGAATCAAAGTTGGACCTTTCCCAACTTTAGGACAAAGCTTTGGACTACATGGCTTGATTTCACTATAAAGTTATGGCTCGCTCCAAGCATCTTATCTGCTTCCCCCCATTTAAGGAGATGATGCCTTTATCCGAAACAATCACAAGACCAGATCGCGGGAGAAAGCCGGTCTCTGCGTTTGGCAGACGGGGCCGAATCTGAATCACTATAGTTTACGACATCCCACCACATGAAAATAGTAACTCCTTATCGAAGCAAAAACAAAGACTATCGCATGTTTTTGTTGATTTATTTAGAGTACAGAACTAGTGTTGAGACCATGACAGCCGCTCTGATGCTCAGTGGGTGGACGTGTTTCGGAGCGCATGGATGACGACTTACACGTGGGGCAGGTCAGAAACGGTTGCCTGTGAAGCGGTTTACACATCATCTGCTGCAAACCGGAATCACCCCCGACTCGCTGCTTATTCAACTGCGAATCATCTTGTCGGTGTCCCTTTCGGCTTGTTCCCACGATCGGAGTCATCCTTACATGGCTTATAACACAGAACACACCGGCCCCGATCGGTCAAAATGGCGGAGGGAACCTCGGTAGCTCAAACAACACAGCAGAAATATCGCCTCTCACTCGGCAAACATCTCGGTCCGCCATTCTTGAGATATACAGTAAGTGGCTGCAGCAATCAACCCGTGATGCACCGCTGATAGGTTGCATGTTACTGTAGTTCTGGGATGACAGCTCGTACGGCCAGCCTCGTCTTTCTTTGATTAGAAAGACAAAACCAAAATAGAGTTCGGTCCCGTGAAAACCCCAAACAGCAACCCCGCCAATCTTGCTTCTGGGAAACAAACTCAAATGCGGTCTCACCATGCGGTCAAAGCCAATTTCCTCCCAAAGGCAAGGCTCTCGAGGAGACCAATGCGGACCAGATCTCCCGCACGTGTCACGGTCTGCCCTCAGCCATATAAATATTGAGAAGCTGCTGCAAGAACTCTCGAGGTTGTGGTTTGAACGTGACCAGCGTAGTTTGACTAGGTGTATTGGAGGACTGAGACGGCTCAACATCCCTCATACGTCCGTCTTCCTATGTCCTGGTGCTCGAAGAGATCCAGAAGCCATAACCCCAATATCCAGAAGACTTCGTCCACAACTACCCAGCAAGGCCGGCTGCCCTTAGGACCAGCCGCAGCCCATCCAAACCCGACTCCGAGGAAAATAGACAGACAGCCCTCGATCGATGCCCCAAGCACCACACCATGTGCCACCTGATCCATGAAACTCACCACGAGGGCTGCAACCATACAGTCCGCACTCTCGACCCGCAGCACCGGTCTTACTTCGGCCTCTTCGGCGACTCCTGCGTGTTGGTCGGGCACTACGAGATCCGTCACCACCGCCACGCCACAGGTCCCTGCTATGTCTGCGAGACAGCCGCCCACCAGCAACAGCAGCATGGCTATAGGCAAAAGCCCTCGGGTCAGAAGCACAGGTCAAACCCAGACTTCTTCCCACCACAACACTACCACCCCCTAACCACCTTCGTCCGCGCCGCCCAGCAGATCCAGACCGAAGCAATCTTCAAGCAGCTCCAGCTCCTCCCGTCGCAAAAACAGAACCTGAACCTCGTCGCCGCGGAACGGCTGCGGCGCTCGTCGTGTTGCGGTCGCGGTTGCAGAGGAGGAGGCTGCTGAGTCTGTGGGAGTGGGAGTGGGAGTGCGAGGCAGAGGCACTGCTGGCGGACGTGCTGGTGCGGATGCCGGGGTTTGTGGACAAGGCGTTGTTGGTGGGGGTGTTTGGTTGGGCGGTGGGACAGGGGCTTGGGAAGAGGAAGAGTAAGAGGAATGGGGATGTGGAGGCTGATTTGAAGGTGCAGGGGAAGATGATCGACCGGCTGGAGGGAATGTGTGTCGAGGTTGTGCTGGATGGTGAGTTCGTGGCGGGGATGAGGGCGGAAAGGAGTCCGTTGGACGAGTATCGCGAGTTTGGGCGTTGGGAGGGTGGGTGTTGAGACGGGATCGGCTGGGTAGTGCTTGTGGTGGTTTCGTTCGCCCTGCCGCATTGATGAGAGGAGAGCGTACTTGTTTCCGGCGGTCGATTCTATCATCATAGCGATGTGTTGTTAGACGGGACCGGCGAGTGGTTGTGGTGGTAGTGTCGGTCGCGGCCGCATTGAGAGGACAGCGGGCTTGTTTCAAGCGGTCGAATTTACTGTTACCATAGCGAGGAGTTGTTTCACGAGGGCCTAGGTGCCAGCGTCTGAAACTAGCGAATATATTTGAATTTTTCTAACGCTATCTCTTCGCCGTGTGTTCATGTCGGGAGGGAACCACTCCCCTTTTTCACGAAACCACGATGCCGTACCTCTCGTATGGGAAGTCCTCGAGACTGGGAAGTTGGTCCGCCCAACCATCCCCGACCTCCCCAAGCTGGTGCTCATCCCCGATGGGACATAGCGCTATCCTCGCGGCCAGGACCTCGGCTTCCTGGCCCTTGTAAACCTCGGCGAGACGGGCATGTGGTACCCAGACGACTCTCATGCCGGCCCGTCGTCCGGCCTCGACGCCCAACACGCTGTCCTCGAAGACTAGGCACTCCCGTGGGAAGATCTGCGGCGTACCTTCAGGCAGCGAGTCGTTGACCGACTTCAGCGCCAGCAAATAGATATCCGGCGCGGGCTTGCCGCGGCCCTTCTTGACACGGGGATCGTCTCCAAGAACGCGGTGCTCCTCAGGAATTATATCAAGCACGGCCTTGGTCCCGGGCCGCGAGGTCTTGATGTCGTAATTGCGCCGCTCGCTGCTGGTAGCCAGCGCGATGTGCACCTGCTGACCACTCGTAGTCTCCGCCTTCTTCAGATTCTCGAGCAGCTTCTGCACGCCGGGAAGGGGCTGGCACTCGGGAAATTGGATGCGCTGCTGCTCCGACTGCTCCTCGAAGAACTGCTGCCGGGAGATGGGCAGCTGAGCCCAGTTGTGGAAGGTGTCGCCGTTGCTGGCGCCGGGGATCCCCATCAGCTGCGCTTTGACGTCCCAGGGGAGGCCCGGTCTGCCGTATTTCTCCAGCACGATGTCGGCGCATTTGGTGTACAGGTCTTCGGTGTTGATCAGCAGGCCGTCCATGTCGAATAGGCAGGCCCGGACTGGGGGGAAGGTTGGGGTGATGCCGGCTTCTGCTTGCGAGACCGGCGCTGCGCCGTGCTCTTGGGCTGCAGACGTCATTCCTTCTGCAAGAGGGAGGATCAAGAGATACGGAGTTCTTGGTGCTTGGCCGAATTGACTCTTGCATCCGTCGGAGACCGGGAGGAGTGTGAAGTAGCTCCTCAGCGAGTCAGTTCAAAGGTTTGCTGAAGCCGCCGGTGGCCGTAGGAGATCAATGGCGCGGGGACTGGACCGCCTATGTGCGGGAGCGCAGCCGTGATAGACTCTGTGTGGTCGGTAGGTAGAGCATGTAGCTGAAGAGGGGCTTACGAGGCTCAGGTAGGTAGTCGAAGTGAATGTGGGTGAGAGAGAAGATGAAAGTGAGTGTCAAACGGAGGGTCGAAGAGATGCTCACTGGCCGACTCCGGTTGGGTCCGCCAGATAAGCGACCCCCACTTTGGTGAGGTCAAGTACAGACTTCAGTATCATCCACACGTTGTCTGGCCGTCATGCCTGGAACTATATAAGATGCGTGAGAGGGCTCTCGTGAATTACTTGACTACTACTATGTTCATTCAAGATCTTACAACACCGCGCATCGTTGATTTCTATCTTGCAACATGTCCGTCACGAAACTGGAGCTACGCACCGCTCTCGGCCCGGTATATCGGGATGTCCTACCCAACCCACCCCGGGCCTGCACGCCCGAGGAGATTCCGGTCATCGATCTGACGCCCATGTTCTCCGACGAGCTCTACGAGCGACAGAAGGTCGCGTCGAGCATCAGATCAGCCGCCGTGAACAAGGGATTCTTCTACGTCAAAAACCACGGCATCCCTACGGATACGATCGCGCAGTGCAAACAGCAGGTCTTGAATTTCATGAGGCAGCCACAAGAGAAGAAGGACAGCGTCAGCTCGCAGAAGTACAGCAAGTACTTCAACGGCTATCTTGGCAAGCGCACCTCCCAGATATCTCCTAGCGAGACGGCCGATGTCCGAGAATCCTTTTCGTTTCGGTACTCACCCGACATTGACCCCGACCACCCTATGGATCTATCTGAAATTCCCGAAGAGGTCAGGCCGTGGATCCGGGCGGAGGAATTCGTGTGGGAGGGCACGAAACACCTCCCTGGCTTCAAAGAGGACCTGCTTGCGTATTGGGGCGGATGTCTGACCTTGGCTAGAAGACTGGTCAGGATGTTCGCTCTCTCGCTTGACCTGGAGGAGAACTACTGGGATGACAAAGTGACGTTTCCCGGCGCCGATGGGGTTTGCAATTACTACCCGACAAGGAACGAAGAGGAGGTCGACCAGAAGTTCGTGCACCTTGGCAGCCACACAGATCTACAGCTGTTCACGCTGCTGTGGCAAGACAGCGTCGGAGGGTTGCAGGTATTGACTCGAGAAGGCCAGTGGCTCAAGGTGAGTCCAAGGAAGCCTCGGAAGCTGCTATGAGAGGCTGACAGTAGTTCAAGGCACCCCCTATCGAGGATACCATCGTAGTCAACATTGGCGACTTCATGATGCGACTCTGTAACGATATATACAAGTCGACGGTCCATAGGGTCACCAACGATTCTGCTATCGAACGGGTCTCCTTGCCATTCTTCTTCGGTACGTGACTGATCACCTGATATCTGACTCTGCGTAACCCATCTGACCATACGCCAGGCCTCAACTTCAACTGTGTCGAGGGTGTCGTCCCATCATGTACTTCAGAGAATAATCCAGCAAGATACGAGCCTATATCGTGCGGTGACTGTATGAATCCCTCGAGCTTCCAGGAGTGAATGGAGCTAATGACATTCTAGGGTGCCAAATGAGATTCAAGCTCGAAAGAAACGATTTCGAGAAGCAGGAGGCCAAGAAGTCAATGGCCCCGAGTGCGATGGTCGTCGAAGCGTAGTGGACTCTATCCGTATGTTTGGGTAACTCGTCGCTCGGCGATCGTCGCTCTTCTATAGGTGATACTCCATCAGCTTTGATCACAGCACCTTTTGGATCAGCTCAAGCACGTCAAAGAAGGCTTCTCGCTCAGGCCGCAGTCTTTGGAGTCCAAGTCCCACGACTAGAGTACGCCGTTCCTCAGAGTTTGCTCTTGCGATGTGGCTGGCGATCTGGACAGCATATAGTTGAGCCAGAGATTCTCGTTCCTCGCCTCCACCACCCAGCAATGTCTTTGGTGTGAGATGAGACATGGGTAGTAGACTCGCATTCGCCAGAGCCATGTCTACAGCAGCAGGCGAAGGGGCCGAGAGCGGTACTTGAATCTAGAAACTTTAGCCCATACGTCTTTACTCCTGAACAGCATATCTCAAATTGTGCTCACCCATTGTGACAGTCTGCCTTCCTGGGAGAGGGTCACGAGTATCTTGTCGGAGAAGAAGAGGGAGGAAGCCTCGGTAGCAACGCCGTCGATTGGCCCAGTGGCCCGCTTCGACTGGGCCGGAAATGGTTCCTCGGTGACCTGTGCAGAATTCATTTCTCCCAATTCAGTATCGAATTGTGTAAAGAAATGAGAGCTGAGTCAACCGTTTTGCTAAACCGAATGTGACGGCCGTTTGTCGTGTGATATCTGGTGATGGAATGGATGGATCATCGGTGGTAGACGGCAAAGTGACAGGACACAGCAGAGTTGCATGTACGAACTGGTGGGAGGTGGGAGGTGGGGCCAGTCTGTGCTAGATCTGTGGAGCAGTATGCCCCTCGCTAACCATATCTGGCTGCAATCGGAGAATTCTGCCAGGCGGTCAAATTTTGAATATCTTCGAGAATCATACAGCTTCACTCTTCATTACATCAACCTTGATACCTACGAAAATGCCGAAATTCGTCCCGCGCCAGAGAAAGCACAAGGTCATCGCACGGCAAAAGGCGCAGCAAAATGGCACCCGTGATGGCGGGGATGCGCCTCCCCAGCTCGATAGCAATGCCCTGGAGATTCTGCCAGATGCCCAGAAAGCGAACCTTGAAGCTAGAAGGGCGCAGATGAGGGAGGAGCTCCAAGGCGACGTCAAAGTGAGCGGCAAGAAAGCCAAGCGCCTCGAGAAGTACATCGACAACAAGTTAAGGAAAGACGAGAACAGAGCTCTGCTCTCTGAGTTGGCCAAGAAGAAAGTCGATACAAGTCTTTTCTCCAGCAGCCGCACTCTGGGTCAGGGTAAGGAAACCAAACGTCAGGCGCTCAGTCGGGCTTTCAGGGAGCGCCAGGCTGGCGTCAGTCAAGGAGATGATGACATTTTGTTCGAGGCTAGGGGAGTCCCGGCCAGCGATGAGTCGGATGATGACGAGGATGCCGACATTGAACCCAAAGGGAACAGTTCTTCTGTGCGAAAGCAACAGCCGATACAACCAGTCAGAGATGTGCCGAATACACAAACCACTACCACTTCTACTGATACACAACCCACAAAGCCAACAGCGCTGGCAGGGTCCGGACTGAAACGCCCCCTGGAAGTTGATGATGATGGGCGGCCAGTCATTCAGAAGCGACAGAAGCGTGGTGGAGTGAAATCGAAGTTACCCACTAGGCCACATGTTCTGCAACCCGAACCGTCCCATGAGTCCAGCAACGATTCTGAGGAGTTAGAAGATGAAGATGACGAGTGGGGTGGCTTTAGCTCCGATGGATCCGCACATCATGCAGCAGGCTCCCCGGACGGGAACTCAGAGTCCGATTCAGAAGAGGTCTCAGAGGATGGAGAGTCCACTGCTGAGGAGGGATCATGGTCCGACGAAGAAGAGGATGAGGAGGAAGGTGGTGTTGATACGGGCGCAAAGCAGAGGTCATCGGCTTTCAAAGCCTGGGCCCATGAACAACGAAACGAAGCTCTTGGATATCAGCCGGTGGACAACAATACTGCGGCCCTTGAGATCCCAATACCCGAAAACTTCAAACCGCGTCTAATAGAGCAAGATCCATTGCCTTTGGAACTGCAGCCTACGAAGGATACTGGACGAAAAGCATTCAGCATTGCAGTCCAGAGAAAACCTGAGATACAAGAAGCCCGACTACAGCTGCCAGTCGTAGCAGAGGAACAGAAAGTCATGGAAGCAATACATAACAACAACGTTGTTGTGATTTGCGGTGCTACTGGTTCTGGAAAAACGACACAAGTGCCACAATTCTTATTCGAGGCCGGATACGGTTCTCCAAATTCTCCCACACCCGGCATGATAGGAATAACCCAGCCCAGGAAAGTCGCCGCTGTCAGCATGAGCAAGCGGGTAGGACAAGAGCTGGGTGACCGTTCTTCTGCCGTTGCGTACCAAATTCGGTTTGAAGGCACCACCGATGACAAGACAGCCGTCAAGTTCATGACAGACGGTGTGCTCTTGCGAGAGGTGGCCAATGACATTGCTCTGCGCAAATACTCGGCGGTAATCATTGACGAAGCTCACGAGAGGAGTGTGAACACTGATATCCTCATCGGAATGCTCTCCAGGGTTGTAAAGCTGCGCGAGGATATGGCCAACGAAGATTCTACAATATCCCCGTTGAAATTGATCATCATGTCGGCAACGCTGCGTGTAGACGACGTCACGAGGAATCCGACGCTGTTCCCAATACCGCCGCCAGTCCTGAACATCGAAGGCCGGCAACATCCCGTTACTGTTCACTTTGCGAGAAAGACGCCGCACGACTACGTGGATGAAGCATTCAAGAAGATTACCAGGGGGCATCGGAAACTGCCCCCTGGCAGCTTCTTGGTGTTCCTTACTGGTCACGACGAAATAAGCAGGCTTAGTAAGAAGCTCCGGCTCGCATCAGGCGGGCTCAATCCTGCAGCTTATCCAAAGGTGCGGATATCTGCCAATGACGCGCCCTTGGAGGTTGAAGACATCGACTTCGGCGAGACAGACGACCACGCGGATGGCCAAAACGACCTACATTTTGTTGACGACGAAGATGAGGAGGAGGATGCCGAATTCAATATTCTTGATGAGACCGAGAGCGGACCCCTAAAGATGCACATTCTACCTCTGTATTCACTCTTGCCGACGAGAGAGCAGATGCGTGTTTTTGAAGACCCGCCTGAAGGCTCACGCTCGATAATTCTCGCAACCAACGTCGCCGAGACGAGTTTGACTATCCGTAAGTACCATCGAGATTTGTTCCTTTCAGTTTTGAGCTAGGCTTTGGATTCTTGCCTTGAGAACCCGAAGCTTTATGTCCAAGCGTCCATGTAAACCCCGAGGAGCAATTGCTGATTCGGGATAATGTAGCGGGCGTGCGGTATGTGTTCGACTGCGGACGATCAAAGGAAAGGAAGTACAACCCAGACACAGGGGTCCAAAGCTATGAAATCGGCTGGATCAGCAAAGCCAGTGCGAATCAGCGCTCCGGTCGTGCCGGTCGAACTGGGCCTGGTCACTGCTACAGGCTTTACTCCTCAGCCGTCTACGAGCGGGACTTGCCTGAGTTCGCGGACCCGGAGCTTTTGAGGATGCCTATCGAAGGGGTTGTCCTCCAGCTCAAAGCGATGAGGTTACAGCATGTGGTTAACTTTCCGTTCCCTACACCTCCGGACAGGCACAGCCTTGTGAAAGCAGAGAAGTTGCTGGAGTACCTCTCGGCGATCACAACAAGTGGCCAGGCTACCCAGATCGGATCGACAATGGCAAAATTCCCACTGCCGCCACGCTTTGCTCGGATACTTCTAATTGGCCACCTTCACGATTGCCTACCTTACACTGTAGCGCTCGTGGCGGGACTGTCGGTTGCAGAGATCTTCATCCCAGAGAGCCAGGCGGTGCCTGCGCTGTCCACGGATACGGAGCAGAGATTCCGTACCAATGAGGACGTGGCAGCAGAAACGCGCCAGGCACAAGCCCGGCAGAAGTACAATGCCGTCCACAAGGCCTTCTGCTCACTCGACGACTCTTCCGATGCTATAAAGCTGCTGCAAGCCGTTGGGGAGTTTGCTTGGGATCCGACAGAGAACTGGTGTAGCGAACGCTTGTAAGTCACGGACTTATTCGCTCCCCTTTCTAGAATATCTGTGGACTCTATTCTTGCCACCACAAGAAGCCCCTACTCCCGTTTTGTGCTTCGGGGCCATAAATTAGCCATCAAGCCGTCTAAAACAAATTACTAACTTTACCACAGTGTGAGATTCAAAGCCCTCCAAGAGACGCAAAAGCTACGAAAGCAGATCACCAGCCTGCTACAAAAGGACATCCCGGCCTTCGCCAACCTGACCTTCCAGAAGAAACTGGACCGGCCGAGCCCGAAGCAGGTCACGGCCCTGAAGCAGATGGTGGCCGCGGGCTTCATCGACAAAGTGGCCATACGAGGCGATCTCGCGCCCTCGCCGCCCGAACTCCACCGCAAGCCCCGCCGCGCCATTGATGTGCCCTATGTGCCGCTGCAGCCCATCCAACAGACCAGTAGTGATAATGCCATCGACAAATCCGTCTACATCCACCCCTCCTCCGTCCTCGCCCACCGCAGCGCCCAGGAGTGTCCCGACTACATCATCTACGCGAATCTGCAACGCGCCGCCGCGTCGGTAGACCCGACCGCCAAGCAGCCGCGCACGCGCATGCTGGCGCTCACGGACGTCAGCGGCGCGCAGCTGGCCGCGCTGGCGAAGGGCACGCTGCTGATTAGCTATGGCAAGCCGATCAAAGAAGCCAACGGCGGGAAGTTGGATAGCGCCGCGACGACGCGCGAGTGTTGGGTTGTGCCGTATTTGAGGGCCGAGGGCACGGGTGGTTTGGGGTGGCCGTTGCCGGTAAGGAAGGTTAGGCAGACGAAGGTTGTGGGGAAGGGGTGGGTTACGGAATGAGTGCGCGCGCGTGTGTGAATGAATGGTGGGGAGGGCGTGGAGAGATCAGACTGTGTGTGGGTAGACCAAGAGAGAGCCTCGACTCTGCCTACTAGCTCTTGGCTAGCTAGAGAGCAGAGCGTCATCCTTCATGTTCCCTGGGAAGGTAGGAAGAGAAGAGAAGGGCATTGAGTGAATTACGTCTAATAAAAGGATAATCACCAAACTGGTTGAACGGATTTTGGATTCTACCGCTCAGTGACCGTGATGACTTAGCTGTTGACCTATAGACCCGAACCTAGGATTTCCCATCACCAGATTAGACAGTACTAACTACGCAGAAGGGACTCGTACTCCTTATTAATGATGCCTTGCCATGCTAGTCCCAGTCGGATACTAGACTCATCTCGACACAATAGAGAAATACCACCGGTTCAGGCTTCGGCCATTCCCGGCCGTACGGCCTGGGGTCCGGGAAACGCAACAGGCTTCTCACTGAACACTCACTGAACACTCACTACATTCCCGAAACGGTCGAGATGATCATGATAATCACAGGTTGCAATGCGAGTGAGATGCGGCATTCATTGTTGTATCTCTGAAGATATTATTGGTTTCGGTTGGAAGTCCGAGCTTACTCATATCGAGGACCCAAAGTAGTATCTGTATGTATAGACTTGCCTGCCTTATTGATTGAATTCCCTGACTTTGCGATTGCCTCCACCCAAGCACATACACATATACGACGTATATGCCGTAATTCTAATGCACGATTACAACTTCGTTCTCGTCACATTTCAGCAGGACTGCAGCTCCGCAGAACACCAAGCAAGAGCAAAGGAGTTCATTCAGGTGCGGGTTCGTCTGACCTAATACAACGCGACTAGCACCCACCCAGGATGCTCAAGCCCTTCCCTACTCTAGGTACTCTACTCTATTCCACTCTACTCTATCGCTCTTCAATACGCAAACGCACTCCCAGCACATAGAAAAGTCTGGATGTACGCGTTTATAGATGACCTATAGCAATGCGAAAAGCCGAGTGAGTCCTTCCCTGCCTTGCGCCTTACTTTGCCTCAAGAACTATAAAACGCCGAGATGCCCGCTATACTCCGTTCCGCAATCTAACAGTCAGCAGCACGCAGGAAATCCATGAGCCAAGCCAGAGTCCCTAGGCCATGGACCTCCGCAAACACCGGCGAGCGCTCTCTCTTTAATGCTCTCTATACGGCGGCGGAGGGGCTCCGGCGGGCCCTGCAGTATCTGCCCTGCTGCTAGACGGCAAGGGGGGTGGTGCCGCCTGGTTTGATGCGGAAGGCGCACCACTACTAACGAGCTGTGCCACCTTCAGCATCATCTTCTGGAAGTACTGTTGGATAAACGACTCGCTATGTCTTGTTAGTCTGCATCCAAGATTTAACTAACGAAGGGTGCTAAGATCACTCACGTATAGTAGCTGTGGTCAGAGTTGTGCGGTTTGATGATGTTGTGAGCAAGCTCGTGAGCCAGTACAACCCACCACCACACAGACGCAGCCGCCTTGCCGTCTCCCGTCGTCTGCTCCGCGTGGAGCTGAAGGTAGAAGCGCAGATTACCGAAGATGCTTCCGTCCCGGTTGAAGGCGATCGTGCCGCCGGACTCGTCGTAGAAGATGTGTAGTGCCGACTTCTTAATCGCGTATACATCACCGACTTCTTTCAGTAACGAGGCAAATGCGTTGATCGCGCCATGGTTTGATGACAAGAAGAGCCCAGCGTCGAAGTTTGTGACGGCATTGGACACGAACACTCGGATGCCGTTCGAGGCTTCCGCAACAAACGTGAGGTCCTTCCCTGCGGTATCGTCACAGTACGTTGCCTGTTCCTTTACATCCTGCGTCGTAGGAGGAGAGAAGAGATGCGATGAGTCATGTGCTCGAGTCGATTTGATGGCATTGAGGAGATTCTGCTGGACAATCGCAGGATTGGTGACCTGGCCGTCTTCCCCTTTCTTGCCAGGTTTTCCAGAGCCAGACGATGACTCGGCAGGAGGGAGAGGAGCTGGATCGGGCGTGGAACCCATGAAATTTCTCAACTTCTGCTCTACATCGTCGGTAGATTCAAAGCCAAAACGCTTAGAAAGATTGGAGAACAAGCCTCTGCCTCTCTTGTTCTGCGGGGATGGCGGCAACAGCGATGATGGACCAGCTGCGTTATCATCAGGCGAGTCAAAGCCACCTGGCATCCGGGGAGGTGGAGTGCTATTCTGTTCTCTCGCCGCAGATGCAGTAGCCTGGTTCTGCCTTCTGAACTCTTGTTCCTGTTCTCTGATTCTGGCTTGCTCGGCATCAAGTGCCTTCCGTCTTTCTTCGTCTGCTATTCTCGCTTCTGCAGCTTTTGCTCGTAGGATACGGTCAACATTGTACCCACGAGCTCGCAAGTCCAGAAGATCCAGCTTGAGGAATGGCTCAAAGAAGAAATAAGCCTGCTGACTTGGCCGGTTGAGGATGAGTTGGCAGACGGCTTGGCCAACTTGGTACATGTCAGGACGATCGGATTCGGATGCCACATACAGCACCCATCCATTCCTGCCTTGTTGACACGCAGCCGACCGCTTCTCCGTGTGAGACTGGCTATTAGTCCGCAGTGACCGACGGAGCGCCACAGACCGCACGACCTGCACGGTCAAGTTCTTCTCGAGCCATTTTGCATCATGTTTGATAGCGTCGCGCGAGTACCTGCTGTATTCGTGTATGAAGAGTTTTGACCGCTCCAGAACGTGCTTCTGGAGCCACATAGCGCCTTCTTGCTTTTCGCTGTGCGGTCCAATCCTGAGATCCTCCTGGACAGTAGCGCTAAGAGACGGAGTGCCAAGAGCGAGGTAGAATGCCTCAAGCAAATCTTCCTCGGGGGCACACATCAAGTGATCCTTGAACAGTCGGTAGCTTATAAAGTCGTCTAGAATCACGATATTCGAAGGAGCAGCGAGCTGGTACGTCCTGACGGTTTCTTCGTCATCATTCTCGGGCGCTTTCTCCTTAGATGGATTGCTGATCTCCTTGAACGCTAGTAGGAACGGAGAAGATTTCATTTTCTTCCACAAGTCCTTGTCTCTCTTGAGTGTTGACATGTCCTCTGCCAGGAACCGCAGGAGATTCAGGTATTTGTCCGGGCTCTGGAGTACGCTCAAAAGCCTCGCTGGCTCCCCAGCGGCTAGTTGGGCAATCTCTAGCTTGGTAGGTTCGTTCTTCGATCCACAAGCACTCAAGAAGACATTCGCGGTTTGGCCAAAGTCCACAAAGTCAAAGATGTCTCCATACATCGATGCACTTCCAAGATAGCAATGGCGAGGGCTAAGGTGGATGGTGAGCGGAGCCTTCCGGTCAACGATCCCCGGTGACTGAGAGCTCGATAGTCGCTTTGTTCTTGTGACAGGCACGATTGGGGAATCGCCGAGCCTCGTGATCGAAGTTGTTTTCAAGTCGGATACGCGACTAGCGAGGTACCCAAAGACCGCAACTGCCTCACGCTGATCTGCTGGAGGCTTACCGATGAGACGCTCCACACATTCCATAATAGGCGGGTTCACGGATACTCCGAATTTGTTGGCGTGGGCATGCAAATCTTTCTTTAGAATGTTGAATCCTAAGACAGCAGCGGCTTGATTTGTGTAGCAATTAGATGGGCAAACAAGCTGTTTTGCTCTTCCCTCGATAGGCAGGAATAAGTTAGAGCTTTGCCCAGTGGTGTACGAACCATAATGATTCGTCTCATGGTAAGTAACGAAGTAGTTCATGGCGCTCTCACGCAATGTCTCATCTGAAGAGGACATCATTTCCAAGAGTTCGGGAGCGCTTGGGTAAGGCTGAAGACCAAGAGCAGCCAAGAACTTGCCTTCTGCTGAGCCAGGTCTCAGGCCTTCGCTTGGCCACTGAAGGATCCCGAGACGAAGGGACCGAAGGGGGCCTTTGGGCTCGTAAAGTTCAGACACCTTGTACAGCTGTGAGGTTGCTTGACTCGACTCTTTGCCCGGCGGTCCCGCCTCGGCAGGGCATATTCGGGATTGTTTAAGCTTTTTTAGATCATCGGCAGGAATATCGGCTCGAACGGACGCCAGGTATTTGATCAGTTCGACATGACTCCATCTCGCTTTCCCAGAATCCTCAGCACCTGGAGAGGGGTTCAACAGGCGTGTAAAAATCGTCTCGAGGTCGACGGTTTTCCTCACGCCGATTGCAGAGAGAAACTTCTCCTTGAGCGCCGAGCATTCAATTGTCGGAAGATCATCAAACAACTTCACGTTTGGGAAGTACGACTCAGTTGGCTTCCTCATACCCATTCTGGTGGGTATGACGGAGTGGTTCTGGAGCAAGGACGTGATGGTGTTCTTGGAGCCCACGCTCAGACTGTCCCAACCTTTTGATATGACAGACAGAATTCGGGTTGCGAACTCGGGCGACTTGGTCATGTTCTGCTCGTCCGCCCTGTTCGCTCGTGTTTCGATCAGGAATTTGAGCCATGGTGCAATGTCCAAGAAGGTCCAGCCCAGCGCTTGCAACTCCTGGATGTTGCAATTCTTGGTGAACTCGAAGGGTATCGTGGTCGGAGGGATTGGCAGGCCAGGGGGTATTTTTTGCGTCGTTACGAAGTTTGTGATACTGCCCAGTGCGATGATATCACCAGGTTCTTTGTTGTCCTTGCTTACTATTGCGACTGCAACATCGAGAAGACGGTCCCTGCTTGGGGGATCAAGCTCACCCTGAACCGCCTTCTTACCAGCCCACTGGATAAAGCTGATGAGCTGAGCTTCATTCAGTGGCTTCCCAGACAGCTCTGCACGCACATCATCCACAGTAATATGTGACAGTAGGTCGAACTCCTTCAGCTTGAGAACAAAGCCAGTTTCTTCCAATTCGGCTGGGATGACTGGGATGCCATCGACAAATTTCGCAAGTTCTTGTGATCCAAGGCGAACCTTGGTAGTCGGGAGTACGCCCCGGCTGCTGTATATCTCTACGAATGGCTTCTTATACGACGTCCAGAATGCTTCCTCGATGATTTGCGAGACATGACCACTCGGCGTTGAGTCTCCAAAGGTGAAGGCTTTCAATAAGTGCAACGCTTCGGGTATGTACTTGGCGGTCTCCTTCGAAGTTAACACAGTGCCTGCGCTCCCAGCTGCTCTTTCAAGCTTCAGCTGTAGCTCGGCCATTTCGTTGGCGAAAGCCAGCCGTGTCATGATGCCTGCTGCACGCAGCATCTCGGTGTTCCACGTCCGAACCCATCTCGCGTTTAGATCGATGGCTTCACGCTCGACGGTTGGGATAACTGAGGGAGCGGATATATGCATGCCAGCACCAGTGGTCTGAGTTGTCGGAAATCCAATGAAGATTCGACCGCCCTTCTTGCTTGGAAGCACGGATGAGAACACATTGGTAGCTTTAGAAGCCGGTGTGGATGTCTGTGTGCTCTTTGAGGCTTCGGTTTCGTCATATGAAGACGTCAAGATGGACAACTTTGCAATCTTCGGTGGGGGTTTCTTCGTGGCTCTTTCCAACTCTGCCGCAAAGTTCCCAGTCACAGACGTCTTGATGGCAGCAGTCGTCACTCGAAGGAAGATCTTGGATGTTGACAAGGCCGTGATGTCTTCAGAGATCGCTTCCTGGGCGGCTTTCTCTTCCTTTATTGCCTTGACTTGCTTCGATGTAGCCGCGGTTAACCTGGAGAAGAAGCTTCGTAGCGAGGGTACCTCTGAGTTGCCCATTCCGTACGCTTGCGCTGTTGCCACCTTCGGCTTCCACCCCACGGCACTCATGAAGGTGACATCGATTTGTGCACTGGAGCGATCGACACTTTGCACTTTCATTATACGCTCCTTGGTCGTAGTCTCAATATCTCTTGAAAGAGCAACATCAACACTCGGACTGGCCTTCTTTTGTAAGGAGAGGATCTGGTAGTTATCAATCCAGAACTCTATGTGCTGCAATGCCACAAAGGTCAGACTTGTCGCTAGGAACTGGCTGACAGACAGCAAGTTCGGCAGTGTTGTTGTGGCGTTTCTGTAGTCAAGGACGAAGGCTGTATCCAAGGTACACTGGTCCTCGGGCAGTTGTAGCTTCCTCGTGAAGAGGGCGTTCCCCTTCCAGTAGAATGCCATGGCCTCGTTGCCCGAGCTGACGAAGGGCTCCTCGCAGTCTGCGAAGACACTGTAGAATCCGACACCGAAAGCACCGATCTTGGTTTCATCTGGGTTACCCTCGGCGATTCGCTTGAGCCGGCCCCAGTCGGTCTTGGTGAATGGCGTGCCATTATTTTGGACGACGAGTCGGCGTAGTGTATGGTTCGCGATGATATGCTTCAGTATCTCGGATCGGTCCGTCGTGGTTGGGAGGGGTATCTGGGTCGAGGGCAGGGTTTCCCACTTGATTTTGACGGTGGTAGCCTGGGCGTCGGCAGCGTTTTGGATCAGCTCTCGCAACGTGGTCCATTCTCCCGAGTATCTGGCAAGAACTTTGTCGATTAGAGCTCGGGTGTCGACAGTAACTGCTTCCTCGTCCTCGCCGTCCCGAAGGGCAGCGGCCCGAAGTCTTCCATAGTCCATCTTCTCTGTGTTCAGCGAAGGTGTTGAGTCAGCGGAACATTATGGGGTGTGTAAACACTTGGCCGACTAGGTCTAGGTTTGCTATCTGGCACTCGTGGTGCGGCGACTGGGAGGCGTAGTAGTCGGAGCAACTCGTCCTAAGGCAGGGTGGCGAGGCTGGCCTCAAGGTTGCGCAGGTATACCACGGTACCTAATCGAGGTGCAGCCAGAGCTTACAGGCAGCAAGTACCTAACTGTACATGTGACTTGGATGTCTCGTTAAGGGATGTGTCGCATGCAGACAAAGGACCAGAAACGATAAGACTCTAGGACAAAGGCAGCGGAGTGGAACGAACTCGATGCCTTGGCTTAGGGGTATTCTCTGTTAAGATACCCAGGGTGAGCTCCCGTCTCGATGACAAAGGGAGTGTTATTATTAGGTGATGACGATGCTTGTTTCGCCTGGTGACTTGGTCCCTTGGAGATATGTACGTAGATAGCCGCTAGACCTCTACCTTATCTAAACTCCACTAAACTCCGGGTTCCTGCTCAAGTGTCACTCTGGTGCTTCGTCACCCACGCACTGCAGCCAGGCAACCCGGAAGCGCCTCAATGTATCCAACATGCAACGTGTGATTTTCAGAGCTTCGAGAAGGTGCAGAGAAGAACTCTATGACTCATACACGTGATGACTGATAGAATTTTGGCAGCAAGTAGTTGTCAACACAGACTGAAAGGATCTTGCATGTCTCTGACTGTGTAAGCCGGTTATAACGTACGTAACGTAAGCAGACGTACCTTTCCCCCGTTGCTCGGTGTGTGTTCTTTAGCATGCAGAGTATAGCCTCGATTCATGACACCGTCAGAACCACCCTGTGCCTCAAGCACTACATGTAGGTAACCTCCGTCTTGTACCTAGTCTCTGGCCGGGCTTCTCCGTCGGTGATGCTGAGGGCTTCTGCTACGTCGCCGGTCCCTGGACCTTTGCCGGTGATCGTCGCTCGCACCGTCTCTTCTTCGCTCAAACCTCTCAGCGCTGCGACTTCTACTTCGCTCTCTCCAATGATCTTGGCCTCCCTTGGATCTGTGGGAGTCTCGTTCGCGACTGTGACTTCGCCGCCTGCGGTGATCACGTCTGTCATCCCTGGCGTTATCTCTCGATCTGTGCCTGTGGGACTCAGTCCCCCTCCGTGGTAATCTGTCGCGCCGTCCGTCACGCTCCCTGTCCCTGTGGCTGTCCCGGTTTCGACTTCTGCTCCTGTGTCTTCTTCGGTGTCGTCGTTCGGGGTCATCGTGTCGTTTCGATGCTCTGCGCTTGCTGCCCTCTGTCTCTTGGCTCTCCACAAGCACCGCTGCCGCCGCCACTGCCGCTGCCGGATTGTCACCCACAGCACCCCGTCCTTCGCCAACCTCGATCGAATTCGACCCCGTCACATTGCGTTGGGCTACGGGTAGACCGAGTGCTCGAGCCAGCGCGTCTTCTTCGGCCTCCTTGATTTGTTTCAGCTCTTCTTTTCGCTCCCGCTCTGCTCTCTCCTCTGCTGTTTCGTTTGACGAAGCGGCGGTCGCATTTGGTTTTGCGTACCAGTTGAGGTCTCGGCCCTTCTGCCAGCGTCCAACGGGGGCTTTTAGGCTGTGACCGAGGTAGTTTTCGCGGTGGACGGAGCCTTGGACGTCTTCCCAGTTGAAATTAACTCCTCCGCGCGAGCCTGATTTGCGGATGCTCGAAACGAGATCCATGATGGCGCAATTCGTATGATTTGATCAATGGATTAGTAGTCGCAGTAGAATCGTAGCGCCGTATGGAATGATCGCGGGGTACCTATGTTGCAGGTGTCGCGTCGGTCGTGAGGTGTTGCCGGAAGTAGGAAGTGGGTGGTAACGTGAATGTAGAAAGATGGAATTGAAATGAGGCTGGCTGGTCCAGGGCAGTGGGGCACAATCGAAAGCTAGAAGTGCCCCGCCAAAGTTTAGTGTTTAGTGCAAGGAATTCCCTGCGATGCGTAAGTACTTAAGGTAGTCCAGCAGTGTACGCCATAACCAACCCCAACTTCCAACTTCCATCATTTCAGCCTCGTCCTTGCTCCTTTCAACAACCTGCATCAGAGATCTGCGACCTGCAACCTGCAACCTGTAACCTGTAACCTGCCCAGTAGGCGTGCATCGAGATGGCGGCAATCAACGAGCCCCCGTTAGACGAGATACAATGGCGACATCCGGTGCTGGTGCAGTCCATGCAAGGCATCCACTCGAATTCGGTGCTCTTCTACTTCGCCGAGTCGCCCTTCTTCGACCGCACATCCAATAATGCCGTGCTCGCGAGCCAGGCCATGTTCAACGCTAACATGTTCCACCTGATCCAGACGCGCGAGGCCTTTGAGGGCCGCCTGAGGGAGATGTCCGGCTTGGAGTTCATAGTGGCCCAGGAGCCCGCCGAGATGGCGCCCGGGACGGGCACGGGAGTCTGGGTCATCCGCAAGCAGACGCGCCAGAAAAGGGAAAACGCCGAGGACAAGATCACAATACATTCAACCTACTACGTTATTGGGGAGAACGTCTACATGGCACCTACGCTGGCCCAAGTCCTGGGCTTCAGAATGGTGTGTACACCCCTGACTAGGTAGGGCAGTTGTATGCACAATCGACTGACATTCATGCAGGCTACTGTTGCTTCAGCACTGGGCAAGTGCTTCCCAGCCGCAGACAACGCAAGGGCTTGGTCACCTTCGCTTGGACACCTATACAAGACGGCTCCTGCCGTCACAAATCCGCGCACCCGGAACCTCGAATCCAAGGAAGCGACGCCGATGCCCGAGAGCCAGGGCAGCAAAGGCGCGCTGGAACCTAAAAAGACCACCCGGCAAGCCCTCGACTCGCGGCTTGCAGAGCACTCCTTCATGGTGCACATGCAACACGGCGGAGACTACATGGACGAGAACCCGATCACCGGCAAGCCGGGTGAATTCCATCTCTCCTCGACGGGACGCAAAGACAACATGAAGCTGCAGATCCCGGGCATTACAGCCCTCAACACGTCGTTCAAGAGCCCTGCCACGCCAGAGGCAGGTAAGAAAGACGCAAAGGCGGGCGACAAGACTCCGAAGACTCCTACTGGGACGTCCAAGTCTAAGCGGAAAAGAAAGTCGGGTCAGACACCGACCTCCTAGGAAGAAGGAGGGTCGGCGAAAGATACCACGACAAATAACTTGACCACAACGCCTACCAAGACACCTACCAAGGAGCCTACCAAGACGCCTACCAAGACGCCTAAGACCAAGCGAGGGAACCTAAACACGGGTAAAATGCCTCCGCCGACGGATTCGTCTTTAGGCATAGGCAAGCCGGCGAAAGAAACCACGACATATAACTTGACCACAACGCCTACCAAGACACCTAAGACCAAGCGGAGGAAGCTGAACACGGGTAACATGCTTCCGCCGACGGATTCGTCTTTAGGCAAAGGCAAGCCGGCGAAGAAGAAGACGAACAAATAGTGTAAGAAGGGAAATTTACCTGTGAGTAGAGAGGCGCCGCGAGAGGACAACTCCCTCCATCTGGGAGTAAGGCTGCTGGCGTTCGGGAATAAGGGAAACTGAACAACGGACAATTGATACCCCATGTTCATAGATATCTACTTAGGTATCTTCAAGCATTTGATTCTTACAAGTAATAGTTCTTGTTTTAGAAACACCATCAATCAGAAACGGCATGGGTGCCATGTGCGGCGCAAAGCATCAGCATACGGGTTTTTTTTTGCTAGCCGCCGTGAGATTCGAGAAGCACCTTAGTTGGTTACGCCCGAAGTCCTGGATGTCTGTCTCACCGTCACGTCTATCTTTATCGCGATATAGGTACGTACTCCGTCACACAGTGACCATTGTAGTTGTTTCATACGTCCGTACCATGTACTTCACGTATATGCATGCGCGCAAGCTACATGTATGCCGGCAACAAGACGTTTTTGTACGTACCTCAACCAAACATGTCCCAAAACGGATAAATATCCAGAAAGAAAAAGAAATGCGATGTCCACGTCAGCGATCATCGCATAATGGATTGGAAGCAGACAATTCGCTCGTTCCCGCAATCGATCGACTTCAGCTCTCGTAAACATCAGCCCTATCGTCGTCCCCACATCCGTCCACCCTCCACCCTCGGGCCTCCCCCTATTCCCATCCCTCCCGCCAACCAGCTCACTCAGCAGCAGTCTTCCCCTCACCACCCTCACCGCCATGACCAGTCCCAATCGACATCCCCTGCTTCATGAGCGGGCTCTCGGAGACGCGGGCATAGTCGTGCAGCATGATGCTATTCATCTCGCTCAGCCGCACCTCGGCGCCGGCGCGGGCGCGCATTTCGGTCTCGTATGCGGTGATCAGATCGGCTTGGGACTTATGAGGGTTGGTAGTGTTGGTAGTGTTATTCGCGTGGGATAGTAGCTCGACGAGCTTGCCGGCGTCGGCTAGGGCGTGGTTGAGGCCTTGGCCGCGGTCTGGGGGTTGATGTTAGTATTGTTTGTGTTGACGTTCGAGGGATGGGGATAGGGGAATAGGGGTTAGGTAGGCTCCAATTCGACACGTAATCACAGCTCGGAAGATATCCAAGACTGCCCTGAAAAGAGACACCCAGGCACCACCTCCCAAACAAGTAACCGAGAAGAGAAGAGAAGAGAAACTCACGATAAGTCATCGGATGCGCCGCATCCCCCACCAGCGTGACCAGCCCACCCCTATTATCCCAAGCATGTCCCTCCAGACTCGGATCCCAATCCGCGAGGGCACCATAATAAACCTCCGCATGGTCCTCCTCCAGCCCCTCAAACGCGCTCCTCAACGGCTCCCCCCACCCCCTCGCCCTCTCCCGGATCTGCCTCAGCCTCTCCTTGACCCCCCACCCCCTTTCCTTTTCCTTATTCGCCGCCTGCTCCTCCAGATCCGAGGGCCACGAGATATAGAACGTGAAGCGCCAGGTCTCGGGCTTGTCAGGATCGGCCGCGTCGAGCGTGCCCAGGAACCCGACCATGTTTTCGGGGTGCAGGATCAGGTTGAAAATCGGGTGGAAGCTGCGAAGGTAGAGCGCAAGCTCGTGCGGGTAGGTGGCGTTGATGAAGGTCGAGACGAGGGAGAGGCGCTTGAGCGAGGCGGCGGGCGCGCCGAGGAGGATGCTGCGGAGGGCGCTCTGGCTGCCGTCGGCGCCAATGAGGAGGCGGCCGCGGGCGGATGTGCCATCTCCAAAATGCGCCGTTACGCTCTTTCTGGTCTTGCTGCCATCCCCATACTCGTAACTAACCCCAACAACCGTCTTTCCAAACTCGGCAACCCCCTCGCTTCCCCCGATACCCTCCGCGATCAGGCCGCGCAGCCGCGACCTCAGGAACCGGCTCACGCCCGGCGTGGGCACGGCGCCGGCGCGCTCGCCCGTCGCGCCGTTGAAGACGTTGATGACGTCGGTTTCGACCCTCGGCAGGCCCGGGTCGACGAGGGCGGCGCGCTCGACGCGCGCCCAGCCCGCGGGCCCCAGGAGGGAGGCGAGGATCGGGCGGGACCAGTGGCAGCCGAATGCCCAGTCGCGGTTGTTGCGCGTGCCTAGGGCGCTGTCTTTCTCGAAGAGCTTGTAGGGGATGTTGTTCTGGGGGTTGGTCAGTCGGGGGGAGTGAAACGTGGGTAGGTAGTGTGGGAGGGCCGAAAGGGGGCAGGCATGAGGGTATTCCATATGACATTGTGTATGGTATTCTTTGACATACAATGTGAAGGCCATGAGCTATAGCCAGTCCACAGGTCCCTACGATAGTAGCATATCAGTAAGTAAGTAGCCCGTTGTCAGACGACCAAGATACGTATGGGCTTTCTTACCGGCTCCGATGATCAGCACGGGCAGGTCTTCCTGCTCAAAGTTTCCGGCCATGATGCAAGTTTGGCTTCTCGTATCCTGCTCGATCGAAGTTGACTCGAAACTATCCTTCTGAAAGCACCAACGGCAGTTCACTTATTTATAAACGGCTTGAGGAGATATGTTTAGCTTTGCGGGGTATATTACCTACTGAGACTGTTCGTGATGTTACGTGTAAGTAGAGCGCCGGTGACTCCTCTTGCCGGATTGGATTGTGGACGGGCCCTGTCCACTTACCAAAGCTTTTCCCAGTAATTGGAAGGTATACACTTGCAGTGGCCGAAGTCCCTGTGCCTCACTCACGCAGACAAACCTCTACCATCAGGCCTCCCTCCCCGCCTCCCTATGCGCATCCCCTCGAGGCGGGGTCCTCGGGATCATTCGCCATTTCGCTTCAACAATTCCCGTCTCAAAACCCGCGGCCCTGTGCTCTGTAGCTAGAGCGGAAACTGTCCACCCAGGACCGAGCCGGCTTGTCCAACTGGTCCGTCTGCGGTGTTAACCACGGCACCACGGCACCACGGGGTGAACCGGCGAGGAGTCATACCGGTAGGGCGGCAGAGCTAGAGGCTACCTACATTAGGTAGTGGATCACGGCGGCGCGGAGAGATGCATATATAGAAGTATTATTTATCAAAAACAATTGCTTACGAACGGCGTCAAAATCCACGAAATGCGAAATTGTCGTATTTCGCACCAGTTCCCAAGTTTGCAATTCTGATGTTGCTGCGCCGCTGCGGTCGATACTTGAGGGGATACTTGGCTCGCTAGAATAGGATTGATACGGCCTGTGTTGAATGGGAGCCGGAAATAGACACCGGAAGATCTCCAGTGGGGCAGACGCACAGGGCATCTGACCCGCCAAGAAGACAGATGATCAATCTCTGCACGCAGAAAAAGAACACAATCAATAGAATCAATCAACATCCGTGTATTCAATAATTAAGAGTCTCATTGAATCTACGCAACCGGCATCCATATTTCAAATACACGTATTGTACAGCCATTTCAAGATAAATATCACAGTTCCAACCCAGAACGCAACTGCGTACTATTGATCCTGAAAGGACTTCGTCAGCTTGGGACTCCAATTCAAGAAAAGGGCTGAAGCACTCGGCATCTGGCAACATATCGAGCCAGGGGTAACTACTCTATGGCCAATAGCACCAACGCCTCCAGATATCCTATCAGAAGAGTATTCAAAGAAGCCTACCAGAACAACTCAAATAGTAGTGGAGGAGGCACGAGTCCTCGCTTCACACTTTATAATAAAAGGAGCAACTGATTTCAAGATAAACTTCGCCTTATTTGAGCACAAAGACAAGATCTACCAGCAAACTAAGGCCTCTATATCTGAATTCATTAAGTGGACTCTCAAAATCGTCAATCCTACCATACATGAGACCAAATTACTCCCCAATAAAACCTCTATCAGTAGTACCAGGAGCTCGCAACTGGAAGAGCCATCTACAGTGAGATATTATGCACCAGGCCCAAGTCGACTACCGTGCCATTATATCAACAATCAACAAAGGGATAATAATAATAAAAAGGGGGTAGGCGGGGGTTCATTAATTGGATTAAAGAATGGGAGTTGGTTATGACCAGGGCTATGAAAGCCAGGGTTCCTGAGTCTCTATCTCTAGCAACTTGATGTAATGACTTCATAGCCACTGTTGCCTCGATGAACTCCATTGGTCTTCTCAAGCCAGGGCAAACAAGAAGGAAAAAGTGCTTAAAGGCAGTATTTTATACTCCTAGATAGCCTCTGACCTCCATAATGACTGGATAATAACGTACGCCATTACTAATCCTTTAAAGTGATAGAAAGCGGGCTTTCTAGCCCTTTACAAAGAACAGCCTGACAATACAGGAGACTTGACTGGAGATAAGAGAGAAAAAGAGCATCCTCAAGAGCAATCAGACGCAAGAGGCAGAGGCCGCAATAAAAGAAACAACAACCAAAGACGGCAAAGGGGCTCAAGAGATAGATCAACAGGAGATTTCAGAGGAGAAAGTCAGGGAGCTTCTGACAAAAGGGGTTGAGACGACAAAAAAGCTCTCTTAACCACTCAAACATACAAAGGATGCCATTATAAAAGGCACCACTTTATAGAGTGCTTTTATCTCTTCTTAAACAAGCGCATAAATAGATAAAAAGTCCATCGCGACATAGAGCAAATGGTCAAAACATTGTTCAAAAAGGACAACAATTTATCTGAAAAAATGACATAAATCTAAAAGAGACAGATACCGTGTAATTAACTCACAGAAAGGGACAAGAGAGTACAACACGTACCAATGCACATAAAGAAGGCCGCAGTATCTTATCTAGCAAATAACACAAAGTCCTTCTATTCAATCACCCCTTACCCCTTACTCAACTCGTTAATCCTTGGCTCTGGCATAACCTTATATATCTTTAACGTTATTACTCGCTTTAACAATTTTTATAGAGCACCAATAGGTAATGGAGTGTATGTAAGAGACACCTTTATACCAATCCTAAGATACAAAGAAATAGACATCACTGCTCATAACTCGCTAAGACCATTCATCTTGACCCTATAAAATGTCGCCTTCTGTGAAGGTTCCGCGACAAACCTCGTATCTTTACAACAGCCCAAGAAACTTGGATACTACTGGGATAATAAACCTCCTAACAACTGCATTAGACAAAAGAATGATTCAGTGGTGTTCAAACTCACAAATAAGTTTGAATAATGGGTCGTGGAGGACATACCCCTAGGCAAAACCAAAGCGTCCTTTGCCCTGCGGAGGAGGATGATGAACTCCGCAACAGAAAGAGCTTTAAATAAGGGTGACAAGAACCTCTGGTACTGGCGGCTAGCGTATCCTGGCCTTGAAGTAATCGTTAGATCACAAAGCATGCTAAAGGAGTAAGAATTAAGGGTCCCTCTACTGCTCAGTGTGACGGGTATGGCAAGGCCAAAATCAAGAAACAGACACGAAGAACACCTAGGCAATCATCAACCAAGCCAGGTAGCATCCTGTCTATTGATTTCCTTGACCTTAAGAAGGATTCAGATAGCTATTAGAGTATTATGTTTGTCACTTACAGATACTCTGAATACATGTGGGCATACTTCCTGAAAAGGAGAACTGCAGAACACATAATTGGCGCCCTCCAAAGCATCATCAGTATACTGAAGATACAGTTCCAGATCGACGTTGAGGCTATAGAAGCAGACAACGAGTTTATCAAGTCAAAGGACATTAAAGACTTCATCCAAGACAACCACATCTGAATTGAGCCCTCTGCACCTCATACTTAAGACCAAAATGGAGGCGCTGAGCGCTCATGGGGTGTAATCAAAGCGAAAGCTCTTGCTATGCGCAGCGGAGCCAAGCTACCAATATATCTCTGGCGTCACATCTATACTGCAGCTGTGACGGCCTGCACAGGCCTTCCCACATGACAAGTGGATACTTCCCAATAGAGGAAGGATCTGACCAGAGGATCCCCTTAAAGGGGCAACCTCTTACTGTATCTATTTCTTTTTCTCTCTCTTCCTTTCCTCTCTAGTCTTGATATTCTCGTCAATAGAGTAATAGCTGCTTGCTGTCGGCCATGTCCCAGCTCCTCAGTACGCTCGCCGTGACAGCAGCAGTGTATTTCCACAACAGAACACCATCCTTGCACCACAACTGGAAGACCCCATATGAGATGTTCTTCCAGTATCTGTCATTCCGAGACGGCCTAGTTACCCCTGACTGCAGACCAATGCATACACACCTACGAGCATATGGCTGCAAAATGTTTGTAATGACTGCCCCCGCACAGGAGAAAAAGGACCGCCTCAAGAAGCTGAACCCAAAAGCCTGGGTTGGCTATCTTGTGGGATATAACTCAACCAACATCTATCTGGTCTGGAACCCATTAACCAGCAAGGTCCACGCTATGCGTGATGTGATAGCAGATGAAGACCAGATATTCTCAGAAGACTTGAGCGACCTTAAGGACAACCTCCTGTATGTTAGCGAGGAACAATTAACACTACTTTTAAGTAGACACGAAGTGCCATCCAAAATCCTAGAGGACATTCCAGTATACCAGGAAGACAAAGATCTTAATAGATTAATACAGGAGCACCCAGACAGAGATGAGATGGACCTGAGTGATAATAATACAGAAGATACCCAGGACAAAGCCAACATAAATAGTAGCAAAGGGACTGATCACCCCTATACATCTGCCGTGTTTGAGCCATACCTGACCCCAGAACCCACTCCTCCGCCTGCGGCAGCACTGCTGGCTGCTACTATCAGAGAGCCTGTGAAGGGCCAGGTTAGAGCATCATGCTCCTGGCAAGCAAAAGAAGGGTTAGATGCCCGCATGTTACCTTCAACCGGGGACGCCCAGGCCATACGGAATTATTACAGGAAATGGGAAGCAGCGTTTAATGCTGGACGCGTTGCCAATCTTGTTGGTTTGATAGATGGAAGGCCAGTAAGCAAAGTCAAGTACAACAAATATATAATCTATGGTTCTCGCCCTGGTGGAAAACCATCATACCAAAGAAATCATCATGGCCCAGTTTCAATACCTACAAAAGTAAAGAAAATACATTAATAATCATTACTATCAGAGCCAAAGAATTAGCAAGGTGTCAAGAACTATCCCTATAAGGCCGAGTGGCGTCAAGCCGAGGTTGACCATATCAGCAGCCACAATAAAATATGATCATAGATAATCACTGACAAGTCAGCAATAAATGGACACCCATTCCTAAACTATATATGGGTATACAAGAACAAGTTCGACAAGCACGGCTTCCTGAGCAAGTACAAAGCACGTCTCATGGTTTGTAGTGACCAGCAGAATAAGAACATCTATAAGAATACCTATGCATCAACTCTCGCAGGCAGATCTTTCAGAGCCCTCATGGCAATCACAGCCCGGTTCAATCTTGAGCTCATTCAATGCAATGCCATGAACGCCTTTGTCAACGCGGACCTAGAAAAGGAAGTCTTCATAAAAATGCCATAAGGGCACTGTGAACAAGAAAAGGTCCTCTTGCTAAAGAAAACTCTATACGGACTACGGCAATCTCTTTTCCTATGGCAAAAGCATTTCACCAAAACTCTCACAAACCTTAGCTTCAAACCAGTCGCTCACAAACCCTGTTGCTTCACAAAAGATGACATGATCATCTTCTTTTATGTGGATGATATCGTGATAGCCTTCAAAGAACACTATCAGAACGCTATAGAGGCGGTCACAAAGAAGCTGAAAGTTATCTACTGTCACGATGCCTGCGGCGTTGTGCTGGAAAACTTGTGGTATTTCGAAAATAACAAAGTGAAGAAGGAAAGAAATCCAAGTGTGCGTGCACCCGGATGGCTGCAGCACATATGGTGGTATCCTTCCTCACATTGTTATTTTGGGAATACAACACCAGATTCCACCACAATGCCGTAGGCATCGTGACAAGTGTCCAGAGATCTCTATGAAGCCTCAAGAGCTTTTTCCAAGCGACGAGCTCGCCTTGCCAGCCTCGATCAACAGATACTAAAAGAAGATCAGATCGATCCTGTATGTGGCGGTGATCACACGACTTGGCATCTTTTTTGCTGCCTCTCGGCTTTTATGCTTTAATAACAACCCAAACGATTTATGTGCTGCTGCCGCAAAGCACTTATTAGAGTACTTGAAGGGTACCAGATCTTTTACTCTTCAGCTGGGAGGTAAAGATCTGCTTGAAATATGAAGCGATGCGTCATTTTCTGACAACAGCCTCGACCAAAAAAGCTCATAAGCATACATAATAAAGCTATTCAGAGGCATTATTGGCTGAAGAGCAAACAAATAGGACACAGTAATAACCTCAATAACAGAGGCAGAACTCTTATCTCTCACTCAAGCAGCTAAAGAAATGATGTTTGTCTCGCGCCTCTTTAGAGAAATTAGTGTATCCTTGGACTGTACAATTCTCTAAATCTGGTGTGACAACCAACAGACCATCAAGTTGGTGCGAAAGGACCTCCAAACGCTTCAAACAAAGCTCAAGAACATTGATATCTACAACCACTGGCTAAAGGAAGCTCAACACAGCAGGAAGATAGACATTGAGTACGTACGGAGCAAAGTGATGCTCGTAGACAGCCTGACCAAGGCGCTGCCGGCACCAAAGTTCAAGACGTTCAGAGAGCAAGTAAGGCTGACAGATATTCACGAGAGACTTGCAGCCCGCAAGCTGCAAGAACTTAAAGATAACCTCAAACAAGAAGAGCAACTCAAGTTAATTTAATTAACTTGTTATACAAAATTTTCTAAAATATGGGTTTGAAATTAGCTTTTTTCTTTTTTTCTTTTACTTACATTTGCTATATTATATTATATTATATTATTACCTTTTATATAGATAAGAAACTAACTTAACGATTATAACGATAAAAGTACGTTTTAAAAGTTATTATTACCGTTATAACGTCGCATATATTTATAAATGTATATATTAATAGCCTTAAGCTATAGCTATTAGTTTGATGGAACGCTCACAATAAGCACCATGCCACGGCTGTTCCTCCCAAAAGGATGTCGAACATCAAGCGTGGCAGCTTGACATTCAATGGTGGTACATGTACTCATGTCCCGGCTCCAGAACTCGCCACATGGGCTACCTGTACCAGACCATGACAATTAGCATATGTTTAAATTAATATTTGCAACGTTGATTTAAGAATGTAATGATTGCAAAACGTATTTTTGTCGTCCTCGCGTGCCAGCTTAATATTCTAAAGGGGTATACGCAGATTTAAAGTAAATCACTAACACTCTGCTTGCAAACGTGTCAGATTTGAGCCAATCGTCAGAGTGAAGTGTGTGTGTATTCTGTCTGTCTAGAGTGTCCTTGTGCGACCGTGGCCGTTTTATGCCAGAGGGGGCTGGATCGGGACGGAACAACTAGGTTCCGTTTTCTACCTGCCAAGGTGCCTTCTAGGCATACCTTTAATCCAACAAAACGACAGTATCCGCCACGATTAGGATCCGGCCAAGACCCGGGGGCTGGAGGCTAGACCTCGGGAGGCGGAAGTGCACGTAACGATGAGACTACACGTGACGTCCTCTCCGAGCTCCCGTCTCTATTTCCTCGCTTCTGAGAAGTCAAATCCAACTACTACAGCACTTTTGGCACCTGTGTGCCTACAACCCATCCAGAACGGTTGGTATCAAGCCCGAGGGTACGGGATTCCAGCCCAGGGCCGTGGCACCGGGAAGCAGAAAACGGGGAACCGGGGAACGGCTTGGCAGGCGATGATCCTGAACTAGGACTCCCGCTATTCGGCCCGGCGGATGCTGATCCGGTAGGTAGGGGCGCCCCAAGCCACCGGGATTCATCTGACGTGGACTTCAAAGCTGAAACTGTATACTAGAAAGGTCCCCGAGATATCTCACATCCCGGGGACCTTCTAGTAAGTAGCATTCTGGTATTGGATTCACAGTTTGTCGGTTACCTCATTCTGCTGCCTGGTTACTATCTGCTCCTCCACAGCATCACCCTCGCCGGGAGGAGGGAGGTGTAGGCGAGTATGCATGTGTGTCTGGGGGTTCGGGACCGTCGTCGTGGACGGCTGATGAGGCTCAACGAATTCGTGCAACGCCAAAGGGGCACATGCAATCTCCTCTCCGCCGTTTCCCTTCCTCGTGGCAACTTGGCAAGGCAGACTGCCCAGTCACTTTGCCAATTGGCCAATCAATGCGTTCTTGGGGAAGTAATTACCAGCCTGGTATCCCAGGATGCAACGTGACAGCCGCACAGAAGTCTAAACGATAGGCTCCCGGGGCCAGATTGAGTGGCTGCCTGGCTCGTATCATCGTATAGAGATACCTCATGGATTGGGTACGCGGACCGCGATATAACCTCCACCGTAGAAACACCCAGCCGGTAACACCTCATGCATGGTACTTCGCTTGGCGAAGCGATGCGTTCCTGCATCCAGGGTGCAGGAAGTAAACATGCTGTGACTGACCGAAGACCAAAGCCGACTGATCAGGGCTCGATCCAGCCTGCTTGTGGAGTAGTAACGGGGTCCACGTCGTACAAGTCGTACAATGCCCTCGTCTCATCTTCGAGAAATTCAGCTGAAGCTATCGGCCGCTCTTGGTCCCCAACTCAATTTCACCCACCGGTTCACCTCGCCCGAGTGGTGGCTCGTACGTATACTGCCCCATACTGCCGACTTGGGGCCGAACATACAGGCATTTGAAGAAGGGTTAACCGGTCCCAGCCTATCCATTCCGGTGAAGATGGAAGATAGGTAGTTGGTGGACATGCTCCCCAGGAGTCAGCCTTCCACCGTTTCATTTCCTAGGCCATGTCTCGTGCCCTGCCCTGTTTGTGCGTAACGACGGTGAATGCCCGATGATTATACGAACAGCATTGCCATACCCAGCTATGTCATGGCAGATCTGTGGTCAGGCAGACACGTGCAAGGTCGATGCCGCAGAGGCGCGTTTCGTGAACCGAGGTTGTGGGATTCCACCTCTCCATACGGTGGTGTAACCTCTTTCTACCCGGACTTTCAGCTAGGGATCACACTTGTGTTACCAGCTGTAGCCTCAACTTCACCTAGGTAACTCTGCCTAGAGTATGTATACGGCGTATAGGCTCATCGGCACACGGAGATCGGAAGCCCGATGGTGACACGAATTGCTCGAGACTGAGACCTCTCCTGCCTATGAAGACGACAAATTGATCGCTCGAGTTGCACTTCAGCCGCTTGAAACAATCCTCCCGAGGCTGGACACTCATATCATATTGTTGATAGCTGGCCGTTGACCGTGGAACGTAACCCAGCCTGGGATTTCGTGTTTCTCGAATCCAGCCCTGTGAACGATCCGAGTACTGGCAGAGATGTCATGTGAAGCACTTTCGGGCTCTTTCTCGATCTGTCTCGGCCAGAGGATCAAATAACTGTCAAGTTAGGACAGCAATTCAGCGGCCATGGATACGGGGGCCCGGTATGCTGTGGGGAACGCTCAATGACGACGGGTAGGAGGCTGAAACGAGAAACTGACGGGAGTTCGCATAAAACCCCACGTGGTTCTCAATGTCTCCTTGCCATCCCGTGGTACCTCGCCACTTCGATTATGTCAAGCTTGCCGTACCTGATGGGGCAGCTTGGAAAGAGCCGCATTGGGGGCCATGCTCCGATACGTCGTATCACACCGGTGAAGGACGTGGCGAGAATAGGAAGTCAAGACTTCCAGACCCGGCTTGGGGGCCGGGCGGACGCTGTACCTAAAAGTCCACCATGACGCCATATTGAATTATCAATAACCAGAAGGATATGAAGACTCCCGTTGCGGATGGCTCAATTTGCCCGACTCATGGTCAGCTGCAATATGCTCACTTGGTGTTTCGAAGAATAGCATCATCATGTCGATCTTCTCTACGAAGTACATAGCTGAGTGAGATGCCGACGGACTTACACGTCTCGTTCCGGCTTTTACGCGCCCACGTGGAGAAAACACCCTCGGTCCAGTGTATTCTCGTCGTGGAAACATAGCCTTGCTGCTGTCACGTCTGCAGCGTGCATCTCTTACTAAGACTATAGAGTCAGACAGAGGGGTGGAAAGTACTCGAAGCTGCCCCGCACCATGCCGCACACACTGAGTACGAAGGCACACGTCGGGAGTGGGATTAGGTGGGAGAGATACTGTAAGCAAGAAAGAGACTGACCGAGTAGGTGAGCATTTTTAATGACTGATGCCCAGAAGGTGCTCGAGTTTGGTACCGGCAGGAGATGAAAGACTTTGGGGTCAAGGTTCGCGTGGCAGTGCCAGTGCCATGGTGACGGTCTTGCCAGCCATTGGCCGACAAGCTGATGACAGCCAGGGTTGTTATAAAAATAGCCCTGCCGGCCGTTGCACTCGAAGTGGCCGATCAGCACTAAATCGACCCCCAAAATAACAAGAGCGGCCTGCCAGTTGCATATGCCTAGCTGCGAGTCTGGGAGGGTGTCGAGGGGTGCGTGGTACAGACACGAGACAGGCTGAGGAGAGCAGCGAGCGCCGTGAGGGTGGTTGTGGCTTTTCTTGGCTCGCGTGGCAGCCCTGCAAGAGCAAGGAGCGAAGCGAAGCGGTGGGATGCGGACTCGAGGATCGCATTGGTGGTGCTGCGTCCCAACGATGGCTGCGGCCATCCTGCTGGTACCACGACCGCTGGAGAATGCAGCAGAGAGGGTGGTGCTGGATCTCAAACCGCAGCCATCTGCGACATGCTGCTGCTGCCTCTGCATCGCTTGTGCTGCAGGCACCGATCATGTCGCATCATGATGATCACCTTTGTATGTAGGACTAAGGCACCGATCTACAGCAGCACATGGCATGCGTCACCTCTCAGGTTCTGCCCCGGCGATGTTCCCCGGCCGCACTTCTGAAACTGTCCGATCATAACATCGGAAGGCGGAAGGAAGGGGTAATTCAGCCATGTGGCATCGGTGGTGGTGGCCGGAAATGAGACCTACCTGTACGCCGGTTGTTGCAGATGAGGCGACTTCTCATCGACTGGCACAGTAGTTGACTCACAACCCGGATGACCCACGCGGATTAGGCATCCCGGAACCTGGATGCTAGGACTTTCTGGACCCTTGGTCATCGATGCTGTAGCGAGATTGCCCTGCCACTTTGGGGTTACTGTGGAGGGGGAAGAGAGTCAGAGGCCCAGAGCCAGAGGGGCATCTGACGCTGTCCGTCCGCTCTTGGTGTAGCGAACATCACGATGATGCCACTTTGGCTCATGAAGGGTACCCGGGTACTGACCGCAGTGGCAGACTGGGTCCGGCATTGGCCGAGTAATCATGGTTGGGCGTTGCCTATCCGAGGCATACGGTAAGGTAGGCAATGGACCCCGTCGTACAGATGCGACGCCGTTGAAGAGGCAGAAGTGCCGTGCCTGCCTGTAGCTGTCACGACCGGTCACGAAGGGTCATAGCCTCCACTGCCTGCTCGGCCTGTCAAAGTCTGGGACAAAATAGCAACTAAAGGGCCCGTTGATGAGCGTGGAGCAACGCCGTTGAACAGGTACATACTACATACCGAGTCACCGACGGGGTGCTGCGAAATGAAGTAGGGGTGGTAGGCTGGCCTCGTTCTGTGACTCGTGGGCTTGTCAACGAGCTGGCGAGTGGCTGGCCCTGGATGTGGTGGGAACGAGAGTTGATTGGTGAGGAAGCAGTCGAAACCGAAGCCGAGTGGGAAATTTTATTTATTCCAGGCGGCGCCAAGGATGCATCCATCCCGTACATCCAATGTTGTCAGATGTCAGATGTCAGCTTCAGATCGCAGGAGCGACACAACATTAGCGAGCACCCTAGCACCTGCCTGCCCTTACACCTGAGGACAGAACAGTCATCGGCGAGGATTGCAACGTGGACTGCAACGTGCCACACCCGGATGTCCAACCCGGCCACTTGTATACTTGTATACTTGTATACTTGTATAGTCGCATTGCAGCGTGCCATGGCCCATCATCCCATCATCCCGTTATTACTTCCTATGCCAGGTACCTTCATGGTCTCATATGCAGGCCGCCGGTCAGCTGCAGCAGCATCGCACGGCACCAGCGCAGCTCAGCCCTATGGAGTCTTATAGGTACGGTATTCCTACCTATTTCGTACTATGTATATGCATATCTGTATTACTGATATCATGTACGTCCGGCCCCCAAAATAGCCCTGACCTGCGTGTCGGACCAGGGGTGCCACGCGTTGAGAACTTCTTGCTTTCTTCCGTGCGCCGCAGATTGCAGATTCGTGCTGCGGGCTCGACAGTTTACAACGTACAACCACCACAATGTGTCATCCTCCCGGGTATGCCCACCGCATTTTGCCGGATCCAGCTGCGTGGTTCTTGGTTCTCGCTTCTGCCCTAAACTGGCTCCCGAGAGAACCTCATGGCGGGATGCAGGGTATGCTTAATAAAGGTACTTTTGGAAACGCTGCTGACCCAGCATGCGACGCTGCTATGTGTACGGTACCTGCCTGCCTGCCTGCCTGCCGCACTCCCTCCCTCCCTCACCCCCAAAGTCTACCTGGGTACCTATTCGAGGCTTTGTTGACTGTTCGGTACGATCCTTTACGGTAGGTTGACACCAAGTCCCCCGAGGCTGAGAAGGTATTTCGTACACGCGCTTGGCAGGCCGCAGCAGCAGCCAGATGTCATCATTATCATCATCACCACCACCGGCACTTCATTTGGCCTCGAACCAGGAACCAGGGGGCCATGCTCCCCTGCAGGCAGGACCCGTCAGTTTGGCTGAGCAATGGTAAGGAAAGGACAGACCTAGATCCTCTAGGATAGCCTATAGCTGTATAGGGCCAGGAGGATATATAAGACCCTCCAGGACTTCCAGACTTGAGGAGCTACTATCATCATCATCATCATCACCAACACCAACAACAACAATAACAACACCAACAATAAAAACATCAACAAGGACAAAGACCACTACAAGATATAATATCATCACCATCACCATCTGTATCAACCTCAACAAACCCAACACTATATCTGCCAACGTTCTCCTGAAATCACCAAGCTCATCAGTCTTCGCCACCAAACCACAATATACCCACCAGCCTCATCTCTCTAAACCATCACTAAACGCAATGGCCGGCTTCACATTCACCACCTCCAGCCCTAGCATCATGAACTTCGGCCGCAGCGGCTACAACAAGGACGGCGACAACGAGGACGACGGCATGCGCCTCAACTTCGGCCGCTCAGGCTACAACAAGGACGGCGACAACGAGGATGACGGCTTTCGCCTCTCCGGCCGCTCAGGCTACAACAAGGACGGCGATGACGAGACCGACAAGGGCCGCAGCGGCTACAACTGAGCGAGCATCTCTCACGCTTGATCTGCTTCCAAACCCGGCAGATATCAGCTCCCGGGCCACGACAGCCTGACGAGCTCATCTCACCCCCCACGGGCTTTCCAACAAGGGAGCCCCAATTGTATCAACACCACCACCATCTCGCTTTCCTATATCCCAGCATGGCACAGGCGTCGGCAGTTCATTGCCCTTATTCAGCATTTGCATCGGATGTACGATTTAGGACTGTACGAATACCAGAAGGGGAGAGAGATCATTAGATTAGATATAGACTGCGCCAGCAACGGACGACACCAGAACACCATGTACCATTAAATAGCATCTGCATTGGGGTGGGGATAGACATCTGACGATGGAATTCGGCGCAATTTGATCTTTTTCATGAGAGACCGGGGACTAGGGATTGGGAGCATCAGCATAGCAGTGGACTCTTTCCATTGACACAATTCATTCATTCATTTTCCAACGCAGAACCTGGCTTGTTAGCAATTTGTGAAATGTGACAGACAAATATATGGAGAGAACTCACTTCTCAAAGATAACCCCGAGGATCTCCTCAACATCACCCGCCTCGCCACGTCCCGTGATACGTCCCAAGCAGCCCGCTGCGTACCGGAGGTGCTCGGCCGCCATGGTAATGTCGATATCAGGGACCTCCCCGGCCCCATCTTCCTCATACCCGCCATCGACGCTGCCGACCGTGTCCGCGTAGCCCTCCAGGCCGCCTCGACACTGCATGAGGAGCTGCCGCTGGCGCTCGGTCACGCCATGCAAGTCCTGCAAGGTGGCGGGCAGCGATGTCATATCCTGGAAGGATGAGACCAATCGGTCCGCCACGAGGCGGATCCCGCCCGGATCAGGATCAGGATCAGCCTGGTGGTCAGAACTCTGAATCTGCGCCTCCGCCTCCTTGCACGAGATGGGCACGGGCTGGACGTCTTCGAGCCCGGGGATTTGCCTCAACGTCGTGTCTCTGAAGGCGTCGACGAGGGCACGAAGGTCTTGCTTAGAGACCGCGTCTCTCTTGTTCACTACCACCATGCGTTCCTGGCAGTCCGCTGCGAGCTTCAGTGTTTCGAGATCGTAGCAGAGCTCGAAGCCACCACTTGGACCCTGTTCCACGGAGGCGAGCACGATGATGACATCAGATTGCAGGGCTTTCGCCTTCGCCCTGCGGATGCCCTCATCCTCGATAGCCCCTATCTTTGCGCCAGGCTGGTTCGGGTCTGTGCGGCCAGTTTCGGTAAGGGTCCGGAACCCAGCTGTATCTGCGAAGGTGCACAGGTAGCCGCGGATATCGAGATTGGCCTCGATGATATCGCGTGTTGTTCCAGACTCGCCTGAGACGATCGATGCCTCTCTGCCGACGAGTAGGTTCATGAGCGAGCTTTTGCCGGCGTTTGGTGGGCCGAGGAGGGCGACTTTGATGCCGTTTCGGAGTAGCTCGCTGCGTTCGCTGGCTAGTTCATGTATATTTATACTCTTGAGAATCGCCTTGACTTGATCAGTCACATTGCTGACAAGAGACGTCGGAGACTCGTCAAAGTGCTGGTCCTCTTGAAAGTCAATGAGCGCCTCCATCTCAGCGCGAGCTTGCAAGAGCTTCAGCCGCCATTCTTCGTAAGTACGTCCCAAAGAACCCGAGCTACCACGCACCGCAGCTCGTCGCTGTTGCTCAGTTTCAGCCGAGAGAGTCTCACTCAGCGCCTCCACTTGCGCAAGGTCGAGACGATCATTGAGGAATGCCCGCTTCGTGAACTCCCCAGGTTCCGCATATCGTATATGTCCCTCGCCGATGCATTTGGGGATTGCTGACAGAACAGCTTTCACAGTTGCGCTGCCCCCGTGAACATGCAACTCCAACACATCGTCGCCAGTGACTGTCTCTGGGTTTGGAAAGTACAGTACCAGAGCTGCTGCGTCAAGGATCTCGGTCCCGTGCGAGTCTGGAAGATACAGAGTCCTCAGGGTTGCATAGCGAGGCTTGGGGGCCTTCTTTTGAGGGCAAAGCCCATGATAGATCTCGATCGTCCCTATTAGTCAAGGCCTTGGCAGCGTGAGTCGCGAAGAAACTCACATGTTTGCAGGAAGGCCCTGATATTCTGATCACGGCAATACCAGCTTTACCTTCAGCTGTTGATAGCGCATATATAGTGTCGTCTCGCCGCTCAAATCCGGGTCTATGTTGGATGGTATGTTGGCGGTGTCTGTTCAACACCGGGCTGTATGTGGCGAATGGCGCGCGTGGATGCTTCCGTGATGGGGCCGCGAAGATGGAGATGGTGTTTAACGGCGGAAGAGCTTTCCGAGATGGGGGTCGACGAGTGAGCGCACGCCTGAGAGCAGTGCGATACATGAGCTGAGCTTACCACCACACCGTTCTAATGTCCGTTTGTGATACTATGCTAACAGGAAAACATGAGTTGACAGAATAATAATTCGAATATTTAACTAATTATCAGTCAAGCCCATAGCGATGTAGATACGGTCAATCCATTGCAAGTTTGAAGAGCTTCATGGTAGCCACATCGTGATGCTCAGCCTTATCGATAAGAATATACAGGATCCATGCACCCCTGCAAGGTTGGCTGCCCCTCCTGGCCGCCAAAAAATTGGTCGAGGCTCTCAATTCTTCCAACTGCACAATTTCAGATCTCGCCTCCCGCAACCTGCGACAACTTCAAACGAAGAGCGCCGCTTCTATCCTACAAGATGGCGTCCGATGAGATTGTGTGGAACATCATCAACCAGCAGTTCTGCAGTTTTAAGCTGAAGGCTGCTGCCAGAAGCAGCACATTCTGCAGAAATGAGTGAGAAGACGTTCCTCTCGCGATGCCGTCTTGCGATATACTGATGGTCTCGGCAGGATGAATGTGACAGGTCTATGCAACAGGCAGAGTTGTCCCCTTGCAAACTCGTAAGCCGTTCTCTCGTCAGCCCTTCGCACATTCGAGGGCAAATCATAAAGAAGAACCGCCATTGACTCGCCCTATCCAGTCGCTACGCTACCGTCAGAAGCCACCCGACGAAGAACATCAACTACCTCTACATGAAGACGATTGTTCGTCTCCCCCCACGTCCTTGTGGTCCGCCCATCTAATTCAATCCAGGAACGAGCACACATGCCATCGAAGCTATGGCAGAGAATAAAACTGTCGGCAAACTACGCCGAAGCGCTACGCCAGATCGACGAGAACCTTCAATACTGGCCGGAGTTCCTCAAACACAAGGCGAAGCAAAGGGTCACTCGCTTGACACAGGTGGCGATTCGATCGAGACGTCTGGCGAAGGAGGAAGAGGTGAGTTTCCCGGAAGTCGGATACACGATAACTGGATGGAGGGACTGACGAATTCCTAGCGCCTCGGCGAGAAAATGGTGCCCAAGATGGCCCCCAAGATTAGACGACGTGAAGAAGGAAGAGAACGAAAGGCCGAGGCAGCAGCCAAGCTAGAACGGACGATCGAACGAGAGCTGATGAACCGGCTACGTGAAGGTGCCTATGGTGATCAGCCGCTTAACGTCAGCGAAAACATTTGGAAGAAGGTGCTGAGTGCCATGGAGCGTGAGGGTGAAGGCACCAGGGATGAGGATCTCGATGCAGGAATGGAGGATGAAGACGAAGATGAGGACGAGAATGAGCTTGAGTACGAACAGGAAGATGAGGAAGAGGCTGACGGAGCGGTCGAGTACGTCAGCGACTTCGACGAGAGCGAGGACGACCTAGACGATATCGAAGATTGGTTAGGAAGCGATGAGTCGGCCGCAGAAGACGAGTCCGACACAGACGAGAGCGAGGGCGAGCCAGCAAAGAAGAAGGCCGTTTCTGTTGGAGAAAAGAGGAAGAGAGCAGCAAAGGGCGTGACGCCCAAGAAGAAGACGGCCCGACGAGGACGGGAGATGGAACAGGAGAACGAATTCGAGCACCAGAGGCCGGAACTCGCTTTCTAATGCTTGATGTTTATAGGAAAGACATGATGCGTATAGATTATGGCAGTGCGGCTTGCTGTCCATTGATACCCCTTCTGATACAACAAGGTGTCACGAGAAATTCGGAGATTTTATTCATAACCGTCCTTCTCTTCTATACTGCATACCTTTGCTCACCAAGTGCAATGTGACAAAGAGCTTATATTGATGACTGTTCGACCTCGAATGTTGGACTCATGTTGCAAGCTGCCTACCTAGGTACTGCTAACATTGACACCGGCTTTGTCACATCCATACCAGCGGAGTTGACCAGGCGGTTCTCGCATTCAACGGGTTCAAACGGCGCGCATCAGAGTAGGCGGGGCAACCCCACCACAATCGTGCCCAAGCATTGACTTGGCACCCAGAACATCGCATTTGAAACGACTGTCGACTCCTTTGACCTTCCTGGAAACAATCTCCCAATACCACCTGCGCCTACGGTCTCCCATTTCGACTCGACACGTGTATTCCTGCCATTGACCTTCCCAACAATCCAGTGTCTCGACAGTCGGTAGGCAACGTTGGTGGAAGAAGAAAAGAGGGCACGCCGGGTCACGTCTGACGCATCTACCCGAAAACAAGTTTCCGCCCGTGGGCCGCGCCATTCATTGCGACACGCGCCAGCATGTCGGGCTGGTACAGCAATCTCGTTGGCGCGACCACATCGAAGATCTCCAATCTCCAACGAACGTTCCTCAGCAGCGAGGCCGACGGCGACACAGAAGACGACACCCACGTCTGTAGAGTGCTCCGGTCCTACTACACCGAGAAAGGGCGACCATTTCCCGGCTGGCTACCACCCGACCCCAAGGCACCCCCGCCCGTCGCCGCCGTCTACTCGCAACCGACGCAGGTGGGCTCGCGATACGGCGGCCTCACGCAACAACCCCAGGGCGGCAGTCTGAGCTCGCTATGGGATAACAACCCCGTCTCGCAGCCGCAGGACGCGCAGAGTCTACGGAGAGGCCGCGGTGTGCCGCCACCTATGCGCAATGCAGATGTTAGGAACAACCAATTCCGCAATTCAGATCCCGTGCAGGCCAGACCACTCCCGTCTCAGAGAGCCGGAAGCTATCAGACTGCCGGGCCTATGGGTGGGAGAGACGCTGGCACGGCGCCGCCGGTCGCCTCGGGCGGCGGTACTGCACAGGATAGGCTGAAGCAGCGACTATTCGGAGGCTCGAGGACAACAAGCCCAGCGGCTGCTGGCCCCTTTACGCCTCCGCCGCCTAGCAGCGGTAGAGGCAACAGTAACTACGGTGGAGGGGGTTCTGCAGACTACGAGGACAGGTTTGCACCTGGGGGCATGTACGATGGCGGTCCTGGTCGAGGTGGAAGTGAAAGGCCTTTCATGGGTGCGAACTCGCCGTGGTCGAACAGCGAAGCCGACATGTCAGGCTCTGGAAGTGGAGGGAGGCTAGGAGGCAGACGAGCGGGGGGCTTGCCCAGCGGCCCTCGTGGAATGAGATGATGGCCTGGACGGGCATACGAAACGGCCTCAAGGGAAATCCTGCACATATTACAGGCCCCTCCCAGTTTCCTAGCCTGGAGTTAGGAGTTCATGAGGGATGCGCAGTGGCTTTGTGAAAGAGAGGCTCATCTTCCATTCAGCATGGAGTCGTCGCTGGCGCGCAGAGTCGAACGGTGTGCCGATGCAGCTCTTGTCGACGATCAAGGGGAGCGAAGCCGGAGCCATTATCCTATTCGGGGGCGACTTGGAAATGCTTGTGTCCTGGTACCTACCTACCCTATCTAGCTTGAGGTTCGCGTACGTTTGGCTACAGGTTTAGGATTGTGGATGAGGCATGGAGCTTGGCCATCGGAGTACGACGACTTGCGTACGACGACCAAGCCCGATGTTCTTGTCTAGACCATATCACCAAAGAGACTCGTCATTATCAATGTTGCTGCCTGCTGACGTTACGCTTTCGGTTGCGTGTTGTTGGATGCAGGACATCTTGACACTACCTAAGTACCTACCTCTTTCTGAGGGCGTCAAATTGAGAGGCGATGGTGACGAACGCTCGCGTAGCCATTGCGGGGCGACAGGTGATGTGCATGTGGTCAGTCGGAGGCCCGGAAGTCGCAGTACCGATTTCCTCGCCTCCCCTTGCAGCAAGCTGAGGTAGATGTACCAATGCTAGCCCCTCCAAGACACCCCGCCACGAGACGGCAAACAATGGTTCACAACGGGCGGGGCTACCTCTTGCCTCTCAGGCTCTCACCATCAACACCCGCCTGCTGTGGTGCTCACATGTTACCTATCTAAGCCGCCAAACTTACCTCAAGCTCCAACAACCTCCAAGTCCAAGAGAGCAACAGATACCAGAAGCCTGTGTATTTAATCAGCTCATATACCGATATCCACGAAACTCTACATCATACCAGGGCCTCCAAACCACCCGGCAAGCTTGAAGGTGATCTGACACCCCGCGATGACATCAGACCCCCTGCCGGGACGAGCTGGGTCGCCGACAGGCAGCTTCTACGCCATGAGCGACGACGAAGAGGGCGAATACGACACCATCACGCATACCGAAACCGGTCGGGGCGTCAAGCTGCTGTATTCTAAGAGCAAGGTTTATATCCATCCGAGCCCGAGCGCAAAAGACAACATTCCTGGCTTCGTGGCCTTGCTGCAGCAGAAACGTCCGCGTGGCGAACGGCCATCCTCCTCTTCCTCTACCACGTCCAACTCGCCCATCGCATCGGATCTTCTTCTAGCTTGGCTTCCTGAGTCTTCACTGGGCGATGCTGCGAGCATCTATGTCAAGGTAGACTTGACGGATGGCGACTCGCCGCCAAAGCAAAGCTTCCTCGTACCGCCACCCCCGACTGTAACCACCCATCGAGGCTCGGTCGGCGCATACTCGTTTGCCATACCGGTCAGCGCAATATACTCGCTCCTTGTGCGTCCACCAAGCCTGGGGTGGTGGTTTGGGTCTGTGGTGATCAACACAAGAGTTGGTGACAGCTTCCCGGCGCTCTTCTTCCATGACAGTGAATGTCAGTCGACTATACTACAGAAGAAGAAGCGCGCCAGGGATAGCTTTGATCCCTTTGGAGAGGGTGGACAGATGTTTTGGGGAGGAGACGAAGTCCTGCGCTGGCTGAAGCGCTACGTTCGTATTGAAAAGAGCGCCGCTGAGCCGAACATCTATCTGGTAGAACCCAGCAAGGAGGATAGTGAGGCATTCGGTTCAAAAGCGACTACCAGTACACCGTCCAAGATAGGTCGCCGGGATAGTTCACAGGGCGTTTCCGTGGGCGGTGCTGCCGGCGCCTCACCTGCTGGACCCAGTGGACGGAACGATGCAGGCATGGATCCGGTCACGAAATTTGTGAAGGAAACAGGGTGGAACCTTATGGAGAAGTTCAGCAAAGTCACGACCTTTACTCGAAGGACGGCACAAGATCTTATTGAGAACCCAAAGATGCCGCCTCAAGTACGCAGGCTCATGATAAATCCCGAGGTGCAGACCATACAGGACGAGTTTGATAGTGCTAGGATATACCTAGCCAGATGGGCAATGGGAATTGCCGAGCAGAGTGAGAGGGATCGAAATCAAAGAATTTGGACTGCGCGTGATGTGCTGGAGTTGGAAGATACTGATGTCGGGGAATTTGAACTATTGGAGACGAGCTCCATGTCTCTTGACGAGAAAAGGAAGCCCGTGAACCTGAAGGAATGGAAGAGTTTCTTCGACCCTCAGACGGGACGACTTACTATGACCATTGATGAAGTCAAGGAGCGCATCCTCCACGGCGGCCTAGACCCCGACGACGGAGTGCGCAAGGAGGCTTGGCTGTTCTTACTTGGAGTACACGACTGGTACAGCACAGCGGAAGAACGCAAGGCGCAGCTCGCGTCTGCGAGAGATGAATATGTGAGATTGAAGGCCTCTTGGTGGGAAAGGCTAGTCGATCATGGCGGTGAAGGTGAAGAAGGGGAATGGTGGAGAGAGCAAAAAGCCAGGATCGGTAAGCCCCTGTCTCGTACCTACATCTCACTGCATATACCATACTTACCTCAGACTCAGAGAAAGACGTACATCGGACTGACCGAACAGTGCCAATCTTTGCGGGGGAAGACCTTCCGCATCCTGATCCCGACTCTCCATTCTCGTCTTTTGGTACCAACGTCCACATGGAGCAAATGAAAGACATGCTTCTCACGTACAACGAGTACAACAAGGACCTTGGCTACGTCCAGGGTATGTCTGACTTGCTTGCGCCCATATACGCTGTTATGCAGGACGATGCGATCGCGTTCTGGGGCTTCCAGCATTTCATGGACCGAATGGAAAGGAATTTCCTTCGGGACCAATCGGGCATGCGCAACCAACTCTTGACCCTCGACCATCTCGTGCAGTTCATGGATCCGAAACTGTACGCCCATCTACAGGCAGCTGACAGCACGAATTTCTTCTTTTTCTTCCGTATGCTGCTTGTCTGGTATAAGCGGGAGTTCAAGTGGATGGACGTCCTGCACTTGTGGGAGGTTTTGTGGACAGACTACTTGAGCAGCAGTTTCCACTTGTTCATTGCTCTGGCGATTCTCGAAAAGCACCGCGATGTGATTATGACACATCTACAGCACTTTGACGAGGTGCTCAAGTATGGTAAGTGGTACTAACTAAATCTTGCCGTCAAGTGATGAATGCTAACCGTGTGCGACAGTCAATGAGCTCTCAACCACCATGGACCTGGACTCTACCCTGATACGCGCTGAGGCGTTGTTTCGCCGCTTCCATCGGCTCATCGAGGCTATTGACAAGAAGCAAAACTTTCCGGCCCCAAGAGTTCGCACAAGTTCGCCCTCTTCGGCTGAGAAGTCCAAATCATCACCACCGCAGAAGGACAGTGGAAAAGCTGCGGAGCAGCCCAAAATGGTCATAAGCCCCGAGCTCAGGAAACTGCTCAGCAGACAAGTTGATGTGCTTCCCCGCAAAGTGGTCCAGAAGAAGGGTGATGGCCTCGCTGCTGAGGCGAGACGCTAGCTGTGCAGCTACGAACATACTCGAATATGTCTTCTCAATGAGTTTCAATGGTTGTAGTTTTCATCTATCTTTAGGGACGCGGAGCATTCCAAGAACGGTTGCAGGCCGATTCATGATACAAGGGACGGGTGCAAACGATGATTCGGCGTCAGGGGTTATGATTATCACCACACACGTGTAATCGAAAGGCGTTGATTGTACTTTGCTAGTGAGATAGTCGAATGTTACCTAATTAAGACGATACCGCGGAGTATTAAGTTATCGTGACGAGTGAGTTGCTATGAAGAGAGGAATGGTCCATGTTCACACCAGCACTTCATCAGCAGAAGCATGCCGAGTTACTGTATGTGTACCTGGAACGGCTGGACCCTCTCGTGTCTTGGATATGAATGACTAATAGATTTCACGCCCCATATCTTGTCAAATGCCCCTTCGAGCCTCAAATTCCGGTTAATTGATTGATATTCTTCAACGTCTAAGAAAGGCTATGCCGCCTCCTGAACTCTCCTTACGGAGTACATGGACGTGGTAAGCAACCCTCGTCAGACGAGGGGATACCAATATCGTACCTCAAGGGCAGGGAATTTTGTGTGACCGCGTGTCCACTCCTTTTAGGACTACCGGGCCTTGTGAATGCAGTGGGAGGGAAGTACCTCCATTCCGCTTCGAACAAAAGAGATATATTGTTGCTTTCGGGACTGTCCCGTCGCTCCAATCTCCCATGCAAGTCTTCCAACCAACTGATTTCCTCCGTCTCCAACTGCCGAGTCTCGCCCAGAGATTGAAAGTGTCACGAAAGTCCGGCGAGCTGGGTGCAGTTATCTCACAAGAACATACGAAAAAACGCAACTGAAGATACAACGGAAGAATACTGCATGAAAAGATGTTTGACTGGGACCTCCTGAATATGACGATAGCCTGATGAGTCCAACGAACCCAGCTCAAAGAACCCCCGCTCCGTGGTTTGCGCGTGCTGCATGCTAGCGATATGATACATGGATACAGACAAGCCAAGACAAGACAGACTGCCCCTTTCGTATGTTGATCGGTGGGGTTGATCGATCGTTCCATTTCCCCTTGCTCTTTGGCCCTTGCTCCTTGCTCCCGAACTAAGGGGCTCATTTCGACTCGACTTGACCCGACCTGACCCGACCTGACTGAGGTTGGCTCGATTTCTTATGTCTGATGTCTTGTGCCGGCTAGAACTCCTGCTCTTCCTGGAAGAACATGCCGAACGAGATGATAGTGCCGTAGATCAGCAGTCCGCCGATGATGCACATGACCATTGCGCCGATGTCGATTAGATGCGAGTGTGCGAGGACGGCGGGGAGGGCTGTAGTAGGGACACATGGTTGGTTAGCAAATCTATCCAGTCCACAGCCTTCCTGTCTATCTCCATGTAGAATGTCCCCCGACACACGTCCTTCCGTAGAAGACCAGATCATCATCCGCCCACGAGACACCAACCAGAGAAGGAGAAAATAAAGACATACCAATCCCCATAACCACCAGAAACCCCGTGCAGAACCGTCCCAGGTCCAAAACGGCGTTGCCCGAGCTCTCGACAAAGTCGTCCGGGTTCGCCCAGCGGCCGCACACCCAGTTGGGCACGGGCGCCAGCACGTAGGTGGCGACCACCAGCAGCGGGTAGTAGACCTTCCACAGCGCGCACGACAGGATCACCAGCAGGAAGCCGACGGCCAGCACGAACGACAGCGCGATTATGGTTTTTAGGCCTGCGGTCGGCATAATGGAGGGTGGCGGGGGGTGGGTGGTCGGTTTCTGTGTGGTGGGTAGGTGAGGGAGCGAGCAGCGAGGCTTCGGGTTCCGAGTTGAGGGCGCGAGTTGAGGTAGATAGATAGGTCGTGGATCGCGTGTTCGATCGAGAGAGGAGCTCTGTTTATTGTGGTGGTGGTGGCAAGTTCGAGGGCGTAGGGCTGTCGTCGGGGTGCTGGTCGGAATTGCGCCGTGGATATGTAGGAGGTCGTTGGGAGAGGTCGTGGTTCGAATGAGCGCCAATGTTGCGACAGGATCAATGATCGATGTGTCGTCAGCCTTGGTCTCGCTGCTGTACAAAGTTACAGGGCTCCGGGGCGTCTGGGCTGGGAAGAGAGCTTGAGCCACATTTGTAGGCTTCAATGTTCCTTCCAGCTGTGACATATTATGTGGCTGGAGATGTACCTCTGTAGATCGCTGCAGGTGCGTTAAACCCGAATGGGGACGAGCAACGAAGCTTGGAGCTGCCTTGCGGATGCTCAGCCAAACCGCCCTCACCTACAGCAGGAGCTCCATCCAGCCTTGTCAACTTATTGCATCTCCCATTCAAACAACCCGCGAACCTCTGCCCACCAACGCCTTACTCTCTACACCACGGCCACGACTCCAGTTCCTCCCATCTAATTCGCATAAGCTGGTACGATGTTCAGAAACAACTACGACAACGATTCGGTCACATTGTAAGCTCGATACAATCAAGCAGTCCAGCGCAGCCCGCCTGCTAACAGCCTCATCCACAGCTCTCCGCAAGGAAGAATATTCCAGGTCGAATATGCCGGCGAGGCCGTGAAGCAGGGTTCAGTGGTGGTAGGGTTGACGAGCAAGACACATGCGGTGCTAGTCGCCATCAAGGTACACCCAGCGAAGCGTTCATCATCCCCAACACCAACCGACCACCTACGAACCATCCCACAGACAGACACAGACAACTAACATCACACCTCACCACCCAGCGAAATGCAGAAGAACTATCGTCCTACCAGAAGAAGCTGTTCGCCATAGACGAGCACGTGGGCCTCGCGATCGCGGGCCTGACATCGGACGCGCGCGTCCTCTCCAACTTCATGAAGCAGCAGTGCCTGTCGCAACGGCTGACGTACGACCGGGCGATGCCGCTCGAGAAGCTCGCGGCGCTCATCGGCGACAAGGCGCAGCTCAACACACAACACTACGGCAAGCGGCCGTACGGCGTCGGGCTGCTGGTGACGGGCGTCGACGAGACCGGTCCGCACCTGTTCGAGTTCCAGCCGTCCGGGCTGACGCAGGAGATGCTGGCGTGCGCCATCGGCGCCCGCTCCCAGATGGCCCGCACCTACCTCGAGAAGAACCTCGACAAGTTCGCCGACTGCGGCCGCGACGAGCTGGTCCGCCACGGTTTGAGGGCTCTCAAGGAGACCCTGGTCCAGGACCGCGAGCTGACCGTCGAGAACACGAGTATTGGCGTTGCTGGCCTGAAGGAGCCCGGCAAGAAGGCCCTCGAGGTGTTCAAGGTCCACGACGGCGCGGATGTTAAGGACTGGCTTAACAGCGTGGCGGACGATGCCGAGGCGGGTGGTGAGACGACCGAGGGCGAGGGCATGCAGGTGGACGAGTAATATTGAATAGCGAGGTGCACCTTCAGAGGTCTTCTGGGATGCTTGGCTTGCATTTTCACTGCGGCGTAGTCAGGGACATGGCAGGTTGCGAATGTCGCGGCACCCGCCTAGATGTACAATATAGACAAGAAACCACGAGAATCGAGATATGGTGGAAAACCAGGAGGTGAAGTAAGTGCAACTTCGACTTGATCTTGTTTGGGAGCACGACATGATGATTTGCAGACATACGCAACATCGGGCGATGAGTCCGATGCGTTACCCAGAAACAATAACTGAATCCAGGTGGTTGAAGTGCAAGTACGTCCTCATAGTCTAAATCTCGTCCTCCTCATCATCAAAGTCGTCCTCCCGCCCCATTTCGTACAAGATCCTCCCGCCCTCACCAGCGCCAATGTCGCTCTGCGCATCAAAGTACGGCAACATAATGCCCTCCCTGTCCCTGCGCTGCTTCTCTGTCAACCCCAGATTAAACGTCGTCTCCGCGCCCTGCTCCTCGCCCTGATCTGCTACTCCCGATTCCGCCTCGCTAGGGTCTTTTCTGAATGCGGGATGGTCTGCTAGGAGATATAGCCGCGACGTCTCGGTCTTCTTTTTCTCTGAGGGTGTACTTGTTGTACTTGTAGTAGTCCGCGACGACGACGGCACGAGCACAAATTTCTCCGCCACGGCACGCCCGCTCCGCCTCCGCAGCTCCATCTCAACCACCAGCGCCCCGCCGCTGCCGACCTCCCGCTTCCGCTCTCCGCCCAACCCGACCAGCACGCCCTCCCGGCCCTCGGCGAGCCCCCACCCCGGCTCCGCAAGACTGCGGTTGCGCACGCGATGCCGCTCGATAGTTTGACACAAACTTGAGGTGCGCAGGACGGCGGTCGCGAGGTGCAGGAGCGTGGTTAGGGGGTGTGGCTCGTACTCGCTGAAGCCGAAGGGTGAAGAGGATGAGGAGGAGGATGTGGAAGAGGAACGCGGTTGTGTGAGTGGAACGTCCGTGTGGTACGTCGCTACGAGGGAGATGCTGGTGCTGGTGATGAGGCTGGAGAGGAAGAGGGGGAGCGTGGAGGGCGTGGTGCTGGCTAGGGGGGTGAGGGTGTCGAGGATTATGAGGGTTTCTGGGTTTTTGTTAGTATAGTATGTGTGGTTCGATTTTTCTGTACGGCTCGAGAGGAGATAGGGGGAACATGGGGTAGAAAGGGGCAGAAAAGGGGGTAAGAAGGAGTCCTTACTATGAGCCTTCACCGCGGCCCCTGCGGGATAGTGCGAGGCGATCTCGGCCCGTAGCGCCTCGGGCGACTTGCCCCGGGCCTTAACGAATATGTCGGCGTCAGCGGGCTTGCGGAGCGTGGCGAAGGAGACGAAGATTACTTGGGTTTTGGATATCTATAGTTGGTCTGTTAGCACACGTACATACACGCATACAAGCACACAAATATGTAACCTCAGAAGAGCAAAGGATAACACACCGCTTCATACCGACGTATGAAGCGATGACCATGACGCGGGGAGTATAGGTAGGTAATGACTGAGAGCTACCGACCTTGGCTCGGCCCATGAACTCGCGTATAACGGGCTTGGCGCTCTGCTCGAGGGTGTCGAGCACCAGCGTCAACGGGCTGGCACTGTCGCGCAGATTGAGTAATTTCTGGAGGAGAAGCAGGGCGTGTGAGCGCGCGTGCTGTGACTGCGCTGATGATGGCATCTCGTCTTTTCGTTCTGTTGCCGAGTCTTGACTCCGCGTCGGTGTAATCTCGCAGCAAGCAGGTAGCAAGCAAGACCTGGCAGGGTGGATGTTTCGTCAACTTCGGGCGCTATAAGATGTATGTATGCAACCCAAAAGATGAAGTCGTCGATGTGCGTATAAGTCGTGGTTGCCGCCGATTCTGATATGGATGGATGTAAATCTGACCGGCTTTTTAATGATTGGGGAATTCTGACAGGGCGGCTCGTACCAAAGCCCCACTTAAACCAAGCTCCGTAGGGGAGATTTGATCCACGCAGCCAATGAGACGGCACAATCTCACTTCACTTCTCTCACCTTCACCTTAACTTCAACTCTTCCATTCCAACCTCTGTATATTGCCTAAAACATGTGAGACAGCGCAAGCGTGTTGACGCGAAAGCACACGAAAAATCTCACCTCGCTCTGGCCTCTTCGAGAGATACTCGTGGAAAGATCATCCAGCTGCAGCTGTGATAGACGGTTTTACCCTCCAGGCCCTGTCAACCTCTGCCGTCATGGAGGAGTATTGCGAGCTACTATGCTTCGCCTGTGTCTGGGCAGGGTATGCTACTCTGGGACGTCGAATTGACATGTAGTCTGCCCCTTAAGAATGTTGGCCCGATATGTGAATTGCCTTCAAGGGATTGTTCTGCTGTGGCAAGGGAAGGGGGCCATGTATAAATAACAAGGAGTCGCGTCTCGAGCCCCCTTCGGCTCCAGGAGACATTCTTCTGCTCCCTCCTATCGGTCCCGCCCTGATCCGTTCCTAAGCCTCTCCCTTTCCCCATTCTGAACTTGCATCATGGCTCGATTTGCGTTACAAGCCCTCTTGGGCAGTCTTACCCTCGGGGTAGGGACAGCTGTTCCAGTAGACAACCTACTGCAACAAACCCGCAACCATGCCGCCAAAGTCGGGCTGGCTACCACAGACAACTACCACACATTGTCGAGGATCCAGCGTCCACCGGGTGTCTCTCGCACGCTCGACAACCTTAGGCAGAACCAGGTCATGAACGACGACTCGTACCCTGTAGCTCTCGGCGACGACGATTCGGGGGGAGTCGACCACATCACAGCCGAGCTGAACCAGGTCGAATACGTTATGCAGGTCGGCTTCGAAGCTGATAAATACTCCATGATTCCGGACACGGGAAGCAGTGACACGTGGGTTGTCCAAGAAGGGTTCGAGTGCTTTGACCCAAACTACGGTCAGGAAGAGCCCCCGGAATACTGCGCTTTCGGGACCCTATTCAAGGGGGATTTCCCGGAAGGCAAGATCGCGATTCAACACCTTGATATCTCGTATCTGTCCGGCGACCATCTGAGCGGCCCAATGGGATATGCAGAGCAAGTTCTCACCACCCTGGAATGGTAGATTATGTATACTGACAAGGAGGACTTCAGCATCACGGTAGCCGGCGTGACGATTCCCAAGCAGCAGTTCGCCCTGGTCAACGTGGCGGCTTGGGGCGGCGACGGGATGACGAGTGGTATTCTCGGCCTAGGTCTACCGGGCCTCACTGACGCTTTCACTGGCAACGATACAAGCAAGGACAGCGCCAGCAACCTCGTGAACTACTCGCCGCTCATCGAGACGATGGGGACAAGCAAGGCTGCGGATCCTGTTCTCAGCTTCGCTATGTCGCGCGAGGAGAACCGCTCGTACATCGCGTTTGGCGGCGTGCCTCCCGTCCCGACGGGCCCGTATACCACGGTGCCCATCCAAAAGGTGCGTTGAGAGCCGTGATATACACTCTTGTGCTATTCTATCCCTGCCTGACGCTGACTGACTGATGCCCGCAGGCGACCACCAACACCGGCAAGACAGACTACTTCTACTACTCCATCAAAGTCGACTCGATGCACTGGAGTTCCCACACACTGAACCAAACCGCAACACACCTCCCCACCATGGTCGTCGACTCCGGCACCACCATCAACCTCTTCCCGGGCAACATCGCCGCCGCCATCAACGCTGCTTACGTCCCGCGCGCAACACAAGAAAGCTCCATGGTCTGGAGCGTGCCCTGCGACGCCGTGCCGCCGACGCTCGACATCGTCATCGGCGGCAAGGCCATCCGAACGCATTCCAGCAGCATGATTCTGCCCGAGACCGAGCAGGCGGGTCGCTGCCTTTCGGGCATTGGGGCTGGTCCGACTGGGTCGTATATCTTGGGTGATACGTTCTTGCAGGAGATCGTGGCGGTTTTTGATATTTCGGAGAAGATGGAGCTGAAGTTTGCGCAGCGCATTGACTAAGGTAGTGGAGGCTTGAGTTGCTGCCCTTTGGCGCTTCAAGATGTTGTGGTGGGAGGGGGCGGCCTTGGATCCTGGGGGGCCAGTTTGCTTGAGCCTTGCGGCCCCTTTTCATGGGTTGACGAGTTGATGAGTGTTCTTCGCGCTGCTGCCGGCTTACACCACTGAAGCTTTATGTTGCCGTTCATGTAACAATTTATATGCTATTTGCGCTGTCCCCAGCAACGTGAGTAACAGCTCAGTATCACGGTCTGTAGTGAGTGGAAGGTGTATGAGTTGTAACATATCAGACCGAAACAAAAACGTATACGCCCGAAGGTGGAATCGAACCACCCACCTCCTTTAATGGTGGCCGAAGCACAACCTGTAAGAAAGGAATCATAACCACTAGACCACACGGGCTATGTCTGTCGGCCTCTGGCCGCCCTTATGCATATGCCCATGGATGGTCGTTGTAGCATCCCAAGCCACCTGTACTGCGATTCAAACACCAGAACCATGAAGTTCTTTTCCAAAAAGAATATGTCAACATTCACTTTGACTGGGAGCCAGCGGACTTGTGCCCATGTTTCCCTAGTGTATCTACCCCGGACATCACCCCCTAACGTGTAACAAATGCGTCTGATGACACATAACCTGTCTGTTGCTATGATTGCCCTTCTCTCATCGATACGCGCGACTCAGCATCTTCTCCTTTGTCAAGAATGCTAGTGGCCAGTGATGTGGATGTAACTTGAATAGTGCTGGTGCTTTCATCAGATTCTTGGTGGTGTCATCTCGGAAATACCATTTTTTTGGGGGCGTCGGACTCTTTTGATCCGAGTGGGACAGTTCCTATACCTATGGTCAGTTTGGCCTATTTCACCATGACATTTTCCAGCGGCTTGTGAGAGGTCGAGTAGAAGGCGGCCTGATGCAGTGCTGTAACTATGACCGCTTTCGGTACACCCATACCGTACAGCGGTATCGATTAACTATCACACATGGGGCCTTATGCTTCCTCTCCCTTTTCCAAACTTAATAAGGAAGAGTTGTATATCAAGCTGATAGATGAACCCAGTGCTTCAAGGCAACGTGCCATATCATGAGCGGGGTCCTGAGTCAACTAATGTGTTTGTGAATATCCCACGTACACATCCTGCACATAAATTTCCTTCACTCTTCACGAAACAAGCACGAAGTAGGCTTTACCTCCCAGTACACCAGCTTGCCGTCTACGAAATTCACTTTTGCTTTCTTCGTCTGCCCTTGGTCTGTCTGACCGCATTTCTTGAAACCACCTTCTACCTGACATTCATTCGTTCGATATTAATTCTCCTTCACTTCAGACTCGACGACTCTACCCATCCGTGCGGACCAGGCGTACCGGATCAACCCTTCACACTGGTCCGCATATGATCACATGATTGTTACTGCTGGGCCCCTCATAAACTGGACTGACTAGGACTCAGGCAAGTCAGAATGGAAGGTCGATACCATCCCAGATGGAACCTCGAATCCCCATTATTATTCGTGCGACCCATCGGTCCCCATGCGGACTGCGGAGGAAGACGCGTCTGGCCCCGAAGCCACCCTTTGCGCGCATGCCGTTCGGCGTGCGACGCATCGGCCTGAGCCCGTGGACGCCATCCGTGGTTAAGGTTTTGGTAGATTGAGATGATTTGTGGCGTTTTATTTTGTTATATTTAGCGTACAGCACGGGGCCTCTGCTTTTTGTTGTCTTTTGAGATATTTGGGTTTGGCTGCTCCTTTCCAGTCGAAGAGTTTCATAACTAAATCAATCCCCGAAGCCACTGAAGAAGCGGTCTCCGACCCGACACATCAAGGCATGCCCGAAAGCAATGAACTGCAGCAGAACCGCACTGCATCTAACTACTGCGGGACAGCAAGCTGAGGCTGACCCCGAGAAGGACCAAGGTCCTGACGAGTTTGAATAGCCGCCTCGCTGCCTAGAGGTACACGGCAAGGGAGTCAAACATCAGGGCCTTGAGCACGAACAGAGAGAAGGTGTTTATATCGAGTACTGGTGCCAGTCCACGCAGTAGCAAACATGTCTTCTGCGCTAAGCAAATCTATGGGTGAGCGGGATTTTGTATTAATAACTACGATACTAATACATCAGACCCAGCTCTGAGTGGAGATTTCATCCCGTGCAGTCAACCCAATCAGTCCAGACGCGAGGTCTGACCTGTCCTTATGTGAACTTGCCGTTCACGCGGCTGTCACCGCTGCACCCCGGATTCTGGTTCTCGGCAACTTGTCGATCCTCTGCAAAGCTGTGAAGCCAAGCGTAGAAAATGTCAAGCCCTTCCACGCTTACCATCATTATGATCTGGTCAGTCAATACGTGTTGAGGTACCCGCAACGAGCATGGGATATAGACGAATCACCCACGACGAATTCAAGACCGACGTTCGTGATCGCGTGGGAATGGGATATGGGACGTGACGGGAAGGAAAGGAGGGGGCGGGGTAGGATATAGAGAGGAGGGAAGGGATAAACTCACGATCCCACTCACGAAAAAACACCAGATCATGGGAAGCACTAGGCACCAGCCTATCCATTCCGGCATCTCGGCTTCGTCCTTCTTCTTCTTCTCGGCCTTGTCTGCTTCTTCCTTGCCTGCTTTGGTCTTCTCGGCAGCAGTCTTCTCGGTGGCGGCAGTCTTCTCAGCAGCGGTCTTCTCAGCGGCAGCAGTGCCGGTACAAATGCCAGTACCAATGCCAGTACCAGTAGCAGCAGCAATGCCCTTCATCCGCTCCGCCATAAGCGCAAAGTCCTCCGCCAGCCGCTCGATGGTGGGCGCGCCGTTGCGCCGCACCCACACAAGGTGGAAGCCGTCGCCGAGCTCCTCGTTGAGCGAGTTTCTTGGGGCGAGTAGTTGCGCCAGGGTGCCCGCTGGTGACTGTGACTGTGACTGTGACTGCGTGGGAGTGGGAGGGGGGAAATTGGATAGCGGGTCTAGGGCCCAGTACTGTGGCGGCTGGCTGGGCTGGCTGGGCTGGCTGGGCTGGCTGGGGGGTTTGTTGTTGCACTGCTGCTGTGCGCGGTACTTGCGGTGCTCGTCCTCGTGCTCCCATGGGTCTGGTGGTGAGTAGGGGCCTGCGCGGCACGTGTTGGGCAGGCCGAGGCGGCGTTTGAGTTCGTTGCTGGCTTCTATGTCGCGGGCTATCTTGGATAGGGGGATGCGGCTGCGACGCTGGAGCTGTAAGTTGTAGGCTTCTATGTCGCGGGCTATCTTGGATTTTTCCCGTGGTTGCGATGGAGGAAATTGGTTGCAGGGGTCTGGGATGTTGGGATTGTTGGACTGCTGGTGTGTTAGGGTGTATGCATGGCAAAGGGAACAAAGTATAGGTGGTAGGTAAATAATGATGTGGACGATGGTCAGCCCATCAGGATGGCAGGCTGGACACTTGATGGGTCTGCCTTGTGGAAACATGGCTCTGGGGTCTGGTGGCAACTTGCCATAGGACCGACGACCTCACTCAAAGGGTTCTGCGAAAAAAAGATTCATGCCAACCGCTTGGTTGGTGATCGTGCCTCCTTTGTCATTCGCGACGCTGGAAAAGGGGTCATCTTGCCGCAGAGGTGCTTACATAGTGCAAGGCGGCGGCGCCGTAGCTTGCCGGAAGCATCGAGACATTCCGGGAGATGCTGCTAGGTCGCAGTCGGCGAAGAGATTGACGGAGCATGGTTGCGGTCTGTTCATAGATAGTTGGGACTCGAGGTTGAGTGCAGATGTTGGTGGTGACAGGTTGACTTGCAGGTGGAAGAATGAATTAATGATGGGAGGAAAGAATGCCAGAACAGAACAATCCAGGGCAGGTATTTAATAGTCGGCGAGACTTGAAGTCTTCCATGTTGGTTCAGGTAAACTTTAACGCCCATATGAGCAGAATTCATGTTTAACTTTCAAGTAACCATAAACATGCTCAGGGGTAATGGGGATATCCAGAATGAGCACCAGTCAAGCTCGCCAGTCTCCGATTGTTTCTCATACCAGTACTCGTTTGATTGCAATGGCGACTATAAAGTTCTGTACGGATCGAGCTCGCTGGAAGGCATTGAAGACCTTGCCCTAGCCGGGAGGCAAGTCGCAAATACCGTAAGATGCGCCACCTGTTATCCATTTTGGAAACTCGCTCAACTCAAATGGTTGAGGCGTCTTTAAAAAGAGCTCAGTTCAGTTAATCTGGTGAACTCTAATAAGGTCTTTAATGGATCACCTTTAGTTTCAAAACTACCCACTGGGCTTCAGTCGGTTGCAAATTGGGTCGCCATGCTCAGCCACGCAGCTGGCTACCACTTGCCTCCATACTAAACTCAGCCCAGATGCTGCCGCTTCAAAGCAAACTTAGGCAACTGAGAAGAATCAGCCGAATAAGGAGCAATTTGTTGCTTATTATGACCCGTTGGCATTGCGAGAACTGCTTACCATGTGCGATCATTCCACTGTTCGACGGCTTTGCAGTTACCAGTCAAGCGTATATGTAGGCTCCTGTCCGCTAGAATGCATCCTCAACAAATGTTATCCTTCAGCACGTTGACTTGGACATATGAGAGTCTGAAATAAAGGGTATCAATTCACCTCGACTGTATTTGCAAAAGAGGCAAGCCCTCAAACATAAAACCTTCCAACTAGCTGGTGATATGCCCTAATCAGTTACTTGACTCCACGACAAGGACTGACTCAACTTGATATGCCCACTGAAGCACGAGTTCCTCACCGTCACGACCTATTGCCATGCGTTGAACACACCAGCTTATCGGCCGGGACTCAAAGGTCGGTTGAAACCACCGACACGGTTCATATACTGACGATACTCGGTCTTCTTCTCCTTCCGTATCGCACCAGCATTGTTACCGGCCACCTTGGTCCCTTTGGTAGTGCCGAACCCACCGAAACCCATCATGGCTTGCATGGCGCTTAGTCCGTCATCTTCAACGACAAGGTCCTCGTCTTCGTCCTCGTCCATCGCTTCGCCCTCAGAACCCGGCGTGTCTTTTCTCTCCTTGGCGAGATTAGTGTCGTGTTCCGGCGTCTCCCGTTTATCGTCCTTCTCCCTGCCTTTGCCTCTGCTTCCACGGCCAGTATCATCATCGTGCTTTCCTACTTTGAATGACAAGGAGGAATTTGTGCCTCTATCGCCCGGTTTCGACCTCGTAGGAAGGGGCGAGTTCTGCGCACTGCGTTCTGACTTGCCCAGGGGACTTCGAGTTGGCGATGCTGAGCGTCGCGGGTTGCTGTGTCGCGCTGGGCCTTGAATCGCGTCAGCGTTATTGGTAAGAACTTGTGTCATGACTTTATCGCGAGATATACCTTTAGGGATTGCGCTCTCGGTCGGGTGATACTCGTCCTCTCGATTTCGTGGCCGGTCCCGGCGACCATCGTCGCGCCGCGAGTCCCTCCCCCGACCACGTGTTCTCTCTGGTTCGCGCGGTTTGTTCTTGTCCGAATCGCGATCCCTGTCTCTGCGGTCAAGAGAGTGGGAGCGGTTTCCATCGCGGCGGCCTCCTGTTTGAGGTGATCTAGATCTGGAGCGGTACCGACGATCGCGATCGCGGGGACCATCGTCTCGCTGACGGTCGCGGTTATCTCTCCGATCTCGAGCGCCTGGACCGCGGTTGCGACGGTCGGACTCGTCCCACATTTGCCTACTATCGGGGCGATTTCTACCTCGGCGAGCTTGGTCGGCCATATTGTCGATGCCGTAAGTAGAAGCCAAGGGCTTCTGTAGCGATAACGGTGCGCAGAAGATGCCTGGTTAAATTGATCTGTCTGCACCGAATGGATGCTGGAAGGGCGAAGGGACGAGATGTAGCTCCGATATGCTGAAGGGATGTCGCCGAGCTTTGGGCCTTGGAGGTTGAGGCCGGAGCTCCAAATATTTAAAGTGGAACATACGCGCCAGGAACAGTTGCCACCCCACTGCAGGTGGAGCTTGAAGCGCGAGGGGCATCCTTTATCTTAGCGTCCGATAATCTTGGCGGTCGCAGACGCGGCCTGGACCCTTGAGCTGACGTCAAATCCAATTCAATTGATCGGGAGCTTCTCCAACTCAAAACCGTGTTCATTCCAATTCACGATCAGCGACTCCCAACGACCAACTACTGCTACCAAGCTCTGCATTCCCGTCGCATGGTGGAGAGCTCTGTGACGTTCCGTTCTTTCACTCGTCCGATGTTGCCATGGCATTTCCGAGCCAATTGACAGCTTGGCTGTCTTTACTTTTCTTTGCCCTGAGCTGGCAGAGCTCTGCTGTTGCGGCGCAAGACGAAGGTCTTCTCAATGGCGAGATTGGCCGCTTGAACAACCAGAGCCTCCTATGGGGGCCATACCGACCCAATCTGTACTTCGGCGTTCGCCCAAGGTTACCCAAGAGCTTGGCAACTGGTTTGCTATGGGCCAAGGTTGATAACTATGTCGATGTTCAAAGCAGTAGGCAACCCCTGTTTGAGTAGGACAGCGGCTGGCGACATGCTGACCACCATCTCTGCTAGGCTTCCGCTACACCTGCGAACAGAACGAGGGCATGGCTGGATATGGCTGGGAGGAATACGACACTCGGAAGGGAGGCGTTCAGTCAATTCACGATGCGGGAAACAAGATCGATATAACAACCACATTCGTCAAGGTGCCAGGAGGTGGTCACGGCGGAAGTTGGGCTGCTCGGATCAAGGGCGAACCTCGTGAAGATGCCCCATCCGACCTGAAGACTACAGTCATGTTCTACATTGCTTCAGAAGCTCTTGGCGAAGCTCTTGAGGTTGCCGGGGACGGTTCCGACACAGGATTCGATGGCGATGTCACCTTCGCGGGTAAATCTGGTGTTCTCGGGGATTACAAGCTAGTCGTCACCAAGGGCAAAGGTAGCCACCCTTCTAGCGACCATGCTGCAACCGATCTCAGAGACCTCGAGAAGACGACTGTGACGTCGTTGACTTTGCCCGAAGAGCATCTATGGCAGGCCAAGAGCATCATATTCCAGCAACTCAAAGTAGGCGTGGACGAGATCATCAAGGAGTTCGGACCGGAGAATGCTCCGCCCCCATGGCAAGTGTATCAGCTTCCAAACAAGCCCAATATCGGAAATGTGCACATTGTGCAGAAAGTGTTCGAGGGACCTTTCGAGTTCGACATGTTGTTCTCCAGCGGTTCAGCTGGCAAGGATACCACGAGTGAGGATTTGACTCGCGAGATAAAGACGACAACCGAAGCATTCAACGAGAAATTCTCGGATATCTTCGCCCCGCAGGCACCTTTCAAGGCTGACAAGTATCGCAAGTTCGGAAGAAGCATGTTGTCGAATTTGGCAGGAGGTATAGGGTACTTCTACGGTCAGCATGTGGTCGACAGATCTTATGCGTCTGAGTATGACGAGGAGAACGAAGGGTTCTGGGAGGAGACTGCAGAGGCTCGTGGTCGCAGGCAGGAGCAACTCGAGGGGCCCTACGAACTATTCTCCAGTATTCCATCTCGACCTTTCTTCCCACGGGGCTTTCTGTGGGATGAAGGCTTCCACCTACTTCCCATTGTTGACTGGGATATCGACCTCACGCTTGAGATCGTGAAGAGCTGGTACAATTTGATGGATGAGGATGGCTGGATTGCACGAGAACAAATCCTGGGCGATGAAGCTCGAAGCAAGGTTCCAGCGGAGTTCCAGGTCCAATACCCGCACTACGCCAACCCGCCAACACTCTACTTGGTTCTGGAAGCGTTCACTGAGAAGCTTCAGAAGGTGAACGGCAGCGGGGGTTCTGGTAAGGAACGACTGTCGCAGGGCGAGTCTCTCGAGAGTGCTCACACCGATAACCCGGAACTGGGAGTCGAATACCTTCGCAGCTTGTATCCTCTTCTTCGACGCCAGTACCTGTGGTTCAGAAAGACCCAATATGGTGACATTACAGGGTACGACCGAGAGGCATTTTCAACCAAGGAAGCCTACCGATGGCGAGGACGTTCTGTCCAACACATCTTGACAAGTGGCCTTGATGACTACCCTCGACCACAACCCCCTCACCCTGGTGAGCTCCACCTCGATCTAATCTCATGGATGGGCATGATGACTCGGACCCTGGCCAAGATTGCCGATTTCGTAGGCCTCCCTGAGGATGTCCAAGAATACGACAAAGCCTACAACGGCATCGTGCGCAACCTAGAGGACCTTCACTGGTCCAATTCAGAAGAGACCTTTTGCGATGCCACAATCGACGACTTTGAAGAGCACACGCTAGTATGCCACAAGGGTTATGTGACCCTGTTCCCACTCCTTATGGGCCTGCTACAACACGACGACTTCAAGCTCGGCAAGCTCCTTGACCTTCTTGGCGACGAGGAAGAACTGTTCAGTCCCCACGGAATCCGCAGTCTAAGCAAGAAGTCCGAATTCTATGGCACGGACGAAAACTACTGGCGCAGCCCCGTATGGATCAATATCAACTACCTTGCCATTGTGCAACTCCGCGTAAGTCGAGCTTTTTGCCATCGTTACTCACTGACTTTCGGGCTGTTCTAAAAACTGACATCCCACCAGCGCTACGCCCTTAAAGGCGGTCCATACGCTGCAAAGGCCAAGGACCTATACAACCGCCTCCGACATAACATCATCGAAACCGTATATAAGAGCTGGGAGGAGACGGGGTTCGCGTGGGAGCAGTACAACCCGGAGACTGGCCAGGGACAGCGGACGCAGCACTTCACGGGGTGGACGAGTCTGGTGGTTAAGATCATGGCCATGGATGAGCTGAGTGGATCCAGCAGCCATTCCAGAGATGAGCTATGAGCCCAATGCTTTTCGTTGTTTCTTAGCTAGCTATCTCGAAGCTTTAGACAAGATCTGTATGTAAGAACACTGTGTATGCCATACATAGACCCTTAACAAAAATGGAGCGATGTTTCTCTGAGATCAAACCAGTTGTTGAATTGGGACTCCATGATGAATAGCCACGTCCCCCGCCTGACCTGCAATTGCTGCTTTTCCCATCTCTAGTTTAGTCGGCGTATGTGAAATACACCTGATCCGTCGCCATGAGCCTCGTTTGTACAAGCATTGATATATGTACGCCAACGCCCCGAAATCACAGAGAAAATCGAACTGTTGTTGAGGTAGCCTCAGAACCGCTCAAAAACACCCAGCGGCCCCTTGAGCTTGGTGAACATCTCCTCCCTCTCGCCCTCCGGCGTGCTCAGCGCCGTCACGGCACCGCCGGCGCCTATATGCCATACCTCCAGCTCCTGTCTCTGCCGGTGACCCTTGCCACTCCTATCCCCTACCCCATTCTCATCTTTACTCCGGTCTCCATCCTGACCCTCAACGCCGTTGTCCCCGCAGCCAGCGTGGGCGTTTCTGGGAACAGGAATATAAACGACCTCCTCGTCGTCCCATCGCAACAAACTCCGTATGGTGACGCTCCAATCGCCGCGGCCCGTGACGTCCATATAGCCCACGACGCCCGAGTACAGGCTGCGCTCGCGGGTGTGGGTGTGTGGGCCCCCAACTTCGACCTCCTGTAAGATCTCGCAGCTGCGCTTCTTGGGCGCGCCGGTCATGCTGCCGGGCGGGAGGCTGGCGGCTAGGACGTCGAGGCCTGTGAGCTGTTGTTGTCTCTCACCACTTCCACCACTATCACTACTCTCAGCTGGTGTTGTTGTTGTTGTTGTTGAAAACTGCGGCAACGGCAACCGTCCCTCAACCACACTGACCATCTGAAAAACACTAGCATACTCCTCAACGACCAACAACCGCGGCACGGCGACGCGGCCGGGCCCGCACACGCCGTGCAGGTCGTGGCGCACCAGGTCGACGATCATCAGGTTCTCGGCCTCCTCCTTGGGCACGTGCAGGATGCGCTCGGCTTGCGCCAGCGTCGATACTCCTTCCGATACTCCTCCTAATGACGAAGCGGACTTGCGCACTGTGCCCTTCATGGGCCGCATCGAGCACAGCCCCGCGGCGTCGTACTCGAGGAACCGCTCCGGCGAGCTGCTGATTAGGGTCGCGCCGCCTAGGCGGAGGTAGGAGCCGAAGGGGGCGGGCTGGGTGGCGCGGAGGGTGCGGTAGAGGGTCCAGGAGGAGGAGGAGGAGGAGGAAGCGGGGGAGATGGAGTCGGTGGTTTGGGGGCTCCTTGGGCGGGTGATGAGCGTTTGGTCTGTGAGACATAGCTCGTACGAGTCGCCCGAGGCGATGTAGTCCTGACACAGACGGACCTTGGCCTCGTATTCGTCGGCGTCCGGGATCTGGATTTGCGTCTTGGTGGGCTCGGTCGTAGGTGTGCGAGGCGGCGTCGGTTCGTCGATGTCCAGGTTTTGGGTAGCTTCCCTTCGCAGCCCTTGCGACCACATAGATGAACCCAAGAGCCCTTCAGCAACCGAGTTGAGCCATGTCTGGGCCATCGACTCTGATTGCGACAGACACTGGATGCGTACGGTAGCGTCGAGGTGGTCGACGATAAGACTCTTGGTGACCCAGGCGAAGCAGAGATCTGGCCTTTCATGGCGTCTCTGCTCACGCAACTTGACGTCGATACCCTCCAGACCAAGCTCGTACGTGCAGTAGCCCATGAAGCCGCCCAAGAATGGCGTCGGGGCATAGTCCTCACCTTGGGTCTTCCTCCTGGTCCAGAACTCGGATAGCAATTGCCAGATCGTCTGGTGCGCACCCAGCTTGATCGTTTCCGATACGGTCTGCGGGGATGGCGCTGCGGTTCGTGAAAGACGGGCAGTGACATGTCTGTTGCCTGTTCTGTACTCCAGCTTCAACGCCCCGTCGACGTCCAGGGCGATGATACTGTACCGACCTCGTACATCGTCCCCGATCTTGCCCGCCTTTGCGCTTGCCGAGTCGAGAATGATGTATTCTCGTCCAGCCCCTTGGATCATCTCGACGAGATCTGGGACTTCGATATGTTCTGGGAGGTTCAGGACCCGCGACATGTGGTTGGCGTTTAGTCCGAAGGTGGCAAGCTGGCTGCCGCCGTCGGCCCATATGCGAAAGTTGTCCACGCTCTGTTTCAATGCAGTGTTGCCCTCGTCAATGTCCCATATACTGATCCTGCGCATTTTCTTCGTGCCGTCAAATTGAGAGGGGCTGCGATCGGTCTTTCGGCCGGCCTCGCGATTCCACCGCAGTGCTGCGTCGAACCAGTTTCGGATGACCTGGTGACCCGTACTCTCGGTGCAAATCGATTCAGGGTGGTACTGCAGACCCCACGAGGGTTTCCTTCTGTGCTTCAATCCCATGAGAATACGCTCCGTCACATCGCCTCGGTCCTCGTACGTCCACGCCAGGGGCACAATATCAGGCAGATGAGCCAGGGATTTCCATCGAGATTCGGTCCAATTCTCAGCGAGAATCGACTCTTGTCCGATATCAGCATGAAGACTGTGGTACAAAGTAGCCTTGAAAGGAGGGACTCCATAAAATATGTTCCCGTCTTGCTGGCTGGATCCTTCATTCAGGTGATCGATGGCGCGAATCATGCCGTGAAGGCCGGTTCTAAGCTTCTTGACCAACCCGCCGCAGCTGACTACCAGGCTCTGAAACCCCAGACAGATGCCCAGGATGGGAACCATGTCCTTGGCTCCGAGATCCCAGACATGCTTCATCAGTCCGACATCCTGGTCCACGCCGGGCGAGCCGGGGCCCGGGCCGCATACCACGGCGTCATAGCGGCGAAGTTCGCTGCTTAGGTCGTCTTTGAAGCTTGGATTTTTGGGGTTGAGATGAGGCGGGTCGATGGGTAGGATATCAACTTCGGCGTCCAGGACAGTCGTTAGGAGAGAGACGATGTTGTTGCTGAAGGAGTCGTAAGCATCGATGAAGAGGATGCGCGGGCTATCCATGTTGGCGCTTCGGATGGATTGTCGAGCCGCAGTTGGCTTGTTACAACCGTGCCGAATTAATTTCGTCCAGCCCCCATTGACAATCAAGCTGCAATCTTCAATCCCTGTCCAGAGTCTATGCGTGAGTTTAGATGGTACATGTAGGTAGGCCTCACTCGACAGAGAACCAGCTACTTCGTAGCTTCTCAACGCGCTTTGCGCATTTCACGTGGGCTTACGTGTGACTTCTGTCTATCCATGACTTTTTGGTCCAGCTGTGCGCCTAGCTGGCGGCAGGCGACGCCGCTTTTGCGGCTCTGCTACTAATGAGGGGAAGTTTTAAGGGGGATAGCCACAGCGCCACAACGCTGCGCACGGCTCACAACTACCACTTTGAATCAATTTCGGCAACAGCGACGATAATAAAAAGAATAATAATTTGAAAGATGATATGTATTAATGTATTACCCTTCGAACTTAACCGGTTGTAAAAGGTTACACGCAGAAATAAACGAACCGCAAAGGAAAAAGACGATTTAAGCGGGGCGAATTTTATTGTCTGATTAGCCGGCAAAATCGTAGCGTCACTAATGTTTTAAGAAACACTTGATTTAACACTGTCATTTTAAGGTGGATGACCGTTGACGGGAAAGGTGGGTCATCTTTCAAGCTTAAATGCCCCTTGCCCTTGCCGGTGCTTACCTCACCTTACCTCACCTTACCTCACCTTTACCTCACCTTACCTCACCTTACCTCATCTCGCCTCCCATATGACATGTCGTCACATCTCACCAGCAACGTCCACACCCGAGCACAGCAAAACCAGACCTCATACCATGAACGTTTGCAGAGGAAGATCCCATCAATCTCGCAAGGCTAATTTGAACAACCGCCATCAGACGATGATGCTCTTATAAATGATTGATTGATTGTATTTAACGTGGGGGATCGCTCCCCAGTAGTGCAAACCACGCCTCCCAGAGCCTTTGCATCACAGGGTTGTGGAGGTATCAAGATAATAAGTACAGTCAGTTCCGCTCCCGAGCCCATTCCCGTTGTTGCGGCTGTATGACTTTGGGGTCATCTATCTGGTCCTTCACAAACAGCTACCTATCGGGGGCAAATTGATGAAAATAACTTGCTCTTCTCAACAAATCTTGCCTATTCTGCGCTACTGTCCCCCAAGTATTGTAAACAGGCTGCACTAGGCGAGTACCTGGGCAGCAGTCGGTTTTTCCCAACCTCTTATAAAAGAAAATGTGTTGTAGTGTTTTCTTCTCACCGTAGCTGCAGTGGTTATTCGAGTTTGTATGCCCAAAATACTCGTGATATCTAGCAAAGTCGCCATGTCCAGATCTGGCTGCTAGAAGTCTGTGTAGAGTGCTCCTTTCAAAAGATATAAGGTCTCTTTTAGTTACTGTATTTGAGTATACTTCTTGATACCTCGGTTCTGATTGGTCTTTCTACCATTAATCGAATTCTCTCTTGCTCTTCTTTTTGAGATCTCTTTTTACCCAAGAGATTGTAGGAAGGTTCGTTGTGTCTGTTTCCAGCATGGCACCCTCTTTTGCTAGTGTGTCAGCAGCTTTGTTGCTATCAATATCTCTGTGTTCAGGAATCCACTTGTCGGTCACTTTAGGAGTGTGTGTTGTGGCAAGTTCTTGGAATCGTAGAAAAATGTTCTGTGATGTCTCAGGTAAAGTCCTATTGAGCCCATCTACTACTGATGTGGTGTCCAGGCAGACATACAGCCGTTTTCCGTGTCCAATCGCCCTGGCTGCTGTGAGACCTTGGAGAGCGCCATAGACTTCAGCATCTACTACTTCTGCTTGAAGAAGTCTGACTTTTCCCTAATATACTTCTTGTGTAGTGCCGCCTTTCCTGATGGTATAACCCAATCCAGTGTGGGTTGTGCCTTAGTCATCCAACTGTGATCCATCCGAGTAGATGACAAGGTCAGTGTTCACGTTTGTCTCCTATAGCTATTGCTTAAAGAGCTCTATTTCTTTGTCTTTGTCCTTGTGGACTGGGGGCCTTTTCTATGATGGCTTGGTGAGTGTTGGTCTCTGGAAGTCAGGGACTAGCTGGAAGCTCCTTTATAGCCTTGTTGGTTCCTTACGAGCTTGTATTTAGAGCCTGCCAACAAGAGGGTGTCTTTGGTCTATTCGTCCTAGTCGGAGGCCGTGACGTTGTCTTATTGACTTTGCAAGAACTCCTACTAGGGGAATCTGTGATTCAAAGTGTAGGGATATATCCAGGGTGTGTTTTGCAGACCGGCAAGATAGTCCTGATCGCCGTTCGTAGTACAGCATCTATTGTTCTAAGAAGCCCCTTAATGCGACATGCTGATATCCCACCTAAGCTCCCAATTTTTTTGATTCCCAGGTACCGGGCCTCCAGGCCGTGTGTAAGAATAGGAATAATACAAGCTTTCACAGCCCTCTTAGTTAACTTTGCTGGAAGTCCTTTAACTATGTTGCATAGTCCTCAAAGGTGATTTACTATCTTACTAGCTTTCTTGGCCCAGTAGGAAACGTGATTTTTAAAGTTTAGTTTTCTATCCAGGAGGACACCTAGCCATCGCATAGAGTCCTTTGCTGTTTTGTTTATTGTCCCGTAGCGAACCGGAGGATTGTCTGAGTTCTTTTTCCGCAAGAAGTGCATGATCTTGGTTTTGTCGGGATCAAATTCAATAGCGTTGTTGTGTCCCTATGGATTAAACAGATTAAGATTTTTAGAAGCCTTTTTGGCTATTTCTTTAAAGTTCTTTCCAATGTAAAGAGTCATTAGGTCATATGTATATCCAAAACGTCTCCTTTTTATACTGAGTCGGGCACAGATTGGCTCTGTATACAGCATGTAAAGGATGGGAGAGGCAGGTGAGCCTTATGGTAGCCCATAAGTGAGAGCTTTTATATCGGTCACAATACCTTCAAACCGAACTCTTGCGGACCGCTCAGACATGAATGACTGGACCCATTTTATGAGAAAGCCCGGCCAGCCCTATTCTCTCATGCAAACCACCAGCCGTCCTATTATGGCAGCATTAAAGGCCCCTTTCACATCTGACGTGACTACCGTTGTAACGAGGCCCTGGTCGAGGGCCTGCTCAATATCGTGTATGAGTGCAGCTACCAAGTCAGTGGCAGAGCGCTTTGGTAGAGCTCTAAAATGTTGTGGAGCTAGAATTCCAAGTTTAACAACAAACCAGGTAATTCTTTTTATAATGAGTCGTTCTAGACCTTTGCCAAGATATGATAACAACGATATTGGTCTGTAGGCCCGGAGGTTGGAGTAGTCTGTCTTGCCTGGTTTTGGGATCATCACCACCTCAGCTACTTTGAATGGTTTAGGGTGGTGTCCAATCTGTAGACAGGTCTGGAAGAGGGCTCTGATATGTTCCTCAATGACTGGCCAGCAAGCTTTCAGAATCCGTACTCTGAGGATGTCTACTCCCGGGGAGTTGCTCTTGGTCCCTATAGTGCACCTTTCAGCCTTTTCCAGTCTGATATAGTATTCAAGGGGAATGTGTGGCTTGGGTTGTGTGATCTGAGCGGACCAGAGGTTGATGATATTGTTGTCTGGGGTACTTCGTTCAAGCGTGGCTGAGCATAGTGCATTTGCCTTGCTCTCTTATGACTCAAATATTTGGTCTCCTATGATGATTAGAGGTGAACACCATCTTGCTGACAGCTTGTGCCAAGAAACAATTCTGTACAGGTCCTTTGGTTCAGTCGCTGAATTAATTAAAGTCTGCCAGTACTCTCTCCTAGCTTTCCAAACCACGCGGCGAAAGTCCCGTTGGGCTGAATTCCGCCTTTCTTGGCTTGTGGTTGGTTTGGACAAGGCCTTGTATGTCTAAATAGCTGTTTTATATTCATCATTCCACCAAGCAGTAGGCCTAGATTGTCGGGGCTTCTTGCTCATTGTCCTGACACAGCCTTGGATTATGTTGATCAAGTTCTGCGTAAAGGCATCCACCTAGCCAAGGAATGCACCCAGCCGGGGGAGCTCATGAATCCTGTTTTGAACATTGTCCACCAGCTCTTGTAGTTTATTATTAGGGACTATCTACCGATCAGCCTTGGGGACCCGGTCTAGGTCTCCCTGAATTAAGACAACTATTCGTAATAGCTCGTGATCTGAGGTGCACTGGAGTGCATCATTTACTGAGGCTTTGGCCATGGGGACATCTGAGAAAACCAGATCTAGTACATTTCCGTCATTATGTGTCAGGACATCTGGTTCGGAAATCAGATCCTGTTGAATACACAGATGATGATTGAATCTATTGATTGTTGTGCTCTGTGTGCAGAGATTGATTATCTGTCTGTTTGGTGGGTCAGATGCCCTGTGCGTCTTTGCTCCAATGGAGATCTTCTGGTGTCTATCTTCGGCTCCTATTCAACACACCCCCCTAGGAACAACTTCTTCCATTGGGGTTGTTTCTGAGCATTCAGTCTGTTGCTCTTCATGTCCAAGGTCATCTTTAAGTTCTTGTAGCTTGCGGGCTGCAAGTCTCTCATGGATATCTGTCATCCTCACTTGCTCCCTGAACGTCTTGAACTTTGGTGCTGGCAGTGCCTTGGTCAGGCCGTCTGCAAGCATCATTCCACTCCGGACGTACTCGACGTCTATCTTCTCATTGCGTTAAGCTTCCCTTAACCAGTGATTGTGGATATCGACGTGCTTGAGCTTTGTTTGAAGTGTTTGAAGGTCCTTCCGCACTAACTTGATGGTCTGTTGGTTGTCACACCAAATTCGGAGAGTTGGACAGTCCAAGGATACGCCAATTTCTCTTAGGAGTCGTGAGACAAACATCACTTCTTTGGCTGCTTGGGCAAGGGATAACAGTTCTGCCTCTGTTGTTGAGGTTGTCACTGTGTCATGTTTGTTTACTCTCCAGCCAATGATGCCTCCAAATAACTTCATGACATATGCTTGTGAGCTCTTTTGGTCAAGATAGTTGTCAGCAAATGATGCATCGTTCCAGGTTTCTAGCAGATCTTTACCCCCCAACT